GAAGAAGACGTATTTGGATTTCTACTTCGATGAAACAATGACTACCAGGAATTTTCAATGGTTCAAGAAGAGCTTAAATCACTTGAAGCACACTTACATCTACTATGATTTGAAAACAACAGATGAAATCCAAAGAAAACCTGGTTTATACTCTCAAATCTTCTGCATACCCAACAAATATTTGGCCTCAACATTCTTGCTGCTTGATATACCAGGTGATGAAATCGTCGTTAAAGTTTTTGACCCTGGTTACTACTTTATTTCGAATTGGAGTTATAAGTATCAGTACGATGATGTTCGTTACAATATTCAACAATATTTTGAGAATGATATCGAATACTACCAAAAGGTAAACGACTTTAACCAAAGTCACAGATGCAAAATCGACACGCTTTCGGGTTTCAATGCAGGGTTTTGTTCTTTCTGGAGAGATCAGTCAAAACCAAAAGATTCAAACAACTATATTGCATCAGGTTTGACTATATTCATGCCAAAGTTGACAAAGAAGCCGAAGACACAGGAGGATTATTTAAAGGGTTTAAAGGGATTGATCACCATGGAGAACGCTGGTTTAGCCGATTTTGCTGTCAACTACGAAAATATGTTTATGGATAAGGGAAAGTTTATATTTTCCAACTATAGTTCACCATCAACTAGACCTAGTTCAGCTGAAAGTGATGATAGTCAAGAACTTGAAAGTTTACAAACACAGAAGATCATCGAGTTTGCCGGAATATGGCGTAAGAAGGATCCTGAGTATCTGAATATTATTGCTAAAGAAAGTGTAAACCTCTTCGAAGAAGAAATTCAAAGAGAAATCACAGAATCTCAACAAAGCAGGATGGTGACAATACCTATCATAAACAGAGAAAAACTGCATAGTTCGTAAACGGTGCAGTATTAGCTATATATAGTTGATGTACGTAAAATAACAAGAGGGTATAAATGGTATAGGCCAGCAGCTGTAAGCAATTAAACAGGATATATGGCAGTCTAGATTTGTACTAACTGGCCCCACTAAACTACCGCTTATTTCTGCAATAGCGAGCAGTTAAGTTTGAACCAAATAAGATACCGCGGGCGTGCGAAGGTCGGACACGGGTACTTGATTTTGATTTAGTTGCACGAGTAGCGAAGCCGTTCAACCTCCACGAGACCGACATGTCATGTACGTTCACATGTTATATCACACGTGCATAGCCACGCCCGTGGTGTAACATATTCCCGAGTTCCCGCTCGCACCGGCACCGGCAGAGGGCGATAAAGAATAATCAATTTCCAAGGCTTCCCAATTGGGAAAGACGCGCCCAGATATACTGATCTGGTAGGTCGTTGCGTAGCCTCCTATATAACTATCGCATTCCCTGCATCTGTCTCCATTAAACCTAATTTCCCCAATGTCCGCTGATACGATTTTAGCCCAAGTTGATGTTACCCAGTACGAAGACCCTGAAAAGTTCAAGGCATTCATTCCAAAACTTGAAAAGTATAGACAAGCTTTGAACGATGCCATCTTACCACAATACTCCGTTGAATTACCTGATAAGGTTGAAAACTTAACTGCTAAACAATTCAACCCTGTGAAATATTTGTACAGCCAAAAGCTTTTAACTCCATCAGAGTTTGAAATCACCGATTCCTCTGCTCCTCAATTGGTTGCCAAATTCGCCACAGGGGAACTCACTGCCGTTGAAGTGTTTAAAGCTTTTGCCAAAAGAGCCACCATCGCCCACCAATTCACCAATTGTGCTTTGGAAATATTCACTAAAGACGGTTTGAAAAGAGCCGAATACTTGGATGACTACTTCAAGAAAAACGGAAAGTTAATTGGTCCATTGCATGGTGTCCCCATCTCCTTGAAAGAGCAAATGGATTTCAAAGGTAGACAACGTCATGCTTGTTTTGTGTCGAAAATCGACCATATATGTGAAGCTCACGGAACCAATGCCCAGATCTTGGAAAATTTGGGGGCTGTTTTCTACATTAGAACCAACCAGCCCCAAACATTGATGCACTTGTGCAGTGATAACAATTTCATTGGTGTCAGTAGAAATCCCTTCAACTTGTCATTAACTCCAGGAGGATCATCATCGGGTGAAGGAGCACTTGTGGGATTTGGAGGTTCTGCTATTGGGGTTGGAACTGACATTGGTGGTTCTATCAGAGCCCCAGCTGCCTACTCTGGATGTCATGGTTTGAGACCAACTTCCAAGAGAATCGGTCTTGCGGGAAGTTTATCAGCTGGTGCCGGACAAGAAAGTGTCATGGCTGTTGCTGGACCACTTGCCAGGACTATTGAAGATATCGACTACTGGATGAAACACTACATCAACGATGGGAAACCATGGGAGGTTGACCAGAATACCTTGAGACTTCCGTGGAAGGAAGTGGCTGCTCCAAAGGCTTCTGATTTGACGATTGCTGTGATGTACGACGATGGAATTGTCAGAACCACTCCTCCAATTACTAGAGGATTGAAGGAAACGGTAGCAAAATTGGAAAAGGCCGGAGTGAAGATTGTGGAATTCAAGCCTATTAGAACCCAATTGGCCTATGATACTGTCAACAGTATGTATACCTGTGATGGTAACGATGCTCAAAGAGAGTTATTAGCTGCTTCTGGTGAACCACTCTGCAGATTGACCAAGTGGTCTTTGAACTACGGAGGTGGTAAGGAACTTACCGTCACTCAAAACAGAAAGTTGAACATGATCAGAGACCTGTTGAGACAAGAATACACTTCCTTTTTGATTGACAACAAAATTGACTTTATCTTGAGTCCAACCTATAATAACGTTGCTCCAAAGCCAAAACAAGTCTACAACTGGAGTTACACCTCGTTGTTTAACATTTTGGATTTCCCTACTTTGGTGTTCCAAACTGGTATTTTCCAAGACCCCGAAATTGATCAATGGGATGCCTCTTATAAGGACTATAAATTCAGAAGTGAATTGGAAGAAATTGAATGCAACATATATAATCCTAAAGAATTTGTTGGTGCTCCCGTTGGTTTGCAATTAAGTGGAAGAAGATACTTTGACGAAGAAGTGGTGGCTGCTGGTAAGACTATTGTCGATATTTTGCAAGTTGATTTGACTAAAATCAAGTGAGTAAATAGTAAGTAAAATTAGATTTAGCAACGTACTTGACATACAAACAAGTTGATATCTTCCATTTTGTATAAATTCGATCAACGCAATTCGTTTATCTATGGCATTACCGTTTCAGGAAATTAGCGGTACTGTCTCAAACCACAAAGAGTCATGCAACATTTTATAAGAACGACATCAAAGAGCAGATTATCACGTGGGTGTTATCCTTGTATTCCCTTCTGTACCTGGCTCATGCTCGTAGATGTGAAGGCAGAAGAGTTTATAATGTTTACACACTTTGTGGTTAAGGGCTCAATCTTCTTGACAGCACCCAAGAAATTTAAACCACAGATAGTAACAAGACTCAAACGGTTGTGAGGACAGCTATACTGCTCCCTGCTGATGTGCTCACTCATAACTAGAGGACATTTGTACCCTATCTTGCAAATTGTTAGGAGATACAAAATTCTCATCCTTCCAAATCAGGTACTTTCCATGAAATTGTTGCAACTGATAACGCGACTTCCCAAAACAGGAATTGGCGGACCTTGGGGAGGTTAGAGTTCCAACAATAGTCTAGATAATAAGGGGTTATAAATAGGCAACAAGATCTCCTACAAAATGTTCTTTCATAGATAATCTCCCCACATAAGTGACCCAATTATCTGCCATGTCCCAAGTAACTTACGAGTCCTTATTAGTCAACGATCCTTTAACTGGGTACGACGATGCCAAAAAGTATGCTGAATTCGTACCCAAGCTTGAAGCTTATAGAGAGAAATTGATAAACTCAATTGACCCAGAGTATGCAATTGTTTTGCCCAAACCCATCGAGGAATTGTACGCAGACCAGTTTAATGCCATCAAGTATTTGTACGATGAGAAGCTTTTGAGTGAAGAAGAACTCGCAATTACCAACTCTTCCGGTACTGACTTGGCCAAAAAGATAGCATCTGGGGAATTGAAATCGGTTACTGTTTACAAAGCATTTGCCAAGAGAGGTACCATTTGTCACCAGTTAACCAACTGTGCGTTGGAGATTTTCACCGATGAGGGCTTGGAGAGAGCTGAGTACTTGGATAAGTACTACGAACAAAATGGTACAACTGTTGGTCCTTTTCATGGTTTACCAATCTCCTTGAAAGAGCACTTGTTCTATAAGAACAAAGTCTGTCACGGATGTTTTGTTGGTAATATCGAAGATGTTCTGGAGGTCCATGGTGTTACCACCCAAATTTTGGAAAACTTGGGTGCTGTTTTCTACATCAGAACCAACCAGCCCCAAACATTGATGCACTTGTGCAGTGATAACAACTACATTGGATGCACCCGAAACCCGTACAACCTAGGATTATCTCCTGGTGGTTCTTCTTCTGGTGAGGGTGCTCTTGTGTCTTTCGGAGGTTCTGTAGCAGGTGTGGGGACCGATATTGGGGGCTCTATTCGAGCTCCGGCAGCTTTCTCTGGGTGTTTTGGCTTGAGACCATCCACCAAAAGAATTTCCGTAAGAGGAGGTAGTGCTTTGGATGCTGGACAAGAGAGTGTGATAGGAGTTGCTGGTCCTATGACCAGAAGTGTTGACGATATTGACATGTGGATGAAACACTATATCAACGATGGTAAGCCTTGGTTATTGGATGAGCAGGTTATCAACATGCCTTGGAAAGAAGTGGCTCCTCCTAAACCATCTGAATTCACCGTGGCAATCATGTACGATAATGATTTGTTGAAGACTACTCCGCCAATAGCTAGAGGATTGAAGGAAACGGCTGCGAAATTAGAAAACGCGGGAGTTAAGATTGTTGAGTTCAAGCCAATTAAGTCTAAGTTGGCCTATGATGTAGTTCATCAAATGTATACTGCTGATGGTAATATCGGAACCAAAGCTTGTTTCCAAAAGTCTGGTGAACCAATCGTCAGATTAACCAAGAATTACTTGAACTATGGAAAAGGTAGCAAGGGTCTTACCGTAACTGAAAACAGAGAATTGAACGATATTAGAAATGAATTAAGACAAGAGTACACTGAATTCTTAGTCAAGAATGATATTGACTTTATCATCAGTCCAACGTACGCAAATGTTGCTCCAAAACCCAAGGAAATTTACAACTGGTCGTACACTTCTTTGTTTAACATCCTTGATTTCCCAACATTGGTGTTCCAAACTGGATTATTCCAAGATCCGAAAGTAGATAAGTGGGATGATTCCTTTAAGGATTATAAATTTAGAAGTCCTCTGGAGGAGTTAGAATTGACCAGTTATGATCCCAAAGAATTCGTTGGTGCCCCAATTGGATTACAATTGAGTGGAAAGAGATACACTGATGAAGATGTTGTAGCTGCTGGAAAAACAATTGTAGATATCTTGGGTGTTAACTTACTTAAATAGATCCTGAAATACAAATATGTTTATTCTTTTAGGTCATAGCGTTATTTAGAAAATGTTGCAGCAAGAATTAACAACAAGTTAAAGGAACCAACGAGGAAAAAGGGGGCAAAAACCCACAGATCACTCCACGAGCCTCCAATTTGACTTAAAATCAAGATTCCAAATCCCCCAAACAAGTTGTAGACTCCACTGACGGATCCTACGGCATCATTTTCTGCTGAAATAATACTCATCGAAGTGATGACAGTTCCAATCTGAGATACTCCAATAAGACTCATAAGGAAAAACGTTGTAGCGTTCCGAGGATCAGAAATGTTTAAAATACAGAGAGTCCATGTACCCACAAGTCCAATGGCGGAAGATAGCATTAAACTCTTTTTCTTCCCGATTCTGTCTACAACTATCCCCCAAAATGGAGATACCAAAAGTGAAACTGTTTGGGCCACCCCCGACAAAATAGCTGCAAAAGTATAGCCGTCGTAACAATTGTTCTTTGCAGGAGTACCATCATCTTCACAAAGTCCAGATTTGAAGTAGAAGTTGTACACAAACAATGGAATGAAAACCGCAATAAGGACCGATGTCGAACGTGCAACCCACCCACCAAAACATGCAATTTGCACTGAGGAACTTGACCGGAGACGACTAAATCCCGTTTTGATTAACTCAATGTACGTAAGATGTATCTTGTTGTCTTCTGTGCTGGGTTCATAGAGTGAAACGAGCATCAATAATCCCACCAAAATTGATAGGATTCCAAGAATCACAAACGATAATTGCAAAGCTTGTCTCGAAGATATTTCAAACTCCGCCAGTAACCTAACAGGAAGTGATAGAAAGCAAGATACAGAAAATACAGCACCTAATCCAGTAGAAAGCCCAATAAGAGCAGCATATCGGCCGTTTTTGTTAACATTACTTGAGGTCGCAGCTCCGGTCTCTTTCCAGAAGAGAAGACTGGACATTTTGAAATCAGAATATATCAACTGGTGAAGCAACACAGGTACCATGCTCATACATGTTGTGACACCAATAGCAAAGAACATTCTTGGAAAAATCAACTGCCACCAACCAGAGTATGGTACAAGTCCATATAATAAAAATGCCACAAATATGCTGGCAAAGCCGGTGAAAACAAGAAACTTAGTATGTCCCACAACCCAGTTCCATTGCACCAACTTATCATTCAAAGAACCAATCAAGGGCGATGACACAATACATGTGAGTTCGTCGGCGACCCCGAGAAACCCAATAACTTTTCCTATTTCATGGTAATCGACTTTCAAAATTTGGTTGATGTAAAAAGGCTGAGAAGACGTTAAGAAGATCACAAACGCAATGCAGAAGAATCCGGTGAAATTGAAGGCAAGAAGGTTTCTAATCTTGTAGTTCTTATTGGGAACCTCTAGTTCCTCCTGGAATCTGTCCTCAAAATCCTCGTTGTCTGGTTCCAAAAGTGGTTGATTTACACTCATGATGATGAATTGGCTATTCCAGATTCGGAGAAGTAATAGTGTTCGCGATTCGCACCTGGTTGCAGATTGGATGCAAATTGCACTAGAGCTAAATAGAGTTTGCGACTAGCTTCAAAGGCGGCCTATCAGATAACTGGTGGTTGGTTTTGATAGTCTAGGTGTGGTTCTGTGTGGGTTTTTTGTAACTTTAGTGGTGGTTCAAGAGACTAACTTATGACACCTTACCGATCCTGGCCAGCGTCCTAGGAAAAAAATGGGAGACGAAACCGTACCATGGGGTATGCTGCGGGGTTGGAGGTGGTACACGCATATGGCTACTGATTTAGATTTTTCTTCCATGGTGAACAATTACGAAACACAGTATTGACCATACCTAAATCTGTTGATAGTCCTAGGCCAGGAGGTGGAACCAGAAAGTGGAGACCGCACATTTCAACAGTATCCAAAATGATCTGGTACCTCGAGATGCAAACCTATCTATAAATTTCGTTTTATTTGTAATCTCTTCATGTTCGATATCTCTGAAATTGATTAATGCACTTTAATTGTCTCTAATTCACAAACACGTGTAAGATGTGCCACAAATACACATCCCATTTGAACTTCACATAACACTCTGTTCTCTTATCTTACACATGGCTCTTCACTGTCTTCTTTCCCACCATCCTCCATTCTACAGATACTTTTATCTTTGCTGGTGGTTGTTCCTCACCAAAATGCGAAACGGCTCGTTTTCTGTTTACACCAGAAGCAAGTCATCCTCAAGCTCTGCAAACGAAACTACCTTGAGCGAATTGAGGACCAGCTTAACTGTATTTCACTGCGATAAGATGGACTCTGTTATTGACGACTCTCCTAGTGGGAGCAACGGTGAAGAAAAGGCTGATTTTCTGTCTTCCAGAAATAACGATGATTACGATTCTGAAACTGAACTAGGGGATTACACGTTAAAAAGAACCGATTCTTCGTCTTCCTTGAGTTTTATCGATCTCAACAAGTTACTTTACTTACAGGACTTTGATTTCGGGGTCGGGCTCGACCATGTCAGCGATTCGGCTAAAAGACGGTTCAATGAGATGAAAACCAAAACCAAACAAAGACTCAATAGATTAAAGATCGATTCGAACCAAACCAGAGACCTTCTGAAGCTCCAGGAGCTCTTAAACCAGAGGTTGGCAAAGTTTGATGAGAAGGTGCACAAAAACTTGGAGAGCTCTGCCACAGAAAAGTTGTTTTACGCGTTGGCAGTATCTTGCATTGCTGCTGGAGGGTTTGTTTTAGGCAAATACCCCCTGTATTTCCATGTGTTTTACACGGTGTTGTTCTGCTTGTTGATGCCTATCCGATTCTATTCCTACTTTAAACAGTCTTTTCAATATTATTTGGCAGACTTGTGTTATTACGTCAACTTGCTTTTGATGCTCTTCATTTGGTACAAACCCGATTCCAAATCCTTGTTTGTTTCGGTTTTTTCATTATCGCTTGGAACTTTGTCATTTGCAGTCATCACCTGGAGAAACTCGTTGGTGTTGCATTCCATTGAGAAAACCACCAGCTCGTTTATCCACGTAATGCCACCAATCACACTTTTTGTGATTGTGCATGAGATGCCAAAAGATTTTGTAAAGGAGAGGTTTCCAGCGGTGTTAAAGATTGATAATTGGAATTTTGTGAATGGAATAATTATCACGTCTATTTATTACACTGTGTGGCAAGTGGGTTACCATTACTTCATAACTATCCGCAAGAAGAAAGAAATAGAAAATGGTAGAGTTACGTCTTTTACTTACTTGAGAAAGAAGAATAAGGCCACTGTCTTGGGTAGATTTGTTAATTCTTTGCCATACAATTGGATGCAAATCACTGCATTTACATTTATTCAGTTCTTTTACCAGATTTTCACAATGATTCCTTGTCCCCTCTGGTTCAAATACAAACATTTCTGTGGATCCTTTGTTGCCTTTGTGTTTATTTGGTCAAGTTACAATGGAGCCACATATTACATTGATGTCTTCGGTAAACGTTTTGAGAAAGAAGTCAAGAAGTTGAAACAAGAGATCAATGATCTTCAGGCCCGAGTTGATTCTGCCCAAGCATCTCCAGAGATGAAACCACAGGGTAGCTCCTTGTCGTCAACTAACGATGGTGAATTCTCAAAAGAAGATAATGCTGTTATGATAGACAAGACCTCAGGCGACTCTTTCACTTCAGGATCCCACGTTAAATCATTTTCTTTGGAGAACAGTATCTGATTTATACCCATAAGCAATTCAACATTGCAACCCCATAACATTCATTTTTAACGACGCCATGATGTTCCTGAGGAAGTACTCAACTCTTCCTCCGATAGAGACTATTTATTGATTTTTAATTTTGTAATAAACAAAATAAATATGTATTTAAACGTATCTAGTAAACTTCTAAAACGTATCTACCTTCTTCCTTTAAGTCTTCGATCAACTTGGTAAGGTCTTTAATCTCCTCGCCCTTCTTAGCAGCAGCATTTTTCATCACGTCTTCAAGACAAGCAGTAATGTCGGGAACTGGCCAAGTAGGACCACACAAGTAGAAAGACCCGTTCTTATCAACCATAGCATTGGTCAAGTCTTCAATCTTATCTCTGATCTTATCTTGAATATAAATCTTTTCAGGTTGGTCTCTAGAGAAAGCAGCACCAATATGGGTCAAAATACCTGCATCTTTATAAGCCTCCCATAATTCACCATAAAGATACTCTTCTTTCTTGTGTCTCGAACCCATGAACAAGAAGATGTCACCGATTTCCATTCCTTGTTGTTGTTGCCAGATCTTTTCTTCAATGAAGGCCTTGAAAGGAGCCAACCCTGTACCCAATCCGGACATCACAATTGGTTGCTTAGATAATGGAGGCAATTTCATCACAGAAGGTTTAACACTAACGACCAATTCGTCACCAATACTCAAATCACTTAAGTACTTAGAACAGTGGCCCCATCTCTTTCTACCTTTAGAGTCAGTCCAGTCAACAACCACAATCAAGAGGTGGACCGCATTTGGGTGTATTCTTTGAGAAGATGCAATTGAGTACTCTCTTCTCTTTAAAGGAGCAATAATTTTGACCAACTCGGCAAATGGTGGCCTACAGCTTTGGAATTCTTCCAAAATGTCCCAATAAGTACAAAAGTCAACTTCTTGTCTCTTCTTCAAATCCACAGCACCTTCACTGCTAGCCAACTTGGTCAATGCTTCCTTTTCCTTGTCATCGGTTGCAAACTCAGCTAAAGATTCATAGAATCTCTTCGGAGGTTTTCCTAAGAAATCCAAGGTTTCAGCCAACGATTGTCTAACTGATCTGATTTCCAAAACTGAAGAATCATCTTTATTCGTGATTTCAATTAACGAATCGCCCTCTAATCCATAGAATTCAATGAACTCTTCCACATCTTCAGGGTGGTTACGTCCATGAATTCCTAATGCTTCACCAATGTCATAGGTTAATCCAGTACCAGAAACATCAAATTCAATATGAAAAATGTTTCTCGAGTACTCATCAGGAGTCAATCTAATGTTTTCTTGCACTTTAACAACAAAGTTCTTGACAGGTAAATCTGGTCTCAAGTCCTTCTTGGTGTCATATGCTTCCCTAAAAGCCAACTTCTTGGCCAAGTCCACGTATCCACTTTGAACAGTTTCTTCCGGAATCTCAGAATCATTGCGGGGGTTAATGGTAAACGAAGTTTCGGCTGGGAAGAAGGGCAATTGCAAAACCTCTTCCTCATCGGTTTCCAAATCGACCCACAGCTCTTCAACCTTGATGGATTTCAATAAACCCTTTTCTTTGACAGTATTGATAAAAGAGTCCAACACGGCACCCAATAACTCGAATCCTCCACCGTTAGCTTGCAATAACTTGTTGACAATAAACCCATTTAATTCGGGCAATGCGACAGACCAGAATGCATACTGAATCAAGAATTCGTTGGAGAATCCTTTGGTGGAATCCTTCAATTCAGTCAATTCATCCAAAGACGAAAAGTCAATCACAACCAACTGACTTTTGTTGGAAGCCAAGGATCTCTTGAAATCAGCTGGCAACTTCTTGACAAGTTCTTCCTCGTCATATTTCTTTCTGTTTCCCAAGAGTAAAGTACCCTCTGGTCTCAAAGTGGCCAACACATCGTATTCTTTCAACACTGCTGGATCATCAACCAAGGCCACATCTGCCGCATCGACTTCATTAATAGCGGCGGTGCTACCAGCTGATACGATTTGTGCCTGGAACAAACCACCAGCTCTAGCGTTGTCGAACTTAGAACGGAAAGACACGGTTTTGGAGTCATCCAAGGATAAGGCAAAGGCCAACTTGGCAGCGGAAGAAGCAAATTCTCCGTTGTCCGATCCCCAAACCAAGAATGAACCGTTGGGAGACGAGTTCGCGGTCAATGGCTGCGAAAATCTTTCTACGTCTGTAGTCAATGCGGAATCAGGATCTAAGTCTGCAACAAACTCGTGCAAAACTTTGGTGGTGGTGATGGGAGTCCAAACAAAGTCAGGTGAGTAAGTATACTCGTCGATATCAAACCGGTTGTACACACCGTTGACAAACAAAGCCATGGAAATATCACCCTTGAGGGATACGGCCGCACCCGAGCTGCTACTCAAAACCACCAATTTAGCGGTGGATTTGGGGACAGTTGCGATGAAGTCGTTGAAGCTAAATGGAAGTGGAACTCTGACTTTGACCACCCCCACTTTCGTGGTGGCCGCGAGACGTTCAATCACATTTCCGATTTTTGTGCACTCACCCGAACCGTGAACCACAAACACCGTTTCAGGACGTGCATGACCAACGTACTCAAATGGAGCATACTTGAGACCGGTAGCAGCACTCAAGCGGTCGAAGGCCTCCGAAACCACCAGTTCGGGAGAACCAGTGGAGGTCACGTGACCCGATTCTAACTGGTGGTAAACGGCATGAACCTCGTCAACCGACAACAAACCCTCGTGTTTGGTAAAGCCCTTGGCACCATCGACCCCATCGAACAAAAATACGCTGGGACGGCCGGTTTCTTTCGACAAGTACTTGGCCAAAATTGCCAAATGTTGGTGTTCCAACCCGTTATAAACGTCAGTTGGGGTGAAAACCGGGTAGTTCAAGAGCCTGGCGGCGGCCAAGGGCTTCTCGTAGCATGGCACAAGCGCATCCGTCGACTGGTTGAAGGCAGCGGCGGCCACAGCAAATGCTACTGGCGTAGGTTTCTGACGGCCAGAAAGAGCGGGAACCATGTAAGCCAACCCAGCAGCGTCGGTGAGAACTGACACCGGGTCACGGGAAGGACCCGTGGACTCGTTAATGAACCCAAGCACGGCTCTACCAGCTCCGGATCTGGTTTCAAACTTGTGTAAAAATGGTGTTTGTCCCAGAGGGTTTACCCGGTGAAAACCATTTATCCAAGCGTGGAGGTGGCCGTCGAACGCATACGAGTCGTCGACGGAATCCGAGGTGAAAATGCGGTTCAGGAGGCCGAAAATCGCCTGGTTTACCACCGTTACGGCGGAAGTGTAGACAGAGCCCTTGATGAGGCCTGGGTCGACTGAAGTGTCAAAAGGGTTCCATTTGATGGCCGAAGCGATGGCGGACGGGGCGACGTCGCTGATGCTGGCGGCGGTGCTGGCGGAGGGGCTGTTTGCGCCGGAAAGCTGGGCAAGAGCGTGAGGAGCCATTTAAAGGTATCTTTAGAATTTTGAAAAATGTTCAAATGAGGTTAAGGTGATTGGATGGGGGCACGTGATTTGGTGCGCGATTGCGCGTGCTGTAGGTCACGTGCGCAGCCTTCCCCCCGCTTAATCCCAAGATTCTGGCCCGAAGAGCTTCCCGAGGTCGGGTCTAATGCTGGCGTCATCAGTGGTACTACGCTGGTCTGACGCAAAATTTTGGTGCTTTTTATGATGTTTGTATATTTCGAGATCTGCAAAAGCCCTGGATTACATAAGAGCTGAGCCATCTGCGGTGTCAAAGTGGTAGTTTAAGACCCCGAAATCACATTGCACCCAAACCACCGCCAAATGTAACCTTGGCTGACCGAGTTGTCTCTAGCTCCGCTCGGCGCTGTAGACCCTCGTCCTGGCACCCTGGCCTGGTTATTTGTGCCAAGCGAAACCGCGTTGCACGAATTCGTTGAGTCTCACGCCAAAAAAAAATGTTCTAAATATACCTCCACCAACTCACAAAGTATTGTATTTGCACGGGAACCACTTTCCGGCCAAACCACTATCGCTTGATCCACAAACACATTTGTATCTTTGTCTATAGACCTATCAGTGTCCGCCACTCTGAAGCCAGCCCCAATGATCGAGCTTCTCGTGACGGTTCTACCGTCATTCTTGTGGCTTTTGTACCGATGCTTCAAGTTATTCCAGGTACCGGTGGACGAGATCATCTACGACCTTAACATCGACATTCCGCATTCCCCCATGGTGTGTGTGGACATGGTGGGGCCCACGTCCATCGTGATCCACTGGGACGTCGAATCACGGCAAGATGAGAACCTCTACTATATTCTCATGGTGAACAATCGAGAAACCGCCAGTATTGCCGCCACCAGCTGCAAATTCAATGACTTGGCTCCACGAACGTTGTACCAGGTGCAAGTGGTGGCGGTCAACACCATGACCAACTTTCGATCACTTTCCAACCCCATTTACATCCAAACTTCTTGTGAAGATGAGACCGCCAACCAAATCATGAAAGAAGTGTACACCAAAGGAGTACCGGTGATGGATAACAGCCCGGTGTTGGCTACCACAAACAACATGAACGACGAGATCATCCTGTCAATTGAAGACCCCCAGGTGTTGGCCGATTACCTCAAGTACTATCAGGTTCAGCTCATCAAGGTGCATCGAGAATTTAAGGTTTTAGAGGATGCCACCGAAGTCGAGTTCCAGAAGTTCCAACAACACCACCAGGAATTGCAGCAGTCCGTCCGTGACCAGGCATCGAATCTGAGCAAAAACCTTTCTGTGTTGAAGGAGAACCAGAAGCGTAAGGAAGAATTGATGATATCGAAGGCAAAACTCGTGTCGAAATTGGCAGAAACCCGCCGAACACAGGAGTCCAAGTCCAAGACTTTGAGCGAGTTGCAGACGAAGTTGGATACGCTTCGCCAGCAGTACCAGCACATTCAGCAGAATGGAGGTGCTCAACGAGCTCGTTTAGAACTGCAAATATCGGTGGTTGCATCTGAAGTCGAACACCTTCGAGGCAAGCAGTCTGAGCACGAATCGGAGCTTAAAAACGTCCGGCAACGGCGTAAAACCATTAATCGGGCCTACGATATGGTCAAGCGTATGCACGACGAATTCAATGACTCTTGTTTCAATAAGGATAATACCCTCAACCAAAAGGGAGTCGATCTTCTTACTCAGCTTTGTACCATTAAGCCTGAGTGGGCCCAGTCGATTCAACAGGCGTGGAAGGAGTTGAATGAGTTTGACAATGCGTTCAAAGAGGCTTTGAAAATTGAGCTTCGAAACTATATCACTCTCCATAATAACGTTGAGAATTTCCGGTCCAAGCTCGAGCCTGACTACTCTCCCTCCTGGCTATCTGAAGTGTCTGCCAGTCAAAAGTATGGCTGTCAGAACTACATTTCTGCTAAGCTCGGGAAGAAACGAATTCGGTCAAACTCCAAGCCCCAGGTTCAGGCTCGGACCCAGGCCCAGGCTCAGGTTCAGGCCCAGGCTCAGGCTCAGGCTCAGGCTCAGGCTCAGGCTCAGGCCCTGTCTCTCCAGCACCAGCCCTCTCAAAGTTCCCATGTCCCGGCCGCTAATATGGTAAATGGTGGTGGCCCGTCCTCGACCTCACCTCCCAATGGGTTGCACAACCCACCAGTTCTCAGTCCGGCGTTCGAAATGGCCCAGCTGCAAATCAACAACTACTTGAACGTCTACAACTACGAGGATCCCGAGCCCCCGGTGCTTGTTCAGCCCGTTGGCTCACCTCTCATGGCTTCGGTGTATGCCCCCAATTCCTTTCTTGGGGCTGCTACCAACTCTCCACCCATTAGCACCAGTACTCAGCAGTTATCACCATTTGTTGGCAGTTGGAATAATGTGGGGGTGTCTTCGCCCAGTCTAGAGGCCCAACAGCTTCATCAACTGCACTCACAACCATCTCAGATCCATCAACTGCTTGGAATACCCGATGTCAATGATAACTTTCTTGACCGGTTACACCATCCAAATCTAAGCAGCTCGAGTTTGGGCAATGGAAGCTTAGGTACCAATCACTTGAGCAGTTCACGGTTTTCTTCCCAGTTCTTTACTGGCAATTCCTTGAATCATACCAGAACCGTATCAGGCTCGAGTATCTGGGTCAATAACAACTTTGCTCACAGTAACCCTTCTACTTTTGAAACACCAGGAGATTTCCGGCCATTTGATTCGGGTTTGAGCCAGAACCACCTTTTCAACCCTATGTTCAACATTCCGGCCAGCCAACCAATCCAGCCAAGTGCATCCATGCCTATTGCAGTAGCTCAGAACGAGTTTAGTACACCTATGAGCCCCTCCAATAGGTCGCCCATACCCGACGTGGGGATGTTTCAGCAGTTTGGAAGTGGACTTGCGTACAATGGACTGTTGCAGCCACCGGTTGGGGACTTTTTAAGAAACAAAGAAGATGAAGAGAGAAGTCACTTGGAAGAGACGGCATGAGCTGCTGTAAAATTGTGGAAGTGGGTTTATAGGTGAATATAAGAGTTGTAGATTGAGTTGTAGAAAAGTAGTGAAGTAAGTACATTAATTTTTAAAAGAAAAGGCAAAGGCGAACAAAGGGTTTGACATTTATTATTTTCGCAGAATCTAGAAACTAAGCAACCAAGAGCCTAAGCAACTTAAAAGCACTTATAATTCAACACAATTCTACCATGCTGTAGTCCTGACCCACAATGTCCTGACCCATACAAGCATCATTGTTCTACTCCTGCTCAAAAGCTTTCCCTCCCAAAAACTTTCCCTCCCACCTTCCAGAAAGTCCCGCATCCGTTAGTTTTTCCGAAAGCCAAAAAGAAACTCTGAGCTGCGAATATTTCTGGTCTGCGCGGATACACACGGCTACTCGCAGCCATCTCCTAAATTAGTCATACCATCTTCATTTATTCATCATATACATTTGTTCACGATACTAATCATGACAGTCCTCGACACACCACAATATCCCACACACAATGAGTTCAGAAGTGACACGTTCACTGTGCCCACCCAGTCGATGCTCGACTCCGCCTACCACGCCACCTTTGGAGACTCGGTGTACAAAGAAGACCAAAGCACTTTGGACCTCGAATCCTACATGTGCCAACTCACCGGCAAAGAGGCCGCATTGTTCTGTGTCAGCGGAACCTTGTCCAACCAGGTTGGGTTGAGAGCCAACTTGTACCAGCCTCCATATTCGGTTCTCTGTGATTACAGATCACACGTCTATCTACACGAAGCCGGGGGATTGGCAACACTCTCACAGGCGATGGTGCACCCGGTTGTTCCCGCTAATGGAAACCACTTGACTTTGGACGACGTTCTCCGCAATTACACGCCAGACAACGCCGACATCCACGCGGCTCCCACGAAGGTGATTTCCCTCGAAAATACCCTCCACGGAATCGTGATGCCCATTGAGCATATCCGCCAGATCAGTCAGTTTGCCCGGGATAATGGCATTAAGCTTCACTTGGATGGGGCTCGTTTGTGGAACGCATCGGTAGAAACAGGTGTTTCAATTAAAGAATATTGCAGCTACTTCGACTCGGTTTCTTTGTGCTTGTCAAAGTCGTTGGCAGCTCCCATGGGGTCGATACTAGTGGGGCTGCGGGTGTTTGTGGAAAAGGCTAACCACTTTAAAAAGCAAAATGGAGGGGGAATACGGCAGGCGGGGATGATGACAGCCATGGCGCTCACGGCCATTAAGGAGAATATGCCCCGGCTTCATGTGGCCCACGAATACGCCCGGGATGTCGGTCGGTTCTGCACTGATCACGGCATTAAACTTGAGAGTCCGGTCGACACCAATTTCGTGTTTCTCGATATGGCTGCAAACAGAATGAGTCAAGACCGATTGATCGCAATTGGTCACAATCACAACATTAAAATTATGGGAAATCGGATATCCTTTACGTTCCAGAATAGCCAAGAAAGTGTGGATGTTCTAAAAGACGTGATTCTTGAGTGCTATAAAGAAGCTCAGGTCAATCCGTACTATGGGATCGCATCTAATAAGCAGTTGTATAATTACAAGCTGGTGTTAAGATCAGGGGAAGAAACAAAATAAAACTCTCTGGATGTAATTAGCTAGGTTGGTCCGGCTTCCAAGCCCATATTAATAGACAAACAAATCCCGCCTTTCACAGGCGTGTAGTAAAGATCCTCATGTCCGGTGCGGACAAGAGTGAAGAAGGCTTAAAGTAGATAGTGGTAATCATAGCCGTTTGCCGTGGAAAAACGGGCGAAATTAGTAGGGATAGATGCGGTCGGAAATGGGTGGAAAAAGTGGGATGATCCGGTCGGATGTAGGGTAAAGGGTTTGAGGGTCACCGAGGTGTTCCGAGGGTAGCACCAGAGCAATCCGGGGGAGACCATTCCGGGAAGGATACCTGAAGTTTAGTGCGGCCCTCGAGGCTTAGTGCGTACTCTTGCTCCCGGAATGGTGCCGGAAAGCCTGCGGATGGCTTTCTACTAAGCCCCTACCGACAGTCGTATTTGGCCTATTTAGGTGTCCATATTAGCCGGAGTAGCCACTCCGGACCCTCGGAAAAGGATCAGTTTATCGTTTAACCACCTGTCCGGATATCCTCATCCGACAAGACTTAGTTCCGGTCTTCTGGAAAAGCGGCAAGTAACTGCAAAACTATCACAAACTATAAAAACCCTCCACCGCCCCTTAACTTGCCTGTTTTTATATTCATTTATTACCTGTTTTCTAATATCATCATGTCTTACCATTCTAACAATTCAAGCTCTTTAGAGCTAGATGATGATAATCAACCTTTTGCCTATAAGACCGAAACAAACACAGATGCTCGCTCAGAGTTATCGCTAGATACAACTCCCACCAATAATCCCAATACCTTGACCAAAACTAGAACAGAAACATATCAATCGTTGTATGATAAAGGTATTGCCTCCAACATCCCGGATAAGGATCTCAATGCTCCTCCCGTGTCCAATCCCATTTTCCCAGAAGAATATCGGTTGGAAACAGAAACTGGTTTGGTTAAGGTGGAAACCTTACATTCGTTAGGTAGACGTCAGTCAATTATTTCTGAAAAGGAAGAAGACCATGAAGAGTACGACCCGGAAATCGAGTTTGTTACCTTCAAGGACCGCGACCCTGAAAACCCTCTTAACTGGAGCTTAAAGATAAGAACTCTCTACACACTTATCTTTTCGTTATTGGTGATTCAGGCCGCATATGGATCTTCGAGTTTGGCAGGTGGTTTGCCACTTATCGACGAGAAGTTTGGTGTTTCCACCGAAGTGTCAACGTTGGCAGTTTCGTTGATGGTTCTTGGTTTCTCGGTTGGTCCCTTACTTTGGGCCCCGTTATCTGAACAGTATGGAAGAAGACCAGTGTACTTTTTTTCATTCATGTTATATGTGATATTCAACATCCCCGTTGCTCTTGCTCCCAATATTGGTACCGTCTTGGTGTGCAGATTTTTGGAAGGGTGCTTTAGTTCTTCGGCCTTGACGATTGTGGGTGCTTCCATTTGTGATATCCACAATGAGACCAGAGGTTTGGCTATTGCTTTCTTTAGTTTCTGTCCCTATTCCGGTCCCGTACTTGGAGGTATTGTCAATGGGTTCATCAGCGTCTATTCGAGTAGATACGATTTGATGTGCTGGGTCAACATGGCATTTGCTGGTGTTATGTGGATTGCGGTGTCACTCGTTCCTGAAACCTATGCTCCCGTAATCTTGAAAAGAAGAGCCAAAAAGCTCAGAAAAGAAACCGGAAATGAAAAGATCATGACTGAGCAGGAAGCAAGACCAATGTCGTTTAACGAATTGTTGAACGAGGTATTTTACCGTCCCATGAAGTTTGTGATTCAAGAACCCGTATTGGTTTTGGTGTGTGCATTCATAGCCTTGATTTATGCCTTGTTGTATGCATTTTTCTTTGCCTACCCAGTTATTTTTGGTAAGTTATATGGATTCAATGACGCCAAGGTGGGATTGATGTATATCCCCATTTTGATTGGAGCTTTCCTTGCTTTGCTTGTAACTCCATTATTGGAAAAATCTTACAATAAAATGATAAGGAGAAGAAAGCCAGAGCCAGAAGATAGATTGGTGGGTGCCATGATTGGTGCACCATTCCCCGCCATCTCGTTATTCATCTTGGGTGCCACGTCGTACAAGCATATAATCTGGGTAGGTCCAGCATCTTCTGGTATTGCCTTTGGGTTCGGTATGGTGTTACTTTACTACTCATTGAACAACTATATTTTGGATACTTACCATAAATTTGCTGCTAGTGCCTTGGGTACCAAGGTGTTTCTTAGATCATCTGGTGGTGCTGCCTTTCCCTTGTTTGTTACCCAGATGTATAACAAGTTGGGTTTACAATGGGCAAGTTGGTTATTGGCATTCGTTTCCTTGGGTATGATGTTAATTCCTTTTGCCTTTTACAGATACGGTAGAGGCTTAAGAGCTAAAATGTGTAAAGAAGACTATTCTGCCAATCTTCAAATGGTTGTCGACTGATTTACCTTAGACCGTTATGTCTGCATGAAAAACTAATGATTTTATAGAGTTATTTAACAATTTAATTTATTTGCATGAACAAGTTATTGGGTTTGATGATATTGGTCAAATGAATTGGCGTTGATTTCATCAACTGAAGAAGGATGGTGTTTAGTATCCTTGAGCAATTCGGTGATTTTACTCAAATCAACTCCGGCAACCGATTCCATAAACTTACCAATCTCGATGTTCTCGTGATTACCCAAAAGACCGACATTTTCTGCCGATTGATACAATTGAGTCTTGATAGATCCAAAGTTGGAAACTGCCCCATAGATGTTGACATCAACGGCTGAATGGCCGTGGGTAGTCCATCCAGTTTGAGACCGTAATGAGATCATGTTGTTCAAAACGTAGAGTAACTGACCCGGAGTACTGAGATTCTCCTTAACATCCTTTACCTCTTGGGCAGTAGCGTCTTGAATTCCCATATCATTCTGGAAAATCTCTTTGGTGATGAAGTCTTCAACAACTTTAGCATCGCTGTTTGACCGGGTGAAACTAACAATCTTGGATGTCAAAAACTCACCCGAATGTGAACAATTCAAGAGCACTTCGGGATACCAAATGTAATCTGGATACGAAGGAGATACTTGTCTGGAGGTGACAAGCCCACCGGTCTCATGGTCAGAGGTGGACACAGCCACAGTTTCAACGTCCGAGTCTTCGATGAACTTCAATACTTCCTTGTACGCTTCGTCATAAGCTAAAACTTCTCTCACCTGAGCCAGAGGATCGTTGTGATGACCAGCATGATCAATACGAGAGCCTTCAATCAACAAAAAGAACCCCTTGTCAGAGTCTTCGGTGGCCTTGGACAAGGCTGTTAACGCCACCTTGACTTGTTCGGCCAAGGAAGGATATTGTTTAGGGTTTCTGTCAATGTCGTAAGGAATATCAGAAGTAGCCAATAAGCCCAACAACGGCAAAGTAACATTTTTCCCGCCGTCCAACTCGTCAAACTGTTGCCGGTTTCCCACGTACGACCAAATGTCGTTTTCAGTGTACTCCTTGATCAAGTTTCTCGAGTCAGCACGGCATCCTCCGTCCACAGACGCTGGTAAAAAGTGGCATCTGCCACCTCCAATAATCAAATCCACCATTCTTCCCAATGGATATTCGCCCAATTGTTGTTCGGCGATCAAGTCTTCTTGGAAACGATAGTCCACATGAGAACTAAAGGCGGCAGGTGTGGCATCGGTAATTCTGGTGGTGACCACCAATCCTGTCAAATACCCTTGTAATTTCAACGCCTCTAAAATGGTTCCACAGGGATTTTTGCTGGGGTCGACGCCGATGGCCCCGTTGTACGACTTGAGTCCACAGGAGAAAGCAGTGGCGCCAGCGGCTGAGTCTGTGACCAATGACGAACTAGAGCGAGTTCTGGACGACCCTATCAAATGTCTGTCCAAAGCCAAAATATCGTTGATGGGCAAGTCGTCTCTGAACTGCTTGAAAGACCGGGCCAAAGAGAGCGACGCAGGGCCCATTCCATCGGTCACCATGAATATGATGTTCTTCTTATTGGGAGCTGGCTTATGGCTCGAGCTTCCTGAGTACACCAACGCCGAAACAACCAAAATGGCCACCGCTACCGCCTTGAGGACAGCATACACGGTCTTCCTCCGGTGGGTTGTATTATATACGGAAGGAGCTTCTTCTCCGAGCAAGGGTTTAGTGTCAAACATGCAGACAAGATAAGATAATTGACTCTTTGAGCCGCGACTGAAACCTTCGATATCGGTGGTACGGACACGCCAGTGTTGCTTGAGTTTATCACTTATACTGATTATGACCGTGTGCCTACAGTTTCGGTAGGCGAGGTACAATTTGTATAAGGAACCTCAACTTGGGTCTGACGTGACTGTGAAAATTGGTTTACATTATACAAGAGGAGGACTTACTTTTTGAGCTGGTGCAAGGCCATTACGATCCGATCCATTTTCTAGTAAATATGGCAAACGTAAGCTAGCTATTCCGGAGGCTACACAATGCTGGTAAATTAAACTCATAGTGTGAAGCACACAAGTAATCCGCGCTAATGCTGTGAAAACGCGTATTAGTAAGCTCTTTGCAGTTCCCACCAAAAGTACGTCAGACCTGGGTGCATGGGTCAGAACTCATGCACATTAGTAAGCCACCACGTACCCCACCAGTTGGTGCTGGGACTATTTAAACTGGCCGAATCCCCGGACTTGTCGCACCCTTGCAATGTCTTTCACCTACTTAGTTGTCGGTGCATCCCGAGGAATAGGATATGCCTATGTTAAAGTTTTAAGTGCAGTCCCCACTAATTTGGTGATTGCTACTGCTAGAGACCACCAGTCTGCCAAAAAATTGGAATCTTTGGGGTCAAATGTGAAAACCATCTTGATCGACATGCAGGATCCATATGCTAAATTTGAAGCTGCTTTCAAAGTTCTCGACACCTTGGCTCCCAACGGGGTAGACGTGTTTATACACAATGCAGGTATATCCAGCTCTGATGCCAGCAAATCCTCATTAGAATTCGATGCCGACCAGTATCAAAAGATCCTTGACGTCAATGTTGGAGGTCCTGCTAAGGCCTATAAGGCGGCGTACCCATACATTTTCAAGGGCAAAGGCACCAAGAAAATTGCCTTTGTTTCTTCCACCGTGGGCCAAGTGGGCTGGGAGGTTTCTCCAGGAGGAGGGCAGGGATTTAACGCCTACGGTGCTTCCAAGGCCGCCCTCAACCACTTGGGAGTTCAAATTGCAAAAGAAAATGCCGGTTCCGATGTCGACTTGGTAAAGCATTCGGTCACCGTTTTGTTGTGTCCTGGATTGGTTGCCACAGATATGGCGAAGGGGTTTGAAGGCGCGATGCCTCCAGAGGTTTCGGTGGCTGCAAGTTTGGCGGTCATCAGCAAAACAACTGCTGCAGACTCTGGTAAGTTCTACGGCCACAGTGGAGAATCCCAACCGTACAGTATATTTTAGGCAAGCAGGATTTGAGTCTTACATAGTCTTCTGGGTCACATGCACCGGAGAAGCACAATATATGCTGAAAGTCGATTTTGTAGACCCTAAATGCGGGTGTATGGGTCAAACCCACACACCCCGAAAGCAGATATTGTAAACCTGAAATGGGGTCAGAGCTACAATACTGGACATGTACATGTAGCCACTCCCTAAAACTCACCGATCTCAACGCCGCCATGGCTACGACGAAGAAGAAGTTTGCCTATCGATACGTCCATCGTCGCAAGTCCCACAAGTTTCAGAATGGTGATATTGGACCTGCTAGTTACACGGACGCTACCACCGGAGCCCTGCGAGCAGAGCTCAGCGATATCAATCAAGTTTTCAGCAGTACGCTTGCTTTGCACCAACTCGCCAGACTCATGTAAACAGTGTTCTTTGGAATCGACTATGATCCGTGTGCCATCGTTGAACTCGCTGTGAATCACCTCCAGGTCCAACTCAAGCATGTGTGGTTTGTACGAGCCAATCAAGTTTATGTACTTGGGTACGTTTTTGTCGGGGTTGAGGAAGCTCTTCTTGATAACTGCTTCTGTGGACGGGAGACATCCCAAAATGATACTGCTGTGGTAAACAGCCCGATGAACATCTTCGGCCTGAGACTCATCCGCGTACAGCAACACCGTGAACAGTTTGTTCGGGAACTCTTTTGCAAGTGTTTGTTGAAGCACCTCAGCATTGTGTAAGGATTTGTTGATGAGATTTATTGTTTGAATTTTATCACCATAGAGAATGACCGTCAACTTGGCATGCCAATACGCCTGGAGTCCGGACCCGAACACCGACACCTGAGGTAAAATCTCACACTCGAATGGGTCCAATACCCTGACCATTGGTATACTACTGGCCAAAGCCGTGCGAAATGCTGTGAGAGTTTTACCATTTAAAACCCCCAACAATGACCCGTCATGCTCGTCCAACACTAGAACACATCCCACGAACCCCAATCCTTTCTTGGAGTTTGTGGGGCCTCCTGTAATGACTTTGAGACCCACTTCCGACGGTGCTACGCTAGGCATGAATAAATGAGTTGAATCAGAGCTGCGAGTTGTAGAGGCTTGCACGATTCGGCCGGGCAACGACTCTGGAGTTTGCGAGAGTTTCCGTAATGATTCAAGCAAATGCGGTTGGTATACCTTTAGGAGAGTGTCTCTGGTGACGTCTTCCAATACTTTTGAAACATCTTTATCTGATAAGATCTTCATGGGTTTTGTAAATTTTCAAGCGTCCCGCGCATTTATTAACTACTTCAAAAAACTACTCAAAAGCACCAACTTATCGTCCCAGTTATTTTCATGAATATCGTCGGAAGCCTCAAATTTGGTGATAATCTTCTTAATTTCGTTCAATTCCAGCACAAGCTCACTGACGTCTTCTCCTTTGGCGAATGGTACAATCTTGTGCACCAATAACTTTTCGAGAGAGTCAATCACCATGTAGTAGGTGGCTCGAGTTTCGATGGACGTATCCTCGAGTTCCCCGAAACTGTAGAACTTGTAGTTGATACTTATTTTCTTCAACACGTTCAAAAGATCTGAGTACTTATTCTTCTGCAACTGAGAGTTGATCAATCGGTTTACAGACTCTTGGCTGCAAATCTTGAAAAACAATTGCTGGAGGCGATTCATGGATTTGTGCACCTTCAAGATTTCCGTTGAAATAGGGAGACTCTTGAGCTTAGAAGACTCCCAGATCGTGAAAGAATGGTACAAATCGTTCAATTCGTGAATGAAATATGATTCGTCCTTGTGTTTGTTCATGTGCAGAACGTACTCGAAATAATACTTCCAGATCGTTCTCTCGTAGAACTGAGGAAGTTCCTTCAGCCTCATCGAAGGAAGGTAGTCGTGATCAAAGCTTTGTTCTAAATTCTTTACAATGTGAAGCGGTTTGTGCATCGTTTGAAACTTTCTTAATAACGTCACCCTCAATTTTGTATAGTCCAACGCAGGCCAGTTGAGCATGGAGTCTTCTGGATGCTTCAAATCAAACGGTAACAAGCTCAAGTTGCGTAAATTCTTGTTTAGCACAATGGTTGTGAGTTTGCTCAAATTCAACTTATCTTGTAAATAGAGAAACTTGAATATGTAGACGAGTTGTTCCTGGTCCCTTATTTCCCCTATGATCTGTCTGAACTCCAGGTCGGTTGACTTCAAGATCTTATTATTCAAATCTAACATGTCACGGGGCAATGAGACAACATCAAGAAAGTTCACCAAGCGGCCCGTACTAAAATCTGTTCGGACTTTGAAGGCATCGACGTCTTGGGGTTCTCTGGTTATTTTTGTCTGATATTGCTCTGAAACCGGTCCATAGGCAACAGAAGACAATATTGATGGCTTGTAATTAGACGTATTTTTAGGAGCTTGTTTGGGGGCAAATAGGTTCAATGCTTCATCAATAATCGATCTATCGTTTTGAGGACGGTTGTGTGATTGTCTATACTGTGTTATTATGCTTCGAATTAGCTTTATATTAAAGGTTAGCCGTGTTTTCATTGTAACTGTTACCAATTTAAGGGATATTGAACTTGCGTAATCTCGTGCGCATTATTTTGGGCCTATAAAGTGTTTGTGAAATACTTCCATATATCAATGGACTTTTCTACATTTTCAGGAAGCATGAGATAATTGAACTTTAAGGAGTGTTGGTGATTCAAGCTGATCAAGTTTCCTTTAAAGAATACCGAGAGTATCGATGTCCTGAAATTTTTGAGTCGTTTGAATAAGGCTGCAAAATTCTTAAAGATCTCTGAATATGTTAATGATTTGTTAGATAGTTCCAAGTAGCTACAATTTGGGAGTTTCTTGTCCAAAATTTGGAATTTCAATCCTCCCTGGAGTCTACTGGAATTTTTGAACTTGAGCAAGATCACAAAGATTGGTACAAAGTTGATTATAATGAGGAGGTTCTCAAAGAAATTAAGTACCAAGATATTAGACAATCGGATCATGAAAAAGGTCAAGTAAAATGCAAAAATTGTAGGAAGTAATAGTACTAATATCATGAAAAGCAATGTTCCTAGAAGAAGCTGATCAACTTCTAAGAACTCGTTAGGTTGAGAATAATTGTCTAGGTGATCCACTCTGTTTCTCAATACATTATACTTCTTTCCTCGGAATAACTGGAACAACGACTTGAGGATTTCAACTTGCTTCTGGTAGATTCTTGCTGACGTATGATAAAACCATACAATGTGGATGGTTGTTAGGTTGAGGATATCAAGAATAAACGCAAGTAAAAACGTGACTCCAAGGTGACATAAAACATTGGTTAATGTCACCGAGAAGCGTTTATTGGTTTCCGAAAGAATGGTTTCTTGAATTATTACTTTCCATGAATTAAGACTCCATAAAAACAATGATCCCATAAAGCTCCCTAGCTCGTTATTGAGTTTGAACCCGGCCGGATGGTTGTACGAAATCCATGTAATCAATTTATGGAAATCGGAAAATAAGACCCTCTCAAAGACATACTCATTCAAAAATACCGAGATAGGGTTGCCATAGTTAACCAATACATTCCATGTAGTGGCACCTAGCAATACATCGTTGACAATAAGCCAAACCGAGTTGTAAAGGTTTATGTAGTTGGAATTATTGATGTTCAAATTGAAATTAAAATCAGGAAGACCCAACTCCTTCAACAACACCAACTTGTCCTTGTACAAGATGCTTTTATCATAATAACATAAGAACTGGATCGGAAAATAGGTTATTTGTTTTAGGCGCAAATCTAGCTGCCGAAACACCTGACTCACATCCACCAAACTGACACCAAATAAAGGTGCATTGATGGTTCTCATCAAGAAAACCGTACACATTTGGATAGTGAGCACCAACCATGAAACCAACGTAAACAACAATGAAAATATCCATCGCCATAACTTGGGAAAAATCTCCATCCCGAAAGACGTTCTTTCCAGAAGAACGCTCATTTCTTTGAGTAGAGACTCCAATTGGAATCGAAGCTTTAACACGCCATTAATCTTATCCAAAGTATCTTGATCTGAAATTGTCGAGCAAGTAGACGGGGATTTGTAGCTATTGGTAAAACATCCATTCAAATCTACCGTCTCAGAGTTGACTTCGTTGGTCCCCATTGACTGGAGCAGAATGGGTCGTAAAGAGAAGTATTCAAGGTTTCTGTAATTTGGAGGCTTAAACATAATCACAGAAAAAGTGTCATCATCGTCGTTCGACTCCAACACAGGGAGACCATAGTCTCCGTACGTAATGTTAAAGATTCCTCGTGAAATAGTCGATCCAACAATCTCTATATGCTTGAAATCCTCCGTTTCCCGTAGCTCATCGATTCCGTTTGCAAACTGTAAAGGAATAAATTTCAAGCAAACCACGGCCCGGTCGTATCTGAACCCGAGCAATACAAGATCTGTGTTTCTATGCTTCAATTCTTTCACCAAATCCTTCGGGAAGAATACATGATAATTCATTACTGGAATTGAGTAAAACTATCTCTCCGTAAGTACTGGGAACTGTTATTCAAATTCTGGTAGAAGTCCCGGCGGTGTCGTAATGGCGAGAGGTGGCCTATCTGAGCTTCTTCTGGGTCTGAATCAGGGTCTATGGCTGATTCCTTCGTTTGTGGATCGGATTGAGCTATGTGGTATCGCTCAGTGACAGCAAAGCGTATAGTAAAATGGATGAGACAAAAAGCAAATGAAACACTTGAAAGTACAATAACCAATCTGATGTATACAAGATTCAATACCAGTACAGGAACAGAAGCAGGGTCGAGGTCTTGAAGGTTATTTGATTGCAAACTCCACTTAAAGCTCATTCAGTGGTGTTAAATCAGAGTGAAAAGTCAGTCGCGGTTGGATAAAATTAAGACATACACAATGAATTGAATTAGAGGGATTGAACTAAGTATTTTCAAACGTTTCCAGAAAAAGAGCTATTTTTCTTAAGGGTGTTGCTCATGGGGTTAGCAAGTTTCTGAGGGCTGCCTTCTGAATCTGCTCGAGAACCCGAATCAGCGCTCTGGAAATAATCAGAAGAGGCGCCTGCAGCAGGAATAGTCACATTGACAGAACTTATAGACCCACTTCGGGAGTGGGCAACTGAATTACTTCTAGACCGACTGAACGAGCTGGTCCGGGTTAGCACCTCGGCCGAAGAAGTACCACTCAAGTTCAAAAGCCTCTTCACTATGAACATAAAGCCCACCAACATCAAAAGACACGCGGCCATGATTTGAAACAAGATTCCGGGATTATTCCAATCGGTGATGGAATAGTTATAGATGGTGAGCATCAAGACGGGCACGGTGATGTTACAAATGTTCTTTACCAAGTATATGGCAGAGAAGAGTGCCCCGGTTTGAGAGTCTGGGTAATATTTGACAATAGCTGAGTTTAAGGAAGGACTTGCCAACGCTGAGAAACTCGAAAGTCCAAGTACACCAAGAAATACTGGCGTAGTATTGATGAACGGATACCAGAACAATGTCAACGCATCAACCAGTAATCCAACTGTAATGTTAACAAAATCAAGCATGTCTAATTGACGTTTCATCACTTTGAAATGGAACACCTTGTGGTAAACGAAATGGTTCAAGAATGGAGCCAAGATTATCAACGTGAAGGCCTTGGCCGCAAACGTGATCGAAAGAACATAACCAAGCGTGCCTGCGCTCCAGCTGAACTTCAAAATCCCGTATAACATAAACACCTGCCCCGACCCTGTGCTCATACAAGTCAAGCAACAATCACAAGTGGTTAGAAGAATCACTGCCATTCTTTCCCGGTAAAATCTACCATCGGTGTAGTTCACAGGCTTGAATTCTTCTGGAATCCAAAGAAGCTTTAAAGGACTAAAGTAGGTGGTGATTGAGCCCACAACTTTAGAAGTAATGGTGTGCAAACTAAGTGGTTTTTGGTCCTCTGCGCCAACAGTGGTTCGGCTGATTACTGAAAGGCTTCTGGACCTTCTCCTCGACTTTTCTGGTCTTGACTCCGGTAACATAAAGATAGCAAGCACCAGACAAACGGCAAACGCAACCAATTCCAACCTCAACGGATCCCACTCATAGGGTTCGACTGCATTGATGGTTGCATCGGCCACTATGACCTGTGGTCTGGCGGCTCTAAACTTCTTTGTAAACTCCATCAAGAACGAAGAGCTCACAGGACCCAAGGAAACCCCCGCATAGAAAAAGGAGATTCCCACTCCAAAGAAATAACTCCGCTCATGGTAGTCTGCGATATCCGCAATATAGCAGTTGACCAAGTTCATAAACGTCATCATACCTCCAGTAATACTAGCAAGAGCCTCCAGAAAAACCAACCATTTGAACATCAAGTGGTCATATCTTGACAACAAGTAGTACTTTAAGGCTCTTGTTAAAAAGATATCGAGTACCACTGCAACCATAAAGTATTTACGCCCGTATTGGTCTGATAACGACCCTACCTTGGTCATCACCAACAAAGCGATAACACTAGCAGCCACTCCAAAACACGCCTTCATATGAGATACCATCACTTCGGCCTGTGCAGCGTCACACAGTCCGCTTCCACTTTCTTGTAGTAAACTGTTACAGGCCAATTTGAAATAAATCAATTGTCGAGTGCTCTCCGCCGTCAAATCTGCAAAGGCAAACACAAACACATTGATTCCCAAGATGAATAACGATGGCCTTTTCAACCAATGCAACGTCTTGTTCAACGTACGTTGTTCACGAAGCCAGATCGCATCTTCGTCGAGCTCTTCATCGTCCAAAAGGTTGTCGTCAGCAATAGCATCATAAATATCATTGAAAGTGTGCTCCAAATCGGCTTCTGAATTGACCGTTACATCTCTGAATTTGACAGAGGGACGCCTCTTGTCAAGCAACGGATGCTGCTCGGAACGGGACATAGAGCTTACGAGAACCAATTGCTGGGTGGGTCAAGTGGTCAAGCTTTTGCAGAATTGTTTGTAATGCTTGGGTGGTACGGCAACAGTTATCAGTGCGTAAAAACAAATCCCACAGCACGCGCACGACTTTTGATACATAAGCCACATCCCTGAACCGCCAAAGGGGGGTCGTACTACCGTACAACCGTACGGCCGTGCTTGGGTGTGGAGCCGTTGTTAGAATTGTCGCGTGATTTGGGCGGTGCATCTGACTGGCACCACAACTGTGTGTGATATCTGCTTCCAGTGGGTGTAAGGGCCAGCACTGTGCGATGCACCGCTTGGGGGTCGAGTATGGGCCCTGGGGGAGTTTTGCAGCATATTGTCCATTTAAGTGTGAAGGAAGTCTTACATGTCCCCTTCTCACTTTCCAAGACGGGGTTCCGGTGGGATTATTAACGAATAGTCAGAATCAGTGGTTTCAAGCATATAAAATTGGTGGTGGTTAGTTTATTTGAATTCCTGCCTGCAACTGATTTAAGTGTGAACCCAGTTGGGCAATTCCAACCTAGTTGCTTTTGCTTTGTATTTGGCAATAAATTGGTCAGAATGATATGCCTTTGCACGCCCATTTTGCCATATCAGTTTGCGTTTCAGAAATCTTCTATTCTCCTCGAGTCTAGACTATCCAAACCTTGCCTTTAAGTCTTTTACCTGGTTAAACTTGCCAGTCGAGAACCAGAATCTCTTGTGTCTATCGGGGCACTGGCCTAGCCAAGACAAGTCTCAAAGCACTTAATGATAGATGGAGGTGGAGATATGTAAGTGAATGTGCTTAGTGAGCAGATCTTGTGAAGAATGCAGCTGCCCTACAGACGAATGGCAGAGAGGTTCCCATCCACACATCATTAATATGCATAACACAGACATTAGGTCATGAAACCAATTACTTTTTGGTATCATCACATCTGCAAAAGTTGCACCCAGAACGCAGAAACGCTTGGCGTATACAATTCCTTATTTGGGATTCATCATAGCACACCCGCCATACACTTCGTAAATGGAAGCACCCAAGTGTTACCGGGTATTTTTCACGAAACAATAGTTTTTCTAGGTAAATGCAGGGTTCTGCAAGAATATGCCGAGGAAGCAATCAATTGTGTTTGTGTTTTAGAGCTAATACGCCAAAAGGGTCCTTTGAAACTGCATCGCCTCTAAAAAAGGCGGTCCATTGCAGTAGAATTTATAAATAGGGAAACTGGCCCTGTCGAATTCAAAAAAACCCACCATGAACTGTTCCCACAAAAGGTCCAATTCGGTTGACCACACCTATCGGAGCTCTATCACCAGTAACCTTAGCTTGGGCCACAGAACCGGTAGCAGCTCGGTCACTCCTCCCGAGAGTCCTACATTCAACTGTAAAACCACGCCCATGAAGCAGGCGTACTTTCCGCTTGAAATTGATTTGGACGAAGTGACCAAACACTCCCAGAAACTTGAGGCTCGCTTGGCGCAGCAGCTGGCTGGTAAGCTGGACTTGTACTGGAAGCCGGATACCGTGCATATGAACCTTAGTGAGATAGCACCGTGGCACTCCAAGGGTGTCCAGAACAAAGATGGACTACACCTCAATCGCACAGTATCACCAACCACTCGTTTGCAAAGTGGCATTGAGGAGCGTCCGGAACGCTTCCAGTTGCCCCAGCTAAGCGAAACGTTGATCCAGAAATATCAAACTCAAGACCTCAAGCAGACCAAACTGCTGCGGTTCTTACGTCGACTTAGTAAGAAGCTTGAAAATATGATATGACTAGAGAGTGGAATTATATTTATATTGCCAATACACCACAGGCTGGACCTGTGAACCTATAATTGGGCCTCTAAAGCTTCTAACTGGGCAAGGACTGCGGACTTTGCCGTTCCTCCTATAGCATCTCTTCTTTCTACACTAACTTCGAAGTCAAACACCTCCTTAACGTCTGCTTCAAATCTGGAGTCAATCTCCTTGAACTGGGCAGTTGAAAGCTTATCGATTCCAGAGAGCTTTAATTCCTCAGCCGTTCTAACACAATCACCTGAGATGTGGTGGGTTTCTCTGAATGGTACCCCTTTTCTTACCAAGTAGTCAGCCAAATCGGTGGCCAACATGTCCATGGTCAAAGCACCTTCCATTCTTTGTTTGTTGATGGTCAAGGTAGAAATTACCCCGGTAGCAATCAAAATCGAGTGTTCGACGGTGGTTAAAGCATCAAATAATGGTTCCTTGTCTTCTTGCATATCCTTGTTATAAGTGGAGGGAATAGACTTAGTAGACATAAGGAACCCCGAAAGCGAACCAAAAACTCTACCACTCTTTCCTCTCAATAATTCTAACGAGTCAGGGTTCTTCTTCTGAGGCATCAATGAAGAACCAGTCGAATAGGCATCTGATAACTTGATAAACCCAAATTCAGCAGTGGAGTAGATGATCAAATCCTCCGAGAATCTGGAGATGTGGTTCATGAAGAGAGTGGACCAGAAAAGCGTTTCAATAACAAAATCACGGTCACTCACAGCTGTTAAAGAGTTACCAATGACAGAATCAAACCCAAGGCCCTTGGCAAGGAATTCTCTATCGATTCCATATGGATGGCCTGCGAGCGCACCAGCCCCTAAAGGAGACTGGTTGACTCTGACCAAAATTTGCTTCAATCTCTTGTAATCTTCAGTGAAATAAGTAGCATAACACGACAACCAGTGGGACCATCTGATTGGCTGGGCCCTTTGCAAATGGGTGTACCCTGGCATCAAAACGTCGATTTCCTGCCGAGCTCTCTTGGTAAGAACACCAATGAACCCAGATAAAAACTCCAACAACTTCTCCAAGTTCTCACGAACAAAGATCCGCATATCAGTGGCTACCTGATCGTTTCTTGATCTTCCTGTGTGCACTTTTCCAGCAATATGTTTCCCAATTATTTCCCCTAATCGTCTTTCATTGGCAGTGTGAATATCTTCATCACCGGCCTTTTCCTCAAAGGTATTGGTTTGCCATTCATTTCTGATTTCCTCAATCCCTTTGTGGATGGCGGTTAATTCGTCACTGGTTATCAATCCAAGCTTCTGCAATCCTTCAGTATAAACCTTGGTTCCAGTTAAATCTGCATCATACATTTTCTGGTCGTATGGTAAGGAGGCATTGTACAAGTCCATCAAGGGGTCCGAGGCTCCGGTGAATCTTCCACCCCATAATCTGTTCTCTGTTGGTTTTGACATATTGTTTTTTGTGGATTAAGTCCAAATGTTGAGTTTATGTAAATTTTTCAGATAACCCGATGATTCAACACCGCGCTTGGCCAAATTTTTCATTACCCAATTGGGTCGTGACTCATACAGGTTTGGATATACATCTATTAAATCACATACTATAAATTATGGCTTACATCTTCCTGTGAATCTTGGGTATAAGGAACAATCTCTGACTGTGAATCTGTCACACAACCATGCTAAGATTCTTTCGGTTCCCAACCCGTATCCACCGTGAGGGCAAGTACCATACTTTCTTTGATCAGTGAACCAGTAGTAGGAATCTTTATCGAGATTTTCTCTTTCCAACGCAGCCATCAACTCATCGTAGTCATAGATTCTCATGGAACCCCCGGTGATTTCACCGACGTTTGGCATCAACACATCGACCGACTCGGTGACTCTGGGGTCGTCTTTACATCTTTGCATGTAGAAGGATTTAATTTCAGCTGGGAAACGGGTCAACAAGATTGGGACACCAAGGGTGTCAGTCATCTTACGTTCTGCGGCCTCAGCAATGTCATCCCCGAACTTGAACGGTTCGCCTTCTTCGTTAGGAATGTTGTGCTCGTTCAACCAGTCCAAAGCGTGAATGTATTCCATTCTCTTGAATGGCATTGTTGGAGGAACAAAGTTAGGGTTCAATTGCTTGATCAAGGGACCTGCAACTGGATCTTCAAGCACATATTGTACCGACTTGGTCAAAAGACGCTCCAAGTGTGATAATAAGTCGTCGAAGTCTATGAATGCCAATTCGGATTCGACATGGGTATATTCACTCAAATGTCTCCTGGTGTGAGACTTTTCAGCTCTGAACGATTCTTGAACACAATAAACGTCTCCTAAAGCGGCCAAACAAGTCTCCAAGTACAACTGAGATGACTGGGTCAAGTAAGCTTCTTCGCCGTAGTAGCCCATTTTGAATAAAGTAGAACCTCCTTCAACCTGGTTTTGCACCATACATGGAGGAGTGACTTCAGTCAAACCTTCTTCAGCGAAGAACCTTCTGAATGCAGTCAACAACACGGCCCTGACCTTCATAACGGCAGAAAGAGTTTCACCTCTCAAGGTCAAATGACGTTGGTCCAACAACAAGGAAGGGTCGGCATTTTCTTGAACCTTGTTCAAGAACGCATCGTCTCCAGCTGGTGCTAAACCAATCACTTCGTAGTAATCGGTTTGCAATTCAACACCTCCAGGAGCAGACTTACCTTCTGGTAACTTCTTGACCACACCCTTGATGGTGAGGGTGGATTCCAAGGTTAATTCCTTTGTCACCTTGGCTTTGGCTAAATCACCGGTTAAAACACATTGAATGAATCCAGTACCATCTCTCAAGGTGACAAAAGCAAAGCCCTTTTGAAGTCTCAAACGGTGTACCCAACCTTGAATAGAAACTCTAGCGTTGATGTTTTCTTGTATGTGTCTAAGTTTGATCTTTTTGGCAGTAGGTAAGGATTCATCTTCTTCAATGGTAATCAACTCCACTTCAGCCAATTTCTTGGCTTGTTCATCAGTTTTAGCCTTCTGTTCTTCTTGTGCCTTCAACTGCTTTTCTTGTTTCTTCTTCAAACCTTCGGCTCCTTTTTTAGCCTTCTTTAAAGCAGAAGCAGATATCTCTGAGTACGCGAACTCGTCTGACTCTTCAACCTGTTTGTGCACAAACACCTTTGCTTCTGGCTTCACAAAGAGGGCAAATGCTGGAGTTTGAAAAGGCTGATCTTCCGAGCCTGTTATTTCAACGGCGTCTTTTCCTGTTTTTTCGTTAACGTAAACAGACATTGGTAAGGTTAGTTTTAAAATCTTTCAACGATTACATGAGTCAAAAAGTCGCACACCACCAGGAACATCAAGGTGCTAGATTTTACGCAGGGTACGGGTAATTGTGAGCGCAGTCTCTTTAATATTATTGTATTTCGGGGTCACTGAAGCAGCTAAATTATTCAAAAAAAAAAGAGTATAGTCCTCACTACCAGAAGGAATTGACTAGAGAGTTTTTGCCCCCAAATATACCCTCCCAATTTCCCATATTCTCCATGGATCATCTTCCCAGCCAAAGCTGCGAAATCGATTTTTATCTTCGCACTTTTCAAAGAAAATCTGTTCAATCTCCAAATACTTATTCCTCTTATAAATGGCATTAGAACAATCCTTAGCGGCTTTATCATTGGCCACCGTATCCAGTGAGTCGGCCACTCCCACGAAGACTTTAGTTTTCAAACCAAAGACCGCAAAGACTGCCACCCCTGTTCCTGTGATAGTGTTTGCTCTTCAATCAACTCAAACTCCTTCCAATGTGATTGCCAAAGCTGCTGGAGTTAAGGAACCAAGATTGGCCAAAGAAGACTTGATCCAAGAGTTCTTTGCTACGTCTCCAAAGGAATTTTCCATTGCTAATTTGAACAAAGATTCAGCTGCAAAGGTCAAGTTTGTGATCGATGAGAGCATCGTTAAGGCACCTGAGGACACCGTTTTGGAGTTGTCTACTGAGAGCTCCAAAGCTTCTTTACCAGCTAAAATTGTTGTGTCATTCTTGGAATCCATTGGCGTTGATTTGATTGCTGTCGACTTTTCAGCTGATGAATTGACTGAAGTAGCTCCAAAGAAGGAAGTCAAGAAGAAGGATAAGGATGCTGCTAAAATCGAAGATGCCAAGTTGATTGGTATTAACGTGGACAAGGCCAAGGACTTTTCTACCTGGTATTCGCAAGTTGTCACTAAGGGTGAAATGTTGGATTACTATGATGTTTCCGGATGTTACATTTTGAGACCAAACTCCTACTTTGTCTGGGAAACCATTCAAGACTGGTTCAACATTCGCATCAAGAAAATGGGGGTGAAGAACTCGTACTTCCCAATGTTTGTTTCTTCTAGAGTTTTGGAAAAGGAAAAAGACCATATTGAAGGGTTCGCTCCAGAAGTTGCTTGGGTTACTCGTGCTGGTAGTTCCGAATTGGAAGAACACATTGCCATTAGACCTACTTCTGAAACCGTTATGTACCCATACTACAGCAAGTGGGTTAGATCTCACAGAGACTTGCCTTTGAAGTTGAATCAATGGAACTCTGTGGTCAGATGGGAATTCAAGCATCCTCAACCATTTTTGAGAACCCGTGAATTCTTATGGCAAGAAGGACACACTGCCCATTTGACCCGGGCTGAAGCCACTGAAGAAGTTGATCAAATCTTAGACTTGTACGCGGGAATCTACGAAGAATTGTTGGCGGTTCCAGTGATCAAAGGTAAGAAAACCGAAAACGAAAAGTTTGCCGGTGGAGACTACACCACCACTGTTGAAGGGTATATTGCAGCCACTGGTAGAGGTATTCAAGGAGCTACTTCTCACCATTTGGGTACCAATTTCTCCAAGATGTTTGATATTTCTGTTGAAAATCCTGAAGGTGCTGATAAGCCCAAGGTATTTGCTTTCCAAAACTCCTGGGGTTTGTCCACCCGTGTGATTGGTGTGATGGTTATGACTCACTCGGATAACAAGGGGTTGGTCTTGCCTCCTCGTGTTGCTCAAAACCAAGTGGTGGTGATTCCCGTTGGTATTACCTCCAAGACTACAGACGAAGAAAGAAAAGCTATCAACGATGGGGCTGCCATCATTGAAAAGAGATTGAAGTATGCTGACATTAGAGCTCTTGGTGACTACAGAGACATCTATTCGCCTGGTTGGAAGTTCTCCGACTGGGAATTGAAGGGTGTCCCATTGAGAGTCGAATTTGGTCCTAAAGACATGAAACAAGAACAAGTTACTGTGGTCAGACGTGATAACGGAGAAAAGAGCGTGGTCAAGTTGGCTGACTTGGAGAAGCGTATTCCTGAAGTGTTGGACCAGATTCAGTACAGCTTATTGGCCAATGCTCGTAAGGAATTTGACGAACACAGAGTCATTGTCAACGAATGGAAGGACTTTGTGCCTACCTTGAACGCCAAAAACGTCATTTTGTCCCCATGGTGTGGAGATGCTGACTGTGAAGACGATATCAAGGATTCCTCTGCTAAGAAGGATGATGGAGAAGATGAAGAAGTGGATGAAAAGGCCCCATCGATGGGAGCCAAGTCCTTGTGTATTCCAAAGGAACAGCCTACTTTGAAGGAGGGCCAGAAGTGTGTCAAGTGTGACAGAGCTGCCGTAAATTACTGTATGTTTGGAAGATCTTACTAATTAATATATATAACTTGTACAGTGCTAGTTTTTGTACTGATCCCAGAACGGCAGTTTCTCCAACTCTTGTGTCAGAATGCTACACACCACTGTGTGATGATCTTCTCTAACCAAATAATACACCTCTTTAAGCTGCAACTCTTTGACATACTCCAACACTTTATGATAATTAAGGCCTATCTGCTTCATTCCATGAGAGTCATCCGACAAACAGAACCGCCCCCCGTGATCCAAGATGGCGTGGGCTATCACCGGCTTGGGGTACGGCGTGGCCCATCCTTTCCTTATAGCAGCCGAATTTAACTCGAATAATCCACCATAACTGGCTGCCAATTCAATGTTCTTAACGATCTGGGCCCAAACTTCAGGCCAGTCAGTCTCCATGTCTATATTCATCACATTCTTGCCAGTTGTTGGGTCTACATCATCCTGAGGCTGAAAGAGACTTATCAAGTCAAAATGTCCCACCACATCAGGCTTAAGCTTGTCTATCATAGTATGTTGCATCTCATAATACCGCTTGTACAACTCTCGGGACGTCTTCAGGTCCGTGTGATCCCGGGCCTTTCGCCACAAGTCCTCGTCAAAGTCAATGGGTTCACCCAACGCATGGTGAACAGACCCTACTATCATGTCAAACCTACTTTTTAACTTTACAGCATGTTCAATATGGTCCAAGTCTGCTCCTTCGACCTCGAACCCCACTAATATCATCATCTTATCCTTGTACTCGAGCTGCAAGCGGCGGGCATGGGTTTCATATTGCTCAAATATGGTGTTTAGTGTCTTACAATCATAGCCCTTAACAATCTCTTCTGGGTACATGTACTTGGAGTCAAATCGGGGCATGTGCTCCGTTAAGCAGAACTGGGTAAACCCCATGACATATGCCTTGGCCACCACCAGGTCCAAGTCGTCCACCGCGTGGCTGACGTACAGTCCACTGTGTGAATGATGTGAATGCATTGTGGTGGAGGTGAGTTGCAAAAGTCGCGCGGTTTTTTCTGCTCTCACTAGCACCATGTTTGTACGAACAGTACGTTCACCAAGACGGTTGCAGGTGGCGTGGGTGTCGACGCTCCCGCGTACTATACAGCAGATGCTTGAGCATCCGCCTGCAGTAGGTTCGCGCCTCCAGGTTGCGGGCCATGTCAAGTCCATCCGAAAGTTCAAGAATATCGGCTTTTTAGACCTTTCAGATGGTTCCACCTACAAAACCTTACCCATAGTGTTCCGTCACCCAGACCAGGTATTGGCGCAGTACGACTTGAAGGTGGGCCAGAGCCTTGAGATTTCCGGCGATTTGGCCGAGTCCAAAGGTGTACAACTGTTTGAAGTTACGTTTGATCCAGCTGACGATTCTCACCACTTGAAGATTATAGGAAACGTCCAAGACCTGTACCCCATCCAGAAAAAAGAGACATCTCTCCAGTTTTTGAGAAGTATCCCCATCTTGAGACACAGAACATCGACGTTGGCGTCTGTTTTGCGGTTGAGGTCGTTCTTGGAGCATGAATTAAACGTATTTTTTGCAGAACACAGTTTTACCAAAGTCACTCCTCCAATGATAACCAGTTCTGACTGTGAAGGTGGTGGAGAACAGTTCACGATAGAACCCTTGAATCCCAAGGAAGTTGTGAAGGACGGGATGGCGGTAAAACACGAGTTTTTCGGTAAGCCAGCGTATTTGACGGTGTCTACCCAATTGCATCTCGAAGTGTTGGCACCTTCCTTGAACCGTGTATGGACATTGACGCCGTGTTTTCGAGCAGAGGACTCCAACACCAACCGTCACTTGAGTGAGTTCTGGATGCTCGAGGCGGAGATCTCGTACATCTCCCAGTTGTCGCAACTCACCAGGTTCACCGAAGTGATGATTCGGCACCTCACCTCACAGCTCTCCAACAACCGCGAGGACGTGTTGAACTCTCGTTACAACAAAGCAGACCGGGAGCTAATCGAGGTCAGGTGGAACTCGATTTTGGCCGAAAATGACTGGCCTGTCATAACCTATGATGAGGCCATCAACCTCATTAACCAGGTGAAACTAAAAGGCAGACTGAAAGGTCGTCTTGCGTGGGGAGACTCGATTCTGACGGAGGACGAAAAGTGGCTAGCAGGGGACCATTTCCACTCGCCTGTGTTCATCACTGACTACCCCAAATCCCAAAAACCATTCTACATGCCTCATAGTAAGAACTACAATATTTCAGCCCCCACAGTCGCATGTTTCGACTTGATCTTCCCGTTCATTGGCGAGTTGATTGGTGGTTCGTTGAGAGAGGATAACTACGAGGTGCTTGTGGCAGAAATGAACCGCAGAAACATGGATCTTGTGGAAATGGACTGGTACTTATCTACTCGACTCAATGGAAGTGTTCCCCACGGAGGGTTTGGCATGGGACTCGAGAGACTCATGCTCTACTTATCGGGGCTTGAGAATGTCAGAGACGTCGTCACATTCCCCCGGGCTCCAGAGACCTGCGATTGTTAGGCATTCGTGGTGGTAGAATTCTTGTAAATAGTTGCAGCAACTGTCTAACCAAATAAAGTAGTGTATACGCCGTGCTCACATAATGATGAAAATTTTCAAAGCGAATTTTTTCTTCTCCCCAAACCATCTAGTTTAACCCATATAACACACCACCATGGACCAATTAAACGTTAAGGAACAACAACAGTTCCAACAGATTGTTGAGCAAAAACAAATGAAAGACTTCATGAGATTATACTCCAACTTGGTCTCCAGGTGTTTCGATGACTGTGTTAATGACTTCACCACCGGTTCTTTGACCACCAAGGAAACCACTTGTATTATGAAATGTTCCGAAAAGTTCTTGAAACACAGTGAAAGAGTGGGCCAGAGATTCCAAGAACAGAATGCTTTGTTGATGCAAAACATGCAAAACCGTTAAACCTGACCTTTGATCTCACTGTACCATGTTTTTATTTTGTATATATTTCTTCCATCGTACATAGAAACTCCGGTTTTTTGATATACAATACGAGTCTTATGACATGTCACACCATCAACGTTTGTAGAGTGCCAAAGTTCAAAATGGTGATTTTCATACTTCTAGTGCTCACCTCGCACTGGAAATGCTCGAATTTATCGCTACATCAACAACATGAATGAGACAGAATGCATGAAAATGGGGTTGCTGCAAATACTTGTAGCGTCGACCGTCAACAAGATGTTACGGCGATACGACTCGCTAAACGTTAGAGTTGATGTCACCACCTTTCTTTCACAATTAAGAGCTTGTACTGCTACGTATAGAGATATGTTTGGAAGACCCATACCAGAAGAAACCATGAATTCTAAAGAAGTGTTGATCCAGTTCATAGAGAACAGTGACTTCAAGAAGTTCATGAAGGTTCAGGGCAGCTTGATCCGGATTTTTGCCAACAGCGAGGAGTATCCTCATATCATGAAGTCAATATTGGTGACAGCCACAAAGCGATATTCCGAGTTTTTGGTCAGGAACGTCAATGATTTGGGTAAGCTCATTCAGGGTGCCAAAGAGATCACAGACCGAGAACAGATGAAGCATCGCGGTAACGTTAGTGTCATAGTGGAAGAGAACGAGCCTGCTGACGTTGAAAAGAGCGATATTGAAGTTAATAATGCAGAAAGTGAGCAATCGGGTGATGAAGCCAAGGAGACCAACAACGACGATAAGGAAGGCTCGAGCATGGAAGTCGACTCCGCTGATGGTACGAAAACTACGGGAGAAGACGAGGTAGAAGATGAAGACGAGGATAATAATGCCGAAGACGAAGAAGACGAAGAAGACGAGGAGGAGGAGGAAGAAGACGAGGAGGAGGAAGAGACTCCAAAACTCCGTTCATCCCGAAGACTTTCCAGACGGTCTTTCAAGGAGGAGAAACCAAGTCCTAAGAAAAAGCCAGAGGAAGACGAGGAGGATGAGGATGAGGATGATGGTGAAGGAGCCCCAGTGGCAGAAATTGAGCCGGAGGAAGAGGAAGACAACGAAGAAGAAGAGAAAGGAGATGAAGAAGAAGCGGCAGAGGAGAACGTTGAAGAAGAGGAAGACGTTGAGGAAGAAGAGGAAGAAGAAGAAAATGAAGAGAAAGAAAGTGAGGCAGAAGAAGATGAGGAAGACCAGAAAAATAACCCCGTGGATGAAGATGAAGACGACAAAAAGGCCTTGGATTCTCCACGTAGAAGCTCTCGAAAACGGTCTATGTCCCCTGCTGTTGGCAGTAACAAGAGATTCCAAACAATTGCTATCAACCTCATCAACAATATCCAATCTCATAGGTTCTCTTCATTATTTTTGCAGCCGGTTTCCAAGAGAGAAGTTCCTGATTACTACGAAATTATACACGAGCCCAAGGACCTAAAGAGCATTATGAAAGCAGTTAAGGGCAAGTCTGACGAAAGCTATAACCTGTTACAGCAACTAGAAAGAGACGTTATGCTTATGTTTGCCAACTGCATCATGTTTAACCACTCGGATAAAGACTTGGTCAACTTGGCAAGAACAATGAGAGATGATGCTGTAAATACTTTTAAATTGTTCAAAGAAGCTGAAATGTAATTAGTTAGTGTAATATAGATGATTTGATGCTGTAATCGGACGCGAATTTTTTCGAAATATCATTCTACTACAATGGAGGAAGACTATGATAAACAAATACAGGTGTTAACCAAAACAAGAGGATTGTTGCAGATGATAAACGAATCGACCACAAAGATTTACAATGATTTGAAAAGGGTCCAAGAAAACCATCGGCAAATAAAGGAATCAACTGAAACTTCCAAAAAGCTCATCGATCAATTGTGAGATTCGAATGATATATTAATTACTCTATAACGGGAAGTTTTGCCGTAAACTTTGGGAAGTATGTATTGTATCCTGGCGATACTTCAAAGACATTTTTGCCTCCTTTCAATTCCAAAATGTATGAGAAACATGTTTTGACGAGAGAGCTAATCCACTGTTTCTCATTGTCATTTGTGACCGATTTGTTGTACTCCACCAATGCTTCTTTGGCCATATTCAAACTGTTGATGACTTCATCTTGAGACACATCTGATGCAAAAGACAGGGAGTATTGGGCGAAGGTAAGTTGAGATGGCACTCCTATGGATTCGAATGGCTTGAATCTTAACCTGAATAAGCTCTCGAAACTGGTGATGAAATTGGCGGTAAGATCATCGAATTTAATCATTTTCTGGTTTTGCAAGTAATTTAACAATAGGCACACGGAATTGATGAGTCTTTGAAAGCCTTTCCAATAATCGATTTTATGCTGAAGTGCCTCATTGATTTTGGTGAGCTTTTCCCGTTTCTGCTCAAGTTCTTGCTTGTTCTTCAGTTTTTTCTTCTTAGCGACGATTTTGGATATTTTATACTTGTTGAACTTCAAGAGCCTTTCGGTGGAATGATTTATGTAGACTTTGGTGAGGTAGTTGATATACCAGTAGATTGAATAGATTTCAAATTCCCGGTACAACTCTAGTTCTATTCCAATAAGCAAAAACTCAATCATTAATTCCAACTTTGTGGAGTAAATAAACGAGCTGATTGGCAAAGCGTTTTCATCGGTGTCGGACAACTTATCACCGATTTTGTAGTTATTGTAGATTTCCATCTCAAAGTTCTCCGATTGAACTTGTAAAGAGTCCCATACCAAAAGGTTCTTGTTGATCAATTGTCTCTGCCGACACCGGTTGTTAGCGTAAACAGTCAAATTTTGGTATACTCCTGCTTCAAGGTCTTTAAGTAATTGGCTCAATGCGTCCATTACTAGTTCTGTATCGGCATTGTTCAAGTTCCATGTTTTAGGATTTGATACGTTACAGTTGAAAACGTTGACGTGGTTCATCAAGTCCAACGTTAAGTCACTTAGATGATAAACAGAACCCAATATACTTTGGTCTTCTCTAATAAGAAATAATTGGAAAATTCCCTTGTTAATCACATGGTACTCATTCACCATATGTTGAATATCGTACTTTAAGAACAAGTCCAATGCTTCAATGTCCTTGATATAGTTGGTTTTCCTGAATATCTGTTTCAATTGCTCAAATACGTTGGTCATTTGTTTGAAAGTTTCGTCGAATCCAATGTCGTAAACATCACCTGGAATATGCCTATTACCCAACGATGCTTGAACCCATTTTGAAACACTGCCAACTGGTAATTCTTGGGTCTCATAAAATTGTTTGTGGTCGGCAATAAATTTCAAGCATTCAATTCCTCTATTCAAAATATCCTGGAAGCTTTGGAGTTGTCTAAGATCTGGTACACCGAAAAGGTTTATTTGTAAATTCGATAGTATAGGCAAACTGTTCAAATCCTGTAACAACATCAACTGTTTAATAATATGTTCCTTGTGTTGAGCTGCACTTCTTTTCACTAAGCCGATGGCACTCTCAAGATCATTAAGGACATCATCCACCATGATATCCGTAAGAAAGTCTAACTCCATGTTTCTGGTGGTGATATCTTCATCTTCATATAACACAGTATTTCCCACCGTTATCATGATACCTATGAACTTGCTCAATCCCACCACAAAGCTCTTCAACACACGGTTGTACACTCCGTCACCTAGGCTGAATGTTTCTATTCCTCTGTCCAAGCTCATCGTGTACCCATGGACGATGTCTTCGACGTAACGACAGCTCAAGACTGTCAATGGCAATGAGGAACTACTGAACCAGCTCATTAAGAGTTTGAATAACTTGTTCATTAGCCCCAGAAGCTCGGATTCGGATATTGGCTTCAGGCATTCGAAATTCAATTCAGCAGCGCTCAACTCATTGGGGATCAATCCAGTATCTAAACGAGGATTATTAATCTCTATTGCTCGTGTTCCCTCGAGGAGGTCAAAAAATGGAGACTTCACTACTCTGTTGTTTGATATCTGAGATATTGAAGAGAAGAAATCTTCGGTGATATCAACATAATCGTTCATGGCGATGTTCCAAGATGTGAATACACAATTTTTCTGGGTGAGATTTTGCGACTATATGAAATGATTCTAGAATTAATTATATTGTTTTATATACGTCAGGAAAATTAAACGTTGGCTTCTAAATCCTCTTTTTTACTCTTCTTCAAAAAGTTGAATCCAACATAATAAATAAATATGCCAAACGCTTTGGTTGGGAAGATTTTCACTGCCCATGTATTTGGCATTATTCTGATGATTAAACCAGCTGGAATGGAGACAAATCCACAGATGATGGAAGTAGCCCACATTCCTGGGGTTAGCCTGGCAATCGAGAAAGAAGCTCCTCCAACAAACATGATCAATACCTGAACAGCACAGATCATTATCGTTATAATAAGGAAATACCAGTTCCTGAATAAGTGGGAGAAAAAGTTCAAGTTGTAAGCAGTTATTCTACCTCTAATGGTAGTAATATCAGCAGCTTCATCCAACTTCCTGGTTACTACCAACTTCCACACCTGCAACCAAACAAATGTGTTGAAGGTAAGAGAATCTAATTGTTTAAGTTGGTGACTAGATACGGGGGCATCACCATAAAACAACTTTTGACCACCAAAGTGTAGCGTAAGGGTTACCGCCAATTGAGTAGTTGATTGACCCAAAATCATCTTCCACATTGAAACAGATATTAATGGAGCAGTTCTTCCGGCGGGTTTGTTTTTCAAGAAACTGTCGTCAGGTTTATCAGTAGCCAAAGCTAGGGCAGCCAAAGTATCCATAATCAAATTGACCCATAATAATTGAACTGCAGTCAATACAGAATGGTTATCAGATGAAGCAACGGCAGAGACAAATGTCAATACCACAGCGGTAATATTCACTGTTAATTGAAACTGAATAAATTTCTTGATGGAAACAGCAACGGTTCTTCCCCATTTGATGGCTTGAACTATATCGGTGAAATCGTCAGTCATTAAGATAATATCTGAAGCTTCTCTTGCAACTTCAGTACCACTGATACCCATGGAAAATCCAACATCAGCCAATTTCAAGGCACTGGCATCATTGGTACCATCACCTGTAACAGCCACCACTTCGCCAGATTTTCTCAAAGTATCAACCAAGATTCGTTTATCTTCAGGAGAAGATCTAGCCAATACTCTCAAGTGAGGAACAACCTTGATTCTTTCAGCTTCACTCAACTTTCTGAAGTATGGACCCTCCATAGATGCATGTTCGTTATCCAAGTCTTCCGGGGTTAAAATGTAACAACCTTGGGAAATAGCCTTTGCCGTTCTCAAGTTATCACCAGTTACCATTCTAACAGACACACCACCCTCTTTACATTTCAATACTGCTTCAGGGACACCAGGCTTCAAAGGATCTTGAATACCAACAATACAGTCTAAAATCAAGTTTCTCTTACTCTCATCATATACAGCAGGACTTGTGTCCACCAATTTCTCTGGGTCTGCTTCAGCTGGGTGCTGTTCATTGATAAGACTCTTAAGAGGCCATGAGGTAGCCCCGACAAAGTCTTGATGTCCAACAGCAATGGCTCTCAAAGCATCGTTAGCAAACTCATCAATTTTACCTAAAATTACATCTCTATCGTCTCTGTTAATTCTGGCCAATTGGTTGTTTTCATCATACTTGAATCCACAATTTCTGACAACGATTTCTGCAGCACCTTTAAAGTAAAATCTGTACCCATTTTCAATCTTGACAATGATACCTGACCATTTCCTTGAGCTTTCAAACGGTATTGTTTGCACAATATTATGAGATTCGTTTTTTCTGATTTGTTCCAAGTCTTCGTTTTCAAACAAATTAAGTTTGTCTTTAGCAAATATCAATAAAGCAGACTCGGTTTTGTTACCCAAGTAGGGATCACTTACCAATTCGTACTTGACAGTACTCCTTATTTTGTCTTCGTCGCTCATACTCTCAAAAAGTCTTTGAAAAAAGTTCTTTTTCTTTGGCTTAGTCTTAAGAATATTAGCAGCCTCTTCGTTGTAGCTGACATTCTTAAAAGCTGTGGAATTCAAGGTAATGTTGGTTGCAAAATATGTCTTCAAATCTGAGAAAAGACTTGGAATAATTTCAAGAGATTTAGGCCCAAACTTGTTGGAAACCATGTCATCAAACTCCATGCCGTTACCAAAGTAACCTTTAACGATTCTCATCTTATTCTCCGTCAAAGTACCGGTTTTATCAGAACACACAGCGGTGGCTCCACCCATGGTTTCACACGACTTTAACACTCTAACCAAGTTCCCGTTCTGGGCCATTCTGGTGGTTGCAAAAGCCAATGCCAAAGTCACTGCCAATGGTAAACCTTCTGGAACTGCAACCACAATAATGGTGATGGCAGTGATCAAAATATCCAAAAACTTCTTACCCTTCTCCGCCGAGGCGAGATCATTGTCGGATCCTCCTGGGGCTATCTTGATACAGAATCTAATGAACAAAACAATAAACAAAACCAAGGCCGCCAAAAATCCGTACTTGGAAATTCCATCGGCCAAGTTATCCAATCTTTCTTGCAAAGGAGTCAGTTCGCTTTCATGATTAAGACTCATCATGGTTCTACCGTGAATGGAGTTGACACCAACGGCAGTCACCAAGGCATTTCCCAACCCACTCAAAATTTTGGCGCCCGAGATCAAAAAAGGGTCCTTGAACTTGGTACCTACCGAACCCAAATCCTGAGAGGCATCGGAAGCGTTCAACTTGTAGAACTCAAGAGCCTCGTCAGCAGGCCGTTTGTGGATGGTATCGGATTCCCCCGTCAATGCACTTTCATCACACTCAACCTCCCCACTCACCAACACCGAGTCGGCTGGTACCACATCACCCGTCTGCAAATTTATCACATCACCCACCACCAAGTCATAAATGGATACAAGCACTTGCTGGCCATTCCGAACCACAATCAACTCTCTATCCTCTTTCTTGGCGTTCAACTTGGCAAACTGACGTTCCTTTTGGTAGTCGTTTGCAGCACCCACCAACACCACAATCAACACCGCCACAATGATGGCCACCCCTTCCACCCAGTCCAACTTTGGAATGGGGGTTCCATCCACGTCATACATGGTATCAGTACCAAAGGTCTCATAGAGTCCCAAGGCCATGGACACCACGGCCGCTACCGTCAATAAAATCAACACCTTGTCCTTGAAAGCCTCGATACAAAGCCGAAGGAACGACTTCTGAACCTTCACCGGCAACCGGTTGTCCCCGTAATGCTTAGTTCTCTGCTTCATATCAAGGTCATCACTATCCGAGATGCCTCGGGAGACATCCAGGTTCAAGATATTGCTCAAGTTGTCTAAGCCACCCAATTCAATCAATTTGCGCAAGCTCTTGGGATCGTGAAGCTCCAGTAACTGGGAGATCGAAAGTGAGTAGGTATCGGTCAACGGCGTTTGGCTGTTGATACTGGCCAAATCGTGATTTATAAGTTCTTTGGAATTTGCGGGCAAAGCCAAGGTGGAAGTTTGACCTGGGGCCAGAGGCTTTTCTGACATCGTGTCATCTTGATGGACTGAAGTAACGTCCTGATTAGACATGTTTAATTGTAAGGGTCAACACAAACAACTTAAACCTTAACACCAGAACCAATATTATTTTCCAATAAGTTTTTTTAAGATAAAAGGCACAGTTTATATCAGTAACATTAATGGGGCTGGGCCAGGGGCCGCACTGGGGCGAACCATCGCGAAGCCTGCCCGCCACGTCGTGTCTCCTTTGGTGAGCGCGAAATAAAGCACAGCCTCAATCAGATTCAATTTACCTGATGCGGTAAGATACACTGGCAGATGCTTATTTTCTTGTCTCAAATGACTTTAAAGGTTGCATTGTGACTAGAATTGGCTATGCAATCATGTTGCTGACCAACGTGTGACCAGATGTTGCGGTCGGAACCTGATGGCAAAGATCTTTGGATGTTCTCAAGGATGACCCTGGCGAAGGTGTTTTGTCACTCACACGCGTGCTGGGAGTGCCAAGTATTTTTTCAGTATACGGCTCGCATTCAACTATCGGCTTTATGCTCGCGCGGAGGCGACATTCACTTCATAGCTACCATAGGGTCTGAGCCTCTTTATGGTCGGAGATCGTGCCGGATGGCTGTTCTAATGTCTGCGGCCGTTTGTTATCGTCGCCAAGCATTCGGTTCAAGTGTTAAACTCCAAGCGTTTGTGGTTCCAAGCGTTTGCGGTTCCAAGCGTTTGCAATTTCACAGCCTTTTTGGTACTTGCAACCATTGTCATGTATGCCGCGACACGACTCGTGCGCCCATTGGTGATAAGGCTACGGATACAAGACGGAAGGTGGATGTGTCACGTGAGGAATGTCCTCTTATGTCCGCTCAGCTGCAGTTCTCGTTTAGGAACGGCCTAATCCCGTTTAGATCCTTCCGCGATGGCCCCAGAAGATTTTCACAAAAGCCAATCCCGTGTAACGGTAAAGGTTTTACAATTCACACTAGCCTTTGCGAGCAATTGACCCTATGAAAGCATATTCCTCCTCTTAATGACAAGTCCACCGCGGTCCGAGCCATTCAATGTCCGATCCGCGATCCGAGTCTTCACCACCCGCACCTATAAATTCCCCTGATGTGACACTTTGCAATCACCACAGCAACTATGGGCAAAGAACAAAATCTCGCCAATCATATCTTATCGTTGCCTGAACCCCAGCTCTCCCAGGTTAGAGGCCACCCGGCCAAGGTCTTGCGGTTAATTGAGGACTACCCAGAATCATTCATGGACATTGGCCCCGTTAAAGGAAAGCGGATCATTGAAGAAATCCAAAAAACCAAGCCTTCGGTCATGATTGAAATGGGAGGCTATTGTGGGTACTCGGCCATTCTCTTCGGGAACGAGCTCAAGAAGCTCAATGGCAAGTATTACAGTTTTGAACTCTCTGATGAGTATGCTGAAGTAGCATCCAAGTTGGTTGATTTGGCTGGATTGTCGGGAACGGTTGAAATTATCGTGGGCCCTGCCAACGCTACATTGCCAAGGTTCAAGGAGTGGCTCAAAGAAGATATTATTGACTTTGTGTTCATCGACCATGATAAACAGGCATATACTCCTGATCTCAGGATCCTTGAGTCGTTGGACCTCATTGGAGTCGGCACCACCATCGTCGCTGACAATATCATCCGTCCCGGGGCACCTGAATACCATTCGTATGTGACCCTGACTCCTCAGCAGAAGAACGAGTATATCTCTGTCAATCAAAACCCTAACGGCTCCCAGTTTGTGGGTAGATGGAACTTTGTTTACGAAACCGAGTTGATCAAGATGGGGCAAGATGGGATCGATGTCACCAAGGTTGTCAAATCTTTGAATTGATTAGGTTATGAATTATATAGCGGTACGGCAGAGCTATTTCAAAATAATGTACTTTAGGGTGGTTTGAAGTTGTCCTCTTTGCAGGGTATATATTTGGTCTCTGTATTTGCATTTTTCTTTGGTTCCTGTTTCTACATATCTCTCTCGCCTGATGTTTGCAGCTATTTCGAAAACCTCGCGACTTTTACTTCTGTAATGACTATCAACTTCATTCCTGGAGAAGTCAACAGAACAGAAAACTCGGTGCTGCACGGACGATGGAAAGACCACTACATAATTGTCTACGGCTCCGGTAACAACTTGGTGATATCTTCTCTCACCTTCAAAAACAACATCACCGACCATCTTCAAACCATTTATCTCGAATCAGACCCGTCCTCCATTGACTTCAATGCATCCAGTGGCTTTATCGCCATCTCAGTCAAATCCAAAGTGCTTCTCCTTAAGCCGGTCAACGAGTTCATGAGCAGGCCCCAATGGTCTGTGGCGTTAGAGGTTTCTGCTCATTCCACTGTCAATTGCATGCACTGGGCCCCTGTCGAGAATGAATTGGCAATAGGAACATCCGATTCGATTGAATTATTCAAGATCTATGAGGAGTATGGTGCCCTCAAGTACCATCGTCGATGGTTCCAGACACAAGCAATATCAGTTACTGCTCTCAAAATTACCTTCAATTCCAATAAAATCGTGGTGCAGAATGGCGACTATGATAGACTATTGAAAGTGTGGTCTCGCATTAACTATGGAGACGATAACACCTTGTTTGAGTTGACATACCTTCCGCATCCTGTTAATGACTTCATTTTGGACTTCAAATGGCGCTTCAGGCTTTATAGCAAATCATCCAAGGTGATTGACGAATCAATGGCTAATATCAAGAATATCAGAAACTATATTGACACCGGCAACGAGGACTCAGATACACTCTTCACCTTCTCTTACAATAAAGTGTTCAGAGTGTGGTCTACGTACGAATCTAGTGGACATAATCTGATCAAGTGTTGGGGTCAATTGGACTTGTCGGACTGTTTTGTAAACCAGACTATTGTTGCCGTGGTGTTGATCGATAACTACTATCTTCAAAAGACATTATTCCGCCAATTGGAGGGCCTGACCTCCGAGTTGGCAAATTACTTCAAAGATCAGTTATATGATAACATCGATTTGTTGCTCGTGGTGAGCAATTTGGGTCAAGTGGCCCTTTATCTGATTCTGAATGTGTCGATGATCCCGCCCAACTCAATTCGTTTCGAGCGAATTGATACAATGGCCATGGAGTTCAATAAGTTTTCTTTTCTGAGTATCACAGAATCAGTACAGCTGGAAGATATCCTGTCAGAGGCTTTCAAAATCAGCTTAAAGCCCGTGGTAGTTCCAAAAATTGCGTTGTTTGATAAGGATGATGCCACTTTGAGTCTTTTGTTCCATAATCGGCTCAAAAATACCTTGAAACTCAATACATTGAATTTCAAACAGCTACTTAAACCGAATACTCCTTGTATTGGAACTAATCTCGTAAACAAGTTCCAAGGTCATGATAAGTCCATCAGGAAACTCATCAAATCATACAAATCGAACACCCATTCCATTCTATTGTCTATTCTGAATTTTGCCAAAAACAACTACATTTGGGAACCACTTACCCTCAAAAAACCTTCCAAAAGAACTATAATCACTAAGAAATTCCAGATTGATTTAACCCTCGTGAACAACGACCCAAATAATTTTATCTATGACGCATTACTCTTGAATGATATCGAAGGTTCTCCAGGCAAACGGCGTCATCTAGTAATTTCTTTTGACAAATTAGGATTTCTTACTTTATGGGACTGTAATGAACTTGAACATGAAGACAAATGTGCTGAGGTGATATACAGCGAACATGTAGAAGATAAAGCTCCGAAGGTGTTGCAATTGGTTCAAATTGAGAAGGATGAATACTTGATTGTGTCCATTTATGAGTTGGATGAAGTTAGGTGCTGGAAGTTAAAACTCACAAAGGAAAACTCAAAGAATATCGACTTATTTCCTTGGAAGATTCAAAACTTGCCGCCAGTGGAAAGTCGTTACAAGATAAATAAAATTGAAAACCTTATTAACGACAAATCTTCTTCTTTGATTTCCATAATTGAAGAAGGTGGACATCTAAGTAACTACTCCATCAAGTTTGCCGAAATTGTCGAATGGGTTGAAACTTCCTCCTTTCAAACAAATATCAAAAACTGTTCCAAAGTAATGGGTTCATCTATCATCAATAAAATTGCATTTGTTGATGAAACGGGTTATAAGCTTCAAATTTGGGACTCTAAGGCAAAACTTCTAGAGTATGAAGAGGAATTTAATGCTGAACAAGGTGCTGTTCGAGACATTGACTGGTGTCTAATAAGTTCTCCTGATCGGTCTTGTCACAATGTTCTTTTATCGATAGGGTTCCAGAGGTTTGTCATGTTGTACACCCAATTGAGGTACGACTATACCAACAATATTCCCACATATGCTCCTTTGAAAAAGATCGACATCAGTGACTACACTTCTCATGAAATTGGTGATTCGATTTGGATAAACAATGGATATTTGGTCATCGGATGTGGGAATCAGTTCTTCATCGATGATAGATGGTTCCAGCTAGGAAGCTCGGGAAGCAGTCTTATAAATAGTATGACTAGACAGTTGGTTAGGGGGTTTTTCGAACACGATGATGATGATCAGCCTTCTTCACACGAGACTTCTAACCAAATATTCGACATCAGTGACATTGTGAGGCTTTTGAATGGACCTTTACCCTATTATCATCCTCAATTTTTGATTCAGTTAATGTATCTGAACCAATTTGATTTGGCCAAACTAATCTTGGTGAAATTGTTTCAGTGCATTCGAAGTGGAGAAAAAATTAAGTGGAATTTGGGATTTGATCTTGTTGATGAAATATTATATGATCAACAAGCCGATGGTCGTCATTCAATACTTGAAAACGCTAAAGAAGAAGATATATTTTCTACTTTCAACGAGAACTTGGTTGACCTATTGTCTGAGAAATTGACGAAAATATCGTTACCATCTTTAACAAGACACCAGCAAATCACGTTGATCTCGCTCATCAATATCACCAAACTCGTGAAAAAGTATGTTGGTATGTTGGACGAAAACGGATTAAGATTCTTAATTGGGTTCAAGTTGTATCAGTCATCTACCAGGCAATCTGCACTCAACATGAGAGACATAAATTTTGCTTTACACAGTCGTAATAAGGATATATTGGTTTCAATAGTTGAAGAAGCCTACGATTTCAAGTTCACCTTAAGTTTGGTTAAAAGCTTGGGTTTGGTCTACTGGATTGACAATTATAAATTACTTGAGATTGTGGAAAACATTGCTAAAAATGAATTCAATAATGAGAGAGACCCTTCCGGAATAGTGTCTTTACTCTATATGGCATTAAACAAAAAGAATATACTAGTTGGTTTATGGAGAACCACTAGTCACAAAGAAAGACAAAAGATCTTGGCATTCTTAGCTCATGACTTTACCCAGAACAGATGGCAAGTAGCTGCCATGAAGAATGCATTTGCTTTATTGGGTAAACACAGATACCTTGATTCGGCCTATTTCTTTCTTTTGGGAGAAAAGGTATCCGATTGTTGCAGTATCATCAACAGTAAATTGGGTGATTTCCAGCTTTCGTTAATTGTATCAAAATTATATCATTTTGTCAGAAGCAAAGAATCTGATACTCAACAGTTGATTGAGACTTCACTTTTGAAAGATGTTATTGAAAATGGAGATAAATGGGTCAATAGTTGGTTATTCTGGGAGTTAAATCAGAAAGAGATGGCCATTCAAGCACTAATAAAGTCACCAATTGACCTAATCAAATCCTCCGATTTGAACTGTCCTAACAACTACACACTTAACTCCGAGTCAAACAAGTTTCTCAATGAGGATCCAGCACTGATATTGCTATACACCTCCCTCAAATCCAAGTCATTGAACTATCAGCAAGGTTCGATGTTAATTACTCCAAAAGAAGAATCAGAATTCATATTGAAGATCTGTTCGATCTATGATAAAATGGGGTGTGATTATTTGGCATTAATACTTCTTAGAAACTGGAAATTTGACTACAGGAAATTTGACAAGATGAACAAAATCAATGTCAATGGCTTTAAAGAATTCAAAATGGACAACGATCCTCCTCCAGAACAGATATTTGAGGAACCCGATATGAGTGCTTTTGATTTCGGGTTTTGAAAGTTATAGAAACATGTAATATACAAACAGTCATTAGAAGCTGCAAAAAAAACACAAACCCTACCCGGGACTCGAACCCGGAGTCTCCCGCTTAGGAGGCGGATGCCTTAACCGTTTGGCCAGCAGGGCGCGCTAATAATAAAAAACGACCTAATTGGAAAATCAGGCTCACCATTTAATCACTGAAAAGCCTTACCAGATCGTAAAATGCTACACTCTAATTCTTCTGTACTCCAGTTGATTGCTTGTACTAAGATCCCACACAAATATCCATAGCCCCTCACTAAAAGCGGTATGTTTTCGGACGAAAGGGACTAAAGGAGAAAGCAGTGACCATTCTGCTCATTAACCTTTTGATGAGCTATTTCTAGGAGTGACACAACTACATCTACAGTAAGTTGAATAAGGTTTTGTGCGTCCAAGAATTGCAGCCATAAACGCGGGGGCTATCAAATTTCACTAAAGATTTTTTAAGAAAAGTAGCTTAAATTGAAGAATTAAATACAAATTAAAAGACGCAGGTAGGGCTCAAGAACCCAGAGTTTAAACCTCAGGGTTTTTTGGTTCGGGTTGACTAATAGACTTGGAAATTTCCAATCCTCTGTTGAGCAATTCACCTTGTAAATCATCTTCAGCGTCTTCGGTGTGATTGGAGATCTTGAAGAAAATTAATGGGGAAGCAAGTACCAAGGCCCCAGCACATAATCCCCAACTACTAGCAAACATGCTCATGTAAGGAACTTCATAATAATCCAAACGCCACATAATAGCAGCACCGGCTGATTGAATAGACTTAAAGAAAGCTCCGTAAATAGCATTCTTCTTAGGGTTGTTAGACATGGCTCCCAAAGTGTAGTAAATGAAGGTTTGAAACATGGCATCATACATTCCGTAGAAAATGTACAAGAACATAGGTCCCACATAAGTACTACCCTTTTTAAAGTCAATTAAAGCCATGCCAGCCACCGATTCTCTGGTGTACTTCTTTTGGAAATCATAACCACCACCCCAGATAACAAATGTCAAAACCATGATGATGGACCAGCCGATCTTGACTCTTGTTTTTCTGTCGAATCTTTTCCAATCTAAGATGTTTCCGAAAATAGCGGCACCAACCATTTGAGCGGCCCAGTACAACAAAGAGTTCAAAGATCTGGTTCTAATAGTAAATCTAGCAGCATTGACATCGTTAAATTGGTAAGTGTAGAACCAGTTGGAAGCGAAAAACATGGGGAACAAGAAATAGATCTTTGGTTCTTTGTACAACATTTTGGCCATGTTTATCAACTCAACCTTCCAGTGAGGGAACTGTTGTTGGACGACTCTTTCAGAACCAACTCCACCTCTCCAAACCTGATGAGGACGTAAAGTACATCCGGCAATAATAATACCCGAGCACATCAAGGCGATGAAGGCGGCGTACGTACCATCGGTGGCCACACTGCTGTTATTTTTCATGTTGTTACCGAGAGAAATAGCACTTCCAATCACAGCACCCAAGTTGAAAATGACCCAGAAAGTCATGATGGCTTTACCCTTAAGGTGCTCAGCAGGATAGGAGATGATGATGGAGGTTTGGGCAGCCCAAAGCTGACCAGCACACACACCAAGAATGGCCCCAGCAGCAACCACAAAGGCAGCAGCTCCACCATAATCCTCAACCACACCATCAGCGTTGGTGAACAGGTGTTTCGTGTAGTACAACAAGGAACCCGAATAAATAACGTACCCAACTCCTCCAAACATCAAACTGAACTTGGTACCAATGATGTTACACACCCACCCGGCGAAAAAACCATATCCACAGAAGGTGGAGTACAAGGACACAGAAGAGTTATTTGAAACTGACAATGAGATACCAGCACCTCCAACTCCTGATAAGGCATTGTACATACCTGGTAACATGAAACAAGTGAAAGCCAACATCACGATTTGAACCATGGATTCAGAATAGGCTGGCAAAAACGACACGATTTTTTTGTCGTACCATCTAAGAGGACCGGTATAATGGGATTCTTCCTCTGGTTGATGTTTATCAGAGGACGTGCCACTATTGTGCACCTCAACGGTGTTATTAGTCAACTTTTCTTCAGACATTATGATTAGAATAGAGGACTAGAAGTATTAATCAACCCCAATTTTACCGGAATCTTATGGGGTTTATATATGAAGATGCGGCAAAGGCCAAAATATCTTATCTATTTTTTTACTCCAAGTATCGCAGTTTTTATCGTTACTTTTAAGAAAAAAATGCCACCTTGATTTGCGCATTCATGTTACATTAGTACTCAAGCAAATTATTAGATACAAATTTCCATCATGTTGTATTTTATCCGACAATCTGCCAGTCAAAATGCAACATGACTATTGATTGCAACTTGATAAGAATCTAAATTAAGGTTGCAACCCACCTTTGCAATGGGTTGTAGTCATGTGTTCCACCAGCCTTATATGATCTACCACCACCCTTTCCTCCGGACCCACTAGGAAGAGGGGCCAGGTGCAAAAGTGCCTTGATGAAATCCTCGTGCCACTTATGCAACATCAAGGCTCGTTTCAAGGTGGTATTTTACTCGCGGTTCCGGTTTAGATTTTCCTCTGGTCGCGTTCGAACGCTTCCCCAGCTTTGACAATAGCAGTCACAAGATCATCAATAATGGCATCCGTAAGGATGGGCGAGTTAAATACCACCCGAAAAAACTCACCCTGTTCATCCTGGGCCCCCGCCTGTGGGTGAGGTGAGAAGTCAACGAGGTATCGACCCTGGGTGTGCAATTCTCGTGAAATATACCTAGTGACGGGGGTGAGATCATCTCCCTCATAGGATTTGGGACGGTAGTAAAAGCACACTTGCAAACACGCGGGATCTCCCACTACTGCGAAGTTGGGATGTTGGCGGGTCGCCTGCAAAAAGTACCGCACCGTGTCGTACGCGTGATCGACCCTCTGCTCGAAGCCGCGGGTGCCATAGTACTTCCAGGCCATGTACAACTTGAACGAGTCAGCGCGGCGGCCGCACCCCATAGTACCGTCCGCGAGATCAAAGTTCTCCTCATCACTTTCTCTGCCGTGGAAGAGGTACGGGGCGTCTAGTGACATGGCCTGCTGGAACTTACCCACATGTGGCACGAGAAGAAATGAGCATGTGGTTGGCACCCCTAGCATTTTGTGGGGGTTAACAGTGATGGAGTCGGCCGTGTGGCACCCGTCGAGGCGGTGGCGGTGGCGGCGCGAAAACACCACGTTACCGCCCCACGATCCGTCGATGTGGAACCACACGCGGTACTTTTGGGCGATGCGGGAAATGGGTGCAAACGCATCGAACGACCCAAATACTGTAGTACCGGCGGTGGCATTGATATATAACGGCGTGAACCCTTGGGCAATAGAGTCGGTGATTGCTGCCTCGAGGCTCTCGTGGTGCATTGTCCCGTCGTCGTTGACAGCAACTTTGAACACACTGCCAGACCCGAGCCCGAGAAGAATAGCGGCTTTTTCCACCGAGTAATGGCAGTGTTTCGATGTGTACACCGCGAACCGGTGCAGGCCATTTCCCTGGATCTTGGTGTCAGGATAGAGCAACGCCCGCGCCATCTGCAACGATGTGATGTTGGACCAAGACCCTCCGCTGAAGGTCAACCCACCACAGGTGTCCTGGTGGTCCTTAAAAAAAAGCCGCCCGTACTCGCGGGCCACGTAGTTCTCGAGCACTGAGAGCACCGGCGACACCGTAAAAACGTGTGAATTGGTGTTTAATACCGATAAAATGAGGTCTGAAATCACGCCAATGGGATTATTGGACGCGTAGAGTTTATCCAAAAAACCTGGATTCCATGTATTCACCAGCACATCCAACACCGAGTTGATCAAGTGCTGGAGTTTTTGCTCATCGTTCTTGATGGGCTCAAAGTCGCTGTTAAACTGAGCAAAATGGCTCTTCACCTCAGCTGGTGATCTGTATTGTCCGAGGGCGTTTTGTTTGAAGTTCAGAGAACTGGGGTCCGACTCCTCGATATGCTGGAGGATCTTGGGTGTCACAAGTGCCAACAACCGATCGAGCTCGGTTGCTCTATTAGTTTCTAAAGGTGTTTGAAGAGACATTCAAAGTTGCTAAATGGGTAAAAATTGCGAATTTGGTACGATGGATCCTTAAAATCGTAAAAGTTAAAAATGGTGGAGGTGCGAGCCGCCTGCGTTCATGTGATTTGTGCATACAATGTGTGTTATTACCTATTTACAGAAGGGCCTAATGAGGGTGTACTACTTAGAAGGAGATTCCCGCGATAAGTTGCGGTTGAGCACCTCTAGTTTCCTCATTTCTTCTTTGGCATCAAAGTTCCCACTCGATAAGTTATCGTAGATTTGGTCGTATTTCCCAGTAGACAACGGAGCATTACCTCTCATTCGTTTGGTCATGTCGAAATATCCGTTCTTGCACTCCATGTACGAGAGGAAGTTGGCTACACAGAGTGCCGGGAGATCTTTCTTCAATTCTGGTTTGGTGAGACAGTCTTTGGGAGTGTTTCTCTCGATGAGCACGCATGGTGATCTCTGTAGGCAGACCGCCAACGCTTTTTTCTGATCCTGACAACTGGGGATGATGTTAGTAGCAGCTACTAGAAAAGGCTTACTGGTTTGGTTGTACGTACCTTGCACCCATGAATACAAACTGGTGACTATGGGAAAATTTGGTGATAAACGCGCGCAGTTAAAACTCATCGCTTTATCAGTACCATTGTATCCTGGGGTTGAGCATCTACGTTCTGAAACGCGAACCAGATCATTATACAAGCTCACGACACACGTGTGAAGAACATACTTTGCTGACCAACAAAAGTCGCTCCACCATGTATTTGTACAACTTCACATCCAAGGCATCGACGCTGCTGGTATCTTCAATAATAGGCCAATTCACAAAAAAACAACAGCTTGTGATAGCCACTGCTAACACCCTTGAAACTTGGATACAGCAGGATGAAAAGATCGAGAAAGTGCGTCTGCAATTCAGTTTTGGGATCATCCAAAAGCTCGAAAAACTTAGACCTCTTGGTTTCGATAGAGACTTATTGGTGATAACATCAGATTCAGGAAACTTGACTGTATGCGAGTTCAAGCATGAGGAGTTCGTGCCGTTGTTCCATGAACCTCATTCAAAAAACGGTCTTCGAAGCATTACTCCCGGTGAGTACCTTGATATTGATCCCCATAACCGTGCAATCATGATCAGTGCAGTGGAACGCAATAAGTTGTTGTACCGAGTCCATGTCGAGAACGAACGGGTCTCGTTGAGTTCTCCCTTGGAATGTTTGAGTAACAACACCTTCACTTTGTGCACTTGTGCTGTGGATAACGGGTTCAACAACCCTCTCTTTGCTGCTATAGAAATCGATTCCAACAAGAAAACCGTCTTGAACTACTATGAATTGGACCAGGGGTTGAACCACGTAATGAAACGTACGGAAGATGTGCCTGAATCGGCCAACTTGTTGATCCCTTTCGATGGGTTGATGGTATGCTGTGATGGGTTTATATTGCATAATGGAAAAGAACTTGCCTTTCCCAAGAAGAGCAAGATAGTCAATTATGTGATCCATAAGTTGAAGAATGACTTCTTTGTGCTCCTACAAAACGAGTTTGGTGACCTCTTCAAAGTCGACACTGACCAGATCAACTACTTTGGCCACCTTCCTGTTTCTGTGGCTATCAATATTTTCAAAAATGGGCACTTGTACGCTAATTGTTCCAACACAAATAAGTTGTACTGTCAGATCACAGGTTTAAAAGTCAGTAGGTCTACCTCAGACAATTTAGAGAATCTTGAACTCGTGCAAACAATAGAATCATTGGATCCAATTCTTGATATCAAGCTTAAAGACTCCCATTTGATAACTGCTAATTCTACCAGTGTGAAGACGCTTGTGCATGGAGTTCCCACCACCACAATTGTAGAGTCTCCATTGCCATCGTCACCTCTCAAGATATTCACCACCAAACTAACAAGAGATGATGTTAACGATGCTTATCTAGTTATATCTTCATCTGAAACATCGGTGTTGTCTATAGGAGAAGAAGTGGCAGAGGTAACAGACTCAAAGTTTTCTAAAGATCCTACTATACTTGTTCAACAGGTTGGTAAAATGGCTTTGATACAAGTATATTCCAATGGTATTAAGCATATAAATGGGGAGAAAGTGACCGACTGGTTCCCACCAGCTGGGATCAACATCATAAAAGCTAGCAGCAATAATCAACAGCTTATTATTGGTTTGACTAACAACGAAGTCATTTACTTTGAAGTTGACGTTGATGACCAATTGGTAGAATATCAGGATAAAGTTGAGTTACCTACAAACATCACAGCCTTGGCTATTTCCAAAGACTTTGCGGTTGCTGGGTGTGCCGATGAAACCGTCCAAGTTATATCCTTGAAGCAACAGAACTGCTTAGAGATTCTATCGATGCAAATGCTTAGCAGCAACAGTTCTGCAATTGAGTTTCTGGAACAAGAAGTTCATATTGGAATGGAGAATGGGTTGTTTGTTAGGACCAATATCGATGCTCGAGGGAAATTATCCAATACGAGAGTAAAGTATCTTGGGACAAAGCCAATCCGTCTTTCAAAAATAAATGATTCGATTCTTGCTATATCCTCCAAGCCATGGGTGGGATTTAAGACCAATGGGAACTTCAATATAGTTCCTTTAAACGACATAGATATCACAGACGGAACTTCCTTCTACTCTGAAGATATCGGAGGTGAAGGAATTGTGGGATTTCGAGGTAATGATCTAATCATCTTCACTATTGACGACTTCAGGAACAATTTCATAATATCCACTGAAGATATTCCAGCAACTAAATTGTTAGTGGACAATGAGGTGTACTCGTTAGGGAAAGAGTTGGTTAGAAACAACAAAGAGAAGTTCGCTTTTGAAGAGTCACCATTGTCCATTTGCAGGTTCAAAGATTATGTTGTGGTGGGAGTGACAAATCCAAATTTCTTATACACTTTTAAGGATATGAAGCTTGTTCATAAGACAGAAGTTGAAATGCCACCGAGATCGATACTCGAGTTCAATGGAAGACTATTAGTGGGAATGGATAACCTCTTACGAACATACGATTTGGGGAAAAAGCAGCTATTGAGGAAGTCTTCCACTGCCATTAAACACATCAACAAAATTATCAGAATTGTTTATCAGGGAAAGGATAGAATTGTTGTTGGAGATTCCAACAACTCCACAATTTTCTGTAAATTTATTGAAAATTCATTCGTACCGATTTCAGACGATACTATGAACAGGCAAATTACGTCCTTATCAACATTGGACTACGATACTGTAATTGGTGGTGATAAGTTTGGAAATGTGTTTGTCAACAGAATCAAATACGATAATACCTACTTTGTTGAGGAACTGTATTTGAACGGGTCATCTGGGAGATGCCAAACTTTAGCTGAGTTCTTCTTAAATGATATTCCCATGTCTTTCACAAAGGGAACTTTGGTTCTTGGAGGGCCAGAAGTTATTATTTATGCTGGGTTACAAGGTACTATTGGTATTCTTCTACCAATCAGTGAATCAGACTTCAAGTTCTTGAGCAATCTTCTGATTGAGTTGAACAAAGATTTATTACTTGGTAGAGACCATATGAAGTTCAGAGGATATTATAATTCAACTCACAATGTCATTGATGGAGATATAATTGAAAAATTCCTTGAATTGAATGCTTCAAGTAGAATAAAAATCTCCAATAAACTCAATAAGTCTGTGAGAGAAATTGAAAACAAGATTAATGATTACAGAGAAAAGTCCGCCTTTTGAAGAATAACTTTCAGATTCTCATACCTAATAATATATAATAATACATCAATATACACAACATACAAACAAACAACACCAAGTTCAATTTCATCTATTCAAGTAGACTCAGCCTCCTTGTTTTTAATTGGAGATAAATCCTTATCATTGAACTTTCTGTTTATAGTAGGACTCACTTCATTCAGTTCATCCCCAGTTTTTCGTAATGGTGTTTGTCCATTAGGAGTACTAAATTGTACAAAGTTCCAAAATGCTGGTGATGATTGATTTGTATTCATACCATTAGGCAATGATAAATTCTTATGGTTGAAAGACTTTGATCCTCTTTCTGGAGTAAATGCTTCCAAAGGAGCCACTTTCTTTGGACTTGTGAAACCCAATGCTAAATCAGAAGTGGCATTCGTGTGTTGATTGGAAGAATTTGGCTCACTTGTGGGGAAAGAATCATTCAAGGGTTGATTATAAGAATTTGATCTTGAATGGTTAGCAGGTGCAGAAGTTCCCAAACCTATATTTGAGGAGGATGGAGGAGGCGGTAAATTATACAAGTTGCCGTTTGTCTTTGGGAGTTTTGGAGTATTCAGATCATTCAACCGGATTGGTGAGTCGTTGGGTAAATTATACATCAAAGGCTGATAGTTCATCCTTTGCATGTACCCATTCCCATTCATTTGGGAATTAAGGCTTTGCTGGGGTTGGATACCACCCTGAAGCGGGACCTGTTGATGCGATTGAGTAGAATTTTGGGGTATTTGCTGGGATAACCCTTGAGGAGGAATTTGCTGATGCTGAGGATAGTATTGCAAATTGTTCACGCCAATGGAGTTGTTTCTCAGATGTCCATCAGTAGAAACCCCATTAGACCCTTGCTTATCATCTTTCATATAATATCTTCCGGATTCAGGTAATGCTTGATGGGTGGCCAAGTGTAATTGTAATTGTCTAGAAACACTTGAACCTCTTCTGGTTTTAGAGATTGCACCATTGCTTACCTTGTTCAAGAACTCATCCTTATAGGATTCGCTTATTTGCCATTTCATACCCTTTCCTGGTTCATTTGGACGTCTAGGAACTTTTTCAAAAGCTTTGTTCAACGATAAGTTATGCCTTATAGAGTTTTGCCAACCAGTCTTGGAATACTTATAGTAGGCATAGCGACCTGAGATCCAATCGTATATCTCAGACAATGACATCACCCCATCTTCATTGGATAAGATGGATTGAGTGATCATAGTTGCATAAGAATATGGTGGTTTTATGTCCTTGGATTCTTCTTTTGACAAATCCTGGTCAAGATTACTTTGCAATGAGCTTGCAGAAAGCTGGGAAGGAGAATGAGTCAAGTGATTTTTCTCAAACATCTGGAATGTCTTGTTGGTTTGAGGAACCATCGTGTGTTGTTGAGGAAAATAGGTATAAGAAGTGGTATTGGTAGAAGTCGAGGCTTTGCGTTGCTTCGACATTGTCAGTTGATAGCGAGAAAGGCATAGCTCCATCATTTTCTGATCAAGTTTGGGTGGAGAGTCGGGTAGAATGAACATCACCTGGGTTCCACCAATGTCTAATATAGCACCCGAATGTAAAGGGGTTGGAGAGCTATCGACACCAACTTTGACACCATCGACTTTGGCACCGTTCCGGCCCAAAATCTTCAATTCCCAGCATCTCAAGTCCAAGTTGTAGGTTATATTCGCGTGCTGTCTGGAAACCACCTTGGCAGGGCCCAAGTCGATATCGATGGAATTAGTATGTGATCCTTGATTATCGGTATTTCTACCAATAGAAATGGCCAAGGACTTTACGTAGTAGGTCCAAGTGGAGCCAGAGATCTTGGCGTATGCTTGCACTTCGGTAGCGATGTTCTTTTCGTTGGAGTAGTTGATTGATACGTTTGTTTTCTCATCTGGCGTTTGTAAGCAAGAAATAACCGCGTTTACCAAGTCCGCCGGGTCTTCGAAAGAGGGAACGTCGGACTCGATCTCGTGGATCGACCGTTTGCTGCCGGGAGTGGAAGCGTGAGACATTGACTTATATATGAAGAAGATGCTCAGATGTGAGAAAGATGATTGGCTTTTGGGAGTCAGGCCAAAAAGGGGGGGACAAGACGGAAACAAACGCGAATCAAGGGACCTGGGGAGTATAAGTACTAGGAAACACTTAGAAGACGTGTCAGGTAGATTAAGGGGTCCAACAAGTAAGATACTCGAGTGTTTTCACCTTGTGGTGCCAGTGTTTATATTTACTTTTCGAAAATTCGACGCACTTTTTTGTTTATTCACAGAGAAATTGTTTAGTGCGCAGCACCAAAAGTCATTTGCGGTATTAGGCATGGGTCCAGTCATTATACTATGGGTCGCTCATAGTTAATGGGGATGATAAAGGATCGAAGAGACGTGTCGAACCCCCGGGCATCGTGGTTCTCGGGCGTGAGAATGTCGACGTATGAATCCTCTTCTTCGAGCCGTCGTTTGTTGAGAATATCGTCATCGATGATGTCAAATTCGTCTTCCTTCTCTTCATATTCGATGTTATCGTCAATCTCCACAAAGTCCGGGGCTAAAGCACTCCATTTCTGTGGGAAGTCGACCGACCAGAGGTATATGGTTCCGTATTCGAGGCCATTGGACCCGATCATACACCTCAGATAATTCCATTTGACTTCAAGGAGCTCTTCGCTACTGCCTTCCAAAATCTTGATCAATGATCCCATACTGGTTTCCCAGATGTATAGGTCCTGGGAGCTCTGGGTCCCGAACGTAGATGCCACGAGAAACTCGCCGTTGTGATTGAAGCATACCGAGTTCCACTGTAATCGATTGACCACGTCCTGGTATTTGTGTTCTACATCAAATTCCCACAGATCGGGGTTTTGCTGGTTGACGAGATCGGGCAACGAAATCTGGCGGATGATCCGGTCGCTGGAATTGACGGCAAGCTTACGCCCGTTGGGGGACATCACAAGGTTCTTGATGTTGGATGTGGTGAGTCTCATCGAGTGTACCATCTGAAGAGATTGCGTGTCAAACACGTTGATCCAGCCCTTATTGGTACCCAGAAACACGTAGCGACCATTATGGGTGAAGGCGGTCACGAGAGTCACCAGTTTGGTAGAGGAATTGGCGTCGGAGTCGGCGTGCTCTTCGAGTGGTTTGGACTCAAGTCGACTGATGCGGTAGTTTTGTGGTAGCGGGTCGGACCAGTCGACGAAAATCGCCTGGTCTTCGAAGAGCGACGCCGTGAACTGGAACTCATTGCTGGGGTTGATGCTGGCCAGCCAAATGGGTCCATCCACGATGATAGATCGTATGACGGCCGAGTCGTGGTTAGGGCTGTTGACAAGACTCAAGTCCCACAACTTACAGTGCCAGTCTTGGGCGGTAGTGAGCAAATACCGCCCACACACCGACCAGCTGACGGAAGTGATGGGCCTGATGTGTGCGTGTTTGTGGAGGTGTGCAATGACGCTTCCCCTGCTGGCTAGGTCATAAATCACCACCGACCCATCACTGAGGCCACTGGCCAAATAGTCACCTTTATGGCTGAACTGGAAGGTCACACAGTGACCATATTGGAGGGCATTGGCCAACGACTCGGGGTACTCCTTGGCTACAGCAAATGGGTCCTGGAGTGATAAGTTCATTGGTGGGTAGGTATGAGAAGAAATAGTTTTGTGGATGGACCGCGAAACCTAAATAACCGCGACACCTGATCTGATATTAATAATGGCTACGTGGTGGAGATGGGCCGTGGTGTTGGCAGTGGTGTGCCACGTCGCCGTGGCACAGAACCTTGTTCACTTCTATGTCGATGTCAACAAGAAAACTTGTTTTTATAAAGATCTCGCCCAGGACGTCGTGTTGTTTGGCAAGTACAAGATGGAAATCAGTAATGAACCTGATCTGCAATCCTTCTACACTCCACGGGATAAGCTCCATACTGGTGTGTTAATAGACATATACGAGGTGTTTGCCGGTAACAAGCAGTTGGTGCACTTGAAGGGTAAACCACTAGGTCAGTTCACCTTTGATACGCTTGACTCGGGCCAACACATGATATGCATCACGCCCCGAAGTTTCTATAGGAAATGGCTGGCGGTTGGGGCCAGCGATCCCATCGCCATCCATGAGTCCAAGTTCAAGCGGGCCCGAATTCTGCTAGACTTTGAGGTGGGTGATAGTTTTTTGGTCGATTCCTCCTTTACTGGTGATGTTCAGCAACTCACCAACCGAGTCAAGAAGTTGAACGACAAGTTGTCGGATATCAAACAGGAACAGTTGTTTATCAAGATGAAGGAAGAGTTGTTCCGTGACTTGTCGGAATCCACCAATGTCCATGTATGGCAATGGCTGGTGTTTCAGTTTTGGGTATTCTTGATCATGGGCATGTATCAGTTGCTAACCCTTCAGCGGTTCTTCATCAAGGAGAAGATCGATTGAACTCAACACATTCTCATTTAGTCGGGGCTGGTCCCTTTATAGATAAAATCAATAATCCAAAAGTGCGACTCACTAATGACGAAGAAGAGCTTTGATGATAGGTCCCAAACACGAATAAGTCTTTCTATCAAGGCCCACCGGTCTTCTACCACAGATGCCCGCCCCGTACCGCTCAGCCATTCGCGTACGTTCCAATGGAGCGAAACCCCCGCCGTGTCAGTGGAAATCAACTCTCCTGACTTCCTCTTCAAATATGGCCAAGCATGTTATATGGACTCGTCGGCGTCACTCATCGCCATTGGCACCGAACGGGGCTACGTGGTGGTGTTTGGCTACCATCAGGAAGTTATTCACGTGCTTACACCCGAACATACCACTGCTATACCCGAGCTGCCACCCATTTCCCTGACCGGGTACATTGTTAATACGTCAGTCTCCAGCTTGGCGATATCACTGGACCTGACAGTGGTGGTTTCTGGGCACACCAACGGCCTCATAGTCATATGGGAGTTGAAATCAGGCCAGGAACTCACCCCACCACTCCACCAAATCAAACCCATCACTTTTCAAGACCGATTCCACAAGAACAAAGAGGGCCATTTGAGTATCACCATCACCAGCATCAAAATCTTCCACGATAATCAGATCGTGTCAAGTGACGTGTCGGGGCTAGTGTTCTACCACCACGGGGTAAAGAGTCTTCTCGCCCGAAACTACATAACCCAGAAGTTATTGGGTAATAACGATTCGAATGGGATTCCAAGTCCCAAATATAGGATTTACGACATGGATATCTTGGCTCTTGGTAACACTCCTCAAATCACCGATCTGATAGGAATGCTAGCCGTCGTCACAGGACTGATGGTGGCGGTTTTGTCGGTGTTTTCGATGGATAACCCCAATAATTTGTACCTTAAAACCCACTTCAAAATGCAAGTCCCCAAAGCCGTGAAACTCACGCTGGACTCATTGGCATGCACGGGCTGGTTCCCGTGCATGGAGTACGAGGGAGTGGTATCCAATGCCAAGTTGGCAGTTTCGTGGAACAACTGCTTGTCGATACTTGAGGTGGACAATGCCATTCTTCCAGCTAACTTCGTCGGCGTCATCAATGACTTGCGGAGCAAAGACAAGTCGATTCCAACGCTACCGATCTCCCGGACTGCCAGGAAGTACTTGAAGGACCCCATCATTTCCTTGAAGTGGATGTCCACCAGCTCTGTGTGCTGTTTTACCCATAAGGAGGTTATTATATTGTACTATAAAAATCAAGGCCATGAAAGCCTTAAGATCATAGGAAAGGAGCCATTGGGCTACGTTCCAAACAGCTTGGACTTCAAACTCAACAAGGACCATATCAGCCGAACTTTTAACAGCTCCATTAAGCTTGTAAAAATGAGAGTACTTCTTTTGAACCAAAAGCATCACCATTCGCAATTGGCAATCGGGAAACCTATCAGTTGGAATGATAAGTTGGCCGAGTTGTTGGCAAAGAAATACTACGAGGAAGCATTGAATGCCTGCTATTTCTTCTATTCTTCCAAGGGTATTGGGGAATTGGTTCTCTTTTCGCTCCCAGAATCCAAGGCCATTAGGAAGAAATTGGTGCATCCGTATTTGATGAAGATATTATGGCAGTCCATTCCACACTTCAGTAACTGTGCCGTATACTTTAGGATCTTGGCCACTTTGATTGGGGAGTCAAAAGAAATCGATTCAGAATTGACGGAAATGATCGAGATGTTGTACGAGACAGTGTCAGATAAAGCAGAATTCTTTGACAGTCTTGAAAACTATCTTATTTCGGGGACAATTACAACATTGTCACCTTTGGTCTTAAAGGCGCTCGTATCTTATTATGGAGAATGTGGTAAAGGTGAACCTTTGACAGAAATATTGTGCACAATCAACATCACGTTTCTTGACATTGACTTGACCATCCAAGTGTGTCAAAAGAACAAGCTTGACGAATGCTTGATATTCGTTTATAATTTCTTGATTCACGATTACGACACACCTTTATTGCATTTCTTGTCGGAGATTCAGAACAATCGAGTTGATCCTCGAAACGAATCTAAGGTTTTCAACTACTTGTCCTACATCTTGACAGGCAGACAGTATCCGATTGACAAATTTATAGAATATTCAGAGGAGCAAAGAGCCAAGCTTCGGACAATCAACATTCTATTCAGGCATGAAACTGAGTTTCTTGGGATTCAAGTGAAGGAAACATCAATATTTCCTATATTAACGATGCTTTTGAAGTACAATTCCTTCGAAATGCTTTCTACATTGAATGAGTTTTTCGAAGATTCAATTTTAAACGAGGAAATTGAGAGTTCCATTTCCCGTCAGTTCATTATAGATGCGTTATTGGATATTTATGCTTCCAATGACTTTTCAAATACAGATAAGTGCCATCTATCGATATTTGTTGGACGAAACTACTCCAAATATTCACAGTTCATCAGATTAAGTGACTCAATTCTTAATCAAATTCTTGACAATCTTTTGAATTTCAACCATCCGGAGATCAAGGTCGATTGTGAACTTGCGATCCAAAGTTTGTTGACTGCTTTTGAGCCATTTGATGAAAAGAAGCTAATTGAAAAACTCAGCTACAAAAAGTTCTACAATGTTTTGATAAGCATATACAAGGGAGAAGGAAAGTACTACAAAGTTTTACAAATATGGCTTAACCAACTTGATGAAGGTCATGCGGACTTGACCAATGTCAAAGATGAGCTGTTCAATGTACTCACTGAGTGTTTTAGTAACACCAAGCTAGGTATCGATAAGGTGAATCTCAACACTTTAATCAAGGATAACTTCGTCAAATTGGCTACCATTAACACGAACAACTTTGTCTACATAATTAACAACTATGAGCCATCTTTGCACAAACAGATCCTAAAAGTCAATGAAGGTTCAGTTGTGTTCAGCTATTTGGATGAATTATTCAAATTGGGATGCAACGATTCGGAGTTGATTGTGAAGTATTCTGAGTGTTTGAGCCAGTTCAACTCGTCACACCTTTATGGATTCCTAAAGGCGAAGTACCAATTTGTTGAAGGAAATGACATCCACAACTTGGAAACTATTTTGTCAGATGCCAAGCAGATCAATGCGTTGACAATACCTCTAACCAGCGAGGGTAAATACCAAGAGAGTTTGGACTACTTACTCGAGCAATTGGAAAGTATCAAAGAGCTCGAAAAGTTTGATGAGTCGTTCAAATTGTATTTGCTGATAATCGAATCTCCTGGTTTCTATAGCCAACAGCAAATGTCAACAGCCTCTCTTGCATTGAACTTGAATGAGCAATATTGGTTGAAGTTGATAGACTGCTTGATTGGATTGTCCAAGGAGATGCCTACCATCAACGAGTTCATCTATAAGAGTTTCAGGAAGATAAGTGACATCAAGCTTAACCCCAATGACAAAAATGAAACGTCGTTTTTAAAGATCTTCGACACATTTCTTAACAATAATGACCAGACCACCCTCTTGAACGTCCGGAACATCTTGATTGAGATCCTTATCAGCTACAGCTATGAGAGTGAAATTCTCCGATTGAGTTACAAAATCATCAACCAAAACATCCACGATAAGTTGAATGTAATTAAGTATCACAACCTCAAGGGATGGCTGATAAGCTGCAAGCACTGCACTAACTGTGGTAAACAGCTCTACGGCTCCCACATCGACTTGAGCAACTTCATGGTTTGGGAACAACGACAACAAACCGTATTGAACATGATGTCAGATGTGAAAGATGCTGAAAGCACAGACCAGTTGCGGTTGGTGTTTTTCAAGTGCAATCATGGTTACCACTACAAGTGTCTTCGGAACTTGAGTAGCGACACCTGTGTGGTATGCACCCAATAAGTCTGTCATAGCTGTGCTTGTATTAGCATTGATGGGGCGACATAGCGTGATTTCTGTAGAATGGAGAAACTGGAGAGGATACAGTCTTCACCATAACACAAATACCCTTATATATCTAATTTAACACAAGCCATGAAATTATAGTTACATGTGAATTAATGGCTGTTGATTATCGCAAAATTCACAAAATTCACCAGTGTTCATAAAATCTAATAAAATCCAATGCGTGTATTTGACAAGCTCAGGTTTATCTATCTGTTATTACTACACATAACAGCAGCATGGGAATGGAATATTGCAAAGATATTTTTGCACAAGACTAATAGTGTATCATTAAGGTTATACCCAAACAGGAATATCAAGTCTAAAATAGAATTTAAACTTTGTACTCCAGAAGGGAGGAACCCTTTGCACCAATGGCATTGGTGTTGAATGAACCTCGTGGCACCTTCGAACCTTGCCGCCCATCCGGAAAAGCCGTCTACGTAGGCAGTTTTAAGTTTTGAGTCGCCGACAAATTATAATTGAGCTGCGAATCTCCCGATGTAGCAATATCTAAATAAACTCCATTTGCAGCTAAAATTAGACCACCAGTGAGAAACTCCTGAAGCCTAAAATCGAAAATTTTCATTTTTTTTTGTATATCATCATGAGTGACTTCAGTGACGACGACTTGTTCGAGTCACCGACCCGGAGGAACTCCGAAGACCACAATCCATTCAATACTCCCAGACCCTTTTCTGAGACGTCTTTCCAACCATTCTATGGAACAATGAACATGTACAACACGGCTTATGGAATGCCCCTAAGCCACAACAACCTGGTAGCAAGCCCCAGCGAATTTGATGATACGTTGGAAGGAAGTATGATAGATACCAGCATGAACCACAGCTTGAATCACCACATGAACCACAGCATGAGCCAGATGAGCCAACCATTCATGCCTCCACAGCTTCCAGCACAATTATACCAACCGTACCAGCAGCGCCACCGGGGCCCCCTGGGTTCTAACTACACACTGAGCACGATTGTGGGCGAAGAAATGAAGTTGAAGCGCCTGAAAACAGTAGCCTTTCACGAAATAACCCCCGAATACCCCGACACTGCATACCAGAACACCTACTATCACCAAGATGAATACAACCCTAACCCTTACGACTACAACTACGACATGAGAATGATGCCCACCAGGCAGTTGACGTTTAATGGAGATAATTACATGACCAACCAGTTGAGGGATGTGGACGACGATGGAGATCTTGATCCGTTTGGAGACGAAGAATCGCTTTTCCTGGAGATGTCCAACGAGGTGAACCGACAAAAGAGTATCCGAGTTAAGGCTGGAGACTTGTTAGACGAGGACGAGGATGATTTGGACGACTATAAGCCCAAGTTGAACTACAGTAAAACCCTCAAAAGAGCCCGTCTTGTCAACGGTAACTACGTGGTAGATTGTCTGGTGCCCAAGACGTTATTGGAAACTTACGGAAAGAAAATCACCGATGGTGGAAAGGAAATGTCACTCTTGCGATACAGTGCTTGTACGTGCGGACCTTCGAACTTCAGTGCATTCAAGTACTCCTTACGGCAGGACATGTATACCCCCAAGAGAGACACCGAAATCATGTGTGTAATTACGATGTACAACGAAGATGAGATCTTATTGGCCCGTACCTTGAAGGGGGTGTTTAACAACATCAGCAACTTGACCAATAGAAACCACCCCGACTGGGGTGAGGATTCTTGGAAGAAGGTGGTGATCACCATCGTCACCGATGGACGGCTGGCTCTTAACGAGCGGACTGAGAAGTTGTTGCTGGCATTGGGGATTTACCAGGATACCTACGCCAAGTCCAAAATCAACAACAAGTCGGTGAAGGCCCACGTGTTTGAGTACACGTCAACGGTGGGAATTGAAACCATCAACGAGAACAGAATCCACTTGACCGTCAATGACAATCCGGTGCAGTTTATCTTCTGTTTAAAGGAGAAGAACTTGAGGAAAATCAATAGTCATCGGTGGTGTTTCCAGGCGTTCGCACCCATCTTGCAGCCAAAGGTGGTGATGCTTTTGGACTGTGGGACCGTTCCTCAAAAGGATGCTTTCTTCCACTTGTGGAGATCCTTCAACGATCCGAACGTGGCGGGAGCATGTGGAGAGATGAAAACCGGGTTGGGACCAAACAAACTGCTTTTGTTGAATCCATTGGTGGCGGCACAGAACTTTGAGTACAAGATCTCCAACGTGCTAGACAAGCCGATGGAATCTGTGTTTGGGTTTATTTCGGTATTACCAGGAGCTTTTTCGGCGTACCGGTACGAAGCATTGTTGAACGTCAACGGAAAAGGGCCTTTGGAGAAGTATTTTAAAGGGGAGTTTTTGCACCACAGCAACAAGATTGATGAAAACGACGATGATGATGAAAAGGAGTTGAAAGAGAAGAGCTATAGAGAAGTGGGTATTTTTACCAGCAACATGTACTTGGCCGAAGATAGAATTTTGTGTTTCGAGTTGGTGGCCAAGAAAGGATGCAACTATATTTTGAGATACGTGAACGAAGCTAAGGCCGAAACCGATGTTCCTGAGACCATTGAAGACTTTGTGTTGCAAAGAAGAAGATGGTTGAATGGTTCGTTGTTTGCAGCGTGCTACTCGATTTTCCATTGGACCAAGATATGGAAGAGTCAGCATCTGTTGTTGCGGAAGCTCGTGTTACAGGTGGAATTCTACTACCAGTTGGTGACTATTTTGGTGTCGTGGTTTTCGCTTGCGAGTTTCTTTCTTGTGTTTGACATCTTGACGTCGAACTTGGGTTCTAAGACCATTGACTTTGAGGTGGGCAAGTACTTGTCAATAGTGGCCTTATGGCTCTACGTGGTGGCGATCATTTGTACGTTTGTGTTAGGGTTTGGAAATACTCCGAGAGGAACGAAAAAGTTCTACCTCGCCATTAGCATTACATTTGCGGTGTTGATGCTATACATGCTTTTCGCAGCCGTTTATTTGGCGGTGAGCACGGTGAATTCGATCTTGAAAAACAATCACTTCACGGCCCTCATGCTTGTTTCCAACGAGAAGTTTAGGGACTTGGTGATCTCCATGGCCAGTACATACGTCTTGTACTTTGTGGCGGCATTGATATATGGGGAACCCAGTTTTATGGCCACCTCATTTTTACAGTACTTGCTTCTTTCACCCACTTATGTGAATGTGTTGAACATTTACTCCTTCTGCAACATCAACGACATATCGTGGGGTACCCGAAGCGACCCCCAGGCTCGGGATCTTGGCCAGGCCAAAAGCACCGGTGAAAAAGATGGCGATGTGTTGATGATGGTAAGCGGTGGAGATGAGCTCGAAGTAAATGACAAGTATATGAACACGCTTGAGGAGTTACGGGTGGTACCTGATAAGGTAGAGAAGATCAACGCCAGAAAGGATAAAGATGACAACTACTACGCGTTGATTAGGACCATCACCGTGTTGGTGTGGGTATTCTCCAACTTGATTTTAATTGCCATTGTGTTGGAAATTGGAGGCATGAGCCAGGTCATGCAGGTGACAAGCTACACAATGATCAGCAACAACTCAGAGGTATTTTTATCGATCATTCTTTGGTTGGTTGCGGGTTTGGCGTTGTATCGGTTTATAGGAAGTGTGTTATTTTTGGTGTTCAAGGTGTTTCGGCCCTTGAAGTGGAAGATCCGGGGGAGGGGGTAGAGTAGAATACATAATACCATTGAAATAGTAGACACATATTCTGTTTGAAATGAATGCAAACAGTTCTGACCCTACACCCACGGAGCTCCTAGATATATTGGAGTGGAGAATTATTGGATATGATCCCAGTAACGGGCAAGGCAAACGCGATGGCATTTTGGTCCGCACGAAGGCCGCCCGTTGTGGCTTGTGCCCCACTCCAAGAATTATCGGTACTATACCGACAAAAACACCATCGGCACTAAATCTATGCTTGCAAATTCGTCTGCAATGAAATTAGCACCGTTGAATGAGCCAATTTCTTGACGAGGTAACCATGGTGTTCCAACGCTATTCCTACCATTCCCCACCCCAAATAGGAGTCAAAGGCCCATTAATTGTCCACATATAACCAAACCATCGGAGTCTTTTGGCGGAGCCCGAAACCGACCCAGCCGCTACAACCGTTGGTGCGACAGATGAAAATTTTTTCCGCTGGCCGCACTGTATTGGTGCCAATGAGAGGCGCCCGTCCGCACGATATTTTTTACTGGTTACCATAACAAACAGCGGGAAGTAATACGGGTCGAATGACGTAGACACCCAGAAAAGAACACTGGGATGAATGGCTCTCATTGGGTGAATGGCTTTCTCGTGAGGGGAATGCAAACCGTTGGGGGAATGGAGACGGCTGGGAGCCAGACAACTGGTCAATTGCTGGCAAGAAGTTTTATGGATGGTACCTGGAACCTGAACCCCAATTAGGAACCAATTACCTGGGGGTGCTCCCAGGGGAATGGATTGGAAATTTGTTGAGCTTCCACTACCGCTGAGGACGGGGTGAGGATTATTGGTGCATGAATTGCTTTTTTTTCTCACTTTGCTTGACAGATGCTAACTAAGCGGATAAGCGAAACAATCGGAAACAACTAACGGCAAGAGGCATTAATTTTTTTTACAGGTTATTGTCGATGAAGTGGAAGCTTCGGAACAGCTGGGAACCACATATTCTTTATATGATATTGAAATGTCTACCAGAAAGATAAAAACTTGAAAGATGGGCGGTGGGGTAAATGTACACCCCATCCTTTGGGCCCTGGCATGTGGGCAACCTCCCAGGTGAAATGCTGGGCCTATCTGCTAATCTTTTGAAAAGTAATTCTTTGTAGATAAGCACAGAAGCATCTCACCTGACCGGAAATGGCAACTCCCAGCAGATAAGAACAGGTCAACTACGTATATGCAGAGCGCCGGTCCCACACATTTTATTTACAGGTTAGGTTTTGGGCATTACACCGACGGTCTGAAAATCTCAAGGAGTTAAAAGGATAATAACAAAAGCTTCAATTGAAGTGACAGGTAATACTGTTGATGGTTAGTATACGTAGACGGTGAATGAATTAATGACATAGAACAGTAAAACAACCGGCAATCCCAACATTTCCGACGGTTACATGCAAAATTGTATCCGGAGTATCCTATTGGTATCATCGGTTATATAGTGAGAGAATTTTTATTTCCAAGCATAATGTAAAGGGTGGACTCGGCTATCACCCGAAAGGACTTATCACCGTTGACTTTAAAAGGGTTATGGTCAAGCAATACCCGGCAGAATATTGGTTATGGTGACCGGGTTTACTGACCGGGTTTGCTGACCTGGCCAATTAATTCGATCCGGTGGAGCATACCAAAAGAAAGTATTACCAGCAACTTTAAACCAACAATTTTACTAGATAATAGAACAAAAAGGTGCAAAACCAGCAAAGTGTAAACAATGCAGGCACTAGATTGAGGGAAAGGCTGGCCCAATTGAGATCCCGGGCATGCAAGGTGCAATGTATGTCTCGGCAGGCACCACCGGCAGTCCTGGGCACAACCAGCAAAGTCGGCCCGCCCCAGTGTGTGTAACCGGCCGTAATGGGCCGAGTTTACATATAAAATTAATGAGGGAATTATTTTACCTGGGTAAAAAATGTCGTACGCCAATACCTGTAAAATTTATTACCCATTTCAGCCGCTTTTAAAACATTTTCAAAATAAAGATTTTTTTGTCAGATATTTCATTTGTTGAAAAAATTATTTAAATATCCCAGATATCCCTGAATTTTAATCTCTTTTTTTCTTTCGTTTTCTTAACTTTTTAGACTAGTTAGCTGTTCTTGTATTAGTAAACATGAGTGCTGCTACTGAACCAACCAAAGAAAAAGTTGATAAGGCTTTGTCTGATGACGAAGATGAAGATATTGACCAATTAATTGAAGATTTACAATCTGTCAAGGCTGGTCTCGAAGAATCTGATGACGAAGTCGACGAAGGTTCTTTCAAGGCCGTCCCAGATGAATTGTTGCAAACCGACCCTTCTACCGGTTTGACTGCTGATGAAGTGAACAAGAGAAGAAGAAAGTACGGTTTGAACCAGTTGGCTGATGAGTCTGAAAACATGTTTGTTAAATTCATCATGTTTTTCGTCGGTCCAATTCAATTCGTTATGGAAGCCGCTGCTGTTTTGGCTGCTGGTTTGGAAGATTGGGTTGATTTCGGTGTGATTTGTGGTTTGTTGATGTTGAACGCCGCCGTTGGTTTCATTCAAGAATACCAAGCCGGTTCTATTGTCGAAGAATTGAAGAAGTCTTTGGCTAACACTGCTTTTGTTATCAGAGATGGCTCCTTGGTTGAGGTGCAATCTTCTGAAATTGTGCCTGGTGATATTTTGCAATTGGAAGACGGTACCGTTATTCCAGCCGATGGTAGAATTGTGTCTGAAGACTGTTTCTTGCAAGTTGATCAATCTGCTATCACTGGTGAATCTATGGCTGTTGACAAGAAGCACGGTGATGCTTGTTACTCTTCTTCCACCGTGAAGACCGGTGAAGCTTTCATGATTGTTTCTGCTACCGGTGACTCCACCTTTGTCGGTAGAGCCGCCGCTTTGGTTAACAAGGCTTCTGCTGGTACTGGTCACTTCACTGAAGTGTTGAACAGTATCGGTACGATTTTGTTGGTTTTGGTTATCGTTACTTTGTTGGTCGTGTGGACCGCCTGTTTCTACAGATCCGTGAGAATCGTGCAGATTTTGAGACACACTTTGGCCATCACCATTGTGGGTGTGCCAGTTGGTTTGCCAGCTGTTGTCACCACCACCATGGCCGTCGGTGCTGCTTACTTGGCTAAGAAACAAGCTATTGTTCAAAAATTGTCTGCCATTGAATCTTTGGCTGGTGTCGAAATCTTGTGTTCCGATAAAACCGGTACCTTGACCAAGAACAAGTTGTCTTTACACGAACCTTACACTGTTGAAGGTGTTGAAGCCGATGACTTGATGTTGACTGCTTGTTTGGCTGCCTCTAGAAAGAAGAAGGGTTTGGATGCTATTGATAAGGCTTTCTTGAAGTCTTTGATCTCGTACCCAAGAGCTAAGAATGCTTTGACTAAGTACAAGGTTTTGGAATTCCAGCCTTTCGACCCTGTGTCCAAGAAGGTTACTGCTATTGTTGAATCTCCAGAAGGAGAAAGAATTGTTTGTGTTAAGGGTGCCCCATTGTTTGTTTTAAAGACCGTCGAAGATGACCACCCAATTCCTGAAGATATTCACGAAAACTACCAAAACACCGTTGCCGAATTTGCTTCCAGAGGTTTCAGATCTTTGGGTGTTGCTAGAAAGAGAGGTGAAGGACACTGGGAAATCTTGGGTATTATGCCATGTATGGATCCTCCAAGAGATGACACTGCTGCTACTGTTAACGAAGCTAGAAGTTTGGGTTTGAGAGTCAAGATGTTAACTGGTGATGCCGTTGGTATTGCTAAGGAAACTTGTAGACAATTGGGATTGGGTACCAACATTTACGATGCCGACAGATTGGGTCTTTCCGGTGGAGGTGACCTTGCTGGTTCTGAAATTGCTGACTTTGTTGAAAACGCTGACGGTTTCGCTGAAGTGTTCCCTCAACACAAGTACAATGCCGTTGAAATTTTACAATCTAGAGGTTACTTGGTTGCCATGACTGGTGATGGTGTTAACGATGCTCCATCTTTGAAGAAGGCTGATACCGGTATTGCTGTCGAAGGTGCTACCGATGCTGCTAGATCTGCTGCTGATATTGTTTTCCTTGCCCCTGGTTTGTCTGCTATCATCGATGCTTTGAAGACCTCCAGACAAATTTTCCACAGAATGTACTCTTATGTTGTTTACCGTATTGCTTTGTCTTTGCACTTGGAAATTTTCTTGGGTTTGTGGATTGCTATCTTGAACGATTCTTTGGATATTAACTTGATTGTGTTTATTGCTATCTTTGCCGATGTGGCCACTTTGGCCATTGCTTATGACAATGCTCCTTACGACCCTAAACCTGTTAAGTGGAACACCCCAAGATTGTGGGGTATGTCCATCATCTTGGGAATCATTTTGGCTGTTGGTACTTGGATCACCTTGACCACCATGTTCATGAAGAAGAACGGGGAAATCCACGGTATTATCCAAAACTGGGGTGCCATTGACGGTATCTTGTTCTTGCAAATTTCCTTGACTGAAAACTGGTTGATTTTCATCACCAGAGCTCAAGGTCCATTCTGGTCCTCTGTTCCATCCTGGCAATTGTCTGGTGCTGTCTTAATTGTTGACATCATCGCTACTATGTTCACCTTGTTCGGTTGGTGGTCTCCAAGATGGACTGACATTGTTACTGTTGTCAGAACCTGGATCTGGTCTTTCGGTGTGTTCTGTGTCATGGGTGGTGCTTACTACTTGATGTCTGAATCCAGCGCCTTTGACGACTTCTGTAACAGAAGAAAGACCAAGCCTACGCATGACTCTAGAGCTTTCGAAGATTTCTTAGTGTCCATGCAAAGAGTGTCTACTCAACACGAAAAGTCCACTTAAGAAGGTTCGGTTTAATGCTTGATATGTGAGCCATTGGGTTTGTGGTTGTGCTATTGGCTGATGTGAGCTAAAGAGATTGTTATGTTATTTTGGGTATCTCTGTGTTTGTGTTTGCTGGTGGCTTGACTGCTTTTTCCAAGGCCTTTATTCCTGCTCGTTCTTTTGTGTTTTTTTCTCCTGCGACTTTGGTGGTAGGCTGCAATTTTTATCATCCCATACGGATTCTGAGTTATGATTATAGAAATTTGCGGTTGATGGGTTGCGTCCTATACCTTTGTCGTTTCCATTCTTTTTTTATATTTATTTGATTCCCATCCCCATATTTTACGTTTTATAGTAATAGATAATAGTACTTTGGTTGTTTGTAGATTTAAGGCTGCAAAATTTCCCTCGCGCTTTTACCACCTAATTGCCGAAGTTGCCATCACGTGGGAATACCCCCATTTTGTAAAGTTTGATGTTTGGTCTCCATCATACACTTGCTATAGTCAAGGTACTATCAATGATGACATTCCGGTCTCACATTCTTCTTGTAGTGGCAATGTTTGTAAATTGGTTAGCAGACTCTTTTGGTGCTCAGACGAACCGCAAATCGAAAAATTTTTCTCTGAGTTTCTCTCGAATCAAAATTGAACCAGGTTTTTTACTACGTCCTTTTAACTACTAAAAGTGATTTATCACATTTTTGCACTTCAGACCACTTGACTTCTTACTAGTCACGTTGCCCATCTGCCCCCACCGCATTCCCGGATCCCTGTTTGCAATCAGCAACCCTGATTTTCTCCCGTTCCGGTTTTCCACAGTCTTCCGTTCTTGATTCCCCACCAGAAACTGTTATTCACTTGTGAACAGTCTATAGGGTTTATTCGCCACTATTTGCTTGTTGCTGTTTCCTTTACTTTCTGCATAAAGAAGTGCCTTTGATTCTTCTTTTGTACATTATTGTATATTACCTATCATCAACCACAAAGAGATTCCACCCAAAAGGTGCCAAACCCCCAAAAAGCATTCCCCATATCCCAGTGTATTCTAGCTTCTATTCCCTCGCATTTCCGTCATGTCCGCTGCATCCAACAAAGAGTCTCTTCGTCCTGATGACCCATCCGCAACTAATTTGGGTATCAAATCCCGGTCTATTTCCGTCAACTCGACTCCATTGTTGACGGGTGACATTCGCTCGTCTTCTATCGCCGCCGGATCTATCGCTGGTGGCTCCAACTTCTTCAGAGATGGCAGTGAAATCGAGTTGTCCCAAAATTTGGACATTGTTGGAGCCCTTAACAACTTGAAATTGGACGAAGAAATCAACAGTTTTGACCATTTCAATTTGAACACCGCTGCCAAAGGCTCCAACGGGGACCGAAACATCGCATCCACCGACGAGTCTGTTACTGACTCGTCCACTCCGGCCAACGAAAACTCCAGGGACTTTGGAAACTTGACTCCAAATCCCTCCAACTTCGAGTTTAACAACTTCATGCATGCCACCCCCAACACCTGGAACTACAACGTCAGTCAGTTTGTTCCACAATCAGCTCCTCCATTTGTGTACGGTATCAATGTCAATCCGGACTATGAACACGACTTGCACGACAAAATGCCCCAAAACTTTGAATTGCCAGATGAACCTCCACAGGACGGCACTAGAAACTTAAACTTGCCATTCTCGACACCTCCCTTGGTTGGAACCCTGAACTTTTCCAATTTTTCTGGGGCTGCCATGCCTGAGAGAAACTCTTCTGTTTCAAAAGACAATTCGTCTAGTGAGGGTGAATTGGACACCTCTACCAAGACCGATAACACCAAAGTAACTCCCCACCAGTTGTATCAGCCATTTTCGATCACCCCCAACTCCACCTCTCAGCCTGAGTTCAGTACTCTTAAGTTTGATCCTACTCAACCAGCATACCAACCTAGTAATGAAATGTACTTGGGAAACAACTTCTGGGCAAGTGCTCAGGTTCAACAACAGGTTCAACAACAAGTCCAGCAGCAGGTCCAGCAACAAGTTCAACAGGTTCAGGAACAGGTCCAGCATCAGGTTCAACAGCAGTTGATGAACTCACAAATGAACATGAGAAGCAATTTCTTGAGTTCGGTTCAACCAACGCAGACCAACTCCAATCGGTTCAACCGTCGTTCCAACAACTTAATGAACCAACAATCGAACTACCTGTCAGGCTCTTCGATCGACTCGGGTTCCAACAACCATGGAAACAACAACTACAACGACGTGATGAATGTCCATAGAAAGTTGCACAACAACCCCAACAGAAGAAAGGGTGATGATGCCACTAAGTACATCAACGCCAAGTTGGAAGATTTCACTGGAGAAATCTTCTCCTTGTGCAAGGATCAGCATGGATGTCGATTTTTGCAAAGACAATTGGATTTGGGCAAGGACATCGAAAACAAGCAAAACGCCAACAATATCCTTTCGTCTGATATTGCTGCCACCATGATTTTCAACGAAATCTACTTGAAGATTATTGAGTTGATGATTGATCCCTTTGGAAACTACTTGATCCAGAAGTTGTTTGAAAACGTTTCGGTCGACCAGAGAATCATCTTGGTGAAGAATGCGGCTCCTGACTTCATTCGGATCGCCTTGGACCCTCATGGCACCAGGGCTTTACAGAAGTTAGTGGAGTGCATTTCAACTGAAGCCGAGTGTAAGTTGATCATCGACAATTTGTCTCCTCACATTGTTTCGTTATCGAGAGACTTGAACGGTAATCACGTTGTACAGAAGTGTTTACAGAAGTTATCGTCCAAGCAAAACCAGTTCATTTTTGACACTGCTTCTCTGCACTGTAACGATATTGCTACTCATAGACATGGATGTTGTGTGTTGCAACGGTGTTTGGACTATGGAAATGCTGCTCAAAGAAAACAATTGTCCAGCAAGATCGCCGAAAATGCCACCAATTTATCGTTGGATCCTTTTGGAAACTACGTGGTGCAATATGTCTTGTCCAGAGGTGATGAACAGTCAGTTGCAATCATTTTGAACCACATCAAGTCTCATCTCATTGTCTTATCATTGCACAAGTTTGGGTCCAATGTCATTGAAAAGTCGTTGAGAATCTCCAAGTTGACCAACGGGTTGGTGCAAGCATTGTTGATGAATGCTGACCATTTCCAGGACTTGTTGAATGATCCATTTGGAAATTATGTCTTGCAAACCAGCTTGGATGTGGCCACCAAAGCTGACTTGGTGAAATTGTCGCTGGCATTACAGCCTTTACTTCCAAATGTAAAAAATACCCCCCATGGAAGAAGAATCATGTCCAAGGTTCAAAGCATTGTGCTCTAGCGGGCATGAGTATTTATAGTAGTTTCATTGTATTTTAGAGTGTAAATAATGCAAACAAAAGTTTAATCTTGATCGCGACTTTGTGAAGAGCGAAATCTTATCTGCAATTTCTCCTAAAGAACATTAAAATGACCGTTAACGGCTCGAACCCCCTGGATTCGGATAACTTTGCATCCATTGATAATAAAACATATAAAGACACCGTCCAGTCTTCAAATCCCAGAAAAAGGCCCATGAAAAAGAGAAAGTATAGTCGGGGTGGATGCGAAGAGTGCAAACGGCGCAAAATGAAATGTGATGAAGGGAAACCTTTTTGCTACAACTGCACTCGGCTCAACAAGGCTTGTGTTTATAAGTCCAAGAACAAGTTTAATATCAGTTCAGGTCCTGAAGTTCAGGTACCAGAGCTGGATCAAATGTCTGTTTCTACATCGCAAAGCTCTTCGCACCATAGGAACAGACCTATTCCCAACAAAGTACCGACTCAAAACTCCCCCCAAACATTCTCAGTACAACATTACATGCCCAGTGGCGAATACATGAACACTTTTGTTCGAGTAGACCTGCCGGCCACGCCGTCTGGCCCTCCCCTTCAATATTCATTCCTGGAGCGAGAACCTTTAAACCCGGTACCGCTACCGGGAAACTTCACGCTGCTACTGCCGTCGAATGGATCCACCGCTGCAGCTTCGCCGCTGGGCCGGGCGTTTAAAAATGCCATTTCGGATATCTTATCACCCTCAAATGGTGATAACTTTGCTAGTGACACAGATTGGCAGGAAATGAAGCATCTCTTCGACGAGGCCACGATTCTCGTGAGCGATATGAACGATCTCCAGCTGTTTGATTTGCTCAACTATAACAACTTGGACCATCTTGATAATCGAGACTATCTCCACAAGAAGACTGACCCATTGGGACTGGTGGAGATGCCGTTCTTGGACCAAAAAATTGAAAAGGAACAACTGAAGGCCCGTCGACAGCACAACTCTCCTGCCACTCTTGGTGCTTCCAGCTCCCCCACCGCTCTTAGTGCAATTTCTCATCCAAATTCGATGGCCAGTAACAGCCCCAGAAACACTTTTAGCGACACCTTTGAGAAGCATGTGTTTGAAATCAACGAGTTCTCTCAGGAGATTATCAACAACTCCAACAACGGCAAGTACCAGTTTGAAAACGACTTGACTCCTCAGACTAACCAGGTCCAAGGATCCGTGTCCAACACTGAGTTGATCGAATACACCATCAAGCAGCACCGTCTCGTGGGCCCCCATGCAGCGTACTTGCGGTACTTGAACAAGAAGGTCACCGGCGATGCGTTCTTCCCATTTGCGTCTTCAGTGGAACACAATGAAGTAGTGAATGTGCTCCTTAAATATTCCAACAACTGCCCTTACTTGTTGAGTGCATTACTTGCCATGATAGCTACCGTCGAGTTCAACATCACCGGTAAGCCAGTACACGAGTTGAGTGGGCAAAAGTACGTTTCCGTGTGCCTCAAGTCGCTAAGTCAAGCATTTGCCAGTAATAGCTCCAATAAAGTGGACCAATTCCTCAACGACATCGAACGGTTGCTTTTGACGGTGATTCTTCTCAGTTCCATCTTCTCTTCCAAGACCTACGAGAACAACGACAACATCCTCAACAGTTGGAAAACCCACCTACGCGGAACAAAAGACTTATTGATCAACTACAGCAATACTACCACCAAAAGAAACACTCGAGGGGTTTCCCGTGGCACTGCTCTAGCTCGAACGTGGTTCTTTGCCATAGAGTCGCTCGCCAGCATCACCACCCCGTTTGGAGGAACTCTCAGCAGTCGTCGCAAAGAAGAAAACCATCAATACTCAACCTCCGACATCGACACCAACGACAAGGTGTTTCTCGACACTGGGTACTTTGGCAAGGAGCAGAACCCCGACTATTACGAGGCTCTCGTGAGTATCGGCCTTATTGTCAAGAACAACACGGTGGAATTCAACCTTTTTCTAGGGTTTACCCTCGAGTTTGTGCTTTTGGTCAAGGAGTACACCAAGGTTCTGGAGTATCTTAGGGCTGCCGAGCCCAAGAATCGCCAGATCTCTTCGCCGCAAGTGCTAAAACTCTTGTCGTTGGTGGAAAAGAGTCAGATGGCTGTGCTAGCTCCGATGTTGAACACAAAAGATTGCACTATTCCCGAGTCCAGCCCAGCACACCCCCAGTTTCCTCGTATCGACCCCTACCGCCTCAACTTTCCCGAGGCTGCGTACGGGACCTACAAGTCACCTGAGGGCCATGTCACCGTGTATTCGTGGTTTGATCTCAGCCAGCAGATCCACACAGACCTGCTTTTTTTACGGGTTCTTCTCATGCCGGGGATCTTCCAGCTCCCCAAGTCGAGTCCTCTTGTCCAAGAGTTGCTCATGAAGCTCGCCAACCACTTGTTCTACGTGCTACCAAAAAATAGCCCTGACTACGACGCTCGCAAAGACATTATCCTATGTGAAACTGACAACTATTTTTTGTCGACAGATATGTTTGATTCCCGGGTGTTCATGACACAAAGTGCCTTCAGGCTCATCACTGGGCTACTTGACGATGACGATCACCTCGAGAAAATCGAGCTTATTTTCAAAGGTATGGTGGAGTTGGGAAACGGATCGGCAGTGGAGGCATTGAACAATGTGATTCTGCGCCGAACCTGGTTGCGGAGCCACCCTGCAGGCGGCAACCACGACCCCACTGAAGTGGAGCTCGCCCAACTGGAAGTGGTTCCATTCGCATAGTCGTCGTATACACGGGTTTATTTTACGCATCAAGGTTCATTCGTATTGGTCGTTTAGTGAGATGCGCGCGCTTCCTGCACCATTCGCCGCAGCTCGAAACTTTTCAATCCAAACATTGATTTGATTCTAACAACTATGTCGACAGAAGCGTCTCCTCTTTTGCAGACTCCTACCAACGACCTGGAAACCAAGCCAGGATACATCCCCAAAGATAAAATTGAATGGGAATTTGGCGGTCCCCTTGGGGCTGCTGGAATGATCTTTGGGTTCCCATTGTTGATGTGGTACATGTGGATTTCGGCCCAGTTCTACAACGGTGCCTTAGCCTGGCCCCAGGACGGCCAGTCATGGGGTGAGTTTGGATACGACTTATGGACCTACTTCGTCAAGTTTGGCTTGCCGTCATGGAAAACCACTGCTACCTTTCTTGGATTCGTGGTTGTTCAAGGTATCTTCTATTTGACCTTACCAGGATTCTGGACTAAGGGTCAGCCATTGGCCCACAAAAACAATGAGCAGTTGCCATACTTCTGCAATGCATTGTCGTCGTTGTACGTGACGTTGGCACTTTTGTTGGTGTTCCACGTAACAGGCATCTACGACTTGAGTACTCTTATTGAAGACATTGGAGAGTTCACCACCATTTCCATCTTCACCGGAGTTATCTTGTCGTTTTTGTTGTACTTCTATGTGCTCTTTGTATCCAAGGATTACCTCGACCTCACCGGAAACTTCATCTATGATGTTTTCCTTGGTACTACTTTGAACCCCAGAATTGGTAAGTACTTGGACTTGAAGATGTTTTTTGAAATCAGGATTCCATGGTACATCTTGTTTTTCTTGTCCTTGTCATTGGTATTAAAACAAATCAAGGACTACGGATCTCCCAGTGTCCAGGCGGTATTTTTGTTGACGGCTCATTGGTTATATGCCAATGCTTGTTCTAAAGGTGAAGAATTGGTGGTTCCAACCTGGGACATGGCCTACGAGAAGTTCGGGTTTATGTTGTTGTTTTGGAACATGGCAGGTGTGCCTTTTACCTACTACCACTGTATCTTGTATCTTGCTTACCATGACCCTAGTGAATATGCCTGGCCTTGGTGGGTCATGGTGGTTTTGTTTGTGGTTTTGTTTGCATCCTACTACCTTTTTGACACCGGTAACCGTCAAAAGAACAGCTTCAAGAAGCATATCGCTGGTGACAAGAAGATCAGAAAGACTTTCCCATACTTGCCATATTCGGATTTGGTTGACCCCAAATTCATTAAATGTGAAAATGGAGGGGTGCTTTTGACCGATGGCTGGTACGTGTATGCTCGTAAGGCCCATTACACGGCCGATTATATCATGTGCTTGACATGGGCCTTGGTATGTGGATTTGGTTCACCTTTGCCCTGGTTCCATCCGATTTTCTTCTTGATTGTTTTGGTTCACAGAGCTGCTAGAGACAGCAGAAAGTGTGCCAAGAAGTATGGGAAGGACTGGGACCGGTACTTGGAGGCTTGCCCCTACTTATTTATTCCCTATGTGTATTAGGACATTCACCATTACAAGCACAAGAGGAGGATTCACTATTTTAACATCATTTAGTCCACTCAACACAATTAGGACAGGGATTAACCTGTCTGATATCTCAATAAAAGTACTTGTTTTCATTCCTATACTACTAACTCTAATCCTGTTCGGATATGGCAACTAACCGTTCGTCAATCTCATCAGCACTTAAAATCCGGAACCCTTCTTCAGTAGCCACTCCGATCTCCACGTCGTTCTTACGGAACTCGGCTCCCAACACCGAGCTCAATGCATTGATTGCAAACTCCACGGTGTCCTTCCAGTCACCTTTGACGTGGTCCATCTTCTTAAACTTCTTTTCCAAGTATGTGGTGGCTTCTTGCAGTTTAGGTCCAGTAGATACCGCCTTTACACCCGTGTAGTACCCAGCAGGATCACACTTGAAAATCTGAGGCCCACGGTCTTCATCTTCAGTATCCACTTGACAAAAAGTCAATGCCACTCCTAATGGACGCATATAGGCTCTTTGAGTATATAACTGGGCCAAGTTGGCCATTCTTTTAGCCAAACTCTCCACCGGCATCTCATACCCGTACTGGTAGCGGAACTCTGCCGCTTCAGCTCTGGCCCGTAATGCCTGGGATCTGGCATCAGCTATAGATCCACTTGCAACCATCCCAATGGAAGGGGTGATCTTGAAAATGTATGAGATGGTGTTGGAATCCAATAACTTATCGGGGATCTTCTTCTGGGAAATCATGACAGCCGAGTCTTTACCGACAACTCCAATTGATGTTAAATTGGAGGAGTTTATGGCTTTGAAGGCATATTCCACTTGGTATAATCTCCCCTCTGGGGAGAAGATGGTGATGTGTCTGTCGAAACCAGCTGAGTCTAAAGAGAGTGTTAGTATACCATTGGCCCCCAGGTGATATTCGGTTTACATACTTGACATTGTTATGTATTAATTACTGGTGTCTATCAGTGGCGATTAAAAGTTTGAGACTTGAACCTCAAAAGTTCGCGCATTTTTTTCTCACCTTTTGCATTTACACAGACACCACTCACAACCAGCATCGCATTTACTCATGGAGGAAGTCACCTTCACCACCGATAGGCGAACTACACAGCACACTCCGCTTTACTATGGGACGCTGCTAAGTCCTCCCAACGTCTCCTACCATTACAACCCCGAGGTTACCCGCTACCACTATGGGCCTCATCATCCTATGAAACCTTTCAGACTTCTTCTAACTGACCATTTGGTTATTTCCTACAAGCTATACGAGCAGATGGATCTCTACACCCCGCGTCGGGCCACCAAAGATGAGCTTCTTCAGTTTCATTCCGAGGACTATGTCAATTTTCTCGAAAGTGTCACACCCCAAGCTACCGGGAAGCTTGCGGAGAAAACTCTTGCCCAGTTTAATATCGGAGAGGACTGTCCTGTTTTCGATGGGATGTATGACTACTCAGCCATCTACGCGGGTGCCTCGCTTGATGCCACGCGCAAGTTGATTAGTGGCCAGTCTGATATCGCCATCAACTGGTCGGGTGGATTGCACCATGCCAAAAAGTTTGAGCCCAGCGGGTTCTGCTACGTTAATGATATTGTATTGAGCATCATGAACCTTCTACGGGTGCACCCGCGGGTGATGTATATCGATATTGACCTCCACCACGGTGATGGGGTACAAGAGGCCTTTTACACCAGTGACCGGGTCATGACCGTCTCATTCCACAAGTACAACGGGGAGTTCTTCCCCGGAACCGGGGCCATGGACGAGCGTGGCATAGGTCGAGGCAAGAACTACGCCATCAACGTGCCGTTGAAGGACGGTATTGACGACGACTCTTACATCCGGCTTTTTAAGCTGATCATGGAACCTTTGATCACCAAATTCCAGCCAACAGCCATCGTACAACAGTGTGGGGCTGACTCGCTTGGGTTCGACCGCTTGGGGTGTTTCAACTTGAACATCCGAGCCCATGGTGAGTGTGTCAAGTTCATCAAATCGTTTGGCCTTCCTCTCTTGGTGCTCGGCGGTGGAGGGTATACCCCACGGAATGTGTCGAGACTTTGGTGCTACGAAACGTCCATTTTGAACGATGTATCGTTGGACGACAAGATCCCCAACTATTTGCCCACGTACGACTGGTTTGCTCCAGATTACTCGCTCCACCCGCAGTTGGATGGTCGCATCGATAATAAAAACAGTAAAAAGTATATCGAGTGCGTGAAACAAGAGGTGTTGGAGCAGCTCCGGTTCTTGAACCACGCCCCGTCGGTGCAGATGAGTGATATTCCACCCGATTTGACGGGGTTGACGGAGGAGGAGGAAGATGCTATTAGGGACTTGAATGAGGAGCAGGAGACCGACAGAGAGATGCGGAACGTGAAGGACGAGGCCCGCGTGGGGGAAATGGTGGCCACATGATGTCCAACTTCACCGTGTTCCCCCACTCGCTTGTACAGTACTTGTATAATAAATGTATAACACTATGAGGTCAGAGTGCTGAGTTTTACGCGTGCGTGTGCCTTCTGAGGGTGCGTCCAGGCGTACACATCAGACCCGTGCCTTCACCAATCATTTCGTCCCAAGTCGCACTCCATTTCGGAACTGAAAATTCACTCCAACAACTCACTACACAATCATGTCAGCATACAAACAAGCCGGTATTTCCTTGAACAAGGCCATGTCCATTGCCGCCAGAACCGTTAGAGCCGCCTTAAAGCCTGAACTCAAGGCTGGTGCCGAAAGAAGAGGTTTCACTGAAGCCAAGGTCATCAAGATCGAAAAGGGTGTACAGGGCGAGGCCAAACTTTTAAACTAATGGCTCCAACCGTTCTAATGGATCCGTTAACTATCCGATGATATATACACGAATATACACATTCAAGTCGATTTTCTGGTGGTGACTTATCACTAATAATGTATTGTCTATAAATATTATATACAGATTGCTCATGGCAACTCAGATGAAACCTTGTCTTTCAACAGCTGGATATCGTCAACCTCGCCGTCTTGAATCTCGAGTGTCAATTGCCCGAGAAGCTGTCTTCTGGTCTCAAACGGTAAGTCGTAAACCATGTTTCGGATCACCTCCACCTCCGAAAGATCGTCGTTGATGTCCAATGGCTTTTCTTTCTCGGATTTGGGTGTCAATTGATCACTCGATTGGTCAAGAAGCTTGGACAACTCAGACGTGGGGTCACTAAAGAGCTCGACAAACCTGCCGGTTTCCACCACTTTACCGGCTTTACCCAATACAACCACATACTCGGACTTGGAGATGGTGGACAACCGATGGGCAATGGAAATGATGGTCATTCTACCTGAAGCTGTGAGCTCCTTAAGAGTCTCGTTAATGAGACTCTCCAGCCTGGAGTCCAAAGCTGAAGTGGCTTCGTCCAACACCAAAATCGCCGGTCTTTTGATTAAGGCTCTGGCAATTGCAATTCTTTGTTTCTGGCCTCCCGACAACGAAGCTCCTCTTGATCCGATGATTGTATCGTACTTGTCGGGGAAGGCGTTAATAAACTCGTGACAATTGGCTTGTTTGCACACCTCAAGGATATCTTCAAACGTCACATTCTCAATTTGCGAAGGTGTTAACCCATATACTATGTTTTCCAAAATGGTCCCACTCACAAGAATAGGCTCCTGTTGCACTATTCCTATCACCTGACGTCTCAAATCTCTTACTTGGTATTGACTAATATCCTTACCCCCAATAAGAATTTGTCCGCTGTTGATGTTGTAGGACCTCAATAATAACGAGGCAACCGTGGATTTCCCACATCCAGAAGGTGCAACAAAACAAGTACTTGAACCAGCAGGAATCTTGAAAGAACACTCTTTGAAAACAGCGTCATCGGGTCTGGAAGGATAACTGAAAACAACGTCTCTGAACTCGATATCCTTGCCCAAATTTGGTTCAATTTTCTTTCCCTTCACCGCATCCACCTGGTCTGCATGATCAATTAACTCAAAAAGCTTCACCCCAGCACCAGCTCCTTTCATTAACTCGAGGTACGTCGTGGTCAAGCTATACAACGCTCCGTTGAAGAGCTCCAGGTACATGGTGAAAGCCACCACGTCCCCTGTACTCATTTGGCCCCGAGAAATGAAATAAACTCCCAATGCAACACACGCCAAATACCCCGTATGGTACAACCCATAGATGGAAACCGAGTAATTGGAATTGGCAAACGCTTCCTTTTTGGCCACTCCCACCACCGTCCGAAGCTGATCCGAGTATCTGTTCAACTCCTTGCTCTCAGCCGTGAAAGCCTGCACAACTTTGACCGAGTTGAGGGTTTCTTCACTGATCTTGGTCAAACCAGCAGTAGCGTTTTGGAGCTTGGTTGAAATCTTTCGGATCTTCTCACCGTACCATACCGAACCAAATGTTATGGGAGGCGAAATTAACATCATCACCCCGAAGAGCAAGGGGTTGATAGAAAGCATCATGTATGAACTGATCAACGCAAATAACACATTTTTAAGTCCATCCGGAAGGTTCCCTGTAAGTGATCTGGAAACAACGTATGCATCACTAGCAAGACGGGACATCAAGTCACCTACCTTGTGTTTTTCTCCATCAAAAAAGGCAGAGTCGTGTCGTAAAAGGTGTTTCATCACTCGCAACCTTAATCTTGCAACCAATCTTTCCCCCAACATCTTCAAAAGCCAGATCCTGGCCCAGAAACAAACAGCACTCGCCACCAAGAACGGCGTCATCACTGCAAACACACTGGTGGCTTTATATCCCCAGATCAATATATTGCCGTCCTCATCAAACGCCTTGTTGTTGAAGGCATCAATGGCCGCTCCCACCAACTTCACAGCCGCCGTCGGATATAGAACCGCAAATAGAATGAATCCCAACGCTATGAGAAAGAGCTTGGTGTCGGGAGCCCCGAGCTTGAATATTCTTACGATGGTCTTAATATTTTGTTTGAATGAGTTCTTCATTACGTCGGACTCGTCTTTATTCTCTTCAGCTCGAATGGCCCGCTTCTCTTTAGTTTTGGCCAAGTGCTCCTTTATGGACTTCGAGAGCTCCTTGGTACTACCCGAAATGTCTTCCGAGGTGTTGGCTCTGGTGGTGGATGTAGAAAAGAGTCTGAGACTCGAATACCCATGAACCTCGAATCCGGGATAATGGGATAAATTTGAAGACGTTAATGCTCTTGATGCAGGGAAAGTAGATAGGTATGTTATCATGGATCGTCTACTTATATTTATAGCATTTGTAAGACTGGCTTTGCTGCTCAAAGGGCCAGCTCGTGATGCTATATGGATGAACATGGTATTGAGCAAATGATTTAAAATGGGAAAGCGCGAAATAAATGGATGTTAGTCAGAGACTTCAGGAGGAATTGACAGTTTATTGAGGCTATAAAAGAGTATGAACGTTTTCAGGTTTCTCGTTCGACATAACTCTGGATCATTCCGGTTTCGGACTCTTCGTACTCTTTGACCTCAACCGAGTCTCCACTAACAATGGTGTTTGCTTGAATAAACTGTTTACGGGGCAATTTTTTACTCAAAACAACGTCTCTGAACCTGGAGAATTCAGCACTCACGTCGGTCATTTCGTTGTAGAATGCCACCCCTTCCTTGACGTCTGCCGTGCTCTTGTAGGTGTGTAGTTTGAGTAAAAAGTCACCTAAAGCATCCACTGCATCGGTAGCAAGTTTGGACTCATCGATCTTCAACACCAAATCCAGGTACAGCTTTTCATCGTCGTAGACAAACGAGCATACTCCGGCATTCATCAAGCACTTCAAAATGGCAAATCGGGCTCTCATATGAGCTTGACCCCAAATCTTGGTGGCAGGATCCCAGAACTCCAATGCCAATAAACCTGCACGGCCCATGAAAATGGTACCACAGACCATCACCAGGAACATGTCTTGCTTGCTGGGGACCCCGAAAATCGGGAGAACTTCTTCTGGTTTCTTCAACATCAAGTAAAGGGCCACCAATTCAGCACGACATTCTTCATAAGACCCAGCAGTGAGTCCGAAAACAGACCCCCACGAGTCGGAAGGTCCATAGTAGCCAGTAGCTCTGGGGTCTGACTTGTCGAAGTTGAACACACCTTCAGCCGTTTCTTGCAACAACTTTCCACTTCCATGTCCCAATAACTCGTGTAATCCCACCTGGACTTCCCAGGCATGGTCTCTCCATTGCTTGAACAAGGCCTGATACGATTCGTCCAAGAAACTAACGATTTCTTCTTTCCTGGGATTCTTGGGATTGGCAGACACCACATTTCCCAAAGATACATTTTTGAAGCCATAGTTCAATCTAACATCATCGTAATTGGGAATGTTGATACCGGCAGGAATACCCGAGTTGGCAAACGTCAACACCTCCAAAGACGTAAAGTCAGGAGGATTGAACGTATCTTTTTCGAAAAATGGTTCCCATGGTAAGTAGCCAATGAGTTTTGCAGCATTGTCAACCAATACAGAAAAAGTGGCAGTCCGCTCTTTGTTGACCATGGCCACCAATCCTTCCCATTCTCCGCGAACCCCTGAAGGGTCTCTGTACGTTTCGATGAACCCGATGTTCAATTCCACCAAAGGCTTGATATCCTTGACCCATTCAATCTGCGACTTCTTGTGAGCATTCATCGATCCTGTCTTAAAAGCCTCAATGTAGTACTCCAACATTTTTGCCTGGGTGTCATTGGCAGCATACTTCTTGGCTTTGGCCATGTGCTCCACGATCCTGGTAAATTCTCTGCTGTGGTCACCAAACTGGAAGGTTACTTGGTGTCCATCGGCCGTGTGAATAGGATTCGCAGGGTAATAGCCAGTATTATTGACACTGTCAGCACTAGCCACATGAACCACAAAGTCACCCTCAGCGGTTTTCTCAACCCGGGTATTCTCTGGCATGACACCAGCCTTAGCGATGGCGGCGTTGACCGCTTCCACCTCTTGTTTGGAGATGACGCTTTTCCCCACATAATAGCTTGACAACTGTCCTTGTTCAGGCCATCCCAATAAACCGGCATCTGTGTCATACAAAGGATCACGAACTTTACTGTACAACGCGGAAACCGCATCGTTGCTGACGGTTTCGACCAAAGTATCAAACTGTTGCTTCGATAAGTTAGGCACAAACTTCTTGTCACCAAAAGACTTGTAGTTTCCCAAATTCGACAAGAATTGAGACGCATACTCCAAGTACGCCACGGCCACAGACTTGTCACCAAGCTTGGCGATATACTCGTCGTTCGACACAGGCGAGCCCAAGGTTTTATGTATTAGAAGGATCAAATCGTAGATACCCTCACTTTCTGGGGAAACCGACCGAAGAACGGCTCTGGTGCCCCAGAATGATGCCTTCGCCAAGTGGTGAGCGTAGAGCTGGTTGGTGGAGTCGAGAGCATCGAAATGCTTCTTGGCGGTGAGCGTAACAATGGGCGCTTCGGAGTCTGTTTCAAAGGGGGATGCCATTTGTGTGAGTGGAGTCGCAGAAACTTAGGCAGATGCCATTTATATAGCGCGCGCTCGCACAGTTCCAAAAAACATTTCGGTGCCACTCTTTCAAACGGAGCACACATGGCGCAAAGCATAAACAACGAAGCAACCAATGATGACGCGGCGGCAAATCACACCTCTGAGGCCGGGGCTAGTGCACCGCTTCTGCCTGTCTCTCGCCCAGATCCCAGCGAGCCCCACGAGCCTGTGGCTGCCACTGGTAATGATTATGACGAAGAAGAGGACGACGACTACGACCCCGAGGCCAAGGCCGCCGACGATGAGGTAAGTGACGACAGCGACAAAGAAGATCCCGGCGAGAAATACGACTACAGCGCCATCTCGGCCACCGCCACCCAGGTCCGGACCAGGAACCAGAGGTACCAGGAGAAGCATGAGGCCGCCAGTAGAATCACTAACATCATTGGGCCCGTGAGCTCGAACCTTGACTTTGACTCGATCTTCAGCGACTTGAAGCTGAAGAGTGTCGAAGGTAAACCCACCAATTGGAACGAAATCCTAGGGTCTCAGGATGAGGATACCACTAATAAGGACGCTCCAACCGCCCACCAGAGTCTCGTGCCGGCCGCTGCTTCTGGTCCTGCTACCTCCTCTACCACGATAGATGACCAGGATAAAATATGGATCAAGACGTCGTATGTGTTTGCCGGTAAGGTCATCACCGAGTCCAAGCAAGTGGATGCGAACTCTGCCGAGGCCAAGGCATTCTTGGGGTCTTCAGCCGGTCTCCAGATAAACAGCAGTGACGAGCCGCAGAATAGGGCGTTCGTTCCAGTGATACGGACGATTCCCGGTGAAAAAGAGCCTGTTGAGTTGCGAATCAAGCTTAAAAGACCATCATTAATCGACCGGTTTATGAGCACACAAGGAAACAAGCACCAGAAGCTTTCTACGCTTGAGAAGTCTCGATTGGACTGGGCATGTTTTGTCGATCAAAACAAGATCAATGATGAATTGAAACTCCACAACAAAGACGGTTACTTGGAGAAACAAGATTTCTTGGGCCGTCTTCAGGCCAAACAAGACGAATCCTACAGCCAGGCTAAAGAGGTTGACCGTGCACGGCGATGGCAGGAACAACAGAAGGCACTTTAGTCAATTGACCTGTAAATATGTAATATAATGTACACTGGTATCTTGTGTGAAAAACGCACGCTCAAGGTCTGCGACTGGAAAAATGTTTTTTTCTATAGCGTCCAAAAAACACTGACATCCCCAGTCATCATGTCATCAAGCACCAACAGTAATGTATTGAAGCGGAAGAACGAGGACTCGGACTCTGTAAGTGATGATATCTCCAAGAAACGAGTCGCGTTGGACGGTGAACAGATTGACGAATCTTTAAAGCAAGAAGTGGAAGCAAAAACTGCTCCTGCTATAGGTTCGAGCAATTCTTCTGATGAAGAAGAGTACGACCCCAGTGTACCGGGCCTCAAGTCTCCTCCCGCGGTGGATGTGGCCACGGAGTCGAACGAGTCTAAGCAGGCTTCGGAGGAGCCTGAAGAAGAACACAAATCTCCAGAACATTCACAACCACAAAGACCATCCCAACCCGTATCAACAACCGGCGACGAATCACCCAGCGTGTCGCACAATCCCGTCTCGTCCGTGACGTACCAGCGAGAGAAAGAAGATCCCACTGTTGTGCTGTTCAGAATGTACTGTCCTGTAAAAGAAGCCGGGCTCATTGTGGGTAAGAAAGGTGAACAGATTAATCACATTCGAGACAGAGCGAATGTCAAGGTGTTTGTGAGTGACAACATCAAGGGTGTTCCCGAACGGATTGTGACCGTGAGAGGGTCTGCGGAAAACGTGGCCAAGGCCTTCGGATTGGCTGTCAGAGCCATTTTGGATGAGCCTGAAGATGAAGCTTCATCAATCAATAGCAGTCTGTACGACTTGAGACTATTAATTCCTCATCCTCTCGTGGGATACATCATCGGTAAGCAAGGAAGCAAGTTCAGAGAGATTGAAGAGAATTCGGCTGCAAAATTAAAGGCAGCAGAAACTCCATTACCTTATTCTACTGACCGGATCTTATTAATAAATGGGGTTAGTGATGCCATTCACATCGCCGTATACTACGTGGCACAGGTGGTTCTTGAACATAAGGATGCTTTGCTGAAACAGAAAATTGTATTTTACAATCCGGCAAACTACCAACCTAACTCCAATCCCCTAAGCACATTAACAGGAATGAGTCCTCCTGTTAATAACAACATGAACATGAATACCATGGGAAATATGGGTAACATGAGTAACGTGGGTGGGATGAACAACAACATGAATGCCTTGAGTGCTTTGAACAGCTTGAGTAGTATGATGATGCCAAATAACAATGTCATGATGAACCCCATGGCCAATGCTCCTATGGGCAACCCGACAATGGGAAATGCTCATATGGGGAACTCTCCAATGGCCAACAACTCTATGGGGATGCAGAATCCTCAAAGTCCTTATGCTGCTTCCAAGCAGCCATATAATTTTCAAATGATGTTTCAACCATCCAATAACCCCCAACAAAACTATAACTCCAGACAACCCATCAACGCTCCCCCACAACAAGCCTATACCGATGAACTCGGTAACTCCATGGTCGGTGAAGTGTTGACGCATCCTCTAGTACCAAGTGGTTCAGGTGACAAATATAACCAAGATGTGTTTGTAGCAAACAATAGTATTGGATCTGTTATTGGAAAAGGAGGAAACAACATTAAACAAATACGGGAAACCTCTGGATGTACATATGTGAAGATTGAGCCCGATAGAGGAGATACCATGATGCTTGGAGGAGGAAGAGGTCGTTTGAATATGAGAAAGTTGACCTTGACCGGGTCCTTAAACTCTATCAACACAGCCATATATTTGATCAACCAAAGAATCAATACCGATAAGGAAAGAAACTTGAACTAGTTTTTGTAATAGTACATGTAGTCATATTAATACATACTAATGAAATTACCACGTACAGCATACGAAAGGCATAATAAATGCAAATGCTAATTTATATTCTATATCTGTCCTAAAGTGGTTTCACTCCCAAGCTGGTGAGAAGCATCGTGAAACAACTGAAAAGTCCTTCACCCAACACCAACCCACTGCTAAGTATAATCATATGAACCCGTTGATTGCTTGAACCTGTCTTTTTCATCTGAATATATGTAACAAGCCCTCCAATAAACCGGGCAAGCGTAAAGTTTGGCGTATTATATATCCCAATACCTACTGCAACCCCACTAGGCAAGTAAAATAAATATTTGTGGTTTTTGCTCTCTTTTGGAATGATATTTTTCAACAACGAAATGACACCAAAAATGACACCAAAAACCAATGAAAACACCCATGCATTCGGAGGAAGACCTTCACCAGTGACCAACCTGGCACAGTCTATCCAGATCACTGCCGTAGGGATTCTAAACATCTTGCTTGGAATCTCATACACCGAATTGTACACTTTGTACATGATGCTACTAAGGAAAATTGAGTAGACAGTTCCAGTCAACTGGGCAATGGTTTGGGCTTTAGGAGAAGCTCCCAACAAATGGCCAGCTTTAAGGTCTTGCATCAAATCCCCTGCCTGTTGGGCACCAGCCTCAGCAATACCCCCAGCCATGAGGTTAATCAAGATCTTGGATGGATGATTGGAAGGTACGATGACTGCAAATATCAACTGAGAAAGCTTACCTATTCCACTAACTGGGTTCAAATCGGTTTCTCCCAAAGCTCGAACCGCCAATATCGAGAAGAATAACGCCATCACCACCGCAATTAAAATGGTGTACAATGGCACAAGTTGTCCAAAGATAAACTTCAAGGAAATGGCACAAATAATCGAGGACACGGCGATTCCAACAAAACTGGCCTTATCACTCACCAAGTGCCTGGGATCCAACCCCGTGTCGTATGAAGTGGCCACACTGGCATTGTCACCATCACCACCACGATCGCCCAATAACGGTTGGTACTGCGAATGGGCTCTTCGGGCACTTCCTACCAACCTCGACACAGACCTTGCCGCCATCACCATAAACGACACAAGCGAATCACTGATCATTATACTCAAACTGATCCACATTATCCATCCTTGGCTGCCGGTTTTCCAGTCGTCAACTTCACCGGGAGCCCACCCTTGATACTTGGCCAAGGGAGACAATACTCCCCATCCTAGAATGGCGCCGAAAAGCATATACGACACCGTGGGCAATCCCATGATGATACCCTGACCAATATATGCTGGCGAAGGCTGGAGATTCCATAAGAATGCTTCTGAAGCATAGCTTCCAAACACCGGCAAGCTCTTCAAAATGGGAATGAAAAATGATACTATAGTGTACACAGCAGATGCCACAAAAGTTATGGACAAGGACCTGATGTTGGACTTGTAGTTGGCATCGTTAGCGGCCAACGATACTTGGTTTTGCTCCTCAGGCTCATTGGATTCCACGTCTGGAGCATCCGACTTAAATTCTTCCTCTAAAAGCGAGGTACCATGTAAAACCGAGATCAAAATCCCCGTGGCATTCCCCGATGGAAACGGTAACTTCTCCTTGACTATGACCTGTTTCCTCAAAGGGATGGCGAAAAAAACCCCGAAAAATCCAAGTCCCAATGACCAAACTATCAAGTCAGTGGTAGAAAAATGTAATGTCCTTCCGAGCCCAGATTCATCACTGGTTAAAAAATGTTCCATTGCTGGGATTATCCCAATCAAACCGTACGCCAACGGACCGGTACCCACCGCCACGGCAATGCTCTGGACGTAGACGTTTTCCACGTCGGTAAAGTCGTTGGAAAATGGTGATAACTTGAAGATGGCAAACCCAAGAAGCGCAGACGGTAGCGACATCATTGATACCCAACCGGTTTGAAGGCCGAACTGGAAGTTAGAAATAAGCACCACTGTGCCTATCACCAACCCGGCTATGGTTCCCCGAAGAGTCACCTGGGGGATATCTGCTTTTAAGTGCCATGGAACTGGTATTCGCTGAGAGCCTGAGGTCCGCGGCGGATTACTAATTGACATAATGATAACTCAGTGGAAAGGTGGCGATGTGAGAACAGGTATATGAGTATATGGGTGTATAGGTCAGGTATTGAGAATGAGTATAAGGGAGGAAGATATTGATAGGCTCCCAATGTAAAAACTCAAAATGCAATGTTTTATCAGGAAAAGTCCAAACTATTTAGCGACTATAAGATTTGCGTCGCAAAATGAAGCCTTATTGGGATGGGGTTGCGACTTTAATACTTCATGAAAATCCAGATTTTAACCTCTCGGATGAGGTGAATAGAGTTTCCGACACAGAGCTAATTGACACCAAAACATAATATAGCTTACTAAGATGTGTAAAGGGATATTTATAATCATTACATAGACCGGTATTCATTATTGCCTATCTGGTGGTGTTTAATCATCACCAAACAAAACATAGTTCAAAATGTCACTCAAGGTGATGACAGAAAGTAACCTACTTTCGTCATCCACCACAAATAAACGATGTAATCTGGACTTCCGAATCGTGTCCATGATGGTGCTCAACCGGTCATTGCCAGTACACGTATGGACCCCTTCAAAGTCTTCTGCTCTTCTCAATAACGCATCGCCAACCGTCAAGTCCAAATCGGTGTAGATTCCACCTTTAACCAATGTCAACACGTCGTATGCTTCATATACATTGATCAACTTCCCAGTGTCGTCAACCACCGGGATCGACGACACCGAGTTCTTCGACAACATGTGAATCACGTCAATCACAGGGGTATCCATGGTGCTTGTGGAAAGATTCTTCGACAAGTTCAACGACTTGATATCTTTAATGGGCTTCAAGAGCATCTTGGTTTCCTTACAATTCAAGGCCACAAACTTCAAGATTCTGTACTGGGTTAACACCGACACCACGATTTCTCTATGGGTCTTTTCGTCCTCATCTATCAAAGGAATTCTCCGAGAACGAGACTCCAACATCTTGACACACGCTTCATACAACGACTTGAATGGATGGATCGATATGGTTTCGATTTGGTCCACGCCCAAGGCCTGTTCGATATCACGTAATCCGTTCAATGTCAACTGGTCCACAAGATCCACTTTATCTGGGAATTGAAAGTAGTACTGAATTACATTGATGAAATCTGATGACGATAATAACCCGGCAAACCGAGACGTTTTGTTGTTCCAAACAGGAGCCGAGACAATGTTGTTCTGTAACAAGATGTTTAATGATTTCTTCACAAGAAGGGATGTTTCTAATACCACCAACCGATAAGATACTGGTAAGACGTCGTAGGATGTTTTGCTCTGTAAAAAGAGCCGGATGGCTTTTATACCCAATTTCTGGTCATGATCAATCTGTTCTGTTGTCAACGAGCTGATGTAGTCACTGGGTGATACACCTGATGGAGCTGGAGCGATGTTGGAGCTATTGACGTCTGTCATGACAAAAGTGGTGGTGGGTGCTGAAGGTTTTGGAGACTGGAAAATCGCGCGAGGGTGAGGGCGCGGGGCACGACCCGTCAGTATCCAGCTATAATACTATTTCAGTATTGTACTCTATGGTTATTATCGAAACTTTTGGTATATATTTTATTCTATTAAAGGCATCTAAGCCCATCTCCCTAACAATGCCATAAGTCCAGCTCCGAACACAACGACAATATAAGCAGCAACCATGCGCTTGAAGCTTCCAGGTCCTTTGAACTGATCCGAGTACAAAAACTCGTGAGCCATCAACTCAACAATACCGGTGTATATAAGAATACCAGCAGAAACCGAGTCGAACACTCCATTGACAATAAGTGCGGTTTGGGAATTGGGGGCATATGATTGCCTGACACCAAGTCCAATTGCTATGGCGATAGGTGTGGTTAAACCATAGGCAATTATAAACAAGTACGGCAAGTATTCTTTACCTTTGGGCCACCTGGTACCGGCTATACGAGTTCCCAATCCCAACCCTTCAAAGGTTTGATGAAACACAATCACCACGTAAAGAGTCTTGAACTCATCACCAGAAACCGCCAACGTCAACCCCACGAAAACCGAGTGGAACACAATCCCGAATTCCAACACAATGGTACTGACCAATTGACCGTAGTATTGTTCTTTGTCCATTTGTTGCAAGGGAGTGTCCAAGTTCTCAGGGTCTTGGTGTTCGGCAGCATGGGAAAAGTGATCTGGGTAGAGACCCTTGGAAGCGGACACAACAGGGGTGCTGTTTTCGTGTTCTTCCTCCTCGTCTTCAATATCGCTCTCTTTCTTTCCAAGTTCTCCGAAGTGAGAATGGCTGTGTGGTACCCCATTAGTACTTTCGAGTTTTTTGTTGATATAGTTGAATGCCAACAACTCAAAGAAGAATAACGAGAACAAGGACAACAAGGCGATCCCAAAAGCCCAAGGATATACTCGGAAAGTGGCACTGAGGCAGTCGTTAGATAAGTTTTCATTGGCAGGTTGAAGAAGGTGAATAAAAGCAGTAGCCACAATGACCCCGGTACCAAAATACTTGGCCCCGAAGAAAAGCCACGAGGGCATTTTCAAGAAGGATACGGATGTCTTGGTGGAAATCACTGGAATCAATGCCCCTAGGGTGGAAGTTACCAAAATAACAAAAACTGCCGAGATTCTGGCACCCATGTACTCACCATTGTAGTCACTGTCTGTAGCACAGGTTTCCCGTTTCAATAATTCTGTTACCGAATCCATAATGCTTAATGGAGAATTATAACAGAATTTGCAGCACTACAAGTGTTTAAATACTTTTTACCTGGTTACAATAGGGTGGTTGTAAGAATCTTCAGATAACCTTCAAGGTGCTGTCGCACTTTTCCACTTCCCTTTTCAGGCTGAGACGCATCTCTAAAAAAGCCCCTCGCTCGTGGCCTCTCATCGAACTTTAAGTTGGCGGATAAATCAAAACCACTTTAGCCAAGGACAATGAACGGTTTGTATCACTCATACCACCCTTCATGTCAGTGTATGCACCAACCCTCCTTGGGATCGACGTGAATTCCAACTCCTTCGGCTCAATTTGAGTTCCATCCCCCTTGGGCTCGTGAGTCTCAATCAAATATATGCTCAAACATGTACCAGTTGCAGCCATTACCCTTAAAACTTACACCACCGGAACCCCACCGAAAAGTACCGGGCTGCCACCCAAAACACTACCGCAGCTACCGCATAACCACCCTCATAAAGCACAAAATTCCTATAGTCTACCAAGGTTCTATTTCCCAAAACCACCGAAGTTAAATACATGCCGATGATCGTTAGGAACGCCAAAAAAAAGTACAATGTGCCGTAAACTTTACCAAAACGTTCAGCACTGCAAATCTGTGACGTACAAGCAGGAATTAAGGAGATGGTTGCCGAAGTGCTTACCCCAAAAAGCACGGCGAATGTGAAAAGGATTGGCAAATGCCCTTCGGCTGGTAACCACACACCGAAGATCACCACAGTAGTCAAAATCGACATAACTATCATCACATTGAACCGACCGTACATATCAGCTAGTACCCCACTAAGAAGCCGGGATGGGATCCCACACACATTGACCAACGTGATGAGTAGGTACGAGTTGGACTCACTGATCAGGTGATCCAACCCGTACGAGGTTAAGTATGTCAAGGACGATATCGAGATGATCTCGGCGAAAAAGACCGCCAAGTTCAAACACACAAACCGTGCATCCTTGACTATGCTCAAGTCCAATGCCTCTCGGAAGAAGTGAGCCACTGTCACCAAGGTACTTTTATTTTTGGGTTGGACATCAAGTATATCGTCAATAGCATCCAGTAACTCTTTCTTGGGCTTTCTTTCTTTGATGAGCGCAATAGCAATACCCATACACCCAATGCACATGAACCCCATCACCCGGATGGCCCATTTAAATCCAACCTCTTTGTACAATTTCTGAAGCATAACCGCAAATACCGAGCTGCCTACAAGACCTCCAATAGTTGCAACCGAACAGGCAAACGCTCTTTTCCTCAAAAACCAATGTGACAACACCCCTATCAATGGCACCATTCCCAAAGATGTGCCAATGGCAGTGGTGATGCCAAAACTCAATATAAAGTGACTCAATTTGGTGCTCTCTGCCGTACAAAAGAGACCTCCAGCCATGAAAACGGTGGAGGCAATAAGCAACTTTCTGGCGCCAAACTTGTCGAAGCACTCACCAAAGACCACTCCGCCCAAGTACATCACTCCCAAGTGAATCGTGAACACCCACGAAACACTGGTATCTTTAACGTTCAGCAACTGGTGAGACGACACATACGATTCAATGGCACCCAACGAGTTGGCAATACCAAAGTCAATCACCAAGCCCATGAATGCTCCGAAAAGCGTCAAGTAGGCATCTCGGCCACCATCAGGGAAGTCTTCTGGGTTTGTTTCTGCACTGAACATCATATCTAGGGTAACTTCGGAAGCGCCTTCGGAAATGCCACCTCTTTTTTTGACCACCGCATGAGGATGAAGTTCGGTTTTCTCAAATGATGCTGTGCTTTCTTGGTTGCCATCGAGAGGGCAGTTAAGGGAATTTGCTTCTTTGGGTGCTTCTATTTCTATTACTGCCATTGTTGTACAAGATAAAAATTTGCACCCGCTGCAAAACCGCACCGATTCGCGCGCGCCATGTTTGGTCAATCAACCATGAGTGACAAAGAAGAAGAACCCGTGATTGAATTAGAAGAAGGCGAATTGAGCAAGGAGGAAAGACTCGAGGCTGCTCGCAAGCGATACGAGGAGTTGAAGAAGAAAAAGAAGGGGAAGAAGAAGGGGAAGAAGGAGAAGAAAGATAAGTCTGAAGACAGTCCAGTGCCAGAGGATAATGATGAACCTGAGACAGAGGCAGTTGACACAGAAGCTGTTGCCACAGAAGCAGCTGCCACAGAGACAGTTGACACAGAAGCATCCATTGAAACAGAAACACCTGTTGACCCAGAAGCCGTTGATACCGAATCAGTTGAAACCAAGAAACCTGTTGAGCTGGAATCCGCAAACACCCCAGAAATAGCCCCTACTACCCTGGATGTCACCAACCCCCCGGTTCCCTCCGCTGATGCTAGCTCCCCCAGCGAAATCGCCTCGCTCAAAGACACCATCTTCAAGCACGAAAAAACTATCAAAAAACTAAGAGACGAAAACACCGACTTAAAACTCGAGAAAATGGACATGAAAGACAAGATCTCCGAACTCCAGGCCACCATCGAAACTCTCAAGACCGGAAACGGTGCTTCGCAACACCAACCTCCTGTCAGAAAATTGGAACCAGCCAAACCCATCATCACCACCAACAAATACGCTTCAGCTTCCAAACAAGATCTCAATGACTTCTCCAATTTGAGTGATTTCAGAGAAAGACTCATGGTCTGGAAACATTGGCAAGTCGATATGACCAGCTGGAACAGTGTCTATGCTACCGAAAAGGTGACACTTTAATCACTCCAAGTATATATTTGAAGATATCTATTTACACATAATGATAAAACCAAGGGTCTACCTGACTCGACACAACACCGTTCCCCCCAAGTTCTTTTTGGCGGCCTCTTGCACTTCCAAGATTTCGCTTTCGTCAGTTTGGATAAACATACATTCTGCCGGTTGCAAAGGACGAACAATCCCCACCGGTATACCTGAAGCCAACGCTTTTATTTCTGTGGATGTGAAGTGAACCTTTCTGTTGGGCTTCAGAACCAACGAAAAGTTTCTTATCACCGACAAGTTGTCTCTGTACTTCAATCCAATCCATAACCTCCTGCTGGAAATGTTATCTGGTGTGACTTCTGCTGGTGTCTTGTCGGGGCCGGCATTGGATCCTCTTTGCACAGACGATATGAAGCCCTCTTTGTACAACAAAAAGGATAATTGCAAGTGCAAGCGGGTGAAAGGAACCGACGTGGACGAGATGTTCAACCGAGTACAGTTCTTTATGTGGGCACTGAAGTTGGCCAAGTGAACTAACGACATTGAGCTCGATGAAAAAAATGTTTTGTGGATGAGTGAAAAATTATTGTGCGCACTAAACATCGTACAATTCTACTGATCATGTTTAGGCCTGGCTTGAAACAATTTGTGCTTCGGACCACGCCTCGCCCGGCAAACATGTTTGGGCGTAGTTACTCCTCCATCCCCCCTTTAAGAGCCAACAAGAAGAAGTCGGAGCCCAGAATTAGGTACCTCTTCTACATGTTTGTGCTTGCGTCTTTGACAGTTTATTTTGGTGCCAAACGTGTCGATAGAAAGAAAATCAAAACCAGCTTCGGCAGTGAGAAGGAATTGGACGAGTACGAGCAGACCACCGGTATCAAAAGACGTACAAGCTTAGTATCGGGCAACCTTGCTGGAAAGTATAAATTTTATTCGGTTCCATATGTTGAAGACAATGCACTTGTTGTAAAGTTACAACAGGCGTTGGAACCCACCAAAGTCAAGATAATTGACCCTGAAGTGTTGATCCAGCAAGAGACCGAGGATAACACCAGGAGGTATTCATTTTTGTTGCAGGATTTGAAGTCTAAAAACAAGCCATTACCCAGTGGATTGATTACGGCCTTGATTAGAAATGAAGTATCCTTCTATATGAATACCTCTCAAGGCATATATGACACCAACTTTATTCTCAAGAACTACCCGAGAAACACCAACGAGGCTTCCAAGTTCGAAACAGACGTAGGGTACATTGAGAAGGTTCTTGTGTTGAAAAATGAGGTTTTAGAGTCTTTACCGAAGGCTGTATCTGACAGAGACGCCAGAAGTGTCAATGATGTGATCTCCTACTTCGAGACCGTAGGAAAGGCCGACGTGGTGGAGTCTTTAGACGATGTGAAAGTGTAACTTGTAAATAGCTGTAAATAATACACTGAACCTTATGAGCATATATGAGTGTCTTCACAAAAAATACTCTTCTGGCACCTTGAACTCGATCTTAAGGTTGTTGGCAAACACCTTGTCGCTATCCAGGAAATCAGTATCTCTGCCAGCAGCATCCCCCACATAGAAACTATTTTCCATATCGATTTCGACACCGATTTCTCGCTTGAGCTGATTCCACATGCCCACCTGTGGCTTCCTCATGACCAAATGGTACTCATCTGGCGAAACTTTGAGAGTGGCCTTCTTTGCCGAAGGTTTCTTAGGAGATGCAAACACTAGCGGCTTGAACTGCTCTATATCTTTTTGTACGTGTCCCACAAACAGGTTGACCCGTTCACGGAAATTGAGGTATGACTTGGCTTGGGGTACACCCAAAACTCCACCCTGGTTAGTGAAAATGGCTATTGTGTAGCCTTGCTCCACAAGCAGCTTGAGCTTAGGGACCACCTGGGACTGCGATTGGTCAATGTTCCGCCATAACTTCCAGTCATTGGGACCCCGGGCAAACTTAGAGCCGGAAATGGTGTCGACAAGGGTTCCATCAAGGTCAAATGCCGCTATTTTGACTGGAGAACTCGGCATCTGTATATCTTTGGGAACGTTAGATATGAGGTGAGTGCCCGTGAATTTCCAGTTGTTGCTGAAAATTGTTGACGAATGGAACTCCCGTACTATTTTCGGCTTGGCCTGTACACTTTCCTTCCCCGCCTCCTTGCCATGTTTGAGCATGGAGAAGATATCTCTTCTATTCATGAGCAACTCCAGTAATTCAGAAATCGCGAACTTCCATCACTGATCTTCCATAATTGAATATGACGGAACCTGATTCTAAAGTGTCAAAGGACCAGTACGGGCGTAAGACTTGGGACGTCGATGCATATTCCAAGAAGACACGGGCCAATAATCAGCCCCAAACCACGACCTCTGTTCACGATCAGATCAATTCAGATAGGTCCTCAAGCCATCTACTCCACCGAGAGAAGCTTCTCAAATCCCTGATAAATGCCATCAACACACACACCATTATCACTCCCACCAGCCAGACAGCCACTAGAGGAAAGCACAAGAGGTTTGGGTTCGTGTGTCCCATCTGTGATTTTTCCTTTAGAGATAATATGGCACTTATAGACCATTTCAATTCTCCCCAGCACATTCAAAAAGCCACCTCAAAGAACCTTACCACTTCGGATCCCGGACACGAACAGGAGCTTATAGATGGAGGAGTACGACACGCTACACTAGCTGAAGTGGAATCGACATTAAAGCTGCTATCTGAAAAGTTCAACCAGTCGGGCCTAACTAAAAGCAGCATGCAACAAAAGATTGAAGCCCGTAAGCAGTTTGAACAGAAACTCCAGGACAGGAAGCGAGCCAAAAGACATAAAAGGGCTATGAAGAATAAAGCTTCTGACAGTGAAGACGACGAAATGGGCCAAATCATGGGGTTTTCTTCGTTCAAAAAGGGAGCCGAATCATAGAGGTAAGACGCAGAAGACTGGAAGATACTTGTAGATATCATGTACGCTTATGACCTATCATTCCTGTTGCCTCTATCTACTCTCTCAACAATTTGCAATCAACTGCAGTCGTGTCGCACCCGCGACCGCGACTGAAGTGTGAGCGAGCAAAATTCTCATCCAATGAAAATAAGCTGAAAACAACTTACCTATATACTCAGAGGCATGAAGTTTACGTTTAAATTGCCCCTTAGTGGGTTGTTTAAGTACAAGGTCGGCAAGTTTGATGCCAACTTAGAGCGTCTGATCCGTGCCAAGTTGGACACCTTACCTTCAGTGACCAAAATCTATGCCAATCCTGATGGAACCCCCAGAGTGCCCAGCGATGAAGAATTCAAAACCATAGCTGATTTACAAAATATGTATTATAAGAGAAACCATTCAGCATGGAACTACATAGCACCCGGTATCTCCAGCGAAGATTTGAACTTGTTCAAGGATAATTCTCAAGACTTGAAGAACTTTCAGTTTGTCACCAAAGATTCAGGTAAAATCATCGATAAAATCCCATACAAAGATGAAACCACTGGGGAATTGAAATGGAAGATTGTCCGTGAAACCGAGAAGGCTGAAGGATGGGAAATTCCATATTTCTATATCGTGTTGCCAATTTTTTCATATTTGGCGTATGCTAAGTACACTGCCCAAATGAAACAGAGAGAATTAGACGGTCCAGAATGGGCAGAAAAGGAATTAAGATTAAGAGCCATGGAAGAGTATTTCCACGGTGATACCAACAAGGCTAAAGAGTTTTTGAGTAACGAAGGTAAGTCTCCTAGAGAGATCCAAGATAGAGACGATTTGGTAATTGCCAGAATCTTGGGAGGAGATTATGATAAATTGACCGATTTAAAGAAGAAGTTGCCAAAGGACTTGATTCCCAAGGAGATCGAGCACCCCGTTCTTAAGTTCTAATTTATTGTGAACCAAAGTCAGCATAGTACATGATATTTTTTTATCTAGATAGAATAAACAAATATAACTAGTTTTGTTTAGAAACTCAATAAGTCCACTTCTCCGTTACTACCACCACCGTTCCCGTTGGTCTGAGGCTTGGAGTTTGAGTTATTGTTGGAATTGAAGTCACCAAAAAAATCGTCATCATTAGTCTTAGCTGGTTGCGAAACAGGCTTGGAAGCAGCAGTTCCAGAAGGAGTTCTGCTGGTACTTTTGGTTTTGGCAGACGAGAACAATGACGAAAACGCATCGTTGTTGGGCTTACTTTGCACTTTGTTGACGGTGGGAGTTCCGCCAGAGTTTATGTTGTAATTGACAGAGGTCTGTGGTTGTTGGTATTGTTGCGGTTGTTGGTAGGCCTGTTGCGGTTGTGGTTGATAGAAATTGTTTGGTTGGGAGGATTGGTACAAGTTGTTGAGGTTGCTGAGGCCTGATGGAGGTTGCGAAGACGAACCCGTGGTGGTGGGTGCCGATTGGAAGTCATCAAATTCATCTTCATCTTCGGCACCGGCACCAGCACCAGGAGCAGATCCAAAGTCCAAATCAGCCAATAAGTCCGGTTCAGCGGGCTGTGGTTTGGACCTGTTAGAGGTGGCCGTGTGCGCCGACGAGCCGGTGGTGGGCTTGGCAGTTTTCCGGGAACTGGGGTTGACTTCGTACTCTTCAAAGTTGTCATTCGACTCGGTGTTGGAGCCCGACTCCTCCCCTTGGGGTCTCTGATTGTTATATTCATCGGCCGAGTCTCCATACCTTGACCCATACACCCCACCATCACCAAAAACCCTGTTGGTGTAGTCATCGTCAAATCCCGGAGTAGTGGTGATGGACGAGGCACCACCAAAAGCAGCCGATGAAACTCCACCAAACTTCTTCGCGTTCAGCTTGGCCTTCTTGCGTTCAGCTCTCACAGCCGCATCATCGTTGACAAATGTAATCAACTTCTTGGCGCTGTTTCTAACGTTGATCCCCTGATCTCTACCTTGGGAATCGATATAACGGAATCCCCCCAACAACATCTGAATCAACGACAAACTTGCACGTACTTCATCAACGACTCTCTCGGAGCCATTGCGGAGCAAGTAGTCCAATAATTGCAACGATTTGTAGATTTGTCTCCATTCGTTGGGGGCCTTTTCAGTAAACCTTCTAAACACAAATGCAATGATCTCTCCTCGTTCTCGATAATTGTAGGTCCCAGCGGCGATCTGGGCCATCAATGTGGAAGAAGCACCCCAAGGCTCGTTGTTGGTGGCCTCACGCACCTTGGATTCCATTTCTGTCAAATTCATGGCCACTAAAAACTGGTTAGTATGTTGGTGGAGGCTGATAAGGAGTCCTCATTTATCGACAAAAATACGAGTGATTACAAGAGGATAATAACACATACCGTTCTGGGCCTTACGCACGTAGGCCTTGACCCCATACAAGTTCATGTTCTTGGTGGCGTCTTTAAGAAGATCCATTGTGTCAGATTTTGTTGGTTGCTGGGAGGGTGTTTTTTTCCAGTTGTGCTGGAATTGAAGGTTCCCGTGTAGACCGGGTGCGCGCACGATTTGGTGGTGCGCTATTTGACAATTGCAAACGACATATAAGGTGGGTATATATTAAATTGAACGTCTTTAACTAAAACATGATAGAATTGAAGTCACCAATGACAGGTGTTTGAGCATATACTCTGAGCTTTTTAATAGGTAATTGAACCCCTGAGCCCCGAGCCTGTGAGACCCGAGCCCTTTAGGTAATTGAGCTAACAGAAAATCGTATAAATCTTGAAATAGAAGGGCTTCAGCTCGTAAAGCGCCCGCTCGTCAGCGATTTCCTGTCTCAACGCCTCCATGTCCACCTGTCTTCTACCGGTGTCCACGTCGATTTCGGAGGCCTTCAAATAAAACTTCGTCAAGGGAATTCCCATGTACAAGGCCGCATAGATTTTGTGTCCCACATAGCACACAAACACAATAACACCTCCCAAGTAAACCATGAAGAAGCCCTCGACATCGGCACCACCTTCCCCAGGGGGGAACAAAGCGGCCCAGAACTGCAATCCCAAAAATATCGTCAAAATCACCATTCCGTAGTAGGATCCCCATACGCTGGTGGTGAACACCAACTCTTCTTCAGCCACCCGGGCCTGGTGGTTCAACGCCGCCCGGAACCGTATATGGCTCAAGCAAATGGACCACCACGTGAACAACGAACACAAACCCGAAATCGCCAACAACCAATCGAATACCTGAGTAGTCTTATCACCAGGGAGCGCCACGAGGAACGCAAGTAACCCAATTACAAATTGCACCAACAATGCCACGATGGGACGCCCGTTTCGGTCGATGTAGTTGAGGATCTGAGGACCTTGTTTCATCGCCCCCAACGCCGCCATCGTACGAGACGACCCGTACACAGACGAGTTTCCCACCGATAGCACGGTGATAATGATGATAGCATTCAAAATCGAGGGGATCGCCGGGATCTCAGCCTGCTTGACAGCGATCACAAACGGCGACGTGTTGGCGTCAATACCCTTCTCCTTGACCTCGGCGTTGGTGTCGGTTTGGCCCAAAAGTGCTGGGTTCTTGTACGACACCAACAATCCAATCATGATCACCGAGGAAATGTAAAAGAATAATAACCGCCAAAACACCTGTTTCCGGGCCTTGGGGATCGATTTCTTGGGGTTGGCCGACTCGGCTGCCGCCAACCCAAACAACTCAACCCCGGCAAACGAGAAGGCAGCATTAAAAATCACCGCACACATGTTCTTGAATGGCTCGGTGGTATTAAACATTCCTCCCACCGGCTGGTGCCAGTTCTTGCCGCCAATGAAGTCGTGGTTGGGAGGTGCTCCCCCTGCCACCAACACCACCGAAAGGATCAAGAATCCCAAGATCGCCACGATCTTAATCATCGAAAACACGCACTCGGCCTCACCGTAGCCTCGCACTCCAAATAAGTTAATGGCACAAATAATGAACCAGAAGATCGCCACAAACACCTCAGGTGGTACGGGCGAGTTCCAGTACTGGATGGTGATGGATGCGGACACCAATTCCAACGGGAACGTCACAAGCCACTGCAAGGCGTAGTTCCATGCCATGGCAAACCCCCAGGATGAATCGATGAACAAAGTATTGAAAGTCACAAATGCACCCGAAATGGGAAATGCAACTGCCAATTCAGATAATGCCAGGGCTGTCACAAAAATTGCAGACCCAATAAACACCCACACAATCAACAAACCAAATGGCCCTGCTGACGCCAACGCCAGACCCATCCCCACAAACAACCCGGTACCAATGGCACCACCAAGAGCAATCATCAGCAAATGTCTAGATTTCAAGGTCCTAGAAAGGGGAGAGGTGGAGGTGACAATGGCTGCTCTTTCCAAGTCACTGAGTCTTGAGTAGTCAAACTGGGGATGGAGTCGTTTAGACTTCTTCTTCTTCTCCTCCTGGTTGGGAGACCTGGAAGGCCCTGTGGCTGGCGGCGATCCTTGAGGACCAAAGTCGTAGCTACCACCACTTTCCAAATCATCATCTTGATAAAGGAGAAAATCGATCTTGGAGTAGTCGTATGGCTTGAACGAGTTGAAGAACCGTTTTACGGGGTTGGGTTCGTATTCACTTTGTAGGGAGGATGTGGAAGTAAGTGAACCATTTTCACTTATGTATTCACTGTCTCCCGAGTGATAAGGTGACATCTCATGGGCCTGAGGAGTGTCGACGTTTTTGATATCCATTTGTAGATTCTATTGATAACAACAGAAAAAAGTCGATGATGATAATTCCAGGGAATATCAGTGCTTATGAATGGCTGGGAAAACAATGGGCTCTGTCAACAATCAATTTACTGCTTCCGGTTTTATGTGAAAATTTTGGCGTATTTTTCGCTCTTGCATTTGGCTTTAGTGTAAAAGGGCAGGCACCTCTACCAATTTAGCCAAATGCAGTAAATCCTGCACTGGGCCTATCCATTGAAATCTGCGCCAGGAGTGGCCCGGCTCGGGTCTGATAGGTAGATCCCCGTCCAAAGCTACTCAAACCAGGACCTCCATCCTATCATGACAGTGATTCAACTTCTACCATCCGGTTGACATAGGGTTTTGGCACTGGCTGCTGGATGCGTCTACAAAATTGCGTCTAGCTAGACGATACAGGCAGTTTACAAATGGGCTATATTGTGCGGTTTTACCTTCCTACCGCCTGCCCCTTTGTTTGCTTACTGGTAATGGCCACTGAAACGAGTGTATGCGGCTTATGGCGGCTACGTGTCCATGTAGAAATAGACAAGGCTGACTCGGCTTGTGGCCTGGCAACACCCGATTAATCTTTTCTATCTTGTGTATTTACGTGCAAGCTATTTATTTTTCCAATTCGATGAACTTACCACCGCTGGCAAATCTTGGGTGTCTTGGGTCGTTAATAAACTCGTCAGAGTTCATGGAAAGCACACTTCCCTTGTAAACGAGGCCGTAGGTGACGACAGCTAGAAAATGTTAGTATGAATGATAGAATTGGAGATAGAAGCGATGGGCTTTGTGAATCGCCAGGCCTTGGGAATCGCCAGGCCCTATTGGTGCAGTCTGGAGGTACTGGAATAGGTCGCATTGGAAGCGTCAGAGTCTGGAGATTGGTTCGGTATTGGTGATAGATTTACTGATTTGGACATGGATTCACAGAACCACTAATCACACACACATACGGAAAAGTAAACCACTGATAAAACCTCTCCACACACACACTGACTCTTGTAATACACCCAAATTGATGGAATTGACTCAACACCTCCCATGTTTCGGATCTCAATTGAACTGCTTACGAAGCTGGACAAACCACCACCGTAGTAGATGTCGCCTGTGGCGCTATATGAACATACCTCCGACACCAAATGGCCAGAAATGTTTGAGCATTGGAGTGGCAAATTTAGGAAGCATCTTATTAGTTTCTTAGTTGTTGTTGGAAGAAAAGTTTCGGATTCAAACTTTTCGCTCGCAGTGGCTCTCGTCCAATTGAATTAGTTTGGCGTGCGAAACCGGTGTGCGCACGTCGGTGTGTATTCTATATAGACCCCATGTAGATAGAGTAAAGGTTCATATAGGGGGTGGTGGGCCTATACCAGGGAACGGGGAACGACTCAGCTTGCGGGTCGAATGTCTCTATGGTGTCCCACTTCAAACCATGGTTTTGCATGCGTTCTTCAAACTCGTTGACGGTATCGATGTTTCTAACAGTTGCTGCAATATAGCATTTCTTGCAACCATTTGCTAAGAACCTCGAGATCGTACATACCAATTCCTCGAGAATGGAGCGATCATAGGTCACGTCGGCTGCCACCAAATAGTCAGTTTCGGGGACATGGTGATCATTTCCCCATAATAACTGGGAGATGCTGTGTGCTTCACGAGAAACTTGGTTCAATTCTTGGTTTCGTACAAGATTATCAAACAAGTTGGTGTCTCCATCTGTGAATAAGACTTTTCTGATCCGAGAGTCCCCCGTTAAAGAGATTCCTACCAACCCTGTGCCAGTTCCTAGTTCACAGACCGTACCACCGATCTCTAAACAAGGTACCATTTTCGCTAGGAACAGGGCAGCCTCCCATGTTCGAAGTCCGGTGGTTCCCTGGCCCGAAATTATGCTGGGAGACTCTCCTATTATTATGTCCCTCTGGTTTATGTGATAGACGATATTATCAAAATCAGTGGGTTTCAAGGCTCGAGCATTCAAGATCTCGGGAGAACAGTAGAGTTCGTACAAACTCTCAGATACCTCGATGTTTGTCCGTTCATAGATGGTGATGAGACTCTTAAGGAAGTGTTGCACGTAGTATTTGTTGGAGAACTGGTTGAAATGATTCACAAGCTCATCTTGCTGTGAAGGAGATATTCTAACGCGGTGGGCGTATTGGAAAATTGGCACTCGCTGGTTAATATATGCTAGCACCGTCGGGAACGTCATACCCTGTTCATTGTCAGACATTCTGTTTGTAGTGTCAATGCCTCCATCTCATCAAGAAAACGCGAACGCATACAATGGTAGGGATAGTCACGTGCATTAAATATACAGCTAAATAACAACTCTTGTAGTTCCCTGGATGTACAGACTCACTCATGGCTCTATGGTACCCAAAACCCGGACTCTCTTGACTCCTCCATCGGGAATAATCGTCAATAAAATGTGGCTGCAACTCTCACCATCTGCCACCTGGAAAGTATGTTCTTTATCAGGACCAGTTTTGGAGTCTTCCACCAATGTTCTCCAGCCCACACTCTCCACAGACACATCATCTCCATCACTGGCCTTGAGTCCCTTAAGGTTGATTTTCTGCGGAAAGTTACCTCTGAAATGGGCGGTATCAATAATGATCTCTTGCACTTTGGTGATGGCTCCCAACTTGATGACCACCCAGTCAACATGTCCAGGCTGTCTGGATCTGGTGGTTTCCCAACCATCAGACATGTCGTGCCCACGACCTGGTAACAACAAGTTGTCAGCAGAACCAAAGTGTTGATCTGATACCTTGATGGCCACTCCACCGTTCTTAACTGAAGCAGTGTCGACCACCGTCGACAAGTCCTTGGGCAAAATTGGCAACACAGTTCCATATAATCTGAATCTTGCAATTCCTCCGTCTGGATACATTCTCAATCTGACGTGAGTATAACTATCGGCAGTGATGTGATCTCTTGCAAAAAAGTGCCTTTGGGAAGCTCCACACTCGACCTTTTCAATAACTGAGTCCCACTTCGCGGTTTTCACGTCGTCGCCGTCGCTTAATGTGGTGGCTTCAACAGAAATATATGGGGCATGGTTTCCACTGAAAAAAGCGGTATCGACTTCACATCCAATCAACTTAGCAGACGCTACTCCCATCTGGAAAATCACGTAGTCGGCCTCAGCTGTGTTGTGTCTCCTGGTCTCCCATCCATCGTACCAGGCGCCGGCGTGGGTAAATCTGGTTGCATCTCTAATTGGAGGTTTGGGCTTGATCAAGTTCTCAGCAGCAGCGAACCATTCGTCACTAAACTCCAAGACCTTACCGCCTAACTTCTCACCGATGACATCGGTGTACTGTAAGACTACTTGTTGGGTGAATTGTTCGGGGGTGAGTACTTTGACCATTGTAGTATTGGGAAATGAAAATGTTCTAGTGGTAGTTTTTGATTTTATCGCTATCGGCGAGTCCCGATGGAATAAATCTACGTCTTAATTCCGCTTGGGGAAATCATTAATGTGTGGCGGCGCGCGGGCCTAAGAGAGGGTCTACCGCGGAGTCACCTTCTAATTCTCACTAATTTACAACTAATCTTAGTATAAATCTGTGAAAATTGCGAAGATAAGAGGTTTGTCAAATATGGAAAAAGAAGTGTAAATTAGAAAGAACAAGAAATGAGAAACACTTCAAAAACACGACAATATGATCACCTTCATACTCATGTGTACCTCTTTGCCATTGAAATTGAGTAGATTTTTAGAAACCCAGTGGTTGTGATAGACTACTCAACAGCTGAAACGAACTTGGAAACTTTATCTGTAACTCCAATCATGTCTGAACCAAAGAGGCTTCGGGGACTTGTAAGAATAGCATTTTATTACTTATTATTCCCTTCATCTTTGTATAAGAGCCCACTAGATTTATTTGCAACTAGACGAGGTACACCCGCGCAAACCGACACTTAACGTTAACCGGGACACGCTCGGCTACCAACCTTTGGTATCAGGAAGGCTTTCTCGAAATCCTCAAATTGTAAACAAGTGCGAAACCTCAAAACACCTTGCAATTAACTTTTTGTATACTTCAGTTAGCTAAAGCTGTGTGTGCAACTACAATCCTTATTTATTTCCCAACTGCCAACGCTCCCACAAGCTTCTTGCTTCTTCCACCTTCCAAATACCAGTCCATTTTATTAACTTGTCAAGACTTCAATTATTGTAACTCTGTTTGTGTTGCCATAGACGAAGTTTGTTATTTTTCTTCAAATATCCAATCATCCTCCTCAACGATACAGCTCTTCTCCAGAGAAGGCCATGAACAATTACAAAGAGAATATCGGTGCAATGACCTCTCCCAGACCTAACCCCAACGCTCTGGTACCTCCTCTATCCAATAAAAACTCCTTGACGTCCTTAGCCAAAAAATCCTCGTCCCCTTTATTACCGCCAATAAGAATGGAGAAACCTCGTTCTTCTAATTCAATTGGCTCCATTTCACCTGGAGGCTCTTCCAGCGTCCTCGAACGCCAATATGCTGAGTTGTTGATAAAACATAATAACATGGTGATTGAGTTCCATCAGCTTGAACAGGAGTTGGACATAAAAAACAAAACTATTAATGACCAGTTGGAACAGATTTCCAATTACGAGAGATTCTTATCTCATGTCAAGGTTGAGTTTGGTAAAACAAGAGACCTAATGGAGAAGGAATTGGTTTACTATAGAGAAATGGTTGAAGATTATCAACTAAAATTTTTAAAACTCAATAACGAGTTAGAGTACTATAAAAAGCTTGAATTCAACCAGTTAGAGTCTTACTCCAACGATACCGACAAAGACGAGAAGTACAACCAGTTGATCAAGGATTTCAAGATCTTGAAGTCCAATTTCGAACTAGAACAAAACTCCAAGATCATGTTACTCGATCAGATTGAATCCTTGTCTAAGGAAAACCAAAAATTGAAAGAGGACATTATGTCTCTGCATTCACTCAATGAATCCAGCACTAATGTGAACTCAGAAACCAATCAGAACTTTGAATATCCAACTGGTTCTAGTATTATTCACGACTTAACGTACAATTATAATACTCACACCATGAATTTCAACGAAGATGAAGAGACAAACAATAACTCCGACGATCAGTTTGACAATGACTTCGATTATCTTGAAAATATAGAAGCACAAGCTCAATCTTCCCCGATCAAAGAAGCCTTTCTTTTCGAGACTCCAGAGGAATCTAGCAGTAAAGACAGGGTTCCGTCATTGATCCAAACTAAGGATTTCCAGTTCCCCCCATCACCTGATCCTACCACCAAGGGTAAGAGGCAAAGTTTGCCAGCCAACCTACAAACGGAATTCATTCTTTCTCCATTAAAGTTGGCTTCCCAAGACTTTGATTCTGCCGAAAACCAAAAAAGATACAGCATCTCCAGACCAAATCACAACAGATATAGTAGCCATGATATAGTACCAATCAAGGTTGAATTTGAGGCTGGGGTTGACCAAAGAAGTACATCTGTTCCCTCACCGGGAAGATTTAATGATATTGATGAAAGGTTAGAGGAGAGTAAAGAAATTGAGTCTACGTTCAAGAAACTCAACGGTGAAAGAAACTCGTACATCTCATCGTCCAAGAGATCCAGCCTCGTGTTTGAGGCCAACAGTAGAATCAATAACGATCTCACTAAGCAGGAGATTATGAAGTTGAAGTTTGAGCTTCAATCTTTGAAGTTGCACAACGAAAAGTTGATGTCATACATTGGCTTTGAATTACAGAAACAGAAGAGAAATATCAAGAAATTATCTTCCAGACAGAATTTGCGGGATATCGAATATAGCGATTCCAAGTTGATTGAAAGGTCCAGAGAAGTATTAATCCAAAAGAAGCGGGTTTTAAGGTCCGTTTCTATTAACGCTATTTTGTCGAAAAACTACAATAATAAAGACAATTTGGGGATATTACAGAAGGGGATCTTAAAGTTCGATGACGAGGCCCTACATGAAAATGAATATAATGAAGGTGAAGGAGAACGAGAAGACGACGACTACGGGTTCATGAATTTCAATGACAAGTTCAACAAGCGGATCTTCGCTACTGGCTTGAACAATTACTATGAAATGAACGATGCTGACAACAAGAACACTAACCTCAAGAAGTTCAAGTCACAGAATTTCTTCTCAAACCGCAACAACTTCGACATCAGCGATGTAGACATCACCGATACCACCCTTGAAGACACGATCGATGACGAGATAGAGTGGGAAGACCACAAGATACCCACAAATATGAATAAGGGAGTGTTTGGCCAGATTAGATATCTCATCACCGGTTCTTACCAATTAGATAAGAAAGCAGAAGTCAAAGAAAGCTCTGTTGACGACTCGTTAAAATATCAGTTCTTCAGTATTGCCATTGGAATATTGATTATTGGTATACGGTTTGGCCATTACAACCACCATAATCAAGTTTGATTATTTATAGAATTTAATGAATACATGATAGTAAATTGACGGTATATTCCTCGGACTTGTCGGGCGGGACACGTTAACTTTAAAAACAGGTTTAAAAGTCACTTTTCAAAGATTTGAAAAGCCACCCCTTTCATATGGCACAAGACGACAATTATGACCTGTTCTATTGTATTTGTGCAATTATGTATAGGTACTCTACGACGTCGGGGTAACTTAATGAGGTTATTTCAAATGGCATGATTGCGAAGTCGGAAGTGCATATTACGCAGCGAATTAGAAAAGTGGAACCATATTGTTTTCGAGGTTAAAAGCAGCCAAAAGCCACTCGATATATATCAACACGAAATTTCCTGCTAAACTGTTATACCGGTGCGATGGCTCTCAAAAACTACCTTTACGCCAAGCATGCTCGTGACGAGTTCACGTTATCATTGATGCAAAAAGCCAATATCATTATTCCCCAGAACTTGCAGCCATTAGGAGCCGGGTCCGGTAATGAAGAAAAAGCCAAAAGCCACTGCAGTGATATCGAAAGTTGTAACAACTGTGCCAACTGCCCGAACAAGAAGAACACACCCAAGATCACCATCGAAATCGACAGAGATACAAAACTAGAACAAGAAATCGAGTCTATTAACCATACCCTCACGGAGATTGACTTCACCAACAAGATATAAAACCTTCAACGTTTTTATGCATTACACATCTATATAGCCCTAACTAGGCTATTCCATGGGCCAACTTATGTTGCACGACCTTTAATGAATAATAGAGAAAGTTTATATACGGAATCAGCACTTTCACATCAACTTCTGGGTTGTTTTGTTTGTAGACTTGGATCAAGTTGGCCAAAATCACCTGCAACTCGATTTGTCGTTTGTTTCGAAGGTCCACTAACATCGATGGTTCGTAGTTGAAAGGAACGTCTGTTTCTTCGGTGAACTTGATCATTCCTTCCACATGCGAATCTTCAAGTAACTGTTCCAGTCCATGAAGTTTTAAGTCCTGGTTGGCAACAAGCTGGATTTCCTTCATCAAAGGTCGAACAATATTATCGATGACTCCGTCCGTAGCGAAAACAACCGCCACATCACTATTGGTCAAACAGCAAATGGTGTTGAAAGAGGCATTGTACAACAATTTCCTCATTCTGGTGAACCGGACATTTTTGTCCTCTTCCACCAGATTGATACTGTGGGTGTACAATTGAATGAACTGGCTGAGTTTTGAGTGGTTGCCCGCCGCTGGGTCGAATAACCCGAACGTCACTGCATCAGGTGCCCACATGTTAATAGTACCTTTGGTATTGATGGAACTAATGTAGCTGACTCCACTAATCATGTTGACCGACTTGCCAAGCTTCAGCCACTGTTTCTCGATGTCAAGCCCATTTTGGATCAATACAATACTGGTGATATCTTCTGTTTTAATCAACTTTTCACGTAATTCGTATACTTGGTCCCACACATTGTTTGATGTCTGAGGAATGGCCTTGGTGGAAACAACAATATAGTCAAAAGGCCCCAATGCCACCGCATCTTCAAGGCTCTTAACGACATGCGTGGGCGTGTATCCCTCAAGTGATGGTTCTCTTTGAGCACTTTCCCCCACTGCCATTTGTTTGATCGTATAACCTTCGCTTATAACCTTATCGAAGTCCGATCTGATTACGGCTGTGACATGCACATTTTCATTTGAGGTTTCGAGAGCATGAGCAGCAATGACACCCACACCTCCTAATCCAATTGACAATACTTCAACCATTTTTATGGGCGCTTAGAAAATGGTAGTCGAAAAAAAAGTTGGCTAAAGCTCAATTCTTAAGTAGTTTTGAATTCCGTCGCCCTACGAGGAATCGTATCGCAAGCGCATCTTACCCGATTGGGCCAGTTTACTTGTAACCCATTTATTATACAAAAGTAAAACTACATATCCAATAATACAAACAAATAACATAACAGCACCAGAATAATCCGTAGCAGACCCAATAAATAGTAGTTCAATAATTACAATCGTAACTAACGATTTCACACTTTGTTACACTCATGAATTCACTTCGATGTCCCGATTTCTATAGTCAACTCGATTTCGATTTTTTTTAGGCTTTATCACTTTTTCCACTTGTTCACCCCATTGGAATTCATCAAAGCTCCGTCTTCTTGGTCATGACCCGCAGATTGCGGCTGTGGGAGTCCTCCATTTCGAAAGAAGAACTCATCGATGGCAGACGTTTGACTGGGCGAAGGCCTGCCTAAATTGGGGGCCATGGGCCCAGGACCTCCTTGCAGATGGACAATTTGCAGCAGCTGAGTAGAGGATCGGGCTTGTTGAATTCTTTCGTTGAGAAAGGTGGTTTTGAACTCTTGGAACACCTTCATGGTTTGCGGGTAGTTACTAGCATTCTCATGGAAGTATCGGTCAGCAAACATGTAGATGAACCGTTCAATGTCCGCTCCCGACATATTTGAAGCAAAATCCACTTCACTTCTGCTAGTGACACGGCCAGCAGCTCCGCTTCCACCTGTACTGGACTTACCTGCACCCACCTGATGAGGTTGATGAAGTTGAGGATGTGGGGGTTGGCTACGCGATGGCTTCACATGCCCTGGTTGAGGATCTTTGGGATATTGGGTTCGGAAGTCGTACTCAAGCGGGAGAGCAGTTCCGTTTGGTTGGACAGAAGGCAGCTGTTGTTGGTACATTTGGTAGTTGGAGAAGTTCATATGGTTACCATACCCAAGGCCCGGCTGTTGCTGAGATTGTTGAGGATGATGGTGCAGCAGACGAAACTGGTTGGAATTACTTGCACTTGGAGGATGAGGGTTCATCAAATCATAGGAAGTAGCAGCGGTGGTGGCACCACTGAAATCGGCAGACCCATTATCATGGTCATCACCGGCATTGGTGGTAGAGCTGGGGTCGGTTCCAAACGCTGAATCGTAGACTTCCCCATTGGCACTATTGGTAGCATTTGCTGCGGCATTGCTGATGGCATTTCCTCTACCACCAGAACCCCTACCAACAGCCCCGTTGTTGGTTCCAGCGCCGCCTGCGGTGCTACCCAGATCTGGAGATCCGTCTGCACTGCCAGATTTGTTGCCATCGCCGTCTCCTGGACCTCCTCCCATCCGCTTTTTATTTAAGCCGTGTCTCTTTTTAAACTGCAGCAACCACCCATGACTGAATCCGACGAGTCGCTTGGGATCCTCCACACCAAACTGGTGGGCATATATGGACCAGTGCTCTCGTAAAATCGGCTCGTTGATGGGCTCACCTCGCTCCAATTTCTGTTGCACCAAGAGATCCATAGCCCTATTGATCTTTTCGTACTTGAATTTGACCTTTCGACGGCTCTGCTTGGTGAATGCCGAATCGGCGTGGCTGAGTCGGGCTCTTAAGTCTTCTTCATTCTTAAGCCATTCACTGAATGATGATGTGGAGATTGATAATTGGTTCTTATACCTGTCGACAGTTTCCAGTTGAGGGCGGTTTGATTGGTGATAGAAATCCAAAATCTGGATCTTTTGCTCAAGAGTGGCTCTTGGTAATCTGTCGGGCGCCATTTGCGTAGAGTGAATGAGTGACTTTCAGGTCCCACCGGTACAATGGCGTGTATTAATGGTTTTGAAGTGTTGGTAATGCTCAACTGGCGATTGTTTTCAGTTTTCAGTCAAGTTTTTTTCCCAACTTTTTGGGGGGGAGGGTGCGGATGCAAATGGCCTTCTTCTAGTCTATACAACTTATGAGGCAAAACTCTAAAACAAGTACTATACTACTTCTTTAGAAAGGTTACCCCCATTTTGCAGCGCAATATCCAGAACTATTCAACCAGTCCATACGTCAACCTCTAACCAGTTTGCTATTCTGCTTGTTGCTGTTGTTTTATGTTTTGCATCAAGAGACATCTCTCTCTGGCATTTGTAAGATCCAACACTAATTTCACGTCAGTAGGAATTCTTCCATTCCTTCAGTACAGAATTAACGAATGTCTCAAAGAGAAGTCCATCAATGTGGCCCCAACACCCGATCAAGTCAAAATTTTGTCTACTTTAAATGAAAAGAAGAGTTTGGTGATGAAGAGCAACATACAATCTGGAAAGTCTTTCAGTATGTTGTTGTACTCCATTAACCAGCAACTTCAAGGGTGGAGAGATATCAATGACACGGTGAAGAACCAGCATCCCATTCACAGTGTGATTGTGGTGCCAAATAACTCGCTTTTACTCAAGTATCGAGATTGGGCATCGGAGCTCATCTCAGAAATAGATAAAGATTGTTGTCCCATAAAAGTGGATGTATCAGAGTCAGGAAAGGAAATCATCGTAAGAGAGTCATTGAATATTCAGTTTATTGAATCGTCGAAGAGATTTTTGAACATGTCGACCAATTTTTCGATTGATCCGTTATCTCCAAACTTCAAACCTCAAATTGTCATAATCAATTCTGCTACTTTCAACAAAATTTTCCACAATAAGAAAGATATTCCCGGATTACCAACCAAGGAAGCCTTTGCGGACGTTAAGTTTGTTGGAATAGATGAGGCAAATTTCCTATTTGGTGCTTCCCTAGCAAGTGACATGAACCCAAATATCGTCGTTGTGGGTGAAAAGGAAAGACTTGAGCTTTATTTACATCAGTCATTGAAGAAACTTCGGGAAATCCAATACAATACGTTTAAAAGCCGGGTTGAAGCTGATACACGTTGCAAGTTCTGTCCAATTCAGTATTGTTTCATGTTTCATGCTCAGCATCCATTCCATACGTCATACGTGCAAATGATCAATGGGTACAAAAACCTTGATAAATACAATGATCCAGAAGCCGAGTTGGTTGAAAAACTTACCCAAATGACCAATGAAGAATTTGCGTTGTTCAGAAGGGAGCTTCCGTTGGAATCAGTTGGAGAGTTGGTTAGACAACACTTCTACAAGAAGGATGAGAACGGTAATGTTGTCAAAAGAATTAACTTGTCATTAGTCGATGCAACTAGAGTGCCACCAAAAACAAGGACTTTGGGATACCAAAGTTTAAAGCAGTTTGAAGACTTTCCGGAAAGAGAGGCATTCATGGATGAGTTCAAGGTTTATGCTAAAGAATATAACCACCAAGGCAACAATGTCTTCAAAGCCTATTTTAAAGATAAGCTTATGGTAGACGAGACCAGAAGAAGTACAATTAATGATGCACATTTTGTTCATCGTCTGATACTCCAGTTCAGAAAGACGTTTCCCGACTCCAAAGATCCCATTCTTTTCGTGATGCGGCCCACAAGTCATTTCCCATCTATGGTAAGAAAGATGAAGCTGCTTTTGAAAGCTAGTAAAAAAGAGCCAATTGAGTTATCATGCTATCATAAACCCAGGAATATTACCCTGAATCAAACACATATGGCTGACGAAAATGAGCCCTACATCGACAACCCAGAAGACTTCAAGAACTTTTTTATTAAGAACCCAACCACTAACTTGTTGGTGCCTTCTGATGAGTTTCCTGGTCTTGATATAACTGGTGTCAAAAATATTATCATATGTGGGTCAGCCAACTGGCCAACTCTTGCAACGGTTTCGTGGAATCTGAGTATGTCAGAGGCTCAAAAGAAGTTGGTGTCAGGGATTGAAATGCCCCATACTGACTTGTTCTATTATCACTTGCTGAAGCTTCAAATGGAAAACGATCAAGATGATAGGAACATTCTTTGGATCCAAGATTCCTTCTATTTGAAGAAGTCATCAATTACCAAAAGGGTTATAAAGCAAGACCTGAAATCTTTTAGGGAAATGTTGCTCTACAATGATATAATTTCTCTTGTGAACCATGTTCCACCCCACATAGATTAATACCTGTAAAAAGTTTATATATACATTAAATAAGTTAATTGAGCAACACCGTAGTCTTGGATTCACGATTTTTGTTACCAGAGAACAGAAGTTTCTGTTGTCCTACCTTTTTCCTAAATTCTTCAGCTGTCAGTAATGAAGCATAAAACTGCATAACTTTGGGATGTGCCCTCACCCGAGCTCTATCAAAATTGAGTACTTGAAGTCCGTCTCGAGAAACAGCTCTTGATAAAGCAACGTAAGCTTGTCCATTTTCAAAAAGTTTCTTTAAATCAACTTTGACATGCTGTAAGGTTTGACCTTGAGATTTGTGGATGGATAAAGACCAAGCTAATATCAAAGGAATTTGAACTCTTTTAGCTAAAGCATTCATATGTTCATCTTCAATCGTCCACACTTCAGGTTCCACAAGAATCGTTCTATGGTTTCCTCCAACCAAAAATCTTACTAATGGATACTTGGACTTGGTGGATGTTTCATGCAATTCTCTAATTAGACTTTTTTTCCGTGCAATATTCTGTTTGTAGGCAATTCCTAGAGCTGAAAGGTCTTCTTCATCAGAAGCCATATCTTCTAAAAAGTCAAACACGGAGTCGGATAAGATACTTGGTTTAGTATCTACTTGCAATTCTTCATGATCTTTTTTAGAGTCTCCTCTAGAAGCTTGTTCACCTTTCAACTTAAGTTCCTCAGGCGAAATATCTGGGTTTTCATCCATAGTTTGAAGGTGCATGTAAGTATCCCTATCGATAAAGTCAACTACTGTTCCAAGCGAACCATTGACTAGGGTGTCATCGAAATTCTTGATGCACATGACCTGAGCTCCCTTTTTCAAAAACAAGTTCTCTGGTGTCAAAAAGTTGTTTAATACAGCCTTGGGATTTTCTAAGCTACCAGAGTCGACTGCTCGGTACAAAAGGGCAGAACCATTCAACATGTTTAAACGGGTATTATTGGCATGCTCCACTTCATGTCTGGTACAAAACAATTCAGTAGGCCTTATTCCTTCAATATCTGGCAAGGGCCTTACCAATTTTTTGAATTCATGATTATTCTCATCACTAACGTACCCACTCCGCATATCATTCAACATATCAATGAACTTTTGGTCACCTTTTTGCCGGAACACTTCTTTCAACACCAATGTGGTTTCAATTGTGTCGTTCCAAGCTTCACTTTCAAATGCAAACATGGCTTCTTCTTTCTCTGTCACATCGGTACCATCTATGTTTCTATTCTTTGTTACCGGTGGTAGTTGATAGAAGTCACCACAAACAACCACTTGGATTCCTCCGAATGGTTTATTTGATCTTCTGAGCTTTTTGGCAATTTCATCAAGAAGATTGAAGAACTTGCCGTCAATCATTGACACTTCGTCCATTACAAGAACTTTTATCTCTTTCCATCTCTTCGAAGCTTTCCTGTTCTTCCTCACTTTCTTAATGATGGAGCTTGGAGTTCCATTTGCTAGTCCAACCCCAGCAAAACTATGAAGAGTAATACCTCCAATATGACAAGCAGCTAAACCGGTTGATGCAGTCACTGCCACAGCACCCTTCTCATGCTGGTCTCGAAGAGATTTAATAATAGCTTTTAAAAGAACAGATTTACCCGTACCAGCAGAGCCAGTGTAGAAGAGGGAGACACCCAGCTTGACTAGCTGGAGAATGTACTCTTGTTCAGAAGAAAGTACCATGGGTTTCACAAGTTTCATTGGTTTCAAATGAGGATTTCGTGCTTTCTCTTCTGATGGATCTGGATTTTGTGTTTGTAGCATGATTGTGTGGTTCGTAGGTTTGGAACAAGTTGAATAATTTCTTTGAAAGTCCATTGTCCTGGGAGGTACAAACGATTTATGCAGAGAGGAAAGCACTTCTTTAGATTCCTCGGGTTTGATTCGTTTGGCAGCAACAATCAGGGCCTTCTGAGGTGATAACTGTCGCCTTCTCAGGTCATCGTCAGTAGATAATGGCTTCTGTTGGTTGTTTTCTTGTACTATGACTGGAGCTAGAACGCGTGATTCTAGAAATTCGAGACTATCATTAAAGTCCAGGTCCAGAAATGCTTCATCATGAAGTACGAGTGGATTCTCCTTATTCGATCCAATAGGCGAAGAAGGTAGAGGGGTGGATTCCCTTTGAAAAAACACGTCGTGAGACTTTAATAAATCTTCATCTTCAAAAGTACCCCAGGAACGTGAAGACCCCTGGCTTTTAAAAGACGCATTCAAAAATGGAGGTGGAGATACATTGCTCTTGTAGATGGGTCGTACAGGCCCAGATGCTGAGTTTGTTTCTGTGGATTGAATGTAATTGTGCGAGGGTTCATTTATTTTATCAGTATGGGGTATTGATACAAATTCGGTCGCACGAGGTGGACTGCTGCTGGTACTGAAGAAGGAGTCATAGTCATCCCAGGTCTTTTTGGCAGCAGTGTTTCTGGTGTTTGGAGAACTAGTTATATGCGATTGTGACATGTTAGCACCAAATCTAGGCGGACTTCTGGTAGCGAATGACTTCAAGAAAACCTTGCGTTTGACAGGACTATTTTTCAATGAAGATATCAAATTCTGTGACATTTAAGTAGGACAGGGTAAAACTAACTGGAGAAATGGGAGCTTGATATTGTGATATTGTGAATCATAAGCAGAATAAATGCAATAGTTGTTTGTGAAAATAAACCAATTTCGCAGCGACGCGATCGTTTTCTTTGTGTCTTTTACCATATAGTGATAATCCAATGAATACTGGAGTTGACCAGTCCAAAGTCATTGCAGACTCCAGAATCCTCTACGATCTTTCTGGTCTCATTACCAACATATCCAAGTATACAATTGACGATGTCAAGTCCATTTTAGGTACTTTTGGTGCTTTGATCAGTTCTGAGAAACAGCAAATCAACATCTCGAAGCTATCAAATATCACATCTCTTCTCTTGTTTTACGCCTCCCCCTTACTGTTGACCATTGTGGATACTGTGTCATTGATTCGCTTTCTTTATGAAAGTTCTGAGGGCGTTTCCAACCCAGATGAAGAAGAAGCTAATGACATTGAAGAGTTTGCTCACTATTTAGCACAGAAGACTAATGATGATGGTCTTATCACCGACGAGTTGGTGGTCCAAGCAGCTCAAGTTATCTTACAGAATCTTGAAACCAGAAATGAATCGTTTGGGTTTAATATAGAAGGTGTCGATTTGGATACCATCGTTTTCCATACGATCCAGAAGAGATTATGGATAAATTCCATCTACATTGATGATATAGAACTACCCAAGGAGTTACTTCTGTTGGATACATCAGCAGCTTGTCGTCAGTGGTATGCTTCGTCCTATGTTCCTTTCAAATACTACTGGGACAACCATGGGTCAATTGCTCCCTCACCTACTATGAAATTCCATGAGTTTTCTCAAATGCATACAGCAGATGCTATATTTGAATCGTTGATATCACCCGTGGATTCTAACTCATATAGCAACAAGCTCAGATTAGGAAACTGGATGCTGCATGTTATTATTCCTGCCCTTGATGCCTATACTTTGGATCCTTTGAGAAAATGGATGTTTGAACACGAAAGAACCAAAACTTCAACTATCTCAGAGAAACAACACCTATGGAACATTATCTTTAATTCTTTGATTACTGCTGATATTCCCTTTGCCAAATACGAGGATATTGTCGAGACTTACATTGTCTCGTGCTACTATGATACCACAGCAGACAATTTGCCAAAAGTGTCTTCAATGGAAACTCTCAAGGTCCTTGACTTGATCAAAGAAACAGTGGACTTATTAGTGCCGGTGGTCCCTCAGACTGCTCAGATCGTGACTGTCAATTCTATTTCATATGATAAAAACCTTACGTTTAACAGCATTGACGACTTCAAAGCTAATACTCCACTTCGTCCTTTATTGGTGGCCAACAAAGACTGCGTCGTAACGTTGTCTGAAACCATCGAGACATGCAGAAAACTTTACCCCATCAACCAAACAACAGTGGCGAAGTTCTTGGAGCTCAAGTACACACCTGGCTCACACTCTGAAGAACTCAAACGTGAAGTTACAAAGCTCTTGCTTGGATTGACCCCCACCTCGTCCCAACAGCTTCTTCATTCGCTCAACCTATTCAAGAATGTTTTCACCCAGAACGATGACGAGTTGGAAGCAATTGACGGTTTGGTGGTTGACCGATTTTTGTTCAAAGATCTCTTCGAGTATGTGAACCAATTATATGATGGAGGCCAATTGAAAATTAAGCCAGATAACTTTGTGCAGTTACTTTTGAAGAAGTTTTGGGATTCTGTGAACCAAGCCACTAACTTTGACGAGCGAATCGGTAAGCTACACAGTGCTACGAGCTGCATAACGTTATTCAATAAACTCTCTGCTAATGGGGATCTTACCAGCCAAGAAAGAGAAGAGGTAACAAGACTAAAGCATTTGATGAAGGTATTTGCTAACATAAGAAACTTCAAGCTCCAGTTTGAAAGATCAAAAGCCCCAACCCCATTGGATATCATCAAGCGATTTGGCTCTTTACCAGCACACGAAGAGCTTCGGACAGAACTAGAAGCGATTTCCCCGATGGGGTTGATAACCACCATTTTAGAACAGAACTTGAAGTCATACTTGGCTTTTGAAAAGCTTTTCAAGGTTCTTAGTGACTTCCTCCTCTTCCTCAAAGACACCAATGTCACCTCGTCCTATTACTTCCAAAGACTCATGGCTGCTTGTATCGAAGCATCTCTCATAGACAACAACTTCAGTTATGCCTACAAGAAATCTCTCGAGCTTTTGAGTCAATATGAAGATGACAACTTGAACAACATGTGGATGACTTTCTACCAAGTAGGAAACTACAAATCCCCCGATTGGGCAGTAGATGAGACCATAGATTCTAATCGGGTAGAGGTATTGCTCAAACAGAGCGAAATCTTATCCAAGTATCTCCGAGTCATTACTCGTGCTGATGTTTCCACCGACAACAGCCGGATCATTGTTGAACAATGGGAGAAGGTGAACCATAATATTGATGGGTGGTACCAGCAAGTGGAATCACAAAAGGCCAATACTTCTAAGACATCAACCCGCCAAATCCAGGAAAATTTCACATCGACCGCCAACGAGATTCTAGGCGATGCCGCTAACACTACGGCGCAGGCTAGTGAAAAGTTGTCGAATCTTTTCGTTTCTGGGTTGGGATGGGCTATTGGAGCCAACCCAAATTAGGTTCGCAGTTTTTCCAAATACATTTTTAAATAGTACTCATGTCTCTTACAACGAACAAACAACAGGAATTGATCGATGAGTCGATAAATGAATACATTTCCACCTACGACAAGGTGGCTAGCCAATACCTACATGTCCGTAAACAAATTCTAGAACTAGCTTCGGGCGCTTCCAAAAACCAGTCCATTTCCCCGGCAGACCACATCACTATCAAGAAACTCCAATTTGAATTGGACACAGTATGGGGGTCATACTCCGGATATCTCCACACATTAGAGAACTATCTCGATATCTCCAAGCATATCCAGCCAAGCTATGTTGATGAGCTTAGCAAAAAGTACGAAAAGCTTCTTGTGTCCAAGTTGAGTCTCACCAAAACTATCAGAAATATCAAAGAGGTTCAAATACCGTTAATAGAGGAGATGAAAGAATTGACCAAAGTGTTTCAAAAGAACCTTAGTCGTACCACCACCAAACGGTATCCATCAAAAGCTGCGGTTGAAAATGCTTTAAACAACCGCTCGAAAGAGTCTATGAAAGTAGACAACTTGATAGTATCCCGATCAGAACTTCACCAGCTCTTCGACGGTTTCGATGAGAAGGTCAGACAACTAGAAGAAGGCAAAGAAGACACATCCCGTTCTATAAAAGCTTCATACTATATCAACAAAGAGTTGGAATCGGGTGAAAAGTTCCTTGCGTTGGACGACGACAAGTACCTCTTTCAGGTTTCCAAAATCAACTACCAGGACCTGTACTTGGCCAATGCCAGTGTAGCCAAGTACGATGAACTTAACGATCAGTTGGTGCATGAAATAGCTGATTTGATTGCCCACTCCACCTCCGCCAAACGAAGCTGGATAAAAAATGCCGCCAAGATCGATGCATTCAAAGCCATACTTGAAGAAGATATAGAAATGGCAGACACTTAACTGCGCTTTGTATATTTTTGAACGATTAACGTATTGGATAGATATTGTACAAATTTGTAATGATAACACAGGAATGTCACTTGGTTTACTCGGCCACGGGGCTAATCAATATCACCGAGTCTCCTCTGATGAACACCATGTCGGTGGACTTCCCCTGAGGTTTATCTTGGTTTTCCGCATAGATATACTCGGTGGCATCACTCAACACCATATTGCAATGGGAATCGTATCCTTGCAATTTACCCTTCATTTCTCTAGCTCCTCTTAACTTGACCAACACAGTCTCATCCAACTGGTACCTGATCAAATCAAGTGGCTCTTCTTGCTTCTGTTGTGGTTGGACGTCAGCCATTCTTTGTAATAGTAGTAACAAAATTCTCCCGCGACTTTTTGAGACCAAAGCTGAAAATTTTTTTGAGCTAGCCATACATCATGAGCCAGGTATTTAAGAGACAACTACTGGCCTCTGTCAAGTCCTGTGCCAGAAACAAACCCTTAAAGTTTCTGGACTTGAAAAGTATCCAGTTAAGAGAGCCCATCACCCCAACACACCGAAATTTCGACGTCTCGCCCGATCATCCGTTGTGGGCATTCTTTGGCAATGGCAGCAACTCCGAACACGCCTACAGAACCTCCGATGAACTCGACACTACATCACGTGCGTGGACCATGCCTGAGTTACGTCGAAAGTCCTTTGACGATTTGCACAAGTTGTGGTACATTATCTTGAAAGAACGTAATGTGATTGCAACCGAGAGAAGATTGGCTAATGCCATTGATAATGTTGGTACCACGGCGTTGAGCGACTTGGATGCTAAAATGGGTCTCAGCCACAAGCGGATCAAGCAGGTGCTTTTGGAAAGACAAACCGCATACGAGAGAGCCCAGACCTTAACATCTGATATCAACGAGTACTTGGCCAACTTCGAACAACGGTACATAAATGCTGCCGAAGATGAAATTGCCCTGGAAAACGACAAGTTGGTGAGATTGCAGTACGCGGTGTTTGGTATTCAACCTGCGTTGGAAGATTACAACTTGGAATCTGACATTAACCAGAAGTTTGTGGAAGGTATTTCATTTATTGCCAAAGTCAAGTTGGGTAGGCATTTGGCACAAAACCCCAATAGCAGTGTACAATTTCCATTGAATGGAGTGGTGGAAGAGCTCCCCTTCTTGATTCGTAGTGTGGATCAGGCAGTTGAAGAAGTTTCAGCTTTGAGAGAATCAGGCCAATCGGTGCTTTTGGATAAAATCGACGTTTTCCCATTTGTGCGCAATGCTTTGGGTAAGGTGCTTGAAGAGTTCAATCAACAGTCGTCGTAGTATCCCCTCCTTGTATATAAATAGACAATAACCAGATGGTCGTGTAATTGGACTTTTCATCTTTCTCACCGATTTCTCAACCTATTGCGAATTGACATTTCTCCATTATCTGAAATAACCATGGGAGGTAGAATCAACGGGTTTTTGGCAGGCGCCCTTTTCACGTCCGCGTTCGTGTACTATACCGGCGAGTACATAAAGAAGGACCTGCAGTTTGTATCTCGACAGTTGAGAATATCCGAAACCATCATCAATGAAGGAATCATCCAAGGCAAACAATTGACGAGTCCAATAGCACCTGCTGCCCCCAGAGGCACCACCACCGGTAATGCTGGAAAGGTGGAAAGTGCCAAGGATATCTGGAACCAGGAAATCATCAACGCCGCCAATTGGTTGTACAGTATAAATTATTACAAAGGCTTGGAAAATCTCGACTACTGGGCAAATAAGTTGTCAGGTAAATTGACTGATGCAGTCAGTAACAAGCTCTTGGACGAATCCCGTGAAAAAAAATAGACACAAATCCCATAACTAACATACATAAATACACAATTTGATTCTTACTTTCTCTTTTTGTCCTGTTCCCTAAAGAAACTGCTTATATCGCTATCGATAAACAACGACACTATTGGAGCCACCATCAGGAAAACCAAACTAATAATGATCTGGAAGAATGCCAATACACGAGGGTGGGCACCCAAAGAGGCAGACCCAAGAACCCATCCGATCAAGTCGGTGTATACAATATCATATCCTCTATCAAGAGAAGTCAAAATGCCCTGAGCGCATTTATCAACCGCAATAGGAGTGCTGGCACCTTCTATCTTTTTGGTGATGACGGGCTTTGTCTTCTCTTCTTCTTCGAACCCTTCGCTCTGGAAGTTTCCAGGAAGAACACACGACACGCGATAATTGAAAGGACTAAGTTCTTGACGTAATGTGAGCGATAAGCTCATCAACGCACTTTTCAAAGGTGCGTATTGAGAGTACCCAATTAATGGGTATACGGCAGCAGCAGACGAAAAGATGATGATGTGTCTCTTCTTGTAGGCAGAGCGTTCTAGAGTCTCGTTGGATTTGATCACCTGTTTGACCCCTGCATGAACAGGGTATAAGGTGGATAAGTAGTCAGTTTGTACACCTTTGGATAATTCTGCTTGAGTCAAGTCCGGGAAGAGTTTACAAATAGCTCCTCCCACACACGAAAAGAAGTAGTCTGGGTCCCTTTTATCAGACGCAAGCGTCTTCCACATGTTGACACACTGGTCGTAATCACATACATCAACAGCTAGATATGTGATTGTCACAGTGTCCTTTTTACCGTGTTTCTTCACTATGGCTTCAACCTGCTCACTAAGTTTATTGGCTCTTCTGGAAACCAACACCACCGAGCAATTTTTTTCATACAATTGAGCTGCCAATTCGGAACCAAGGCCTTGAGAGGCTCCAGTTATAAGGGCAAGCTTGTTTTCCAAAGGGAGATGTGTTTTTGTAAACCACATTGTCAAGGCTGTTAGATACAAATGAAAAATTCAAGAACGCGACTTGAATCATCTAAGCGACTTGAGTCGTTTATTACTATGTACACATAAATGACGGATGAGCATGCCACTCTAAGCAGTAGCAAATGGTGATTTGGGAAGCTCCACCAGGGCACTAGCAGCGGGTCTGGGCTTAGTCTGGAACTTTTTCGATACGGTTCTGTCTCTGGAGAATGGCCTTGGGACGTTTTTGAGGTTTTCCTGGATTTCAGCATCTTCAACTTGTTCAGTCTCGGGGTTATATTTGAAGAATTCGACTTTGGCAGTTTCTACTGCTTTGGCGAAAACAACTTCTCCATCGTTACGGAAAGTAGTCAACTTCCTGATCTCATTGGCAGTCAAACTATCGAGTTCCAATCCTTGTAATTGTAATCTAGCGGCGATTTTGGCATAGTACCAGAACTTGACTTCCAAGTTGGAATCCACCAATTCCAACACGGACATAGGAGCCTTGTCTTCACCTAATCTTGGTTCCAATTTTATTATACGGGTGAACCCATGACTTCTATTAGGATATCTTTGAGCCAATTCGTTCAACACCTTTGGGCCTACATCTGTCATATCTGGAGGCTGCAAGTACCTCAAGTTCTTGTTATTCTTTAATTTATACTGTAATGGTTGTTCTAACATAGACTGGTTTTCGTTCAAGGTTCTTGATAAAAATCTTTCAACTTTGCTTTGGGCTCTCTTGGCCTTAGCGCGGGTTGTGACGATGGATTCATGGCGTATCAAGTTGGCTGTTATGTTTTTATCCATCAGCTTCACGTGACGGGCCACGTTAACTTGATACTTTTGAAGAGAAGGCATGGTTTGTGGGTTGGACTTGAAAAATTTTTTTAGTGTATTCGCACTCGATTGAGTGAAAGGTGAGCAAGAGATAGATTCTGAAAACAAGGTGATTACTGACGAGAGATATGTGTCACGGGGTAAACATGTAGCTTTAAGTAATAGAAGCAAGTATAAATGGTTTATGTGCCAAAATTTCTTGAAATAATCACCCCTTATCCATCCCAAGGGCTAAGTCCTTTCTGGCCAACAAGCCCAGCGACTTTTTTTAGCAAACATACGACTCCGTGGCCAAGCTGGCTAAGGCGTAAGACTGTTAATCTTGAGATCGTGAGTTCAATCCTCACCGGGGTCGTTTATTTTTTCCTCTTGTAAGCTGCACAATTATGCACATACTCACCGGGCTGGGGAGTAGACCGCTTGGAGAAATTAAAAAACCCGATGAGAAGCACCAAAAACAAGTTCACTTCCCACAGAACTACAAACACATAAATATCATGTGGGCCACGCAGAGCCTATGTATACTTCACCTACACAAACCACACTAGTAAATTAGACAGTCTTAACCCTTCTATTCTCTACTTTTTTCCACTCTTCTTGATGCCCCCACCAACTAATGGGCCTCCCTTTTTGGCCTTTTCAGCCATGGCCTTTTTGGCAGCAGCGTCGGCCTTTTGCTTATTCTTAAAGGCAAGGTCTTCCTCGTCCATTTCTTGCAGCTTCTTCTTTGGTGCCTTTAAGGGCTTGGCCTTTCCTCCTTGACGTCCTGACATTTGAGCACAGTGATATTTTCAGAATTTTACTGAGCGCGAGCACAGGAATCTCAAAAGCTCCTCCTGCGGTTGACTACCATTTCTTGACACAGGCAGTTTTATAGTGGCTGTGCAATACAAACAAACGAAACACATATCATCATGGGTCTTCTCACGGTAGACGATAAGGAGAAGATCAAAAGAGTCATTCCTAAGGCCAGCAATAAGGTAATTGATGCTACTGTTGCTAGATTATATATCGCATACCCAGATCCTACCGAATGGAAATACACCGATTTATACGGTGCCATTGTGCTAGTCGATGATCTCGTCGGACACACGTTTTTTCTCAAGCTCGTAGACATCGAGGGTCATCGAGGCGTCGTTTGGGATCAGGAATTGTATGTCGATTTAGACTATAATCAGGATAGAAAGTTCTTTCATACGTTTGAGATCGAAGAGTGCTACGTGGGGCTTTTATTCGAAGATACCACCGAAGCCAGCCATTTCCACAAGCGAGTTACTACGCGCCACAAGCACGCTTCAAAGCAGACCGCTAACAATAAGAATGCTGTGGCATTGAAGAAGAAGAGTGATAGCGCCAAGGGTCCTCATGCACCGGGACCCAGAGGTGAATTTGTCGACGTGAACACGGCCCAGCGCTCCCGCAGAGCCAAGGGAGTCCTATACTACGATGATCTCCCACCTCCAGAATGGAGGTCATTGTACTCGGAGTTGGCAGCAGCTGGTATTACTGAAGACATGATAGCTGATAACAGGGAGTTTATCAAAGAGTATATCGCCAAACAAGGCGGTCCTTTGGTGGGACTTGAACCCCCAGTGCCTAGAAAGACTCTTCAGAGGTCGAATACTACTGCCACTGTAGCTTCTGATGATTTTGAGGTTCCTACGACTCCAGTCTCCTCTTCTCACAAACCCAAAAAGGCCCCACCGCCCCCACCTCCGCCACAAGCGCCTGTAGCTGCCTTGTCTCCATCTCCAGCTGCCTCATCCGATAACCTTGCGCCTTCGTCGTCCGAGAATTCGGTGGGTGAAACTCCGACTCCTGAACGTCTGTCTCCTGCCCCAGCAACACCAGCTCCGGCCACTCGACAATTCAGACTTCCGCCTGCAAATGTGGTTGCCCCTCCTGTATCACATACAAGCGTAGCACCACCTGTCAGAGACACTCAGTTTAATGCTGTTCCTGCTCCACAAACTGGTTACGGCCAATATGGGGCACATGCCCATCATGCGGTACCTCCTGCCCCACAGCAAGGTAGACCGATGCCACCGCTACCACCGTCCCGAGGAAATGCTCCGCCACCACCACTCTCACGTGGGAACGTTCCACCTCCTCCTCCAAGAGCACAGGGACAACCCCTTGTTCCATCTCGTACTGGTCCGGTCCCAGCACCTCCACCCAGGGCAGGAGGAGGTCCTCCACCTCCTCCCCCACCACGGGCAGCTAGAGGTGCGGCTCCACCACCACCTCCTCCAAGAACAAGTTCTCTACCACAACAGCACACAGTACCTGCGTTGCAACAGACTCCTACGTATCAGCGGCCGCAGCCACCACAAACTCTGGTGTACCAGCAACCACAAACACCAGCGTACCAGCAACCACAAACACCAGCGTACCAGCAACCACAAACACCAGCGTACCTGCAACCACAACCTCTGGTGTACCAGCAACCACAAACACCAGCGTACCAGCAACCACAAACACCAGCGTACCAGCAACCACAGCAACAGAACTACACGCCTATTCCTCCTCCGCCTCCCCCACAGGCTCCCCAAGTGTACCAGCCTGCTCAAATCACCCCAGCGCCTCCAGCACCACCATTACCACCAGCTAACAACAATGCACCTCCAGCACCTCCGTTACCACCAGCTAACAACAATGCACCTCCAGCACCCCCACTACCAGTGTCTAATAATGCACCACCTCCCCCACCTCCTCCACCTCTCCCACCAACTACGTCAGCAACAGCTACCGGTGCCCCACCACCTCCTCCACCTCCACCGCCAACTGATATGTCGAATGCTCCTCCCCTTCCCTCGGTTGATCCCAGCAGAGACGCTCTCCTTGCTTCCATCAGAGGTGCAGGTGGTATAGGGGCTCTCAAAAAAGTCGATAAGTCGCAGCTTGAGAAACCAACCGTTCTACTACAAGAAGCAAGAGGTGAGGCACCACCAGCTCCAGCAGGAGGTCCACCTGGAGGCCCTGCTTCATTTGCAGACGCTATCCAAAACGCATTGAACCAAAGGAAGTCCAAGGTTGCCCGAAGTGACGATGAAGACGATGGTGAAGAGTGGTGATATTTACTATAGGCCTTAAATAGACAAAATCAAATTCGCGATGCCACTAAATAACTCATGACTACTGTTTCTAGAAAAGAGCTAAAACAGCTCTTGAAATCGTTTCACGAGGCTCTTGAGTACTGGGCCAAGAGTCTCGAGACCAAAAAGAGTATGGAGGAGATCAAACTGGCCCAAGTCCTGGATCCGTTGGATGAATTAACCAAACTTTCAAAGCTCATTAAGGCTCATGTCACTAAGGTGGGAATCATCTTCAAACCAGATATCTTGCAAAAACAAGTTGAAAGTTCTTACAATACTCTCCAGAAACTCAGTGAGTCCAACGTGTTGTTGATTTCTCTCGCGGCTCAGTTGGATCCAAATCAACTTTCCCGTATCTTTTACGATGAGATTATCGACAGGATCAAACAGATTCTCTTGTCAAATACATATCTCGTTCAGCAGCTAATGATCATAGAGAAGACCATCGAGGCGAACGACGATGGTGAACAGGTCCCGGTATCACCACTTGAAGAAACAGACGGAAGGTTGGTGTCTGTTGGTAAGATATGGTCCTGTTGCGATGGGCTTGCAAAGGTTGTGGCAGACGGCAAAATTGGAGTATTAAACTCAAAATTCAGACAGAGTATTGACTTGATAGAGGACGGACTCGAAGACTTTGCCGAATGGGTAGAGAACCCCGAAGCGTTTGATGATGAGGATCCCTTTGGGTTTACTGACGATGAAGAGTCGGATGAAGATGATGGTGCAACCCCTCCTGAAACTGATGAAAACAAACAAGAACTCAAGGATTACGGAAAGCTTTGGCTTGCACGATTCAAGTTGGTTAGGCTCTTATTGACGTCCATTTCCAAGTCGTTGCCCTCTGTAACTTCTGGTGATACCATAAATATCATCTACCAAGCGCAGAAGGCCATTGTTTCTAATGTTGATAAGCTAATTGTCGACTTGATGATGAGTTCTCGAATAGATGCAGATACTGAATCATACGCAGGTGAAATCACCAGAAACTGCCGAAACCTTATCAAGGTGGTGAGGGATGTGAACAAATCCAACGAGGCCAAAGTCAAATGGTGTGACACCTGGGACACCAAATTCAACAAACCTACATAGTTACAGGATTATTAAGAAGACATGTATCGAACTATAGAATCTGGTTTACATCTTCAGGTCCCGGGATAGTTATTCAGACAACCCCAAATACTTTATATGGTGCTTAGCGTGGTCCTCGACAAACGAACTAATAAAAAAATACGAATGGTCGTAGCCTTCTACTACATTCAATAAGACCTTTCCCTTGTAGTTCGAGTCCTTTGCAGCAGCCACCAAGTTTTCTGGTTGCAATTGGTGATCTCTGAAGTAGAATGGGTCCGCAGCACCTTGGTGAATTAAAATATCCGGTTGGTTGGCACCAGCATATTTCTTGATCAAGTGACTGGGGTCATATTCCTCCCATTTGGACTTGTCGGAACCAAGGTAGTTTCCAAAGTTCTTTTCACCCCATGGACAGCTCAGAGGATTAGAAATTGGTGCAAATGCACTCACCGATTTGTACTGTCCAGGATTCTTGAAGAAACCCGCCAAAGCTCCGTAGCCTCCCATTGAGTGGCCAGTGATGGAGATATTGGAGAAGTCCAACGCCGAAAAGTGCTTTTCAAGTTCAGTCAACAATTCCTTGTGTACATATGAGTACATGTTGTAATTTTTCAGCCATTTGTCCTCTGTAGCATCAACATAGAATCCAGCCCCAGTTCCAAAATCCCAGGAGTCATCTTCCCCTTCGATGTTGGCACCACGAGGAGAAGTGTCTGGGAATACCACTGCGAAACCGTACTTACCAGCAAAGTACTGTAAAAATGACTTCTCGGTGGCATTATTTGGGGTGCAAGTTAAGCCTGAAAGATACAACAACACAGGGATCTTGGTTTTTGGAGACGAACCAGGAACGTAGACGTTCACGTCCATCTTTGTATTTGTCGATGTAGACTCATGGGACAACTTGTATAACTTTCCTCCAAACTGGGAGATTTCTGCTTCGACTTTAAAGGACATGTTCAGGTAATATTATTGGTTTGAAATCGCACCGCTTTATAAATGCGATTGCGATATTAATTTCGGGAACATTAACCTTAAATTGGAAATTGAATCCTCTAGGGTGCAAATACTATCACAGAACTATTGAAGAAGAATTGTGTGTTTTGCACAACAAGGTATTTGATGGAGCTGACACAATACAATATTTGAAGTAATAATTCTAAAAATTGTCAGATTAAGCATATATTAATAATATAAGTAAATTCCCCATTCTTTACAAGGAACTATGTCCTCTCGGCTCGTATGGGAAAAAGAACACCAAAACACCTGAGGCAAGAAACAAAGCCCCACTGACGAAAATTGGGGCCGAGGTAGTCAAATCGGCATAGATGGCAATAATGGGTGCAAAAACACCTAATATCCGATTGGCACTTGCAGCCAAACCAACTCCAGTTCCCCTGATTTTCGCAGGAAACACTTCAGGTGTATAAGCATACAAAACCCCATACATGATGTTGGAGACAAAGCTGAAAGCACAATTCCATCCCAAATTGGCGTTACTGGTTTTGGCGGTGGTGGATGCAAATAAGAACACCCCGGTAAGTAACAAAGACACAATTAATGTGCCCTTTCTGCCGATTTTGGTCTCGACGCTGAACCCAGCCACGATGGATCCGGGGATACCAATCACCGACACAATCAATGAGTTTCGGTATGTATCATGGACACTCAATGGCTTATTAGCATCCCCCCTGGTCTGAAGGTAGTAGGGTAAAAATGCATTATATAAGGGAAACGCCAACCCGATAATAGCCCAGGTGAAAATCACAAGGGCTGACGATATGGCAATCTTCCTAGAGTGAAAACAGTTACGCAAATGTTCAAGATTGAATTTTTGCACCTTTTCCTTAACCAAGTGATTCTTTGTGGTTGACTCTTCCGGGTATTTCTCATCTACTTTTTGCAACTGATCAAGCGTGAGAGATACCTCTGTACCATTAATCTTAGCAATCTTCTGGAGAGTGTCGATGGCCAAGTCATCTCTTCCACGGGCCACATAGAACCTTGGAGACTCGAACACCCGGAAGCTGAATCGGGCAATGAAAAACAATAAAGTCAATCCACCCATTGTGAACAAAAAGTATCTCCAACCCTTATTATCAGCCTTTAAGCACACCTTCGAGTCTGTGGAGCATGAGAAGTTGGCTATCAATCCCCACGATATCAAGTTGGCAACAAGCTGCCCAAGAGCCCACCAACCTGACATCACCGTAAGAAGCCATTGATGAGTACTGGGGAGTGCCTCGAGAAACAATGCCGAATCTACCGGAAGGTTCCCACCAACTCCAACCGACCACAAAGACACAAACACTCCCAACGCCCCAAAGTTTGGGGCCGATCCTGCTACAACAGCCCACACTCCCGTGATCAAAAATGTCAAATTAAATGCCCATCTTCTCCCGATAATATCGGCTGAGAGTGACCAAAAGGCTGCTCCCACCAATAACCCGAGATTCTGAGCCAACGTCAAGTAGGGACCTTTCCCAGTGGGTGGATGAACTCCGTCTGTTTCTGTGAGCACCGGTATGATTAAACTGGTGACTATAGGCCAAGCATTATCAGCAAACCATCCAAAGCCTGCGACAAAGAAGAGCCCGTATTGGTAACGGCCAAAGCCAATTTCGTCCATTGCCTTCGATAACAAGGCGGTTTTTATAAGATAATTGTGACTAAAGTCCGTGGCATCGAACATCAACGAGTCTTCAATCGACAGAATGTCTTCAGTGACCTCGATGGAGGCGCCATTTTTTATGCTTGGGACAGACCCCAGCGAATGGGTTACATTGCCGGTCGGTTCAGTTTCATAAGATGAAGTCATTGTTAGTTAGTCACACTGTATGCCATTTCTCATTTAGCCTAATACTTAGCTGCTTTTATATGCTTATTATCAGGGTCCAGCAATGATTGCGAATATTTAACAAAAAATTATGCAAGCCTCAAAAATATATCTATTACGAATTGTACAGTCCAAAACTAATTAAACTTTCTGCCACATTCAATACGTATTCTTCTATTTGCCATTTTTGGTACCAACTACGAACAACTTTGACACCGTTACGATGAGCCTTACCGCCTCCACCTCTTTGAGCATAATCCTTATCTACCCACCAGCATGTTGCAAGGTTATTACCGTCTTGGTCTGGGACTCCAAAAAAGTACTTTAAAAGGCCTCCCGAGATATTGGCCTCCAAATGGGAATCTTTATCGATGTCTCCAAGAGTCGCTCGTTTCTCGGCCGATACTCTTACGTTATCAAATAACTTGGACCTGAATGCGACTATGTACACCGAAAATGGCTGCAAAGGTTTCCCCAACCTCGCAGCGATGGCTCGCGCCTCACGAACCACATCTTCAATATTAAAGGAGTCAAAATATCCACCAGTGGCATAATCCTCACTTGTAACCTGGAATGATTGTAGTGCCAAAGCAAGGACTCGATGCTCATAGCTGAGGGTTTCTAAGTCAAGAAAGTGTTCCTTTTCTGTATACGGAGAAGACTGAATGAATCTCTGGCTGACATCAGCATCAAAGGCCAGGAACACAAAGCGATCCACTTCGATCAAGGCCGTTTTACTCATTTTTTCAAGTAACAAGGACATCGAAGGATCACAGTTTGGGTTTAAATGATGATTTTGTCCAGGTGCCACAATTTCAAACCTTAATGTGCCGCAGTCGTACCTGCAAATTTTGCGGTGCCGGATATCATTGACTATTTCGGTGGCATGTCTGTTCGATACAAACAGTTGCACGAAGAATTATTACAAATTGTCATACATACGAGATCTAGTTCTAGGTGAGTCTATGCCTTCCTTACACCAACACAAAGGCCGAAAACAACAAACTGTAGCCAAAGTAGAACATCCATGACATCATGGTTATCGACGATGCTAAACTCTTCTTTCCTCCGTCGTCATCGTCGTCACTTGATTCACTGCTCGAGCTACTGGAAACTAAAGACTCACTTCCATCGGTGGTTCCAGTTGAAGTGAAATTAATTGCTGGGGTGTCGTCATCGACAGCTCCATCCCAACAATAAGTCTCGAAACACCTCTTACACTGTTCAGTTTGTTCTTGGTTTAATCTATCTTGGGCTCTCTTGATGATGGCACATGCAATACAAGTCTTGAAATCTTCATCTAATGTCAAATTGCCTCTAGTGGCCACTTCAAACCCGTTCTGGATAACCCCAAGCTTTTCGTCCAACTCATAACTTAATTTGAAGGTAGAAGTGTTGGACCAGTAAGACATGGGACGGTTGGCGGTGTACACCACCAATGGAGGGTATTGTTCGGATGATCCCACCTCCGACGCTAAACTGGAGAAGTTGGAGGCATCGCATCCGAAGAAAGCTGGTCTGGATGTCAAGTTCAAATTACGGAACGAAGCAGCATCTGGAACATATGGGAAAAGGGTTCCATTACCTTGATCCAAGAATTGTCTCTTATAGGTGTATATCAATGAGGTTCCATTTGGCCAGGACTCGTCAGTATCAGCCGAGTTGTCGTAGGCAAAAATCACGTCAACTTCCCTAACAGGCTGAATCAATGGCTGCAATGGGACATTTTGAAGATCCTCACCTCCATCCACCAAGAACAACGTTTCGTTTTCGGAGATCAGACTGATAGTTCCAATATCACGCTTATAGAAAGGATTGGGTTCGTAGATAGCAATGTCATCTTCATCGCTACTAACCGACTTCAACAATTTTTCAATCACTCCATTAATGAGCGATGGCAAGTTGGCCGAACTCAATTGCAAGATAAATTGGTTGAATAAGGAGGAAGATGTACCAATCACAAATCCAGCATTATCGTACCCGGCCACACAGGTGCCATCAACAGGCTTTCCATTCTTCAATTCAGTCCCCAAGTATTTGGTGTCCATGAACTGATAGAGCGAAGGATCCCAACTGCCAACTTCAAAAGCATTAAACTCAAAAATCGTCGAGTTTCCCGAAATAATCGTCAGTCCAGGCGTTCTGCCGTCAGCAACAACAATAGGGAAAGGCATATTATGGCTTTTAAAGTCGGAAAGATTTCTAATATCGGAGAAACACAAGGCCACACCAGCCTCTTCGTAGTCGGGGAAAAACTGGTACGATAAGGCCCTACCCCAAATGTCGGTGATGGACCGATCATAACCAGCATCCTCTTTGTCGTCCAACGCCGAGTAGATCTGAGTATAATACTCGGCGGCCTTGATAACGTTCCATCCATCAGGGTTAATAATGGAGTCCTCCAAATCCCAGATCTTATCATCATTCATGATGTCGGCCACACTGGAGAAGTTGTTCAACACTACCGTTCCCACAAGCCAATTTCCACCAGAAAGTCCCACCAAATACGTGGCCGACTGAAGGATTCCGCCCAATCCATACTCGTTTGAAGGGTCATATCTGTCATCAAGAGCGAGCAACTGTCCAGCACCGTTTAACATGGCCCGGTAGCCTCCTCCACTGAAGGCAATCCCAATCTTGATGGTGTCATTGACCTCGTTCATGAAGGAGTCTACATCAAAGTCCGTGAGGTTGGCGTCACTCAAAAACTCTGTTATCCGCTCTTTGGTGATGGGGTTTCTCAGTTCCAACCATTCGGATTCTTCGCTTGAAAGTCCATCAGCCGTTCTTAAAAGGTCTTTGTCAGGACATTCTATCGAACCAGGGGCATATCCACCGGTGGGGGACTCAGCCCACACAAATGCCAACCAAACCAAAATGAATAATGGGTTCATTGGCTTACACTCAAAATAGTTGTAGAAAGAAATAAGCTAAACAAAATAAGGTGTTTGCTCTTGAAGGTGTGAAATTTATTGTTCGCGTTAGTAAAGGAAGGTGGCTTTGACGGAAGGAGACTTGCAGTTATTGGCGCCACCTAGCGGGTAGTCCTTGTTCATACTTCGGTCTATTGGCCTTTACAAGCTTCATGTAGCCGCCAGGCTGGTGGTTTTCACCGGACGCATAGGATTAAAAACCCGTTTATTCCTAAACCATCAAAAGCTCCCGGCTCGGCTATAAACTGCTGTGCCTCATTACTAGCACAACCTTTTCCTATGACCTACAGTTACTTTTGTGTGCCGGTGTAAAACAACGTTATTCCACCACCGGTTTCCTCATTTTCTCGCCCCCCTTCCCCCATCTCTCTTGTACTTACACTTTCTGTCCTGTCTCATCAACTTATCCTGTTGCTTCGCAGCCGCGAAAAATGCTTTAATCAACACAAGGTCGAAGATGCCATCAATAGACAATTATGCATCTGAGCCGTCGTTGGCAGATCGGGTTCGACTGGTAGGTACAAAGTACTTGAAATTATGTCAAAAAGGTCTTGATTGGTATAAACAACAGACTCGGATCAAGCAGGTGTTGATTTCCTTTGCAGCAATAATTGCCGTCGCTTTGATGGGTGCATTGGCGATATTCCATGTATACATCATCAAATTCCTCATAGAGTTGTCAGACAAATTGGCCGAGTGGAAATATGGCCCGTTACTTCTTTTCACTTTGGTGTTCTTTGTGGGATTTCCTCCTTTACTTGGGTTTTCTTCACTTTCCCTCTTAACGGGGATGACCTTAGACATTATCCCAGGATGGGCATTACTTTCCACTTCTTCCATCACCGGTTCGTTTGTATCATTCCTCGTGTACCGACACTTGTTGCTGGACAAGTCCCATCAATTGCTCCAGTCGAATGAAACTTTCAAGGTGTTTGCTGAGACCATCAGACAAGATAATAGTCTTTTATTACTTGTTTTGATCAGGTTGTGTCCCTTGCCGTACTCGTTGTCAAACGGTGCTCTTGCAGCCATTCCCGAGTTGTCAGCATCCACATACCTTCTTGCATCGGTTGTAACTAGTCCTAAATTGTTTGCACATATATTTGTGGGCCATCAGCTCAAGGACATTGGTGATGAGTCCAACTCCACCACCCGACGCGTGGTGGACGGAGTTACCGTCTTGGTGACTGGGCTTGCTTCGGCTCTTACCACGTATATTATCTATCATAAGATGCAAATTCGGTTGCACAAACACCGTAATTCTGAACCCAATGGGGATTATAACGAAATCATATTCGGTGATTTCGGTGACGACGAGTCCGGCAACAACTTGGAGTTGAACTCGGCCGACTTCGACGCTGACAATTTTATAATTGATGATGATAACGAAAGTCAGGTGGAATTGCAGTCTGTCAAGGCCAATTCCAAGTCCCAATCGCCTGTGGACCCTTTCGGGGATGAGGCAGGAGAATTGGATACATTTGAGGTGGATAACACCGAGCTTGAAGCTCCCAAAAGCAGCCCCCTGAAACCAGGATATAGAGATTATTGAGAGTTTGTTTATAGTGAGTACGTTATGATATATGCCATTATTCTATATGCATCAACCGCGTTCTTCTTTTCTCAATTTTATCATTAGAGGACAACCCGTTGTGGTGATTGCCGTAGACATCGCTGAACAGTCGTTGCCCGGAGATTATATCCAAGGCATCATGTTCACAGAATATCAAATCATTAATTAAGTAGTAATCATCTGTGATAGAATTCTTGCACCGAAAACACTTCAAGCAATGTAAATGCCATTTCTGTTCCAATTCGTTTTCAATACATTCACCTTCAATACCCAAGTGGCACTTCTCACACGTAGACCCATTCAATAAGTGATAGTGTTTATGACAGTATGCTTCATCATCAAGCACATAACATTGTACAGATTTGTTGAACTGGATATCGCAGCATTTGTTCATACATTTGAAACACTCACGATGCCACTGTCCAGTAAGCTCACCGGTTTTCGAGTAAATGGCTTTCTTGCACCCTTTGGCAGTGGGAGAAATCTTTTGTTTACATGCCCGGCATGGACCTGAACCTGATGGGTACTTGAACTCAGGAGCTTCCCTGGGGTTAATTCTGACCTCAGACGGGGTATGACCTGGTTCCTGGTTCCTGGTGATTGGATGGTCTCCGTAAGTTGGAGTCTGGTGTGCTTCGGCAAACTCAAACTCCCTACCACGAGTGGGTGAATGACGAACAGATAAAGGTTCAATCGAGTCCTCGTAGTGGGAAGAAAGTCCAGATGGTGTGCTAGGGTCCACCTGAAATGCTGGTACGTTGGTGGGTGTTTGCCGGGAGATTTCAATCTGATGAATAGAATCGTTGAAACCGACAGTTTGCTGTGACTGTTGTTCTTCAGGGAACTGTGTTAGATAAACAGCTTCTTGTTGAATATCAGGAGATTCTTGATCCTCGGGAAATAGGGCTGGGTATGGTTGAGCAAGAGTTTTTTGTGGTTCTTCAACTTCGTTATCTTCAGGGAAATCAGATGGATAGACTTTTCCGGAAGTCAAGTCAAACTTTGGCGCTGGAGCTGCTTGAGCAAGAGGTTGCTCTGGTTCTTCAAATTCGTTGTCTTCAGGGAAATCAGCTTTATAAGCTTTTCTAGCAGCCGAGTCAAAAGTGGGAGCTGACGCAGGGGCCGATGTGGGAGCTGACGCAGGGGCCGATGTGGGAGCTGACAGCGTGAGTAAATCGGTACTACCACCAGTTTTCAATGCTTCTAATTGTCTCTCTAATTCCCTCTGTACTTCAACATCTTCCTCATCTGAATAGCGGGATTCTCTAGATATAATTGAGCTCACCATTGACAACTGACTCTTCCTGGTGTCACTTACAGTTCCGTTCCCACTCAAAAAGTTCTGGTAGTCGAGATTCAACTTATTGGAGCCTTGATTGTTAGAAGACTGGAAAGATTCAAACTGAGAAGGTATGTTCACCGGATTATTGTGGTCATTGGAATACGAAAGGCGAGGTGCTTCAACACGAATTACTGGGGTTGGAACATCGTTGTAGGTTCCATTATTCTGTTCATTGGTGGGAGATTTGTGAGCAGCCATATCATATTTGAATTCGTCCAATGCACTTGATAGCCGTTTGGGTTGGAACTGAGTAGATTCAGCTGGCTTATACGCACCAAGTTGCACGTGCCTGTTTCTCTTCTCTGGAGTCTCCAATAGCTCATCGGTAGCAACGCTTGCTGAATGGCTCATCTCTCGAGACAACCTAACCGATGTAGCATTGGTGTCATAGAAGATAGGTGAATGTCCTGTGGACTCATTAGCGGTGTCATCACTTAAATCGTCCTCGACCAGGTCTTGGTGTTTCAAATCAAGAGAAAGCCCCATGAGATTTTTATTGTACGCTGGTGATGGTGAGAAGTTGAACTCAGAACCAGTAGTAGCCGCATTGTGAGAGTACTGGTTTAGCACAACTGAAGGTTCTTCTGGAAGCACAGACGGCACCGCTGTGGACCCCGAGTACTTCCGAGGCAGACGAGACTCGTTGTATCCCCCAGTTCGAGAAGTCTTTGCTGTCTTTGTCGCGTAGGGATTGAAGGAAGGTGCTGCTTGAGGAGAAGTAAGCGACGCACGTTGAAGCTCATCATGAGACTTGGCCCTTGATTGGTATTCCATGATATGTGGAGGCTGCTTGTTGTTGAGGTGATGGCGGTTCAAGTTGGGTGAGCTACCGTGGTGCTGAGCAAAAGTAGGCGACGCAACCCGTGCTGAGGCAGGAGCTGAAAACGTCAGTTCAGCCCTTGAATGGGGAGTCGAGCCCAGGGACTTGTTCGTGTGGTGATACTGGCCGTTAAACCCACCTGATCCGGCAGAATGAGGTCCGTTGTTGCCTCCTTTGTAGATGTCGAATCCAGCTCTTTCATAAACCCCCCGGTACTTATGTTCGGTTTTGAATGGTGGGAACGCCGAATCCTGGACCCGAGGAGACGGCTCCAGTCGGCGGATCTTGGGATATGATTGTAACTTACTGTCCATGAAAATGACGGGAAATATGATCTTTTGCAAACAATTAAAATTCTATTTCTTTCAGGATTGAGCTGATGAATTTCTTGAATGCTTACACGCAAATAAACAAAAGACAAAAACTCAAAAAAGAGACACTTGTAACCCGCACCAGTAGGGTGGAGGAAATGTACAGGAATAAAGCAGCGAGGCTTCTGATCAGATGAAAGCTGAGTTGTTGGCACCGTCCAACAATCGTGTACAAAAGAACGTCGGTTAAACCTTAGTGTTTTGAAAATTTGTCGTTGTTTTGACGCGCATCCGGCCAGACCTTCACGCGGTCGCCAATTTGGTTTGTTACCTTTTATTATTAAGGCTACAAAGGAGGCAATTGTATTAACTATCTAGGAACCTGATATACCCTCAGGCCTATTTACTTTACCAAACCATTGCATCAGACACGCTTCTGCGCCTGGCTTCACTTTTTTCTGTACTTTGTTCGATCTCAGCAGTGCGGTAATGAACAACTTATTGGTAGCAGTCTCATTGGCATTGGCTAACAATCGGCGCTGTGTCGTTCATACGTGTGATTTGGACGCTGCCGTGACAGCCCTTAAAACGGTGGTGTCGCTGGCGGACCTTGAGGCCGTTGAAGTGGATTTGAAGTCACTTTTGGATCAAAATGACTCGCTTCTATCCAGTTTGACCACACAAGTTTCGGGGAAACGGTGGTTGCGGGATGTACTCATATGGCGCCTGGTAGAGCAATGTACGGCCGAGCAGCAGCGGCAATTGGTTGGGATTTTGGACCAGCTCGATGGATATGACACCAATGCCCACAGGATTTGTCCTCGTGATACAATACAAATACAAGGTCAGGACGTATTTCTCCCTGTGTTCCACACGGTCATCATGGTGGTTGAAGTCAGTGGATTCGAGAACGGTATCAGCGCTGCTGGCTCTATGTTACCAACGTGGTACAAGCGACTTAAAGAAAAGTTCTGGTTTTCCCATTTCTATACTCAAGATGGCCAAGATGAGCCCAGGTCGTTGCAGATGGTCGACTATTCAAAAGAACTTCTCAAGGTTCGAAGTAGAATCCCATGTGTACACCTCAGCCATGAGATCATGGATTATATCCATTCACTAATGGTGTTTATTCGCAATCATCGACTCCAGTCCCTTGCCCCGTTACAAACCCGGCTACTGACCGATACCATCGACCACGTCTCACTCCTAGCACGTTCTATTGTGGCATGGCTGCGTCGGACCGACTCTGGTCTGAATACTTCGTTGTACGTCACACCTGAAGTGTGTCAAGTTGCAATGCGCAAAATTGGCTACTGGCTAGTCGATTGGCAGATTCCTGGTGGGCTCTTTGACTTATCTGCTCGGGTCCCAACTGGAAAAGATACAGAGGAACAGCTTGAAAATAACCGGAAATTGGTGGTCAATATGCTTGCGGGTGCGTGGTATGGCAGTGAATGGCCCTACGTGAAAGAGTATATTCAACAGCACGAAGCTCGTTTTGATCCCACCAGTAATACTGGATACCTGAATTCAATGATCGAGGATAGTATTTCTGCTGTGCAGCCGCCCATGTAATGGTGGAGGTTTCTGGTGCTCAACTGGTGCAGCCTGTGAGGAACATAATGATAATGAAAACCCAATAACAAATTAATATTCCGTATTCATTCCTCCTTCGCCCGCTCTGCTTTAGTGTCTCTATATCTCCCTTCTTTCCCTTCTTTCCTACTCCCATCTCCATAGTTTACCAGTTCTCCTATTTAATAGGTGTGAATACTGGTCCGCGCACACCACGTCGTCAGCCACGACCTGCTCACCCTTTAGTGCGTCCGAATCGACGAAAAATCAAAAGATCCAAGTTTCAACTAGCCAACCGTCAATCAAGGCAAACTTGTGGTGAATATTCAACGTTCAATACAACCAATTGAACCGCTTACGTCCCGTCTATCTATCACAATCAACGCCTCTGGCATATAAACCCCATAGGTTCCCAGCTCGTGACCCCACAATTGCTAGTTGACTTTGAACTAAGTGCTATAAACAACCGAATATGTCTTCTGATATACCAATTGATTTCACCGAATTGGCCCAGCTCACCCTGGTTGGCATCCAGCCCGCCAGTCTTGATTTCAAGTCTACTACTCTCGAGTCTGATCGTTATGTTTGTGTTCGTGAAACTGGTGCTTCGGGTAACACGGTTGCCATCGTTGACTTATACAATAACAATGAGGTCACCAGAAAGAACATGACTGCTGACAATGCCATCATGCATCCAACAGAGTTTGTGATTTCCTTGAGAGCCAACGGCACAACCATACAAATCTTCAATCTTGGCAGCAAACAAAGATTGAAGTCCTACACTATGGATGAACCAGTGGTGTTTTGGAAATGGTTAAACAACGAATACTTGGGTTTAATCACCGGATCGGCCGTATTTTACTGGAACGTCTTTGATGGTACCAACAACGGGCCCATCAAGTTGACCGAAAGACACCATAGCTTGAACAATGCTCAAATTATAAACATTGTGGCCGAACCTGATTTGAATTGGTTTGCCATCAACGGTATTGCTCAGGAGGATGGTAGAATCGCTGGTCACATCCAGTTGTTCTCCAAGACTCGAAATGTGTCTCAGGCTATTGAAGGTCATGTTTCTAAGTTTGCTCTGATTAAGTTGTCAGGTGCTGCTCATCCTACCAAGGTATTCTGTGTTGGAAACAAAAATGCCCAAGGCCAAGGTAACTTACACATCATTGAAATCGACCATGTGGACGGTAACCCACCTTTTCCAAAGAAATCTGTCGACATCTTCTTCCCTCCAGATGCTACCAATGATTTCCCTATAAGCTTACAAGCTTCTGATAAATACGGAATTGTCTACATTTTAACCAAATATGGTTTTATTCACTTGTATGACATGGAAACCGGATCTAACTTGTTTGTCAATAGGATCACTGCTGACCCAGTTTTCACCGCCAGTGCTTTCAAAGACGGAACAGGTATAATTACCATCAACAAAGCTGGTCAAGTGTTGAGTGTTGAAGTTTCTAGAGATAGAATCGTCCCTTATGTCTTAGACAAGTTGTCCAACGTGTCTTTGGCTTTATCGCTTTCATCTCGTGGAGGTTTCCCTGGTGCTGAAAACTTGTTTACTCAACAGTTTCAAAACTACTTGAATCAAGGTGATTACACCAATGCCGCAAAGGTAGCTGCCTCTTCGGAACAATTGCGTACTCCAGATACCATCAACAAATTGAAACACATCACTCCAGCCCCTGGTCAAATCTCTCCAATCTTGCAATACTTTTCTACTCTATTGGACAGAGGTACCTTAAATAAGTACGAATCCATTGAATTGGCTAAGCCAGTCTTGCAACAAGATAGGAAACCATTGTTTGAAAAATGGTTGAAGGAAGACAAGTTAACCTCTTCAGAAGAATTGGGTGATATTGTTAAGTCTTACAATGACACCACCTTGGCTTTGGCTGTTTACATTAGAGCTAATGTTCACATTAAGGTGGTTTCTTCTTTGGCTGAATTGGGCCAGTTTGACAAGATTATGCCTTATTGTCAAAAGGTTGGTTACTCACCAGATTACACCAACTTGATCCAAAACTTGGTTAGAGTCAACCCTGATAAGGCCAGTGAATTCGCAACTTCCTTGTTGCAAACCCCAGATTCAAACATAAATGTGGAAAACGTTGCTGATTTATTCTTCTCCCAAAACTATATTCAACAAGGTACAGCCTTTTTATTGGATGCTTTGAAGAATGATTCTCCAGCCGAAGGTCACTTACAAACCAAGGTGTTGGAAATCAACTTGTTGCATGCTCCACAAGTTGCTGATGCCATCTTGGGTAACAACATGTTTAGTCACTACGATAAACCAAGCATTGGTAAATTGTGTGAAAAGTCTGGTTTGTTTCAGAGAGCATTGGAACATTATGATGACTTGAAGGACATTAAGAGAGTCATTGTTCACACTAATGTGTTACCTAATGACTGGTTGGTCGCATACTTTGGTCAATTAACTGTTGAGCAAACAGTTGCTTGTATCAAGGAATTGTTATCTAACAATATGCAACAAAACTTGCAAGTTATTATCCAAGTTGCAACTAAGTATTCTGACTTGATTGGCCCATTGAACTTGATCAAGATCTTTGAAACCTACAAGTGTACTGAAGGTGAATACTACTACTTGTCGTCAATTGTCAACTTGACTCAGGAACCAGACGTGGTGTTCAAGTACATCCAATGTGCTGCTAGAATGAACCAACCAAAGGAAATTGAAAGAGTCGTGAGAGATAACAATGTCTACAATGGTGAAAAAGTCAAGAACTTCTTGAAGGAGTTCAAATTGGATGACCAATTACCTTTGATCATTGTTTGTGACAGATTTAACTTTGTTCACGATTTGATCTTGTACTTGTACAAGAACCAATACTTCAAGTTTATTGAAGTTTACGTTCAACAAGTTAACTCAGCCAACACTCCTCAAGTTGTTGCTGGTTTGTTGGATGTTGACTGTGACGAAACAATTATCAAGAACTTGTTGAATTCTGTCATTGGTAGAGTTCCAATCAAAGAATTGGTAGTTGAAGTCGAAAAGAGAAACAGATTGAAGATATTGTTACCATTCTTGGAGGCTACCTTACAAGGCGGGTCTAATGATCAAGAGGTGTATAATACTTTGGCAAAGATTTACATCGACTCCAATAACTCTCCAGAAAAATTCTTGCAAGAGAACAGCAATTACGACACTTTGGTTGTTGGTAAGTACTGTGAAAAGAGAGATCCATACTTGGCTTACATTTCTTACTCTAAAGGTGGAAATGATGATGAATTGATCAACATCACCAATGAAAACAAAATGTACAAATACCAAGCTAGATATTTGTTGGCCAAGTCTGATTTCGACTTGTGGAACAAGGTTTTGGGCGATGATAACATTCATAGGAGACAGTTGATTGACCAAGTCATTTCAACAGGAATCCCTGAATTAGATGATCCAGAACCTATTTCCTTGACCGTCAAGGCTTTCATGGAAAATGATTTGCCTCAAGAATTGATAGAGTTATTGGAAAAGATCATCTTAGAACCATCTCCTTTCAACGACAATACTTCTTTGCAAGGTCTTTTGATCTTAACAGCTATCAAAGCTGATCCATCTCGTGTGATGAACTACATTGAAAAGTTGGATAAGTATGATCCTCAAGAAATTGCACCTTTATGTATCGATGCTCAATTGTACGAAGAAGCTTTCGAGATCTATGACAGATTCGAATTAAGAACTGACGCCATGAGAGTCTTGGTTGAAGACATTATGTCCTTGGACAGAGGTGAACAATACGCTGAGAAATTCAACACTTCGGAATTGTGGTATCAATTGGGTACTGCTCAATTGAATGGTTTGCGTATTCCAGAAGCTATTGAATCTTATGTCAAGTCCAAGAACCCAGAGAACTTTGAACAAGTAATTGAAATTTCCGAACGTGCTGGTAAGGAAGAAGAATTGGTTCCTTTCTTGGATATGGCTAGAGAAACTTTGAGAGAGCCTTTGATTGATGGTGCTCTTATCAACTGTTACGCTTCTTTGGGTAGATTGTCTGAAATTGAACTGTTCGTTAGTGGTCCAAATGTTGCTGATTCTGAATCTATTGGTGATAAATTATTTGAAGCCAAGAACTACAAGGGAGCTAAGATCTTGTATTCTAATGTTTCCAAATACTCTAAGTTGGCCACTACTTTGGTTTACTTGGAAGATTACCAAGGGGCTGTTGAATGTGCCAGAAAGGCTTCGAATATTAATGTCTGGAAGCAGGTGAACAATGCTTGTATTGAGAATAAGGAATTCAGATTAGCTCAGATTTGTGGTTTAAACTTGATTATCGATGCTGAGGAATTACCCGAATTGGTCAAGACATATGAATGGAATGGTTACTTCAACGAATTGATTTCTCTTTTCGAAAACGGGTTAAGCTTAGAAAGAGCCCATATGGGTATGTTCACTGAGTTGGCCATTTTGTATTCTAAGTACAGTCCAGAAAAAGTCATGGAACACTTGAAATTGTTCTGGTCCAGAATCAACATTCCAAAGGTGTTAACTGCCTGTGAAGAAGCTCACTTGTATCCTGAATTGATCTTTTTGTACTGTCATTACGAAGAATGGGACAATGCTGCTTTGACAATGATTGAAAAATCTGAGGTTGCCTTTGATCACTTGTCGTTCAAGGAAATCATTGTTAAGGCACCAAACTTGGAAATCTACTACAAGGCTATCAACTTCTACTTGGCTGAAAACCCATCCTTGTTAGTTGATTTGTTGTCAGTATTGGCTCCTAAGTTGGACTTACCAAGAGTCGTTAGAATGTTTGTAAAGTCTGACAACTTACCACTTATCAAACCATTCTTGATAAGTGTGTTGGAAAAGAACAACTCGGTTGTCAATGGTGCATACCATGACTTGTTAATCGAAGAAGATGACTACAAGTCCTTGAAAGAGGCTATTGAAAATGACGCATACAATAGATTCAACTCTTTGGACTTGGCAGAAAGATTGGAAAATCACGAAATCATTTTCTTTAGACAAATTTCGGCTACGTTATACACCAAGAACAAGAAGTTCACAAAATCCATTTCTATCTTAAAGAACGATAAATTATGGCCAGATTTGATCAAAACTGCTGCTGTGTCTAATTCTACTAAGATTGCCCATGAATTATTGGACTACTTTGTTGAAACTGGTAACCATGAATGCTTTGTGGCCTTGTTATACACTTGTTATGATCTTATTGAATATGATTATGTTATTGAATTGACTTGGTTGCACAACTTGGCCAACTTTGTCAAACCATACGAAATTTCTGTTGCTGCTGAAAACCAGAAATTATTAAACGAAGTTTACGCTGATTTAAAGAAGAGAAGAGAAGCTGAGCAACAAGATGAAGATGCGCCTATTAACCAACCATTAATGATTACAAATGGTAATGCCGGCATGGCTGGAATTGGGTTCCAACCAACTGGGGCTGGATTTGGCAACCCCTATTAAAACAATCAAAAGTATTCTGTTTTGTTTTACCGTTTTCTTGAATAGATAATATACCGCTATATTGTACTAGAATACATTGTAAGTTTATATTTTGATTATTCCTACCATTGAATCATGCCGTCATTGAGTAAATGGATCAACCACCTTTTAAGCTCAAACTCTGCATCGACAAGTTTTACGCCTATCAAGCGGGCATTGTGCATGTTTAGCTTTTGAGTCATGAAGTGGTCCACAAGATTTAACTGGAAAGAAACTTCTTTGATTTGGCCTTCCGCTATCACAAGTTGGAGCTTATGTCGTATATCTTTGTTGAACTGTAAGTTTATATGTGACATGGCATCATCAGCACTTATCTCGTCAAATACTTTGATATTCCCATAAACTGAGGCTCTGGGAGACTTCAAGTCTGCAAAAGACATGTTATGTAATTTGTGCATGAGGTCTGACACAAATAATGCTCTGCTAAGAGAAGCATGAATTGCATGGGCAAATACAGCAATTTCTTTGTCATTAAATCCTTCTGGGTCGATTCCATGTACCATATTGTTCACCATATCCTGCTGAAGAGTATGCTTGAATACTTTCCATTTTTCAACAGATCCCTTGGTCTTACTGTCTATGGTCTCTCTCCTCAAAATCACATAATTAGGACTTAAAAACCGCTTGTTGAAACTGTCGAACCGGTCGAATCTCAACCCCAAGCACGAATTGTCATTCAAAGGAAACGCTGTGAGTCCTCCAAGGCGGTACAAATTTTCATAGAGAATGTTCTCTTTTAGGGCTATTATCTTGCGTGCGCTTTGAGCAGATTCAAGCGTCAAATCATTAATATCTATCCGTTTAACAATCCTAGGCTCGAAGTCCTTGCCGACATTGAAGTAATCCGAGACAGACTCGTCAAAGTATGTGTGCTGTACAATAGGAGGAACATTTTCATCATATTGGTCTTGTGGTCTTTTCTTCCTCTTCTCCAAGTTCTTGAGTCGCTGCAAAGATACTCTTTCAGTCTCCACCAACTTGTTCAATTGTTTCAGTTCTTCTTTCTCTCTTTGTAGCTCAGCTTCTAGCCCCTCTATTTCTTTCTTCAAACTGTCGATATCATTTTCTATGCCATTGATTTCTTGTGTTAGAGCATCTCCATCGATATCCATTGTATATTTACAGAAAAATAAAACGCGATCCAGATCAACAACAACTGTCTCGAGTTTAATTTACATTCCCACTGGGTTTTAGTCAACTAGATCCAACGCTGAACTATAACAAGTTTTATCAACACCATTAACATGAGTGATAGCTTTGCCAACCTATATTGGTCCCCCGATTATGTAACAGGGATTGATAGTTTGAAAAAACAGACAAACGTCTCGTTAAAACAACTTCATGAACTACGCCAATTGGTCTTTAACTTCATGAACTATTATCATGCCAACAGTCAGTTCCTCGATAAAATGGTAGGTGACCTGTCACACTCGTCTTTCAATCCTGAAACTATTGATATGCCTCCTAAACCAGCACTATCACGTGAATGGTTGAAGAGAAGAAACGTTTCACAGGGGAATAGACAACAAGAAGCCATGAAAACCACAGACCTGTCTGGACCAACTTCACCAAGTAAAATTGAAAAAGTGACGATGGATGTGCTATTATCGCTGTATGTAAAAGATATCAGTTCAGAGGCTTTGACTTTACAAGGTTTGGCTTCTGTGATAGACAGAGAGGTGTTAGAGCACATTAATGATTTTATTAAAAACCACGAGCCTTATATCCATACCAGCATTGATCATCTAGATCAAGTGGTCAATGACTATATAACCACCTACGCTGACGTGGAAAAAGTGAAGGCTGACTACAATGAATGCAAGCGTGCAAAAGAGTTTGCTGATAATGATGCCAATTCCAGGCAAAAGAGTGTCGAAGACTCTGAAAACACCACTGCTGATGAAATAGAGGAGAATACCTCGTTTGCTTCTGAGTCTTCAGTAACGTTGAATGAAACAAATGACAGCGTCAAAGATGAAGAGGGTTCTGAAGGACAAGAATTTGACTTTCCTCTCACTATAGGGCCTGCTAAATTGAGGTCACAGAAGGAGTTATCGTCATTTCTCAGGGATTGCATGTCTCGTATTGAGATGACGAAAAGAACCTTCCCATTACCAGGACAGAAACCTGAAATATTCAGTGGCGATGAACTCTGCAAGTTCTTGGTATACAGAAGACCGTTCAAACTAAATACTACTCGAATAAATTTGGAACGGTTTGGACAGGGGCTCCTAGACTTGAAGTTGATTGTTGGTACTGGTCTTGTGGGATCCAAGAGGTTCAAAAGTGAAGGTATGTGGTTCGAATGGTCTGAATTAGCTGAATATGTGTCCAAGTATGAAGGTTCTACGGTAGTATCTCCTCCCTCTTCTCTCAGCTCAGCTGAAAAGCCGAAGATGAGAATTATCGATGAACAGACATCTAAGCAAGTGAATGAAATTGCATCGCAAACAGGAAAGAAGTTTAATGACATGTTTCGTTCGATGAAGATCTCCATCTTGCACACAAACTACCCAGAACGATTAGAGAAGTTGGAAGAGGAATATAATGAAAAATACTATGAATTATACGAATTGAAATACTTGATTGAGTATGAAGTTCGTGATAAAACTCAATACCTTGAGAAGTTCGAGAAGATGAAGATTGGTTTGATTTATCAATCGCTCCTGAAACTTCTGGAATTGATTTACAACTTTTCATTGAAATCAACCACCAGGCTTCGAGATTTTGCCTCAAACATGTTAACCAATTTGAACAATCCACAGAATTACGAAAATGATTATCACAAATTACTCGACACATTCAGTACTGGGATCTATTCTCCTTCAATATTGTCCCCAGACAACTTCAAGAAAAACCTGTACAGTACAACTCAAGCCAATAATAACTTTCAAAATCTCAAACTACAGTTTAACCTATACAAAGATATTCCATTGCAGTTGCAGTTGTTTCAAACTGACAAGGAAAATGAACTTTTGAGCTTTGCTTCTTTGCCATTCTTTATCTACCAACTAACAAGACTAATTGAGAATAAAGAGCAAAATCTTGAAAACTTGAAAGACTCGTGGGAATCTGTTATTGATCACAGGGGATATTGGCACCTCCAGGAAGAGATAATTGAAGCTATCAGTGAAGAAAACTTTGAAAACATAACCATTTCGGATGAGGATTCAGTTCAACAGAAGATGATTGAAAAAATAATTGCACTTTTGAATAGCCAAACTCCTAAAGCATTGATAAATTTCTACAAGAACTGGCTTCTACAGATAGCAGACTCTTTGATCCCCTGTCTGGTCTATGATTCGTTGATTCATCTTCATGGTAGAGAGGATGCAAAACCTGTGAATCATGATGAATTGGTGAAGATATTGTCTTCTATTCCACGAGCTAATGTCAGTGCATTGGTGTTCCTTTTGGAACATATTAGTATGGTTTACGGTTTAAGTCTGATTCCAAGCTTTGGCTTCTGTGATGACTTCCCTGATGAGCTCAAGCCCAGTACTAAAGAATCTGAGGTCAAGGAGGCTGTTCACAAATTGAACTCTATGGACGCTATTGGAGCTGTTCCTTTTATGCACTTAATCTTCAGGCCTTCACCCATCAGGTCAGCCGGTGGTCTCAAGCCTCCCCTTCAAGTGTATAATTCAATCCTTGAAGGGTTGTTGGACCTTGAACTTAGATGCGATTTGTTTAACAACTTGGTCAGTAACGAAAAGAATTACATTGAAAGGAAACAACAGGAAAGGAACAACTTGGGTCTCCAAAAGAAAGTTTCCATTCCTTTGAGTCCACGCAAACCACCCATTCCCACTATTGGAATAATGAGCCCCAAAGCTCTATCTGCTTCAGACAGTTTTTCTTTGAGACCATTCCATACCAAGGTTACACCGGCACCTTCGCCCAGTGCGTCCCCAAGACATCTCTCCCGAGAGCTGCACGAACATAGGGACAGAAGTGTGAGTGGAACATTTTTGCCTCCAGCTATAGATGTTGAATTTGCCGAAGATTAATAAAAGAGTTCATAAGCACATTAAAAATATATACAAGCACTTTCAACTATTTATACATCTTATCATTCTTGAAATTTCCCGTCATCGTCACTTTCAGAATCTTTCTAAGACCATGAACACTAACCCGAAGGTATATGAACAAAAGCAAGAAACTTCCCGCTATAACAACGGGAAACCCAAAGTCCGTTTCCTCGATGAAATTCTCTAAATTCATACCGTACACGGCAGCAGCATACAAAGCTACCGCCATAGATAACATCCCCACCCCGAATTTTAAACCAAGAAGCATGATTTCATTTCTATTGGAGTCCAAAATGATATTAACAATTTCATTTGTAGACTTGGTTTGAGCGATCAAGTTTTGAACCTTTTGAACGATTTCATCCATCGTCACATAATAGGCTTCCAACAAAAGCTCTACTTCTTCGTGATTCGAATTGAACCGTTTTTCGTTCAAATACAAGGAATTTAATACGTCGTCATTATCAAGAACTTCGTCCAACGAGTCTCTCACCAAAGTGGCTTTCCTGAGAAACTGGGTCATTTTCTTGGACTGGATCAACAAGTAACGGAGTCGATGACTGTCTATTGAGTCTTCTAGGCCATCCAACAAATTCTTTAAACTGGTGGTGTGGAGTTTCATTTCCAGGCTCAACTCCTCCACCACGTGATTCAAAATGGTCTCAAGGGCTCTGAATTCATACGGCAACTGACTGGATTCCGCTTGGTTTCCCAACCCTTTGCGCATATTCTCGAGTAAAGTACCATGAGTGTATGACTCGTTTAGTCCCGCTCCAGCTGGTCCTTCAGCCGTCAGTGTGGGGTTATCGAATAGTACTACCATATCTGGTTTGATCATGGCCCTAATATTGAGTAGGTTTAAAAGAATTCCACTTGATCTCGTTACTATGGATGGAACAACTTCAAGATTAATATAACTGGCCGAGTTGGGAGTATTAGTTTTTGAAATCTTCCTCAAGTCTCTGGCCACCAAGTTATTGCTCTTGAGAAACTCCAGACGCTTTATATCTTTACCTTGGATCCTTATGTTGCCTTGTTGATCGAATATAGTGCATCGGATATAGTCATCGTTAGTTTTATTGGAAGTTAGAGTTTTGGAAACAAGCATATCGGTTATGGTGTCATCAGATATTTGGGTGATATGCCGACGGAAGCCTCTTGTTAGACAGGTTGTTGGTCTTACTAGTGTTTTTAAACCATACATTATTTTCTCCCCTTCCTTGTACTCTCTCAATAGGGTTTTATTCTGTTTTTAGAACTATAACGCGAAAGAAGAAAATAGCTCGCTTAACTAACTTGTTTACCTGCCACGATACACATTCGACAAAAGAGCGTTCAAGAGTTACAAGTAAGTTCAAGGATGTCGACAAGAGTGTTTTCGGGAGAAGAGTTGACTGTGTGTGAGCAGGTTGGAAAAGGAGGGTTTGGTGTTGTTTACAGAGGCCTTATAAAAACTACTAACGAAGAGGTTGCAATTAAGCAAATTGACTTAGAGAATGACCAAACCGATTTATATGAAATCAATAAAGAAATTCAAATTATAAGCGAATGTCGGCTTCCTCAAATCACTAGGTTCATGGGGTGTTTTGTGAAGAACTACAAGCTATGGGTGATCATGGAATTTGTTAATGGCGGCTCGTTATTTGAGTTGTTGTTTCCAGGCCCAGTTCAAGACGAGAAAATTATCCTGATAATTGCCAAAGAAATTTTGATAGCTTTGGAATACTTGCACAATCAAGGTAAGATTCATAGAGACTTGAAGTCCCAGAACATCTTATTGAGTTCGAGTGGTGAGGTGAAATTGACTGACTTTGGTGTATCTACGCAATTGTCTTCCAATTTCTCCAGAAGAAACACCACTGTTGGTACGCCATATTGGATGGCTCCGGAGGTTATTTTGAATAATAATGGTGGCCACAATAGTAAAGCTGACATGTGGTCATTGGGTTGCTGCTTATATGAATTATTTCAAGGCAAACCACCTTTACAAAATCAATATCCGCCAATGAAGGCATTGAGATATATTTCAAGATGTATCAAAGACGAGGATTTTGCGCAGTTGATTGACTTGGATTCCTTACAGATCTCAGATAACTTCAGGGACTTTTTGCTGAAGTGCTTTATTATTGATCCCAAGGAAAGGTTTAGTGCTTCCAAGCTTTTGAAGCATAAGTTCATCACCAAAAACACTACTCTGTCAGTTGAACAACAAAAACTTGTCAAGGGTTTGATCACAAGAAAGCACTTATGGGATCAAGAGAATCATGTTTTGAAAACTCAGAAGTTCTACTTACCAACAGAAATGGTGGAAAATCAGCAGAAGTGGGCCACTGAGGAAAGTGAAGAGAATGCAGAGACAATAAAGTTCGATATCTCCACTATCAGTTACTCTAATAGTAGTGATTATCCAAGTCCAAAGTCCAGCACACATAGTTCTTCTGTTTCGCCGCCTTCGACTCTCGATACAGAGGTTGAAACTACCCGTCAAACTACAGATTTTTCCAAGAAAAAAGCCAACTACCAAACCTTAACCGAAAATAACTCCAAACAAAAAAACTTGGTAAAGACCGTTCAGCCTGAACTCAATCGAATCCTCAATAAGGTCTTTCATAAGCTTGAAACCAGGAACAATTTATCCACTGAACAATATGACTTATTGGTCACATTAAATCAGACAATCGTGGAGCTATTTACCTTTTCCAACTATGATCCTAAAAGTAACTCTAGCAACAAAATTCTTGTGTGCCAGTATGTTAAGTACTTTTTGAAAGAATTGACGAAAACGGAGAACGTTGATAACTCTAGACTAATGCTTCAAAAAATGATAATACCTTCAGACATGAAAAATTTTTCAGACATTAACGAAACCATCAAACTAAAAAAGAAAACTAATGACCCCCTCGACGAGATTGAAAGCAGCCTTTTCGAAACGTGGATTAATGAGATGAAAAGTAATTAGACTTTGTATATAATCAGCATTAGGTATTCAAATCGCATTTTTGCAGTCAAATCTCATTCGCGTTGAACAAAAAAATCAAACAAAAAGCGCATATCAACCAGTATGGTTGAATCCGTACACAATAAGCTGATTGATATGGAAATGAGATCTGATGATGACTTCAGACTACAGACACCTACTCCTAGAGAGAACAGCACTCCCGAAGTTGAGCTCCAAATGAATGCCAAACTAGACGACTTGTACATTGAGAAGCATCAAATAGTTGATCCAGACAACCTGTCAATTAATGCAGTGAAAATATCACCCGATGGGAAAACATTAGCATACTGTACTTCTAGTGGGGTAATAAGAGTATATAATCTTGATGGCTTTTCTCCGATGGTAGAGTTATCAGGGCATACAAAAGGAGTTTCAGATATCGATTATTCACCTATTAACTCAGATATCTTGGCCAGTGCTTCTGATGACTTGACCATTCGTATTTGGTCAATCAGCAAGAATAAGTGTCTCAAGATCCTCAAGAAACACACATATCATGTCACGTCGGTGAACTTCACGCAAAAAGGGAATATACTTATATCGGGCTCAGCTGATGAAACTATCACCATCTGGGATTTGAGCTCAGGAAAAAGCTTAAAGACCTTGGCTGCACATTCAGATGCCATTCTGTCAATAAGCTTAACACCTGATAATACCATAATAGCAAGCGGGTCATACGATGGTCTTATGAGATTATTTGATTGCGAAACTGGTCAGTGTTTGAAGACCTTGGTATATAATACTTCCAGTCATGGGACTGCTACCGCATCTACCAGTGATGTTGTCAATCCTCCCATCTCATGTGTAGAGTTCTCCCCCAACGGGAAGTTTATTCTAAGTTCTAGTTTGGATGGAGTAATCCGATTATGGGATTATATGGACAATAAGGTAATGAAAACGTTTGGCGGAGAAGATGGTAACCCCGTGTGTGAGAAGTTCGGTTGTCCAGCCAAATTCGTCACAACGACGCTAGACCCATTGGTGGTGTCGGGATCTGATGCTGGCATCTTAATGTTCTGGAATGTCCATTCGAAAAACATTGTATGCAACCAAATCAATATGGAGGCTCCTATTCTTGGTATAGACATGTACCAAGGTGGAAAAGTCCTTGCTGTTTGTAGCAAAAAGGGCGAGTTAAAATTCTTCGAGATTAATGAAAAGTATGTTAAAAGTTAGAAATGATAAATGTATAATTTAGAACCTAAAACTAAAGATGAATAAAATGAACTATTGTTGCAAAATAATTTATATGAGAAAAATCATTTTGGTGAAATTCACATAATTGAATGTACCTTTCACAAGAGCGACAGTAAAAGCACAAATTTGAAATTAAAAAAGTCCAAAAATTACAAAAGCTATAGTCTACATATCCAAGAACACATATGTATAGCTTGTATCAAATAATGTTCAATTTTTGTTGTGTTCGTTTTGTGTGCACCAAGTCCCCCGTTAGCGTGACACAAAAGCCCAACCGCACTGATTTTAAAAGTGAGGAATTTGAAAGATCCCTCAAACATTGACATTCACTAATGGATAGCCGTAACAATTTATTCAGATTCAATCTCGCCCAATTGAAGTTTCCAAAGTCCCAAAAATTGAGATCCTTTGGTGTGTACTTGGCTGGGATCTTGTTTGCTGTTGGGTTTTGGTCGATGATTGATGCATCGGTGTATTCCAAAACCGTGAATGCCTCGACCATCCACATTACATTTGTTGATTGGATCCCATTCATCTGTTCAACCATCGGAATGATGATTGTCAACTCGATAGAAAAGTCTAACTTGTTGAATGATCCGAATAGTTCCTCATTTTTATCCACTGGCTCAGGAAATGCTTGGGCTGCACGGGTTATTTTATTTTTAGGATTCTCCTTATTAGCTGGCGGATTAGCAGGATCCTTCATGGTTTTCATATTGAAGTTCTTGATGAAGAAAGTGGGATTTCCTACTTTGGGCATGGGTGTCTCCAACATTGTATGTAACTCTTGTGTGATGTTCAGTTGCATTATTTTGTGGTTATCGCAGAATATCGAAGATGAATATAGCTACAGTTTAGCATTATAAGCAATTGAATGTCACATTTTATATTAGGTATAAAGAAGAATTCGACAAAAATTAATATACAGAAGTGAACTAAAGAAATTGAACAGGATATCTAACCTTAGATGCAAACGTATTAAATTTTAATCATCCGAATTCAATAACTCATCTTTTAAAGGACCCAATAATTCCAATTCGTAGTTACTGAAGTTGAATAGGTTCAAACTGATTGAATTGTTGGATCCCCTGGGATATACATGAAAAGACTTACGTTTCAATTCATGGAAAAAGGGGTGGTTCAAAACATCTGCAGGAGAAGCTCTAGAGTCTGGTTCGTAGACCAAGATCTTTAATAATAAGTCTATGGCATCAGGTGGAGAATTAGAAAATATCTGTTCAAATCTTTCCTTCACAGTTCCAGAAAAAAGCTTGGTTTGAAACATGGAACCTCTATAATGAGGGTTACTTTTAAAAAAGAATGAATTGGTGGGAGGTCCTAATAACTTAGAAATCTCTTTCAATTGGAGCTCCGGTGATTTCCCTTGGAACACCGGCTTGCCCAAAAACATCTCGGCAATCACACACCCCAATCCCCAGATATCAATCTTGGTAGTATAAACTTGACATCCAATAATTAATTCAGGGGCTCTATAGTACCTCGAACAAATATAGCTGACTGATGGTTGATTGGGTTCCAATTTTTTGGCACTTCCAAAATCACAGATCTTTAACTGTACCTTGGATGGGTCCACCAAGATGTTGGAAGGTTTTATGTCTCTATGGCTTATCCCAAACCCATGTAAATATAACATGGCTCTAGCCAATTGAAATGTGTATGCCTTCATATGAGGATAGGGTATAGTGTACTTTGACTGTCTGTAAAATTTGATTTCATTCTGTAAGTTGGAAGGTAAACACTCCATCACCAAGTTCTGGTAGATGACACCATCTCTTGAACTCTTACGTTCAAAAAAGTATTTCAATGCAATAATATTAGGATGATTCACGGCTCTTAAGATCTCTAATTCTCTGCTCTTATACTCGGTTTGAGCGGGAACTCTCTTGATGGCAAAGGGTCCAATCCAATCTTCATGGATGGCATTAACATTGTCGCCAGTGCCATTTCCTTGATTGTAATGATATTTTAATACCGCTTCCACCACGGTACCGAAGGCACCTTCACCAATCTTGTTGTATTCTTTAACAATCATTTTATTGGATGCCGACGTGGAATTCTCCACAACCTCCAAAATATACTCATCCGATATCGTGGGCTGCATTGTGAGTTTAAAGGTAAATTAAGTATGAAGAGCTCAAGGTATGTATGGGCTTGTATCACGAAAACAAATCAACAGGAGAGGTAAGGCAATTCAGGAAAGAAAACAAAAACACAGATACGGTTACGTCAATTATAACAAAGACAATGGATTCAAGCTAATTGGAATGTCAATTATAGCAAAGCTCAAAGTGAACAGGTTGTTCAATACCTGTGTTGGAGTTTATTTATCAGCCTTGTCTTTGGGAAAATTGAGGATTTTTGGCGTCAGGGTTGCAGGACGTGCGATAACCACATCGACCACACCGCTTTTAAGTTTACGTGTTTAGCCCGGCAAATTACATATATTGCCAAAACAAGCCGGTACCTTAACCATCAACAGCATACGTGATATTTTAAGGTGATATTATATTCTTTTGTTCCCCCCCAATTGTTATTGATTGTAATACATGTCCATGGCTGGCGACTCCTTTTGCGCAAATAGTAACACCACTAGAGGTCACATGACCTACCCGACGTTAAAAATGCGCAACTGACTGCAAAACATACCACCACCACAACCGCCAATAAATAGTAAGCTGATTGCGACGCTTGTAGCCAGAGACGAGCCCAACACATTTGGTCAACTTAGTGTGTATATTATTGGTGCCGTTTGGGACGTGGAAAGAGGTTACACGATACTTAAAGTTTGACTACATCATCAGGAGAGAGGTGCACAACTACAGAAGCCACCAATCTTAGCCGAATCAGAAATATAGTTATGGATCTACCCAAACCGAACGTCGTTTCTTGAATGCTTCCAGTGTTTTTTCTATTGTTACTACGTGTCTCTAGAGCCCCAGGCCTGTCTAAGATACTCCGCGCAAAAAACCGCGCCCGAAAAATCATCGTGAAAAAATCCCACCAACCACAATGATTAGACCAGGTATGGGTGTATTTTCACAAATAGCGTCCGCGATGACCACTAGAAGGATACTTACTCCTCATAGATCCCTCTCTAACACGGCAAAATTTCTCGTGTCCCAAACCCCAAAAAACCTTGCATCTCCTATAAACCTTGATTTTAATGGTGCTTTTAAATCCAAGAAGAACGTTTCCAACAAGATTGTATTATGGAAATTGTACGGTCTTTTCAACAAACACAATACCCATTTGACTATGGTGGCGGTGGAAGAAGATCCCAACTTTTTGGAAAAGAATCCAGACTTATCGTACACTGAACAAGTGTTGTACTATATGCAATTACCTCATCATCCTAAAATCCACGTATCAGCCGGGCAATTGGGATTCAAAAAGACCCAGAGATCAGAATACGAGGCGGCGTATCAGGTGAGCTCAAGAATGTTCAAGTTGATCGAAGAACGAAAATTATTGAGTCCTAATGATAGGGTTGAATTGGTGTTGAGGAACTTTGGTAAGGGAAGAGAAGCGTTTTTGGCAGCTTTGCAAGGGAAAGAAGGGTCTTCTGTCAAGGACCACATTGTGAGAGTATCAGACTCTACGAAATTGAAGTTTGGAGGAACCAGATCGAAGAAGTTGCGTCGTTTATAGGTTTATCATGTACATATATTATTATCCATAAAGCTAATAGAGTTAAAGGGCTTTAACCCTTAAACACCAGTCACACCGGGCGTTCGCGCACCTCACTATTGGTGACACAAAGTGGCCGGTTTGTGTAACGTCTGCTTCGCAGTGAGTGAAAAAAAATTACTTTTGAGGATTTGAAAAAAAATTATCAATCATAGTATAGTTAAAGATGGCTCCAAGTATGTACTATAACAACCCAAAGAAATGGTTAGCGTGAGAGAGTATAGAACGAAGCGTATGTCAATGCGTCGTAAGAGATAAATAAATCCAGAATTCCCCGTCATATTCACCAAGTTGTAACAGGTTATTAAACGAGAGTGATGAGTTTGAAAACTACATTCAATTACCATATTCCAGTAATACATCCCAAGTATAATACCACAACGAACAAATATCGTGTCAGATACTTCAAATCTCGAAGTTTGTACCAAAGAGGACATATACATCACTTCATGCTCATTCACTTCCCATGCTTAAAAGCATCAACAAAACCAGTTTTACTAACAAATAACTTTAGACACTAAAGCTGCCGCCGCTAAGAAGGCCGTGTTGAAAGGTACTAATGCCAAGAAGTCGTTGAAGGTCAGAACCAGCACTTCTTTCAGATTGCCAAAGACCTTGAAGTTGGCTAGATCTCCAAAATACGTCAGAAAGGCTGTTCCACACTACAACAGATTGGACGCTTACAAGATCATTGTCTCCCCAATCGCTTCTGAAACCGCCATGAAGAAGGTTGAAGATGGTAACACCTTGGTTTTCCAAGTTGACCTCAAAGCCAACAAGCACCAAATCAAACAAGCTGTTAAAGAATTATACGAAGTGGATGTTGACCACATTAACACTTTGGTCAGACCAAACGGTACCAAGAAGGCTTACATCAGATTAACTGCTGACCACGATGCTTTAGACATTGCCAACAAAATCGGTTATATTTAAACATATACAGGTAACGAGTCATAATATATATCTTTGTATTATAAGTGAGGATGTAGGGAGGGAGTTAGGGCGAAGCTGGAACCAAAAATTGGGCGGTTTCGCACCAGTATTTTTCTGGCATTCGTGCTGGACCCATTACTAGCGTCCTGAGGGCCCATTTGGGCTGCGGTGAGCCTCCTGGAATCAATAAGCAAGTTCCTCTATTTTCTACTATAATTACTCTTGGCCATCTGTTATTTAGTCGTAATCCCAAAGAGTCTAGATCCACAAACCTAGCCTGCCGGATTTTTCGTTAACTAAAACTGAATCTGCTTTAGTCTAGAGCAGATCGGCAACTTGCAACTTTTACCACCGATTTAAATTACTTTAACAGGCTTGACAGCAAATCAAAGGAGCTACCACATTCTACAAACAGATAAAAGGAGTTCACATGATAGCAGATTTCGATATATTACAATAGCTTCGTGCCCTGATACCTTCCTGGCGACCCAACCCTCATCCCAAATTCCCACGAATGGGACCAATAACAAACATGCAATATTAAACCCAGAAATGTTCATGACGTAACGCCAGACTCAACGACCACCCTTTTGGTTGGATTAGGAATGTTTCAACGATTGAAACGGGAACGGTATCCGGATTAATTCAAGTGAACAGGCGGCCACCCGTCTTATGTGGATGTCGCTGCTCCTCTTGTCAACAAAAAAGTTTACATTTTGAACTCAACGGGTGTGCCAATAGCTTGCCTTGCGATCTGCGGGAAATAAAGTCAATTGAAGAGGGGAGTCTCCTTGCATGGTATCCAAAAATGGCTCATGCTGAGCTTTAAAATGCTGGTTTAATGGTGGCGGATGCAACTGGGCGCTTCTTCGCGGTGGGAGCCGACCGTGGCCCACGGGCTATTGTACCGCCATTAGAGAGGACTTCCTAAGAACATACACTTTGACATTCAAGGGTGACCTAAGAGATGAGTGCATGTAGACAGGGCCTACAACAACCGGTGGATGTTGGCGGCTTGAAGTTTAAGTACAAACACCACTTTCTTGTGAATATTGATGAAAATATTGTCTTGCTCTTGAAGTGAGTGAGCTAAGCATATTTAAGCTAGGCACTTTTGGACGTTCTTTTAATAAGACACTGATAGCGGGAGCCCTTCACTGTTAATACTGACTGATTGACGTTAATTATGTCAATGAACTCCAACCATTGTCAAGTGTATTTGTGTGGTCCACAGCTTACCAAACTGGCTTTAGCAGCATATTCTCATGCTTAAAGTTTTACCCAGCTGGCTTTAGCGGCATATTCCCATGTTAAAGTTTTACCCAGCCAGGTAGTACACTTCTGATTACTGATAGTCGCTATTGACTACTAGCGCAGCAAGCGATCGTAAGGGGTCTTCTTGACTTGTCCATGGTACTTTGGCCTCTAGTTTCGTTCTCTTTCCCAACTCTTAATGCTGCTGTGTTTGAGCATCCACGGGGGTTACAACTGAGGGTATTTTCAACTGGGTTGATTGACTCCAGTGTCCGCCCTACCTTAGAGCACACATACCACACTAAGGCCTGTTCTGAGTACTCCCATAATCGGTGTTAGTATATATGTCGTGCCGACGACATCCTCTCAGGACGGGTCTCTGCGATAAGCAAATGACGTAGATAAACCGTCGGTCCGCACTGACTGCAGGAACACTATGTCATAAGCTTATTGTGAGAAAGTCAGAACTGGGTGTGAAAACCTCAAGGAGGCAAATAATATGAAGGGGGGTCAACCCACTCTTCACCGTACCTTCATAAGCGAATATGATAAGTTAATCCCCTTTTTACAACGGCCTCCTTTTCAAAGTGTCACCCGATGCCAAAAGAAAGCCAGACACCCAAGAAAACACCAGTTTTTCCGGAGGGGCACAACCGCAAAAAAGATTGACAGTCAAAAAATTGACTGGTATATTTCAAAACATAAACTACAGGAACACTACAGGAAAACTACGTAGGACCTACGTAATGAGTTATTCTAGGCACCGCAGCACACGGGTTTGTATTAGAAACCTGTCCTATATGATCCCGGCTACAAGCGCCATTACTTCATGTCCTGCACAGACTTTCTTTTTGGCGGTCGGCAGGAATTATTTCCCCTGCCATTTTGGGAATCACCTGCTCTTCTGATGCACCAGTAAAAGAAAATGGTACTTAGGGCCAGGTGGTATAAATACCCACGGATTCCCACCCTGCAGTATGATATTTATCATATTACTACCTTCATTTTTACACCATGACCATTCAAAATCAACCCGCTATTTTTTACGTTAATGCTGCTCTCTTCGACTGCGATGGTACTTTAGTTAATTCGACCGGTGCTATCTCTGAGTTCTGGAGGGATTTCGGAAAAACTAGACCACATGTCAACCCTGATGAGATTATCAGAACAAGTCACGGTTGCAGAACCTTCGATGTCATTGCCAAGTGGTCTCCAGAAGATGCTAATGTTGCCCAGGTTACTGCTTGGGAAGGTGCTATCCCAGATTCTTTTGGTCAATACGCTAAACCCATTCCTGGTGCTGTTGAATTAGTCAAGTCTTTTGACGATTTCTCCAAACAGCAGACCGCTGATGGAAAGCAAAGATGGGCCATCGTCACGTCAGGAACTTTACCTTTAGCCACTAAATGGTTGAAGTTGATGTCCATTACACAACCAGACTGCTTCATTACTGCCGAAAAAGTCACCAAGGGAAAACCTCACCCTCAAGGATACCAAAATGCCAGAAACACCTTGGGATTCGAAGATGCTGCTGCCAAGGTGGTGGTGTTTGAAGATGCTCCAGCCGGTATCACAGCCGGTAAGGGAGCTGGTGCCATGATTGTTGGTATCTGTTCCACCTACGATCCAGAAAAGGTGAGAAAATCAGGTGCTGACATTGTGGTGGATGACTTGTCGTCGTTCAAGATCGACAGTTACAACCCAGCCACTAACGAATTCAAGGTGGTTGTATCTGAATATCATTATGCCAACGAGGAATACTTGCAAGAGGTTGCTTAAGCTGGCTACATGCGGTTTTTTGTAAAGTAGATTTTATAGAATAAACAAAGGGATTTCACAGGAACAAAGGGAAAGTAGTAGGATTGAAAAGAAAGGACTTAGAAGTTGAACAGGGAAAAGATCTCAAATGTAGAGATCATCGTGGAGTTATATAAGCCAAGGGCTCTTTTCCGCTATCGTCGCGCTCGGTGGTGGCACCAGATGGCGGAAGCCCCCACTAGGGTACCACCGTTTTTTCGAGCGCGCATCTCATCTCAAAAATTTTCAACTCACACATCTATATCTACCATGTCATTTGTAGACTTCTATCCTATTCTCACGTTGCCTCGTGTGAGTGACTTGCCATTGCACTCACGTGTCATTGTGTCACCCCTCAGCAGTATCACCGAAACGAACATCAACATTGCTATTTCCAAATCCAACATCTCCTCCTACATCTTATATCCATCTCCAAGATTGGTTTGGTCATATCCGATTTCTCCTTCAAGTGTCGTTGAATGTATGGACGTCAAGGATGATCTGTATATGATTGGAATCACCGACAGAAAGACATTCAAGTTGTTGAGCTTGAACAAAGGATCTGAAGAAAGTAACAGCATCAAACTCAAGCATCGCATTGCCAATATTAAATTTGAAGAGTTTGTATGGGTTGTGTTGGGAAACGGCGATGTTCTCAAGATAGATCCCGCTTCCTTGGAAGTGATAGAAACAATCTCCAACGATGAACAGGGCACTCACGTATTTTCAAACCTCGATAAGCACATTCTAGTTGTAACTAAGGTTTCTGATCAATTAAGTTATAAGCTTATTCACAATGGAGTTGTCACCCACTACGAAGCCTACACCGACAGCTTGTTCGAATTCAATGACAAGCACATCTACAGATTTAACAAAAGCACCAAAACTATAGAGAAAGTCGACCTCACTTTCAAAGTGCAATACTCAGTTGACTTGTCCCACCTCTTGGCAGAAGGCCCATTTTCATTGCTGGTGCCGAGTGAAGACAGAGTGGTTATTTCCGATAACATCAAGATGCATTTGGTCAATTTGAAATATGAAAGTAAACTAGCCGAATTTCAATTTGATGATAACTGTGATCATGAAATTTTGACATCCATTAAAGTCAAAGGGAACTCTCTCAACACAACAGACACCCGTCTTTTCTATTTGAAATTGAATTCCAAAAAGAACAAGTTGAACTTGAACTTACTCAATCTTAACATCGAAGTTAATACGCTATTGGCGAACTTAAATAAAGGGTTTAAGCCAAATGAAAACCGTGAGATTTTGCAATTGACCAATTTAATCGATGAGGTCTACGAAATCAAAAAAGACACAGCCGTTCATAAGCTTGTCACCTTATACGGAAAGGATTTGTCAAAGTTCGAGATTCAAGCCATCAGGTATTTAAAGGACCAGGAAGTCAAACCATCCCATTACTATAGTTTTGATTCCGAAGACAAACCAGTCGATCCCCAAGCTATCGAGAAGTTTGTCAGTCTAATCTTTTCCAAAGAAAATGATACACTCACGATCAAGGGCAAGGTTCCCAAATTCATCTTGTACTATTTATTGAGCCACAAGCTTTATCCTTCTCAGTACACCAAGGGCCTCTTGAGGTTATTATTGTCTACTGGAAACTTAAGACTTTTGAAACAAAGTATAACCTTTACTCCAGGAATCGATGTGTCTGATCTTGTGGAGGTCCTTATTTACAGCGACAACAGCACAGTGACGAATGACATTTTAGTAAGGCTCAATGATTATAAAGTGGAAGAAGTCATTGAGATGTTCAAGACCAAGTTGAGTGAAGGTGAGAATGTGAATGGTCTTATCAAGAACTTGATTGAATTGAACAATTTCAACAGTTTCAAGTTGTTGAAAAACCTCATTGATTTGAATGGACTTGTATCCAGTATGAGGACCGAAGTGATCCGTAAATTAACAGAGTTGGTTAATTACAAGATTCGGCTAGTTGAGTTGAATTCTTTGAACTTAAACTTGGTGAATAACCGCATCAAGTTGGCCGATACTCGGGTGCCCAAATATTCGTTTGAACCACTTGAGAGCTGAATTATTTGCTTCAAAATTATATAGACAGCAACCCCCATGCATATCAACACACAAATAACCGTTTTGTAATTGGCTTATGAATCTGACATCTGTAACTGGCTGCGCACCTTGTGTAGCTGAATTCGCACTAGAAAAAACCATCATCTCATCACCAACCACATGAAAAATCCAGCACTACAAGCATACAGAACGGCTTTGCGGGCGACGGCCCAGGCCTTCAAAGGAGACCTAGAGATTAAACTAGCTGCTCGTCTGAAAATCAGGGAAGGAATGCACCAGCACCAAACGTTACAGTCTCCTCAGAGAGACGAAGAAATCGACAAGCTCAACGAGGTTAGCATGTTTCTCAAGAAAAACATTGTTCAAGGACAAAAACAGGATGACGGTAAGTACTTATTGAACTTCACGAAAGAGACCGAGTTGGGAGACAACGACAGCATAAAGCAGAGCAAACAGGATATGGGTAGTTTAGCAGGAAAGAAAGGAGCCAACATCAAGAAGTGTTCCTAGGACTAGAGGTGCAGTCACCGAATGCTACACACAAGTTACCACTGGTTCTCTTTCCATAGTAAGTGCCGTATATGACATACAATGTAAATAGAATATCCTCATTTAATTTCTCACATCCACATCCGAGATCTCCACCATGGCAGAATGAGCGGTATATGTGCCCGACTTCCGTATACTGGAACATAAGTTTTGTAGTTGAAAGCACATTACCATTTTAATTCTAACAGTAGGCCTTTGTATATTGATCATCTTTCTTCATAGAGTATTATCAATGATTGCAAATTGCTAGACTTAGCAGCTAACAAGTTCTCGCAAACTGCGTTTCCAAGATATATCCAGAAGTTATATGTATCATTGTAGAACCTTTGAACCAGAAGTTCCTGTCTTTGTAGGTATATTCTTCACCAGAAATAATGACAGAAACCAGTGAGATGAAAACATTACTACGACATGGACTTGGGTGAAGACTTTCAAGAAAGTTGGAGTCGGGTTTGTGGTTCTTGAAAATTGCTGCCAAATTCTTTGATTTCTCTTATGTTTAGAAATCTGCGTGTCTCTCTGACATAATATAACAATACAATGATGGAGGCGGATGATGGAGGAGGTATTTGGATAGAACAAATTTTGAGCATATCACTTTTATAAAAATCTTTAGTTCAGCTAGTGGTACAAATGAGCATGAAGTGCTGAATTGTTTAACGTAAGAATGATTAAAAAAGTGATCGGCTACCTTCTCAAAAAAGGTATTTTCTTTCTTTATTACCTAGGGATTCTTATCATTGTTGGGGAGGTGAAAAAGCTCGACCTCAATATTAAGAGGATGACTGAACAATTTCTCTTTATTCTTGAGCTGTTAATAGAAAAGTGAGTCTCTTCCTTGTTAGGATGTTGATTGACGTGATAAGGATACTTATTGTTGGGGCCGTGATAGCTGCTTTCGTTGTGAATGCACAACGTCAACAGACAGTTAATGGCCTGACCCCTATACCCACCGAAGCTGTCCCTGCGTATACACCTCACAGAAAGCAACAATATTCTGGCTCATTACCAGACACAAGCAAACCCACCAAAGGGAAACCTAGAATCTGTTCCGTGTACTCAAATTCCATACCGCTCACGTCTAGGCATATTTCACTTTAAACACAGTTATAGGTAGTGTTCTTGAAACAGACACTGAAGTTATCAAACACTAACTGCCCGAAAACCCAAGTCTTCCCTCCCATAACGACAGAATCCTAACGTCTTTTGTTGCAAAGATCAAATCCATGTTTGGCTAAAGCCACTCAAAACTTCCAATCTCCAGAGGCTATCCACAGCTAGCTAACTATTGTTTTAATATATTGATATCTAATTAATGGTTCCCTGCTTGCAGCCGTTCGAGCACTCTCTTTGCAAACTCTTGGAAAACGCTACAAAAGAGAATAAAATGAAAGAACGATTATCTAGAGAACATCAAACCTGGAACCACAGTTCTCCAAAGGTTTCTAATATACGAACAAGACCCAAGAGGTTTACAGGAGCCTTTAAGACCTAGTCTTTTGTACAAAGTAATGCATATGTTGTTCTCCAATAATACAACAATATCTTCACTAGGTTCTCATTCCATACAAAGTTTTTGCAACTCCCTGGAAGCTGTCGCATTTTTTTGAGTCATCCCCATCAATGGATCCGGTCGATGAAAAGAGAGATATCTGGATCTCCAAGAGCCTTTCGTATCTTCTACGGCACGGCGCCAAGAAAGAAAAGCTAGAAATAGATGACCATGGGAACGTGGAGATGCAGCATCTCCTCAATCACAATCGAATTAAGTGTCGACATGTTACCCTCGAGGATGTGAAGAGAGTGGTCACAAACAACAATAAAAACCGGTTTGCCCTCAAGCAACACAATGGAAAGTTGTACATATGCGCACAGAATGGCCATTCTATAGGAATCTCCAACCAAAACCTTGAAAAGTTAGAGCCACTGGCAGTACCAGCAGGACTATTTCACGGTACCTACAAAGCTAAACTTCCCGCGATAATCGCTAGTGGAGGTCTCAGCCGAATGAACCGAAACCACATTCATCTCACCACAAACATGAATTACGTCCGTCCTACTTGCGATATCCTTATTTTCATCGATACCGAAAAGTGTGTAGAGCGAGGAATTGTATTTTACAAGAGCGGAAACGATGTTTATTTGACAGAGGGTCTAGGCGGGATTGTCGGTCCAGATTTATTCAGGCGGGTTGAAGAACGCCTTTCTGGAGCAAATGTTCAGTACGAGCTTTTGTAGTGCCGCGAACTGGCCAGACCATTTACAGCTGCGCAAGTGGGGGTGACTGGCAATTATATACTCCCGACGTACATATACTAGAAACGCAAATGGAAACGCATTTCATGGAGCCCATAATTAGAGGCTGGATAATCGCATTTGTTGTATTACAGCTTTGACGTTATTAGTCACTTAAACCTACTAGCTACCAAGAGAAACCTGTAGTTGCACGACAGTTTTCGCCAGCTTTAGACCTGAGTTGGCTCCAAATTTACTTCTCTCGTATCGAGAGTACCGGAATTACTAATATCGTACGTTTACGATAAATATACCGAAAAAGACTGCAATAGAACGGCAAACGTATACCTCATTGCGCTCTCGGCTAAAACAGCGAAACCAAGGTGAACCACCTGCCCATTGCTGATAGTACGCAACCCCTTGTTAACCATAACAATACAGTAAATTTGCGGCAACCTTTCTTTCTGCTGCAAATTTAACACATCCTCTGGAGGTTAATTAGGCACATAAGTTTTTCGTTTTCCAAACGGATCTCACTTGGATACATTTGTGTGCCTTTTGATGCAGGAGATTTGCAACTGGATATAACCTACAAATCTTTAATGCACCGTCGGCAAACACCGCAACTACCACACAGAGGAGGAATATATTTCCTTACGATCAAATGACTTAAGCTTTCGTCCCCTGATTGTTAATGACACCTTGGCAACCTTGATTACGAGCTGCTGACTTTTTTATTCTTCGGACGATGCGACAACAATAGAAATTAGGGTTTTAGTCAAAGGTTGCAAATACTTGGACTTGCTTGCTGTATGACTTCAAGATGACCAGTTGAGCCTCATATAGAACACAGTAAACTTCTGCACCGACTCCATTTTATGGCAGCTCTCGGAAGACGGTCACCCAAATCGCTGAGCTGAGGCGCATAGGCTACGGAGGAAGCTGCTTCTAGGACCGAAAAAATACCGCCACTACAGCACCTTTTATTTTCCCCGCGGGCATCTGTCGTACTACATCTAAAATTAGTGAGAGCTGGTGATGGTTCTCAACCCTTGTAGGAATCTTCTAAATGGTGTTCTATGCATCGCAAAATATAACCAATAGGTTGAGCTACCCATCGTGCGGTTGTTCATTTAAATTGTACTCTCGCCTCTGCTCGATTATAGGAAGGGAGGCGAAAAATAACCTAAAAGAAAAAGGCGGCAATTAAATTGTCCAGGCTGTTCTAGATCAATAGTGAGCTGAAAGTTTAAATGTCTTCTTTGGTATTTTTTTTTTTTTGCTGTGTGGCCTACCCAAGCTTACATATTAAGAACCGAATCTCCATCATATTGTCATTTTTTATAAAAGGTCAATGAATGACTTGTTGAGCCTGCTAAAACAGGGCAAGCGCTTCCAGCGGTTTGATGACTTGAGGAGCGACCAAATCCTCCAATGGTATTGCTGTGACTGTGGCCAGAGCTATGGAACCGTTATGTACCAAGACCATTTAATAGACTTGGCCCAGCAACAGCAGCACTTAATTCTAGCGAAAGCCACCAGCCCCGGACGCGGGCTCAGCCCGCCACTGCTGCCTGCAGCGACTCCCCCGGAGCCCCAGGAGACTCAGCTGATTCTGCTGAGTCAGCTGACTCCCATAAAACGGTACAAGTCGCTACTATATTCGCTCAGTGATCGAGAGTCGCTCATGAATCTCTTGAGCGGATTGGCTTCTCCGGCCGGAGAAAATACTGTTTCCAACTCGGACGATGACGATGACACCGAACTCGAAGAATACGCCTACCACTCAAACTCCGAACTCTCTCATTCCACAGAAGTACCCCTTGCGGCTAATTATACTCTCGAGTCTCCAGATGCCAGCCTTTTGGCTGCGAATGGCCATGGCCACCGAGCATATCCTTCAAACTTGTCACAGTACTTGGTTTCGATTCCCGAGCGATTTACCTGTAATCGATGCTGTCACATGATGTGCCCCTATTGCCTCAAGCTTCGATGTCGGGACATTTGCTCCACATGAAATTCCTTGATGTTCCTCATGCATGAATGGATTATGTGCCTGAATCGGGATAATACACCACCTTTATTTATGACTTCATGACCACCTCCATGCGGGGGGTGGATCTTCACGTTCCCGCATCTGTATTTAGCTTTCATATTATTTTTGTATACTAGACTTTGAAAGAACAAAGTGTCTAAAAATAGCCTGGCATCGGCCGGGCAGGTGAAACAACGTACTGGGGTACTTTCAACCGCTTTGTTCCCCAGGAATACAAAAGCTGATCGGGGAACGCTATCGCCTTGGCAGGTACCACTGCGGCGTTCGCTTGACCTTCGGTTGACGCGCGTTTGCACCCAGTTGTGGGTGGTTTGTGCAGATGCGATTTCTGACTTTTATGCGCGATCCACCGCGTTGTTGATGATGTTGATGCCATGAATGAAGACCTTGTAAACGATAAAATAGAGCTTGCAAAATTGTACTTTAAGTCCAAGAGTTACAAGAAGGCCCTTTCTACATACACCCAACTCGTTGAACACATCGCCACATATACTCCCGCCAATGTGGCTCGTGTGCTACGAGCGTATAATCTTCCAGAGACTCCATTGATAGGAAAACCCCATCACCCCAGACTCTCGTCCATTCTTGATGCTAGGGCTGCGACGTACGAAAAGCTTGGGGATGTGTCACAATCCTTAGCCGATAGCCAAAGTTCATTAAAAGTGAATCCACTCGACTTGAAAGCTTACTTGCGGATCGGTAAGAACTATCTTAAGATGGGCGACGAGATAAAAGCATTCAGAAACTACCAATGTGGGCATTATCTCGTGTCAAAATTCTTACAGAAACATACAGATTATTCCATCAACCGGGACCTTTTGGGAAAGTTAGAACAAGCGTACTCGAAGCTCAATTCCCACTTGAAGAGAAAAAGACAACTCCAAACCCAACTAGAAAAACAATTGCCGTTGAAAAAGGCGAAGAAGTCCATCGACCCGTTTGACCGTTTGGAGTTGGATGTGTTGGAAACAATCTTTGGTCATTTGAACGTGGCCAATTTGTTTTCTTGCCACTTGGTATGTAAAAGCTGGTATAACACCTTGATTTCGTTCGTTCAGTTGTACCAATCGATTTCCCTAAAACCTAAAATCAAGTATAAAGAGTTTCTCAATGGGGTAAATATGTTCAATCGCTTGAAGAAGTACTCGCTTAGTTGGAAGATCAACCAAACTTCACTCCCGGAGTTTTGGAAGATTATTGACAGCATGATTAAGCACAACTTCAAGCTCAAGTCTTTGGAAGTATTCAACGAGTTTAATTACTATGATCTTTTGCTTAAACTTGATAAGTACGGCTTCAAATTTCACTTCAAATATGTGGAAAACTTGAAGCTAATCTTGAGTGCTTGTCCACCTTCTCAATTGATGAATTTATTTCCTAACTTGAGAAGCATGGAAATTATATTGATGGAGAGTCAGGCGTCTCCTCCATTAATTATCGATAACAAAAATGCTTTCAAAAAACTCATATCTCAGGAGGTAGAGTTAGAATCATGTTTGGAAATCTTGGTGCTTATTAACAAAAACTCTATCCTGAACTATCCTCCATTTCTTTCACACACCGTCAACTTGAGGAAGCTCATAATTTCAAACTTTGAATTCAACAATATTCAGCACAACTTTGGCCTGTTCCTTTCGAATTGTTCTAACTTAAAGTATCTTACTTTAGAGAACAACAGAAATTTGTCTTTCAAGATCTTCCTCCAAAATCTAATCAACTACAGATCAGATTTCAAACTACTCAAGTTAGTGTTTCGGGAGCATGCAATAGACAGTTCGTCGAATTTAGCTGAGTTCACTATTTCAGACTTCCACAACCTCAGTGAACTCATCTACTTGGACTTGTACTCCATTTCCTTGTCCAATAATGGCTTGAAGAAGTTTCTTACGTGCTGCCCTCTCCTCGAAACGTTGATACTTGGTGCTTCTAACTTCATCTATTTCAAGAATGATTCTATCAACCAATTTATCAAATTGAATCTTCTCGATTTACTAATGGTCTTGCCTTGTCTCAGAAACTTATCGTTAATCGACCTAAACCTAGATAACTTGTCAATGAGTTATTTTTGTAAAGATTTGCAGAAGTTCCAAACTCAACTAGATTACTTGGACTTGAGTTTTAACAATAAGGTTGATGGAATTGGCCTTCTAAGTCTATTAGATTACGACATGAAATTGAAACAATTGATTCTTGATGGAATTCAAGTCAATGCAGACACTTTGAGCTTGATACAATCACGATACGGAATCACCGTTAAAAATGACCATTTGAAGCTGAAATGGCGGCAATACGGTATAAATTCTTTTATTCTTCCCTAACCTTTCTTGTACATACTTTCTCTTAATGCATTTATCAAACATTTTCAAAACTTTTATTACAGTAGCAACTACATACTTTTTAATCTTGACGTCTTTCAGCCAAATGGCGTTGTTCGTTGGACAAACGCCATTTTTCTGACATTTTAAATTTTGCAGCCTTCTCTTTCAAAATTTCCTCAGTGCGAAAAGACGATGAGATATTTGAGCATCAAAACTTTAAGAGATCTCTCCATCAGCATGGTAGCAACGAGGAACCAAAGCAAACAAGCTAAGAAAATAAAGTTTGACGATGAAGATGTAAGCATAGACTTGCCCTTGGGAAAAACGGAAGATGTTGAAGATCCTGCTATGCTTTCAGAGGAAGAAAATTCCAGTGAAGATGATAGCGATGAGGGTCCGGAGGAGGAATCCACCAACAAGGCAAAGGAAGATTTATTAGCCCAAGAAAAGGCCCGAAAAAAAGCTGAAGCTGAAGCAAAAAGAGAGGAGAGACAACGGAGAAGGCAGCAAGACTTATACAATAAACAACAACAAGAACTGAAAAAAACTAAGCAACAGAAGCTACCATCCATAGAAATATTACCTGACATTTTACCTGACGAAATCTTAGAAGCCATTAATGATGAAAACGTTGAACTTGCAAGTGAAACCATCCAACCAAGGCATAAAAAAATTGAAGATTTTGACGTTGAGCTCAAGAAGCAGTTGAAACTTGAAAAATTGAAGAAACTCAAAGCTCTCAATAAATCGTCCATAAAGAAAGGTCCGGTACACGTCAAGGTGTTAAGTAGTCTCAAAGGAGTTCCTAGAGCAGAGAGCAAGATCATCAATTCGAGAGAGAAGTGGTTGAAGAGAAAGTCATTACATAAGAAGTGACAAATAGTTGTATATTAGCATTAAAGAAATTTGATTACTGGACTGACGCAGAAACAGGTGTATCTGTAGCCTCTAGAGACCCGCTCCTTGATCGTGTTGTTGTGTAGTTTGAACACCCATTCGTTCATTTCTGTCCTTATAGTTTGAAATGGAAATATCAGGCTCTTGCTCCTGGAGGTTCTCCTCCTTCAAATATGAGTTCCCTTGAAGCCCAGCACTCACTGCCTCGTCGTACTCCACAATATCTTCAGGTGTAAGCTTTATTGTAGTTGCAGCTCTTCTCAACATGATTTATTTAGGTCAAAAATCAGGAAACGCGAATTGTCATCACAAATATGATTCTGGCTATCGCTGCATTGCTAATATGTACTTTCATGGGAGCTATTTCCTATGGACTTGGTATTCTACCCTTACATCTTGACGTCAATAACCATATTAAGCCGGTTTCTCTCTTCAGTGGGGGATTATTGATTGGAGCAGCCTTGTGTTTGGCCATTCCTGAAAGCATTGAGAACTATACGAAGAATGCAAAAAATGACAGTAAATGGATTGGAATTTCCGTCATGCTTGGGTTTGTCAGTATGATTTTGGTTGATCAAAACTACCAGAAACCCGAACGTCAGGAAATTAGTATCAATGATTATGACGTTTCTCCCCCGCCATCTTCCATATTCAAATCGATTCTTCACACTTCATTGACATTGGCGTTACTTATACATTCGGCAATCGATGGGATATCGTTGGGGTCGGCCTTCCATCGAGACAGTATCACGTTTGTGTTTTCGTTGGTTGTAATTATTCACAAACTTCCAACATGTTTCAGTTTGAGTTGCTTGTTGCTTCAAAAAGGTGTCAATGCTGAGATGGTCAAAATACACATCTTAGCATTTGCGTTGACGACCCCACTATTTGCAATTCTTACATGGATAGCTCTACTTGCAGTCAATCCCAGTGATACTGTCATTGGTATTTTACTTCTTTTTAGCAGTGGGACTTTTATCTACATCCTGACTCATATTTTAGGTGAGTTCAAAGAGATGACATTTACAGAAATGGGCATTTTGATTGTGGGAATTTTGGTCCCTGGGTTCCTTAGTTTCATGCATTAGCTAATGATACTAAATATAGAAATTGGATCGTAACTAACAGTGTATGACTTCTTGTAAAATCAGCTTCAATTTGTACTTCATTCTGACCTTTAAATTCTGTTTTGATTTCGAACCCAAACAGGTGGTACGGAATTTATGAGCTATAGCATCAGCGTATGTCACGGCTTGGTACCCGGTGGAATAAGTCTTTTCGATGGCTTGTTTGGTCAGGATTAATCTGAGAGGTGACGACTCTGGTTTGGTTATAATCAAATGCATAGTGGGATATTGGGTTACTTTTAACTCGATTAAGAGACGTTGTTTCTTAATCGTGAGGTCTTGAAAGGTCTTGATAGCATGGGAACGTCCGAAGTGACACAACCTGATGGAGTTTAAGGTGGTGGAGTACCGGTCAGATAAGAAGATCAATAGGTGAACTATCGACAAATCATCAAGGGTACATGGAACCGGAAGGTATCCATTGATAAACGAATGGAGTTCTTCAATCCGTATAAAAAATGACTCGTCATCGGGAGTCAAGATTTTTATACGGCAGTTTTCCTTTTCCAAGTCGAACTTGCTAATGGAAGCTGAATCGTCTGTCAAGGTACCAGACTTTGTAAGACTATTTCTTTTGTTGAGTAGGTTCACAAAGCTTATGGGGTTGTATTGAACCGGGGCATCTTCCTCTGAGAATGCGGTTGCTAGGGATGAACAGGGTGTCAAATTCTCCATGAAATCGTTGTATTCGGTATCAGCAAAATCCGGATCGGACATTTTGAATCAAACAGGGATAAAAACTAATACAATCAAGCACCAGGCTCGGAAAGGTATAAATAAAGAATATTGATAAATGTATGGAGAAGCCCTTAAATAGATCTTGTTGGCTGGGTAGGCAAAAACCTCTACCAATCGAATGTGTGAAGGAATTTATATAACAATAAAATTCTGGGGTGATCGTTGAAAGCGGGTACTCCATTTTTTTTACCCCACTCACTTTTTTCAAAGGTGTTTGGGGTAGACCGAATAATGTGATGTTACATTTATACTAAGTATACTATTATTGTGCTCCACTTGTGGAAATGAAGTGGATATGAGTAGTTAGGTTGAACGATCTACCCCTTCAAAGGAACAACCATGCTAGGAGTGCTGGATCGGCAACCTGGTATGTTGTAACGTGATAACCGATGTAAAGGAAAGGTCTGAGCACGCGTCGGGATTACGGGTCTAATGTATCACACAACAGCATTGTGGTTTTGTACTACACGTCAACGTGACTGTCACAGTTTAAATCCACAAATGGGTTGTACTTGTTGTCTAGCACAAAGCAGGTGATGAATCTGGTTTTCATTATCATCAACACATCCACCACCAACACATTAAGTCGAGCATACTCCATGGTGGTGAGTTTCACGATGTCGCTGAACCCCTCTACGATCATGGTCTTCTCTTCGGGTCCAGTTTCGAGGAACTCTTTTAGATCTTTCAAATTGTTCATCTTGTGGTAATTAAATTGCTTCATCTGGGTATCCAGATGAGAGAAGTTATAGTTCCCATTGAAGACGGCGTCATAAAGGCGAGTGGGAAGCGTACAGTTTATATAAACGGTGTACTTGAAGTCCTCGTCCACCCGGCCCAACACGTACTTAATACCAGCATTGATATCTTGTGACACCACATACTCCATTGACGATTTTGTTTTTCGAACGCGATTCGGACCAACACCGACGGACTTAGGTATTGAGTCCATACAGGATAATGGTTCTGGTGGGGCCGTTCCACGGGATTAAGTCTACAGGGAAACAATGAACTAAAGAACAGGAACACTTCATGAGGCGTCCAGGGGCTTTGTTTTTTTAAAATACTGGTTTCACAACAGAATTTGATCCCATCATTCCGTTCGTCTTCCGGTCTCGATCATATCTCCAGAACCACCGTGTAAAGAAAACTAACTATCTCTTAAAATATATCTGCGATTCATGGACTACTCCAATTCTAATTAGGTAAGTGCAGAGCGCAAGTGAATAACTCCGAGCAGCAACAATATATCCAATTTATCCCAATGTGCACTGGGTAATCTTGACACACCTCTTTCCCAAAAGGCCCCTTTTGGGCAAGCAGCATTTGTCTCTTTTCAAAATTGGCTCTTCGTCGATATCCACGAATCTCTTTGCTATTTTTCCCAAGCTATTCAATTCCATATACCTGCTTTGGTAAATAGTAGCAGCCACCACTAAATTGACCATAAAAAGTCCAATTAAAACCTTGAAGAATTGCATTTCCAACCGATGATCAAATATTGGGAACTATGTGGCAATCTGTCTCAATTTATACTTCTCCACCCGTTATCATTATCTGTACAACCGCAAATGCGGTAACTTTAATCTAAAAAGCCTTTTTTGCGAAATTCACTATTATTGTTTATAGGGATAGACAAGGTTGATCCCAACTAAACATGAACGTGGTGAAGAAAGTATTTGAAAGGTCATTTATATAAGATATGATTCGAAGTTCTCGACCTTAATTTTAAAGTCGTATCAACTCACACAAGTTCTAAGTCACATTACAGATTAAATGTAAGATTTAAAATATACAAATGAGGAACCGGCAAGTTCCATTTGATTTATCTATTTTATTATTTATTCATTTGAGTAACAAATAAATCATATACCAACGTTAAAGTTAAAATAATAAGTATTTCTCTTTGGGATCAAGAAATTTAGTAACCGAATTCAGCCAATTTTTGGGAAGCTTCAGAGTCAGCAACAGAAGCCTTAGCGGATTGAATCTTCTTCAATAAAGCCTTCTTCTTGGCGTAGTATTCAGCAGATTGCAACTTTCTCTTTTCTTCCAATTTGTCAACGACAGATTCGTATTTCCATCCAACAGACGAAGACAACTTACCGACAGTGGTGTATTTTCTACCTGGCTTCAATCTTAAGACTCTCAAAGCTTGAGGAACCACAACTCTCTTCTTCTTGTCGTATGGAGGTGGAATACCTTCGAAAACCTTCAATCTTTCCAAAGCAGCCTTACCTCTTGGAGTTTTGTGAGCAATCATACCCTTGATGGCCTTGTAAAAGATTCTGGAAGGGGCTCTGAAGTGGAATGGACCGTGAGTCTTGTTGTATCTGGTACCCTTTCTCAAGTAGTCGTGGTATTTCAATTTGTTTCTGAAGAATTCACCAGAGATGTTCAAGGCTTCACATCTGACGACAACAACTTTTTGGCCGTTCAACAATTGTTTGGCAACGGTGGAAGCCAAACGACCTAATAAGTGACCCTTACCGTCAATAACAACAACTGGTTGGTAGGCGGACATTTTTTTCGTTAGTGGTTATTGAAAAAAAAATTTTAGTAAAACCTTTCTAGATGAAATAAATTTTTCGTGAGTGCACTGCGAGAGTTTTCCGTTTAGCGGGTGAAGAGTGCGAAATAGTGACACAAAAAGAAAAGCAGTCACACCCGCACGTGAGGGTTTTCCATGTAGGTTATATGGTGCAACCGGTACTAGTTTATAGGTGAACACCAGTATTTTGGTTTTAACTAGGTCTTCAAAAGAACTGCAATGACCACTGGTATTTATTCACGATGAGCAGTCTTTTATATAATTTTGGAGAATTTTTGTACGCATTTACCATGGCTGCAAACATAAGTGACATTTTAACTAAGTACAACTAAATAACAATCTCTTTGGATTCAATTAATGAGTTAACCACAGAAATAATGGCGTGAACCGACGCTTCAGACACATCGGAGTGGACCCCACATCCCCATTTCTTAACCTTTTCACCATTAGAGTTGATATAACTCAATTGAATGTAAGTGGCAGCCTTACCTTGGGAACCAGTACCCAAGTTGTGCTCTGAATAGTGGATAACTTCAAAGTAAGTACCAAATCTGCTGGAAATAGCATCAATGAATGCAGAAATTGGACCATTACCTTTACCATAAACAGAAATGGTCTTACCGTTGATATCCAAGGATGCATTGATTTCTCTCGAAGAATCATCACTATCTTTGTTTCTGAAGATATCAAACTCTTTCAAGTTCAAAACACTGGTACGTTCGGCCATGAATCTTTCCTTAAACAATTCGACAATCTCATCTGATTTTAATTCTCTTCCTAACAAATCAGCAGTGTCTTGAACAGCACCTGAGAATTCCACTTGCAATTGTCTAGGTAAGTCCAATCCTAAGGATCTCAAAATAATCCAAGCAGCACCCCCCTTTCCAGACTGTGAGTTGACTCTGATGACAGCCTCGTAGTTTCTTCCAATATCCTTTGGATCCAAAGGCAAGTATGGAATAGCCCACTTTTGTGAGTCTCTCTTTGCGGCCTTTTCGAATCCTTTCTTGATAGCATCCTGGTGAGATCCAGAAAAGGCTGACACAACCAAAGATCCACTGTATGGAGCTCTGGCACTCACAGGGATCTTGTTACATCTCTCACTAACGGCAATAATTGATTCCATATCAGAAAAGTCCAATTCAGGTGCAACACCTTGAGTGTATAAATTCAAGGCGACAGTGACCAAGTCCACGTTACCAGTTCTTTCACCGTTTCCAAAAAGACATCCTTCCACTCTGTCAGCACCAGCCATCACACCCAATTCGGTGGCTGCAACACCACATCCTCTGTCATTATGAGGGTGCACAGACACACAAATTTTTTCACGTTCGGTGATGTTTCTGCAAAAGTATTCGATTTGGTCAGCGTAAACGTTTGGAGAAGCCACTTCAACGGTGGCAGGCAAATTGAAGATAATTGGTTGCTCAACCGTTGGTTCCCAAGCGTTTTTAACTGCTTCACAGATTTCTACTGCGAAATCAGTGGGTGTGTCAGAGAAACATTCAGGAGAAAACTCAAACGTCCAGAGAGTGTCTTGCATTTCTGGGTCGTCTTTGGTCAACGAACGCACAAGCTTCGTGGCCTCGACAGCTTTGGCGATGGCTTCGTCTTTCGACATGTTAAAAACCACATCTCTGAATAAATCGGAGGTAGCCAAGTAAGTATGGATACACGCTCTTTTGGCACCTTTCACCGATTCCACCGTTCTTCTGATAAGGTGTTCTCTCGACTGTGTCAATACCTGGATGGTGACATCATCTGGAGCGGTTTCCACCGCGTATCTAGTGAAATCGAAATCAGTTTGAGAGGCAGATGGGAACGACACTTCGATTTCTTTGAAACCAATTTCAATTAACTTCTTGAAGTATTCCTTCTTTTCAGGCACCGTCATGGGATCAGGTAAAGACTGGTTTCCATCTCTCAAGTCTGTCGATAACCATCTGGGAGCTTTGGTGATAGTTTTGTTTGGCCAGTTTCTGTCGGGTAAATGCACAGTTTTGAAAGGCGAATATTTTTTCAGAGGATCTCTTAACAAGTTGGCATACTTCTTGGCAGCCGGGGCGGCTCTTTGGAAGAGTATATTCGTAGCTTTGAACATACTGCTATCAAATCAGAAACTAAAAAAATCAGTTCAGGTGTATGAGTCAAATTTTTTCAGACCGAGATTTTTCATCAAGTTATATTGCATATTTTACTAAGGGAAATGTGGAGAGTTAGGGAACCTCGCCTAAACCGGGCCGCGACAGGCACACCCGCACCTGCCCACATCGCACCACCTCGTGGAATCGCTACCCCATTTTCGATTGTGTGAGGGTTAGGAAATAATACCTGGGGGTTTGGGTGTATACGAGCAGAGTTGATGGGGTGGGGTATATATTTGAAAAGATAGAATCTTCAAGTTGGCTTGTGACATTACAAAGGAATTCAATATATTTTCGACTATCTGTTGAATGTTTGTGTGGTGTACTATTTTAACTGTGTGATCGATGAATTGCAGTTATATGCACTCAACCAGAAAAGTTTTTTTCCAGGAGATGCTCTTCTCACAAGTGAAAAATTATATTAAATACCTAACATACCATCTGCATCAGACAATCAAAAATGGCCAAATCAAGCACAAAAACTGCCAAGGCAGTGACAAAGAAGGTGAAAGACTCTAAGAAGAGCAAGAAGGTTGAAGCCAAGCCAGTGGAATCCAGTTCCAGTGAAGAATCTTCTTCCGAAAGCGAAAGCGAAGAAAGCTCGAGTGATGATTCTTCTTCTGAAGACAAATCTTCGTCATCTTCGTCTTCTGACAGTGATTCTGACAGCGACAGCGACAGTGATTCCGAAGAAGAAAAGAAGGTAGAGAAGAAGGTTGAGAAGAAGGTCGAGAAGAAGGTTGAAAAGAAGGAATCAAGCTCTGAATCTGATAGCGATTCTTCTTCTGACAGTGAATCAGACAGCGACTCCGACAGTGACAGTGATTCCGAAGACGAAAAGAAGGTCGAGAAGAAGGTCGAGAAGAAGGTCGAGAAGAAGGTCGAAAAGAAGGTCGAAAAGAAGGAATCTTCTGACAGCGACTCCGACAGCTCCAGCTCCAGCTCTGACTCTGACAGCAGTTCCGACAGCAGTTCCGACAGTAGTTCCGACTCTGACAGCGATAGCGACAGTGATTCCGACTCCGACTCCGATTCCGAAACCAAAGCATCTACCAAGAAGGACAACAAGCGTAAACCAGACAGTGACGAAGAATTCCAAACCGCTGACGAAGAACCAACCCCAAAGAAGGCCAAGGTTGTTCAAGAACCAGCCACCCTTTTCGTTGGTAGATTGTCCTGGAACATCGACGACGACTGGTTAAAGAGAGAATTCGAACCCCTGGGAGGTGTCATTAGTGCCAGAGTAATCATGGAAAGAGCCACTGGAAAGTCCAGAGGTTACGGATATGTTGATTTCGAGAGCAAGGCCGATGCCGAAAAAGCTCTTCAAGACTTCCAAGGAAAGGAAATCGACGGTAGACCCATCAACTTGGACTTGTCTACTTCCAAACCTCAAACCCCAGCTAAGAACGACAGAGCCAAGAAGTTCGGTGATGTTGTGTCAGCTCCTTCCGATACTTTATTCATTGGAAACTTGAGTTTCAACGCCACCAGAGACAAGTTGTTCGAAGCTTTTGGTCAATACGGTGAAGTGATTTCTTGCAGAATCCCAACCCATCCAGACACTCAACAACCTAAGGGATTCGGATATGTTCAGTATGGAAGCATCGAAGAAGCCAAAGCCGCATTGGAAGCCTTGAACGGTGAGTACATCGAAGGTAGACCTTGTAGATTGGATTACTCCACTCCAAGAGACCCAGCATCTTCTCAGAAGCCAAGATTTGGAGGTGACAGACAAGGTGGATTTGGAGGTAACAGATTTGGAGACAGATCTGCCACCAACTCCCCAAGACCCCAAAAGACCGCCGAATTTAGAGGTACCAAGAGAACCTTTGACTAATCCCTGCATTCCTTCTGTATAGTAGTTAATAAAATGTTTTTCACCGTATATGAAAGACTCCGATCGGAGATCATGGAGTAGAGGCGAAAATTTGACAGGTCAGCCGCACCCGCCAAACTCATAAGACAAGAAAATATCGCCAGACCCATACACAAAACCCCAAAGTTGATGGTAATTTCGTTGGCCAGTTACCGGGTGCTGTTTGTAAACTTTGCAATATTTTCTTTTTGTTATTTGTAGAGGGTGGCTTTGATAAACCTTGACATCTGGTTCGCACAATGGGGGAGAGGGCGAGGCCTTTTTTTTTTGCTCACCCATCAATACAAATATAACCGTTTCAATTGATAACTTTATCAGTTTGAAGTTTTATATCAACTACAATCTTGTTAAATCAACGGCATAGTCCTTACTAAAGGCCTGTACACCATCCATATTTCAAATTCATTGTTCTGTTAGATTTTTTTGTCCACCGTTAATGCTTGTGTGCCGTTGAACTCGAACCTTTTATACCTATTGTTCACTACTGTTTTATCTTCATGAGGAAAGCAGTTTCAAGAATAATACCGGGACGGCTGAAGAGCTTTCTCGATGGTCCGAGTACGGGGCCTGCTCCGGCATCTGGCGCCGGTCCCGTGCAGACTCCCAACACCGCTTCCTCGTCTCCTTTTAGGATAGACTTCAATTCAGTTTCTGACTTCTACATTGTCCTTGATAAACCCCATAACTCATGGCTCCCAGGCGATGAAGTATCGGGCCAGATTATCTTGATTACAAAGAAAAATTTAGCTAATATTGTTATCACTCTTTCACTAGTGGGCTATGTTAAGATCAACGGATTATCTCATTCAAAATTAAGACCTGTGAAACACAGCTTGTTTAACCATACCATCAAGATTTATGGCGATGACTTACAACCGACAGAACGCTCGGATGGTCTATCGAGTGGGTTATATAAGGGAGAACACCGATTCCCCTTTATTGTAAAGTTACCAAACAAACGCATCTATACTAGCATTGATTTCGGAAAAGGGTCAATTACTTACTTACTCAAGGCCACTATGAGTGACTCAAACATGGTATATGCTCAGTCAAACACTCCTGGAGATTCCAACCCTTCATCTCCAGGCTTACTTGCCAAAACAAAGAACCTTAAGATCCTCAACAACTCCAATTATAGTTCAGAGAAATTGATTAACTTGATAAACCCCATAGATGTGAGCACTCTTTTGCCACCAAAGACAAAGAGACTAATAATCAAGGATCCTAGGTATAACAGAAGACTTTCTCGGACTCAAAGTTCCAATTCTACCATAAATACCTTCAACACCTTTGGCACTTTTTCCTCAAATAACTCTGACCCGAACGAGAACACCAATTCGAATTCAAACTCCCCACGAGATCAAGAAATGGGCGAAAGCCTTGAAAACCAACCAGATGACCACAACGAAACTCCAACCACTCCTCATGCTCCTTCAAATAGCGTGGATTATGCCTCTAAACCAAATACTATCAAAGTATCATTAGCAATTCCTGAAAAAGGTTATTTGAGAGGTGAGCTAATTCCAGTCAAATTGAATATCAATCATCTTCGAAAGGTTCAGGATGTGAATGGAATCATTATCACCTTTGTTAGGGTTTGTAGGTTGGAAAGTGGTCCCGATGGAATTTACGATTCGTTTAGAAAGGACTTGGGTCAGAAGGTCATCCCCATATACGTGGATCCAATTAATTTCAAGGCAGAAATCAGTACGAACATAAGAGTACCAGCTGACTGCTTTCCTACCATCAGTGGATGCCCCTTAGTGTCGTTTCAATATTTTGTTGAAGTGTTGATTAACTTGTCTGGAAAGTCCGTTTCATTGGTAGACAATGAACAGACAAAATCGTCTGTGGTAAGTGAAACCGGAAGACAGTCTCCAATAGTCGATTTCTCCACTAACGGATCTCAAAATGTTAATGAAGACACGATGAACTCGGATTCAGCTACAAACACCACAGACTTAAGACTGCAATTCAAGTATCTGTCAACGGTATCAGATTTCAACCATAAAGCTACATCGAGTTTCATCAATACTGATAAGTTCAAACATCTGAAGAAGTTTTTGCAGTTAACTTCAGAAGTGGTGATTGGAACTCATAGGCTGCAAAAAGATTCCGACTCTTCTGCTTCGGTCTCAAATCCTTTGAGTCTGGATATACCTTTGGAAACACCACCTTCCCGAGGATCATCATTGAGGTCTGAAAGCTCTCCAATAGTGCCTGCGGCCCAATCACATGCGGCCCAAATCATTCCACAACCATTGTTCAACGTAATTCCAGAAGCCATGGAGATTAACCATTTCAATGGCAGAGCTCCTGATTATAATGAAATCCATAATGAGAGTGGGTTGTTACCATTCCCTGAGCAACCAGCGATGTCAGAGAAAGATCAAATGAGAGCTCATGAGAGGAGTCTTTTACCATCTGAGCCTTTCTTGTCTGTTAATGACGTTGAATCGAGGGAGTCTGTCAGTCCAATCATGGAAAATGCCCAGCTTCTCGAACCATCAACTCCTCCTCAAGAGACAAATGGTGGAACCGACTTCAACTTTTTCAGCAACGAACAATCACCGAATAACAACGAACAAGAAGACCAATACAGTCAGATTGACTATGTTCCAAACTATGAAAGATCTAATAATGATCCGCTAGTCGAGGGTAACTCGACCTCAGAACATTGAAGTTTATAGAGTAACGAATTACGATAATGTATTATAGTACTATAAAAGTTGACAAACATATCTAATGATACAAGTACGCAAAAAGCATCATGTGCTATTATGAGCCAAATATAACTGTTTCTGAAGAGAAGTAACGTTATCTTTTAATTGATCTCTCTCCTGTTTCAAGATAAATAAGTCAGCTTCTAAATCTTTGAGTTTCATATTATAATGAGCGTTTTCGAGGGCATCATCGTCTTCCTCATTTTCTGCTTCACGAATTGGGTTGGCGATATTAACGTTCTCTTGGCTTGGGAATTGTAAGGGATTTCTGGTACTTGTTCTCTTACTGGCCTTTTTGAAGAGCTTCAACTCATTGTTTTCTTTAATCAATTTCTCCATCAAAGACCTTTGGTTGTTCAATTCTTCTTGGGTTAATTTCAAGGCTTTTGAAGTGTTGTTGACACTTTGCAATGCATCTTTATAGTTCGAATCATAGGTTCTCAAGTTTGACAACTTGACATCCAACTCGCTTCTCAAAGTGGAAATCTCTCTGGCGGAGGTGACTTCTTGTTCCTTGCTGATCTTCATTAAACCATCCAATTGTTTTTGCAATTCCAACACCATTGGGTCCACTGCATTGTTGACAGACCTGTCAGTAGAAGCAGAAGAGATGTTTCTAGTGTTCCAAGCATTGACTAAGTGTTCTAATTGGTTGGAAATATCCTTCTTGCTCCTTCTTGTGGTAGAGTTACTCAAAATTGATTTGTTCGTGCTGTCAACACCATTGATGCTGCGAACATCCTCTTGTTCAGGCTCATCATCTGAAATATCATCGTTATCGTGGATAGATCTGTAATTATTGTATTCCAACTCTAAGTTGTCATGCTTGGATTTCCAGTTGTTGATCTCCTTGTGTAAGATTTCTTGATCTCTCACTTGTTGTGTCAAAATCTTGACTTTTTCTTCTTGTTTAGCTATGATCTTTTGGAAATCCGATAATTGCGCAACCTGATTATTCATAAAAGGCTCAAATTCTTGGATCTTGTTGTTCAAGACAGAATTCTCTTGGGTCAAATAAATTAACTTGTTATTTAATTCCAATCTTTCCAACTTGTAACGTGTAAGTTCACCTACTGAGTTAGAATTGTTGGTGATATTAGAAGCCACATCTCTTTCTTCATTTTCTTCATCGATTTTGAGCAAATTTGGATCGATTTGCTGTTTCAATTCTCTGATGACATCATCCTTTTCTTGCAATTGCAATTTCAAATCTTCTGCATTTGTAGAACGTAAGGCAGTGTTTTCGTGTTCCAATGCATTGATCTTTTCAGTAGCATTTTGCATCTCAATCTTGGCATTTTGCCTTAAAGCTGTCAATTGACTAGTAAGCTCGGCAACCAATTGCTTAACCTTTTCATTTTCAACATTCTTGGCCAAATTAGGTGTCGAACTGTTCACCAACCTATCAGTTTCAATGGCCTTGGTGTGGCCATTAGTATTCGAGAAGTCGTTGGTGCCAGAATTCGAAAATCTTGAAACATCAATATCATCTTCGGTGATGTCACCTCTTTCAGAGATGGCGGTCGATGGTACTTCCACAAACTTATCACCATTATCGATAACGTCTCTAGGTCTTTCTGGAGAAGCAGCCGGGGTTCTAAATTCTTCAGGGCCAGCCGAAAAGCTTCTGGCATGACGCTGAAATCCTTGTCTAACTTCATCCTCTTGAGAACTAGAGTGTCCCATTCCAGTTGCAGCCACAGCTCCCACAACTCCAGCGGTTCCAACAGCTCCAACAGTAGCGACTCCACCAAAAGGTGTGGCCGAGTTGGAACCAAGAGGCGACGTTGTTGAAGAACGAACAACAGTATCAGATAAACCAGCAGCCGCAGCAGCCTTTTTAGTAGCCTTAACAACAGTTTGCCGGGAAGACAAGAAAGAATCAAGAACACTCAAGTCCAACTGGTAAATGATAGTGTCCAAGTCAGCAGCCGGATCTTTCGTCTCATAAGTATTAAAGTCATTAGGATCACTTGAAGCATAATCGTTCTTGTCACCACCCATAATCAAAATCTTGTTTAAAGCCGGAAGATAAGTCATGGTATGACCACATCTAGATCCAGGGCCATCAATTTCACCGTTTGATATCAATTTGGACCACACCAAAGTGTGCAAGTCCAACACATACAAAGAGTTGTAAATGATTCCACTAAAGTCGTTCCCTCCATAAACATAAAGTTTATCGTGGATAATACAAGCAGAGTGTTCGTTGACCGGCAACGGGGTGTTCCCAGAAGATGAAATCTGAGTCCATTTGGAGCTGGCAATATCAAAGCACCACAAGTCGTTCGAAACCTTTTCGTTATTGTACACCCCACCAAATACGTAGATCTGGTTTTTATAGACCGACATTGTGTGGTTTGTCAAAGGAGGAGGCCTAAAATTATTCAATGGTTCGACCAAATTCCATCTGGCCTTGGGGGACTTGAAGGTGTTCAATTCAAAGTAGTACAAGTCATTGAACACATCATTTTCCAATTGACCTCCGAAAAGATACAATCTAGAAGACTGGTTATTCAACGACACCACTCCAATTGTGTGACCATAACGACCATTGGGCTTGTTCAAGATATGGCTTGGAATGGTATACTTGTTGTTGTTGATGTTGAACAAATAAAAGTTGTTGTCGGGAAAACCATTGAAGTCCGTATCGACTGTATCACCTCCATAGATGATAAAGGCATTTCCAATCAACACTGACGAGTGGCCCACTCTGGCGGGTGGATTGTTGTTATTGGCGATGACCACAGGCTCGGCCGTATATTCAATGGTGGAGTTAGTGGATGGGTCTACGGTGGGAACGATTTTCCAAGTGTCACCAAACACAGAGCCTTCTTTCAAACCCCCCATTAAAAACACCTCATTTTTCTCTGATGAGATACTAGAAGCCGAGTGCCTATAACGAGGAAACGGAGAGTTTCTCAATTTGAACTTCGTCCATGGAGTTCCTTCGGGGTCAAGGGGAGGAGAAGATGTTGTGGTTGCACCTGCCAAGGGTGATTTTTTCAATATTGGTGAATGGTACACGGGACCGGAAGCATCACCTTGTGAAGGTGTGGGCAAGTGATTATCATAACCTGGAGTCAATTCTTGACTAGCATCGATCAGAGCAGCCGAGTCATCGTCGATTGAAGTGTTAGGATCGATTGATCCGTCTTTTTTCTTTTTACCGAATTTAAAGCGGGCCATTTCAAAACAACTTGTAAGGGATTGAATAAGTCAAGGCACAACACGGAACGTAGATTGCTTGGGTACAAAAGACAATACAAATTGTAATAAAAGAACTTAGAGTTAGTTCTGGGGAAAATAAACTGAATGCTCAAATGCAAACAAAAGTCGGTTTATTTATTTCGTGGAGAATCCACTAATGCCTGTGAACAGAAAAAAAATTTTCAATATTAAACGAGCCGTTATACTAATATATTTTCCTTGTTTCAGTGAATGGTCGATGTACCGACTCCAGGAATGGCTTAATGGGGAAATTGTTTGAAGATGTCAGCCAAACTTTGGCCTGGTGGTGTCTCCTCATTATTACTGTAAGAAGATGAACATCTGGTATGAGTGGCTAAGGTACGTGAGACGTTTTGTATTCATTGCCTAATTAGGCAATGCAGAACTTACTATTTTGAGAAATAAGTTGTGGGCCTCGCTTTACAAGAGTTACCATTCGAGGAAAAAGTGCCACTTCAACCACCGGGGGAGTATCGGTGAGTGTTAAGCATACGGTCCTAATTACAGTTATTGTTCATGGGCATACATGTGGTGGTGGTGATATGGTGACTTTTATGCTTGGTATTTTCAAATGCTACATATTTTAAGCCACGCCCGCATTTGCGACAACTTTGTTTGTTTAACTGACGAAGTGGCGGCTACCGGAACCTGTTGAAAGGGTACCTCTTTAATGTGCCAGAGCAGTTTTGTGGGGATTTTAGGCTTTGAACCGTACACGGTGACGGCGGGAAGAAGCTAGACGGCTAAACCGCTCAGATCCACGCGAAGTTCTTGGTAAAAACACTCTGTGTACCTCATTTTTGGCAGCCATTGACATGTCCATCCATTTGGGTGAATTTGCAACAATGTGAGCCTGATAATTATACTGAGATGTTCAAGTTACCATTGGATCCCCAAGTACCTCTCCAGTATATCTGTATTTATTATGTTGCCAATCTTATCTCTATGCGGCGCTTTTGTCCTACTGGTTAAGTTTGTGCTCGCGTAGGTTGGTGCGCACTCGAAATCGTTTCCTCGAATACTACTGTACCGCTGAAGCATGAACAGCTTCGAGTACAATCCATATGATGATCTTCGGCAGATATTCCAGGATCCTCAGTCGATAAAAGAGTTGCCGCAGCTTCTAAAATATATCAATGACCACAAATTGGCTGTGAGTCAACAAATCAATTCCGATATCAACAAGTTTCACCAAAGCAATAATGATCTTTCAGGTAAAGATATTTTGGAATTGATCCAATCTATAGAGACCACACAGACCAAGTCTCAAAGAATCCAAACCTCCATTCAGTCAATCACCTGTGAAATCTCCAAATTAGACTTGATGAAGAAGAACCTTACGTTGTCTATGAACATCTTCAAGAGGCTTCAGATACTAAGCTACTCCATCAACGAATTGAACCAGCACCTAAAAGCTGACTACAGATACAAAGATATCTTTGATCACTTGAATAACACTAAGGATTTGTTGGAGTTCTTTAAGCCATACAAGTCGATTGACGAGATCAACAGATTGCATTTGGTAATGGCCAAGATCGAGACAAAATTGATTGACAACATTTTCATCGATTTCGAGGAGATATTGGTGTACCACAAACCGCTGAAAGACCTCAAGTATGCTTGCATGATTCTAGAGCTTATTGATGATAAACAGAAAGACAAATTGTTGAATTGGTTTTACAACCTCCAGCTCAAAGAAATAAAGGCAATTTTCAACAACTTTGACGAAGCTGGTTCATTGGACAACTTGAACAGGAGATTCATATACTACAACAATACTTTGAAAAAGATGAGGTCGGAAAATGCAGATATATTTCCGAGCAGCTGGAACATTGAGTTGGAACTATCCAAGTTGTTCTGCGAGATTACGAAGGAAGATTTATTGGCAAAATTGAACCAAAGAAAAGTGTCTTCCGAAACCTTGTTAAGTTGTTTGAACACCACTCTTGAGTTTGAAAATAGCCTTAATACTGCATTAAAGTCCACAGACTTTACAAGAATTATTCTGAAGGTGTTTGAGCCTTACTTGAGCATATGGATAGGTGATCAAGACAGATATTTGAACTCTAAAATGATTGAATTCTTCTCGGTTCCTAAAATCCCTCCCGAGTTTCAATCCAGCACCAGCTTCAGCGAGTTTGAAAACGTTTTAAAGATTAATAGTATCCCTAACATTTCGAATTCCTCAATCGAACTATTCAAGGTATACCAGAAGATCTTGATTCAAGCATTAAAATGGTCTAATGGTAAGATACACTTGGACTTAGCTAACTTGTTCAACAAGTATCTAGCAGAATATCATGACAGAATATTATTGCCTATTGTGAATAGCGAACAAAATGAAGCTAATGAGGTCAATCAGCTTGAGTCTATTAAGTACTTGACGATGGTATTGAATACGGGGGATTACATTATCAACAACTTGGACGACTTATACAAGAAATTTAACAACATTATCAGTGCCCAATACAAGGGTAAGTTTAACTTCGATAATTTGAATCATTTGTACTTGAATCTTATCAACAGGTCCATGAACAGACTAATTGACTTGATATCTACCGACTTAAGGTTCAGTTGGAGGCAATTTGAAAACAACAACTGGAATAACAATGAGCCTTCTGAAGAAGTATCCAATTATATGATTGATATCAAGGGGTGTTTGACTAAGAACTGCAAGGCGATTTTACCGTTAATAATACGGGAAAGTTATATTCGAACATTTTGCAACAAAGTAACGGAACTTGTGGTGAGGGATTTCTCCAACAACTTGAAGTTAATAAAACCATTGAGTATCCTTAATATCGAACAAATCACTAACGACATCAACAACTTGAAACAATTGATAATGAAGTTGCCACTTTACTCCAACCCTAACTGGGATGATAAGACCCTTAACGACAAAGAGAAAGACAAGTCTCTACAATTCTATGAAAAATATGTTGATAACCAGTTTTATAAGTTGGAGATGCTTTTGAAATTACTTTTAACTCCAACATTACCGATTGACAACTTGGTAGGAAGTTACTTCAGCTTGATTCATGACAATTCGATAAAGAACTTCAAGAAATTTCTCAGCTTAAAGAACTTGTCAGTTCTAGAGCAAAGAAAGTACATTGACAACTTCAACTTGCAGCTTTCTCTAGCAAACGATGATTTAGCAGAAGAATCGCCCATAATGGCCATACTAAAGGATGACAGCCCTGGACCTATCAATACCAATCCAAGTGTCTCAAACACGAATTCTGGAATTATCTCACCTTTCCCCAACATGTCTTCCCAGGCTGAGGGAAGTAAATCACCCAAATTGAAAATTAATAACTTAGAAAAGAACCTTAGAGAATTGGCATTGAACAGTGAAAGTAACATCAACAAGTTTAATGAAAATTTCAAAAACTTTGGCAAACTTTTCCGTAAAGATAACCAGAACCAAGGTCATGAGTAGGTAAGTATGATTAAATAGATAAGTATTAGTCACACCATTTTATTTTCACACTCTCAGGTTTGTCTTCTAGAAACCTTGCAGAGGGGTTTCCCTTGGGCTTTCAGTTTTAGGTTTATCAGTTTTAAGTTTATTCTCTTTCTCCTCTCCATCACTGACCCAAAAACTAGTCGCAAAAAAAAAATCCGAATACCCCAAACCACTGCAACATGAAGCTTGTGAAAATATGTGGTATTAAGCGTCAACAAGCAGCCCTGGAGGCCATATCATTCGGTGCCGACCTACTTGGTATGATAATGGTTCCTGGAAGAGCGAGAACTATTGACATCGAAGAAGCGAAGGCTGTTGCACAATTAGTCAAGCAGACAAGGCAGCATAAGAAACGTCAGTTTCAAACCATGACTGAGATCTTGAATGTCCTAAGAGAAGAAGACTTTGAGACCATAGATGATTATAGTGACAGGATATCAGACTTACTTGAAGAAAATGGACCATTTTTAGTGGGAGTATTTAGAAACCAGCCGATGACTGATGTTTTCAGAATCTCTGAAGAAGTGGGCAACGACATAATCCAGCTCCACGGCAAGGAAAATGTGCTAGAATACTGCAGCTATAATTCGAAAAACTTTGATCTGAAGTTTGGGGTCATTCCTCGTTTCGTGATTCCTAATGATGTTTCTAAGATTTACGACACTCTAGAAGCCATTTGCATTGGAGGAAAATATTTTGGTAATGGGTTCCTTTTACCGTTGCTCGATTCTGAATTGGGTGGTGAAGGTAAGCTTATTGACTGGTCACTTTTGAAGGAGTTGACACTGGGAAAGTTCATTTTGGCTGGTGGTTTGAATGAGTTTAACATCTTGCAATTAAGCGAGTACTCCAACTTAAAAGGATTTGATGTTAGTGGAGGAGTGGAAACTCAAGGAGAAAAAGATCCTAGAAAAGTAGAAAACTTTATCAAGAACGGTAAACTGGTCGCTTAAGTTGATGAAGTTACGTAACGTTAAGGTGTATTTAATTATTTATAATAGTAATAAAAAACCATGCACTCAAATTTAGTCTTCTTGATCCCAGTTTTGAGGAGTTGGTTTATTTGGCATCACTGGACCACCAGCTCTTTTGGCCATGATGATCTGATCAATAGATAATATGGTATTAGCAGCTTCCGTGGCCAAGTTAATGGCAGATCTTTTGGATGATAACAAGTCATAGATGAGCTCGTTATCAACATTAATTAGACCATCCTTAGAGTCATTTTCAATATCAATTCCAATGTTCAACCCGGAGTTATCATTCAAAGAGTGAATAGCATATAATTTGGACAAGATTTCAGTTGAGTCCAAACCAGAAGTTTCTGACAACACTCTTGGCACAACTTCAAATGCTTTAGCGTATTGTTTAATGGCCAATTGTAATAAACCTGGAGTAGTCTCTCCATATTTGGTAACCAACTTGGACAATTCGATTTCAACACCACCTGCACCTGGTAATAATTCATTGCTCTTTAACAAACCTTTAATGGAGTTAACTCCATCATCGATGCATCTTTCAACATCGTCCAAGTTGTTTTGGGTAGCACCTCTCAAAATAATCGTGGAAGTTCTGGTAGTGGAGTCTTCCCCTTGTCTGAAAATGGTGACTCTGTCACCACCAAGCTCTTTGGTTTCTATGACATCGATTTCTCCCATTTCATCTGGAGTTGGAGCTCCCAATCTTGGTAAAGGAGTGGCTCCACACACTTGACAAATTCTTCTGACATCAAATTTCGATGGGACTTTCAAAATCAAAATCCCGTACTTGTTGAAGTAGTGCAAAGCCAATTCACCAACAGAAGCACCAGCGATTATGACCTTAACACCTGAATCACTGATTTCTTTACACATCTGATCCAATTGTGCTTCTTCATCTTTAGAAAAATCCAACATTTCTTGGGCATTATGCAATAATACAGTAGAAGACGTTTCGGTGGTAGAAACATCAATAGGGCACGAGAATACAACCACCTTGGAAGTGCTGGTGATGTTTTTAACGGATCCTTCAGGTTGTCTTGGGAAGACCATTCCTTTTACCACCTGCGAATGGGCCAAACTTGAACCCATGATCTTTACGACTCTGATGGAGTCCACATTGAAAGCAGAAGGCTTCTTTGGATTCAACACCAACTTAACTGCATCTATGATCAATTTGGAAATCACAGGTTCCAAAGCAGACTGCTTAGAAGAAACAACCGACTTGATGACCTTAATTAATTCTTTTGGATCAGTTAAAGATTCGACTTTATTTATGACCAAAGAGTCCAACTTCTCCATCACAAACTTACATGCCAAGTTATAACCCTGAATGATTTCACTGACATTTAAACCCAAAGATAATAGTTTACTGGCAATGTTCAATAATTCACCAGCCAATATGATTACCAAGTTGGTGTTATCACCCATTTCAAACTCTTGTTGTTTGGAAGCCATGATCAAGATCTTGACAGCAGGATGAACGATTTCCAACTCGTTAATCATGGTTGCAGCATCGTTTGTAACAAAAGTTTTACCCAACTTATTGACTATGATCTTATTTCTTCCACTGGGACCCATGGAAGTCTCAACAATTTGGGAGATTTCTCTAACAGCCTCGATATTTCTGATGATGGCACCATCGGCACTAGAGTGTGATTGGTAACCTTGCTTGAACAAGCCAGCGTTCGGAGCTTGAGGTAATTTTAAAGACATAGTTAGGAATATCAAACAGACGCACTCGTCGCCATTGGCATTTTAAGCAGATTCGAATCGCGCGGTGTGAAAAATTTACTGGGTTGGCGCACGTCGGGGCACAGAAGTCTGGTGTATTTATAATACAAGAGATATGGAGTAACATATGCACATCATAATAGTAACATCCTCAGTTCATAAATCTTCAACGTTTTCGAGCTTAACCAACCCCTCATGAGCCGGTGACTTGGGGAATGCCAGGTTGGGATCGGGGATATCAAAGGCATCAAGCACTTTTAAAAACTCCAGTTGATTCTTACTCTTCATGGCCTTGTTAATAACGTCGAAATGTTCAAAGTTGTTGAATCCTGCAAACCCATCGCCTGACGAATTCTGGTTGAAAAATCTCTTCATAGATTGGAAAAATTTATCGTAATTATCCAATTTTCCTCTTAAATCGGAGTTTTCAATCTTTAATTCTCTAATGTCATCTAGAAGTTGTTGTTGGGCTTGTTTCTTCCTCTGTCTACACTTGGACGCCGCAACTCTGTTTCTTTCGAGAAGCCTGTCTCGTTTCCAAGCAGAAGTTCCTGGAACCGGTCCGTTATTGGGATTGTATATCACCTCATTATTGTAGATAAGTTGATGGTTGGGAGGAGGAACCCCGGCATACACAGTATGCTCTTGCGAGTCGTCTGGGACTGGCAAAATTTCTTCTTGTGGCCCAGAGAATACGGCATTAGTAGCCGAAAGTACTGTAGCGGGAGCTGAAGGTGATGGAACCGCCCCTGGTCCCTGGGACGGAATTCCACCCACCACCGGTGCTTGAGTAAAAGTCTGGCAAGGAGCACCTACACCGACTCCGGGCGCTGCCGGGTGTCTCTGGTGTTTTGGGCCCACCGAATAATGTGCCTGTAGTTCTGGTGGAAGAGAGGAGGGAAGTGGAGTAGCAATGGGATGGGATGTAGGATCGTGGTTATTGGTGTTAGGGAGCGGATGAGATTGAAATTCATCATGGGATCCTGGAACCATGCCAAATCCACCCCCACTGTTCTGAAGTACTTGCGGTTGTAACGCCTGGTTAAATCGAGACTTTTCGTGAAGGTCGATGGGAGTGGTTTCGTTGCTTACCACATCATAGTTGTCGTCAAATATTGCCTCATGGTTGATAATCTGGCCAATCTGACCGTTGGAGATGGAAATTCTTCGACGTAATACCGGCATTCCGTCCTGAGAGAAGTTTACAAACATGCTCTGGTCAAATAAAGGGGGATTAGTCATGGGATAGGTATTCAAGTCAAATGGATTATTGAACATCCCCGAGTTGTCGTGGGTCCTTTTGGAGAGCGAGCCCTGAGTCCTCACCTCGATACCCTCGATGCCCTCGATGACGCCGGTGTTATTTATCTCACTCATTCAAATATTGTGGTGGAAGATATGACGGTGTTCTGGGTAATGGGATTCTCCTGATCACCTGAGATGAGGGTGTATCGGTTGGAAGGGTTTGAGAGGAGAAGCAGAATGAACACTAAGGGCAACACACTATCTGTTTGAAGGAGGCTGTACACAAAACCACCGTGATAGCAATAAAAAAAACTTTCAGCCTTGGATCTGGTTTGGTTGCAGAATTGTAACTGGTCTTCAAAAGAAATAATTAAGTGCGTTCCGTTATTTTTAAAAATGGGCCCAGCAAATAATATATTTTTATTGGACTAAAATAACTGTCGGCCAAATTACGCGAGAAGGTTGAACTAACACTAGGCGAGAGCCGTGGGTTTAACACGGCTGTATTGGAATACTGTAGCGTTTCCCCACTCGCCTTATTGTTATCGCAAGATAGTGCAATCAATGTCTCGCCGGAGAGATTTGCGATACGCAGCTAGTGTGGCACTCGGAAAATCCTTCTAAATCAAGCTTCCAAATCACACCAATAGGTGTGTGAAGTCATTTAGAGCCAATAAACCTATCACAGGACTTCAAACTGTAAATTGGCTAGAATATCACGTTTCAGGAGTTAACGGGTTTAATATCTACGATTGCGAATTGCACAATAAACCCGCTCTCTTTGCTCGCTTGCGACAAATTGTTTACAACACAAAACTGTAGACAAGGGATTGCCACGGTTTTGGAATAATCCCCCGTACATGGAGGACCTATTCGATAAACAAATTGATCCTCGTCTTCTGCATCTACCCCAGTTAAGTGAGTTCTTTCAATATGTCACGGTTTCAAAGTTGTTAAACCCTGCTTTTATCCAGAAGCTCAACTCGATGTTTGTGACCAACGACGATGGATACGAGTACAAACTCGAGTTGGTGGTGGAAAACCAGCGGGGGTTGAAGATATTTGGTATTCCCATGTTCAGCAGCAATAGTTTGATCCCTATGTTGGATCCTTCGAGTTTCCAGCTTTTAAACGGCCAGAACTTGAAGGTTATTGACAACAATCTTAACAACTTGCCTCTCCCGGACTTGAACTGGCAATGGCACTGGGAGTGTTGGTACGTGTTGATGCTTAACGATGTTGACGACCAGGGCTGGATCTACTCGAAAATCAACTTCAACAGCCATCATTGGAAAGGCAAGTACTATTTTGGTAACTTTATTAGAAGACGTGTATGGATCCGCTTACGGCATCGTAGTCTCCTGGAAATGAGCTCCTGACCTCCAATTTGCATTTATATTAGTTGTACCTTAGCATTAGCATTAGTCCACTCGTCTAGCGAAATGTATAAATCTCGCGGTATTTGCAACCAAATTTTACCGCCATATGACCATGGAACCAGCTTTAGCTCTAGCAATTATCAGGTACAAACACAGAAACGGCCTTTCACTTAAGGAAACTGTGAAAGAAGTGACATATATACTCACAGTACCAGAAACCAGAATGCTAAGATTAAAGGCTGTTGTCACTGAAATCACTAATGATACAGACTTCTTCAAGCTTTTGGCCAAGCTCAAAAGAGCATGTTTACACAACTCCAAAAACTTGAAATCATTTCTTGCACAAGTAGGAGAAGTGTTTCATGAATGGGCAACACGATACCGTTTTTATCGGGTCGAATTTATCAATATCTTGCTCTTATCACTTGAAAGTCTCTATGTCAATGCTCCCGGGGTGGAAACTTCGATGATCATGACCGGCTGGGTCTTTGGGTTGGTGAAAAAGATTCTACGCCAGGCACAGCGATGCTCACCGTACGAGGCCAGTCAGTTTAAACGTGTGTTTATTAATCGGATCATTATCAACATATATCTGATAGTGACTGAGGTCAAGCCTCACCTGGAACTACCTTCCTCAATGAAACAGGCATTTAAGTCCCATCCCAGGGGCAACCGTTGGTTGGATTGTACTAAAGTTAGTGAATTGGTCATGGGGTATTTGAGTATCATATTGTACCTACAGAAGAGTTTGACAGTTCTTCAACACAATAAAGTGTTGGCATTGTTGATTATGTTTGAGAATGACGAGTTATTGCAGTATTATGGGGGAAATGCTAAGTTATCCTTCGAATTAGATCTTTAGTTTGTCACCCAAGGTCTTGATAGACCTCTTACTAAAGATGTATGATAAGGCACTAATAAGGGTTGTTGCAGCCACCAAAACCTCGAAGTTTCCCAATAAGGCTCCGTAGTAGTCACTCATTATCCATTGTTCAATTTGAGGTTTGAACACCAAATTACCCACATACACCATCTGGAGACCGGTGTTGATCTTAGAAAGCAAGTTGGGTTCCACAGAAACAGTTGGAATGCTCAAATTAGCAAACCGTTTAAAGGTCTTGGGTGCTGGTAATGTAACATACCGGTAGTAAACGCCCATAAGTGCCAACATGGCATCCTTCCCTATAATAAGAGCCCCCATATAGCCAGGCATGATGCTAACAACTGACAAAGAGATCGTACAGATGCCCATGAGTAACTTGTCAGCAATTGGATCCAATATCGTCCCCAATATAGACTTCATGTTGAATTTCCTTGCAATGAACCCATCCAAAAAATCGGTTACACAAGAATAGGTGAATAAGGAAATAGCTGTATTCATGTAACCCGTGTATATGCAGTATCCAATTACTGGAGCTGTGGCAATTCTGGTCATGGTGAGGAAATTGGGTATCGTATAAATGTTGTCGATGATCTTTAAAGGCTTTGGTTCAGTTTCAACATTGGGCTTAAGATTCAACAATCGAGCAGAGGTCTTCAAAGGTCTAAAAGCATCGCATCTTGAACCTAATAAACTGGCTCTAGGCAAGAGTACCCTCGATCTGACAGGTGCTCCAATGAGCGTACGGTACACAATCCCATTAGTTAACATCATACTGAGTCTCAATGAATTTTCTCAAAGAAGCTGCGAACTATACTACTGCCAAACCCGGGGTTAGATTAGAATCTAATTCATTTAGTATGCTAAACTACTATTACATGCATCACGATGTTTGAAGAAAAACAAACATGATTACTTTGGCAATCCAGATTCGTTGATCAAGGAGATAGAAGTTTCCTTAGGACCTTCACCTATCTTAGTGGCAATGATCTTGGATACACCAGTGATTTCGGGAATAAACGACTTGAAGTCGAACGAGGTTACGGTTTGTGGCTGCTTGAAGCCTTGGATATTCTCGAAATATGGTTTCAAACCACTTAATATTTTGTCCTCGTTTTCTGCTTCGTAATACAAAACAGCGTTTGGACCAGCATCATAGGTATAGGCTACGATGGTCTTACCTTCAATTTCATTGATTTTGTGAATCAACTTAATGATCTTTTTGGACGTATCATTCAAGTAGAAAATAGGAGGGAATGAGTCCAAGCACACGGCATGGAAAGAGTTAGAGTCCTTCATGGTCAACTCGGCAAATGTAGGGAAATCCTTTTTCAAGATGGCACTTTTCATTTCCTCAAATCTTTGAGGAACGAGTTCATTGATTCTGTGGTTGAACAAGTCGGAGGTAGCCACAGTGCTTTGCATACCGGAAGTAGAAGGCACATCTTTCTTATCATCAGATACCACCAAAATCAAAGCTTTCATATTTGGCCAGTGTTCCAAAGGAGCAACTTCAACTGCCTTGGAGTCTTCACCGTCTGGAGATTCACCCATTTCCCAAGCCACATACCCACCGAACAAAGATCTACAAGCGGAGCCACTACCTTTTCTTGCAATCTTACTGATCTCCGACAAGTCTTGAGGCAACTGGTAAAGCTTGGCAATAGAGAAGACCAAAGCAGCAAAACCGGCCGCAGAGGAAGCTAAACCAGCAGCGGTTGGGAAGTTGTTCTCGGAAACAATATGCAACTTATATTCAGAAAGCTTTGGTAAAGAAGCATCCTTATGTTCGACACCTTTTCTCAAAGTTCTTAAATCCTTCAAACAGGCTTGAGTTCTTTCACTGGACAAACTTTCCAACGCTCCATTCAACCATAATTGGTCTTGTTCGAAGTCAGCTGAACAACTGGCAGTAGTCAAGGTTCTTAAGTCATCTTGAGATAAAGTAACAGATATCGAGGAATTCGTTGGAAGATTCAAGGTCTTATCTCTCTTACCCCAGTATTTTAAAGTCTAAAGCGGTTAGTAAAGGAACAGCATATTGTTAACAGAGACTGAACTTACGGCGATGTTAACAGGGGCTGTGGCCGATGCTTGGTACACAGTCATGGTGGTGGATAGAGATACTTGAGTTTTTCATCGGGTTAAACGAGTGGTCGCGTATGGAGCGTGCACCGGACAAACTCCGATTGCAAAAATCACAACTCAGCTCAGTGGTGACCCACCAAAGCCTCGCCAGATTTATGAGATGGGGGTTACTTCTTCACAGTTTTATTAATACATAATTTCTAGTAATCTTTTCAAAAGAAAAAAAGATCAGCAGAAGAGGAAGGAATTCAAACCATTAACTTTTCATGGTCTTTTACTTATTTACTTCTTCGTCCACTTCCATAATCTGGCCTTACAATCACCAGATCCGGTTGCAAAAATACCTTCAGATCCCTTGGAGTTCAACGACACAGCAACCGAAATAACAGAGTTTCTGTGTCCTTGTAACATCAACAATGGGTTACCTGATAACCGGTCCCAGAAGATAACTCCTCTATCTTTTGAGCCAGATAAAATATACTCGTTGTTTGGAGTCGAGCAAACTGATAATACAAAATCCTTGTGACCAATGTACGTAACGTCGCAAGATGACTTTTTGCCAACTGATGAATTGTTTTCATTTTTACCTTGTAAATTCCACAACTTTACGGTTCTATCCAAAGATCCAGACGCAATTTGCTTACCGTTTGTTGAAAATGCCACCGAATAAACCGAATCTTCGTGTCCGTTACCTTGTTCGTTTCCACTATCCAAACGTTCAACCAAAAATCCTGTAGTGGAATCCCATACTCGCACGGTTCTGTCTAACGAACCAGCAGCAATCAATTGTCCATCAGGGGAAACGGCCACAGTAGTCACCCCATCTTCAATCAGTAAAGTTAAGGAACATTGTGAAGAACGCAAATCCCAGATTCTTACGGTTCTGTCACCAGAACCAGAAACGAGCCTGTTGCCATCGGGGAAAAAGTCCAATGAATAGATGTCTTGTTCGTGACCCCTCAAAATCTTAATGATTCTTTTGGTGGTCAAATCCCAGATTCTGATCAACTTATCTTCAGCACCAGTGGCCAAAAACTTTCCATCAGGCGAAAAACACACAGACCGGATATATAAATCACCATTGGCACTTGAAGCTGGTTGAGAATCCTTGGCCAGAGCAGCCTTATTGGCATCATCATTAACCCCATTGGAAGAGTTATCATCCACCAATTTCGCAACCAATTCACCGGTTTCAACGTTGAACACTTGGGTGGTCTTGTTACAACCAGTAGCGATGAATTCTCCGTTTTTACTGAAACGCACACAACACACAACTGATGAATGATTCAATGAGTGGATCAACTCCACATCGAAATCTTTCTTAAACGCTGGGTTGTATAATACATAATAGTCTTGCAATTGTTTTTTGAATTCAGAGTTGGCCTTGGAAACGTCAAGATCCGCCAAAAATGGAGGAATCTCCTTCACGTGTAGCGCCTTTTGAGCGGGATTGACCACATATTGCGAAGAGTCCACCACCGTCAATGCGGACGAAGACTCAGGAGCTGATTCTTCTTTAAGCTTGGGCACAAGCTCTGGTTTGACTGCAAGCTTGGGGTCGGCAAGAGCGGGCGGCACTGCAGCCTGGATTGGCTGAGGAATTTGGGGAGGAATGGCGGTAGGAGACTTGTGTGACACCTGTGGGGGAACCGGAGCCGCCACGGCAGCAGCACCGGCACCGGCTGGGTAGTATCTCAGGCCATTTGCCCGATCTCTATTCTCCAACTCGGTTTTCAACCTTAAAATCTCTTCTTCGTAGGCCTCCTTGATTTTCCTGTTGGCCATTTCCAACTCGTACACCGTCTGGCGGATTTGTTGCATTTCAGCCATTTGCTGGTTGCATTTAAGATCGTAGTCTTCTTTTACTTGCTTGAAGTTAGATGCTTCATTGAGGGCAAATTCAAACTCTTGTTTTACCGCGTCGAGCAATTCGCCCAATCGCTGTTGGTGCTGTCTCTGTTGCACCTGGGCCTGTTGAGCCTGTTGGGCCTGTTGGGCCTGTTGTTGAGCTTGTTGTTGAGCAACTGCTTGGGCTTGGGCCTGGGCTTGTTGTTGAGCCACGGCGGCCGAATTGGGGGTGTAAACTGACATGAGGGGGTGCTAGGAGGCGTCCACGTGACTCAAACTTCGGGGTTGTGGATGGAGGTACACAAGACAAGTTTGTGTGGGTCAGCTGGGGTGGATTTAAAAAAAGAACAAGTGATAGATTTTTTTAAAGGTCAATGTGCGAACGTCAAGCGTCCAGAAACGAGCGCCAGCCAGAGAAAAAAACTTGAAAGATCACGAAGCCGCGACATGCGACATGCGACATGACCCAACCATATAAGATACTACTGCCGGTCCACCTGTGGGGGGCCAGCCACAGACGGTGGGGTCGGGTCAGCGGCGTATACGGTCCCGGGACATCTACATATCCCAACACCTCATGGAAATATTTTGCCGGTATCGAGGTTTTAGATCTCTCGAGACTGAGGGTGTGATTTTAGTTTTAGTTGAAGAGTGTCGAGGGGAATGGGAGGTGCAAAACCGAAAAAAAAAACAAGCCGTAAAATTGGTTCCAGCATTGAAATGTCAGATTGCTTTGTGGCGGAGGAATGTTAACCAATCAGCGTAGTGAGATGAGGGAAGGATAGGGGTGTAAATGACCGAGCCGAGGGGGCAGGGGGTGCAAATCGCGGTGGCCTGAATAGACGGGGTTCACAACATGGGGTGCACGGTTCCCAGTAATGCCGCTAGAACGGGTGTTTGTTTTAGGTGATTTTCAAATTGCGCGGGGGCGTCGTCTACACCTCCTTTTTGAGCAGGTAATTCTACGACATTTTCTTGTGGGTCCGGCCACGACCGGGTGGCTCTGTTCACGTGAGTGCTCGCTCGGCCTGAAAATCATTCATTGGCAGGACATTAGATTACGCAGCACCCTTACACACAATGGTATATTTGGGCAATCACGTGTTCCGGGGCAAGAAGGCTCAACAGGCCTACGACAAGACCTTTGCCGGCAAATACCAACGGCTTCTCCAGCGCAACCATTTCTTGTACTTCGGACTTCCCTTTATGCTCTCGATTGTGGCTGGATCCATTTACTTGCAAAACTTCACGGCTGTGAAATGGGAGAAATACGACGCTAAGTACCGGCAATTGAATGAAGCCGAAATGCTCGATATGATTGAAAATAAGAGGAAAGTTGATAAAAAAAACGATTACTATCGATTACAGGGTTTTGTAGACGAGCAGAAGGATAATGACTTTGATTATGAAATGATCCGAGTAAAGAGAAAGAAGGAAGATGAGCCTGTATGGTGATTCACCTTCTGATCACCCCCGCATACCTTCGCATGGGCCCTTTAGGTATACTTATTTGGTGTTCACGCATTTTGTACATATATATTTTAATTGATACGATGAGATGAGATTTTTTTTCTTTGGGTTCATTCATACATAATGGTTTCCTTTAGTTGTGAGGTGTGTAACGATACAGTCATTAAGAAAAAGCTTGCACAACATCAGCAAAGATGCAGAGGTGCGTACTTTACTTGTATTGACTGTAACGTCACGTTCTACAACAATGATCACAATGCACATACCTCTTGTATAACTGAGGCCGAGAAGTACGAGAAGGCTTTGTATAAGGGCAAGAAGCTGCAAAAGCCTCTTGAGAAAAGGGAGGCCCCTTCGAGCCTGATGAAGGAAGAGAAGCCAAAGAAGGAAGAGAAGCCAAAGAAGGAAGAAAAGCCAAAGAAGGAAGAAAAGCCAAAGAAAGAGAAATCCAAAAAAGCAGGGAAACCCAAGGCCGAGCACAAGAAACACATCAACTCGAGTGTCGACGCTCTCAGTAGCTCTCTTAAAGTGAACAAGCCGATTAGCTTCAAAAAAGCCATCAAGGACCTCACTAAAGTCCAACAAAAAGAATTACTCAAGCAGTTGCATATTGTCAAAAATGCTGATGACTCCGTCAGCTTACACTTTTAGATATATACATCATAATACATAGCATCCGTATAACGTCTCTCCATTCATCGTGTTGCAATCTTGTTCAATGCCTTGTTCATCTTCGAGTAGAACTGACTTAGAGTGTGGTAGGGAAATGTCAAATTGTCACAAAAGTAGTCTGGTAAATACTTTTTCAACACGTCTTTATCATTATTATCGATCTTGAGAAACGATGGAATATAGTTCACCTCGGTGGCTGAAGAAAACTTCTTGACTATCACCAATCGATACTCCATACTGAGCTTGTCCACCCGGTCGACTGTGCTGGTCTGAAGGAGATCAAAGTAAAATTTATGATCGTCCAGCTCATGGTTCATCACCTTCAACCCCGTCAAAAGCTGGAGCATATCCAATATTACACCCACCGTATTCAATTCCTTCGTTATATCGTCTCGGTTGATTATCTCTTCATTAAGATTCTTCCTCTTCCTTATAGGCGAAATAAATAAGTCTTCACTGCTGTTAGACTCAGGCTTGGTAGTGTCACTTACGGTGCCCTTCTGCAACTCAGCAATTAAAGCGTCCTTGTCTTTGATTTCTTGCTGAAGTTTCAAGATAGCAAGCTCGTCTTCCTCTATTTTAAGTTTACTCTTCAACTTATATGTAGTGAATATTTCGTCTTGAGCAGTTCCAGTAAGATGGTTGATGAGACCAATGAGTTCTCCATTGTCATGAGCAGTAATAATCTCTTGGTGGGTAATTTTGTCTAACCGGATTGCAGTTGAGCTGGCAACACGCGTTTTCCCCGGTGTGATGGCTTTTTTGGCTGTAATTGGACTTGATCTGCCCTTTGTTTTACCATTTGGGGTGCTGACTTTCGTTACTTTATTTGTAGGTTTGGTGGGTGTTTTGGCCTTTATTGACGTGGAACTGGCGGCCAGCAGTGGCCTGGAACTAGGTTCGGGGTCGGAGGTCAACTCTTTCCGCGAACTGGCTCTTTTTTTATCGGGTCCTCTTGTTTGCACCATTTGTTTGTTTAGTGTTTTGTGAATAGAAATTCGCGCTTTTTGAAGATAGGACAGGCCCGGGCCACTTTTAGCGGTGCTCTCCCCCCCTGGCAGTAGACTTCGCGGAACCAAAACTAAATCTCAGGTACTTGGGCTCAGTTCCTTCACGCACTTTTGACATCCCAAGAAACCAATCCTTTAACAGTATGTCCTTTTCTGCTGAGAATTTTGAACGGAAACTCGCGTCCCTACAAGAGACCCAGGACTCGATCGTCTCGATTTCACAGTGGGTATTATTCCATCACAGGCACAGCAAAGAGATATGTGAGATCTGGAGCCAGTTCGTATTGAAACCCCATTTGAATTCTCAGAAGCGTTTATCATTATTATATCTTTGTAATGACGTGGTTCAACAGGCGAGACACAAACGGAAGCTCGAGTACATTGAAGGATTTGCCATCGTGTTACCTGGGGTTTTTGCCAGTATTTTCCATAAGTTGGATGGCCCTTTCAAACCCAAAGTTGAGAGAGTAGTCCGTGTATGGGACGAGAGACAGGTATTTTCAAAGACCCAATTGGATGCCATGAGAAAATCCCTCACCCATCCATCGTCAATAGCGACCGTATCAACACCCTCGTCGGAACGGAAGTCTTCTGATGCTATCGTCCCTGAACTTGGACTTTTGAATGATCTTTTGAAACACATGAATGAGCTAATAGACATCAGTCAGAACAACTTGAATCAAGTGGGAATCCAATCCAAGAAGTACTTACCCAACGATCCTTCTGTATCGGAGTCATTGCCATCGCCCAAACTCTACATATCAAAACTCAACAATTTGGAGAAGATGTGTCAAATGTCAAACCAGAACATAGATAGCATAAAAGATGAAAGACAAAAAATTTTAACGAATTTGAACAATTTGAAGAATATCATCGAGGAAGGCTTGAAGACAGACGAATCAAAGAAACATATCATTAACTCAAAGTTGTCAACTTTGTACAAAACTCGGAATGAGCTTGTAGAGATGGTTGCGGATGAGGAAGGTGAAGGCTCTACTGAGATTGTTTCTCCTTCTTTTGACTCCAATACAGCTAAGGTTGTCAATGATGAAGGAGAGCAGATGCCTTTCTATGACTCAAACGATAGTGACCTGGACTCGGCCCCAGCAAAGTATCAAGATACTGGAGCGTATACCACTTCTTCTGTGGCTAAAAGTGACGATGATGACAATGATATATTGCCCACATATGAAGACGATAGCGACTCTGCTGCTGAATTGGTGCCCACTCCTAGAGCTACTCCAGACTCGGAGGTGAAACTCCCACCCCCAAAGCGGTTCAAAAAGTCGAAGTCCAAGTCGGTAGCATTTTCTGAAAATATTGAAATCAAGGAGTATGATCGTGAAAATCAAACTGAGATTATCAAGATTATTAAGAGTGACGACGACCAAACTGAATTAGACGAAGACGATGAGTACGATGGTGGATTAAGTGATGACTTCCCATCCCATCATAAAGATGCAATTGAGTTGAAACACGAGGAGTCGGATAGAGAAGAGTCCGAATACGATCCTCAAGGCTCAGGGCTGAATGGCACATCAGTTTTAGATATATTATCAAAACTTCAATAATCTGTGTACTTTATTTATGTCTAAGCAAGCTAATACAAATTCTTGATGCAGGCATGAACTTTCTAAGGTTATGATACGTACGTACTTGTCTGAAGGGCTTAAATTGGTTTAGTAAATGAATGCCTTCATTAAGTCTGCTTTGGTTTGGAACACTTCGGCTGAGATCGATGGAGAGCCTCTTTAGCATATCGTCGTTAAATTTGGGGAGCTGGGTAGTAAAATGACTGCCTGCAATGGGAGATAAATCTGCAATCGAAGTACCCGACCCCAAATACACAAGATTCTTAGCTCTTGTCATTGCAACATATAAAAGTCGAGCCATAGAACTGGAGGTGTGTTCATCAGATGTTAGAAGGGCATCCCATGAGCCTCTTGTGTAAGGAGATGTTCCGATCACAAACACAATAGGAAATTCAAGCCCTTTGGAAGCATGGATAGTCGATATATTCACGGTGTCTGGAGAATTGTTTAGGACCTCTTCGTTATAATTCCGAAGAAAGTGCTTTACGAATGAATCACCTGTAGCCTCAAGAACACCTTTACTTTGATAATGGCTGTAACTGGACTTTAGAGACAATTCGAATTCCTTCAAGTGTTCGTTAAGTTCCTTCGTATACGAGAGACGCAAAGCATCCAAATCTGCTTCGTTGGTTGACTTTTTGATTCCTGTGGGTGTGTTGAGATAGTCTTTGAGTACCAGATTTTCTATCATGAAAAGTAAACTTTGGAGAACCATTTCAGGGGTCTGGGAAGCATAGTTCTGAGCCAATTGTTGTCTTTGGGTGCCAATACTCTCAAGAAAGGTATTGAATCGCTTGATAATTTTTTTATGTCTGGATGTCTTGTAAACTGTTTCAATGGCAAATCCTTTACGAACATTACCAATAGAGTTGGCAATTAGATAGTCTTCAAGAGAATCAGTCTTTAACCCTTCTTCTCGGCCCCAAGTCCGGCTTAGAGAGAAGATCTTGCTAATACGGGCTTTGCTTCCAAACTCGGTATCAAGGAACATCAAGATGCAAAGTAGGGGCAACTCACTACCTGAAGTTCTCTCGAGTGCATTCAATAGACTCAACATTATTTGCACTTTAGACTTGATCCAAGAGAGCGATGAATTTAATTTGTTAGACTTTATTCCGTAGTTATTGGCCAAAATCAGGCCAAAATCTTCGATCTCCTTATTGGATCTCGCTAGAACTGCAAAATCGGAAAGTTTGAACATACCTCCCAGCTCACAGCATAGTCTAATTATCTCTTGGATTATGAACTGATACTCTTCAGAAGGACTTTTGAATTCTTTTATGACTGGGGGATGGCTTGATTCCTTAACCGAATGTATACTTCGTGAAAGCACATCACTCTGAGGCACACAAACTTCAACTGCACATTTTAAGACCTCGGGCGTACATCTGAAAGACTCTTTTATAACAGAATGTTTCACAGTGAATTCAGGAAACTCTGGAAAATGGTGTTCGATTACTTTCATCATCTCAGGCTTCGATCCCAAAAACTCATAGATGCTTTGATTTGGATCTCCGGCAATACAAAGATGCTTTGTGGTGTTGAGGGCATGGCCTCGTGTGGGATATTTCACCACCTTCTCTATTATCGTCATCAATCCTTGGTACATGTCCTGGAACTCATCTACCACAACCACCTTGTAGTTGAAAAGTTGTTCGATAAACTCATTCTTTGCTAGAGAAACGTCAATCAACTTCGCCGCATTGTCGACTAAATCATGGTATCTTATTATCCCTGCTGTATCTAAGTATTCCATCAACGCATCAACATATTCATTATTCACCTTATACTTTTTGGCAGCATCCAGAGTGGAAAGTCGTTCTCCCCGTACTTCGGCAACCATTTGATCAAATGCCTTATGAGTTAGATGGCCTCCATAGGCATGGCCTCCTACTCGAGCGAAGGATCCCAACAATATAGATGAAGCATATTTCCAACTTAAGTCGTCTATAAGGTACCGGTTCTGTAGATGAGGAAGGTATTGTGACGCATTTATGTCAACTATCTTGGCACAAAACAGGTGGAATGTGCTAACATTTATCATATTTGTTGTTTCAGCCCCCAAGGATTCAGTGAGAGACTCTTGAATTGACCGTACAGATTTGTTGGCCATCGAGAGTACCAATATTTCTTTGGGATTTATTTGGTGGTTGTCGATCAAATGGCTGATCCTTCTTGTAAGGGTGAACGTTTTGCCGCTTCCAGGCCCTGCCATTACTGAGAGAATGCTATTATGAGTAGCGGGATCAGTTATAATGGCATTTTGGGATATAGTTACACGTCTATCTGGTGAACTCTCGACGTCCACTGCGAATGGTATGCGTTCTGTAGTATTTCTTATTGAGTCTACATCCCCGGAAAGGCTTGTTCGGGCCTCCATTAGGTGGTATATGTGAATTTGTCCTAGGATGCAAATGAATCTTTATCTGTGGCAGCGCGACTCTAATGAGGTCGCAATTTGTTGATACTTTTCATTTTGATTCAGTCATGGCAACTGCTTTAGACCTCTTAAAAGGGGTTTTAGGGACGTCCTCAGAACCAATTGCACAAGAAAGGGATCCTAAAACACTGGAATTAAAGAACTTAAGTAGCTTCCTTTCCCAGAAAGAATCTGATTCGGCACTCCTTTTGGAAGTTCTTCGAGCTGAGGCCACTAACAACAATGAACAAGTACTTCCTCTGAGGATCAATAACCTTAGTGACGAGGAATTGCTCTTCCTTACAAGTAAGTTTGAAGAATTTCTGATGGAGTTTCGGACTTTCAAACAAAAACTAGTCCCCATAGAGTTTGTACTTGAAAACTTCAATACCGAGCTCAGCCAACTATCGTCAAGTCTTGTTTCTCTCCACCAACAATCCAACCAACTTTCCCATAATCTCGATTCACAGAAAGGCACTATCGAGAAGTTGAATCCCATTATCGTTGACCTCATAATTCCTACGGACATGGTCCAGTCCATTCTTTCTGGCAATGTAGATGCCAGCTGGATAGAGAACCTTCGGTTCATCAATGAGAAGTTGATGTTGATCAAACAACTAGAAGAAGAAAAGCTCGAGGAACGTCTCATAACCTTGTACAAAGACTCTGAAGCATTCAAGCAGCTTAAGGAAGGTATAGACATTTTGGTGGTAAAGGCCACTGAACGGATAAGAGATTATATGATCATCCAAATCAAGCATTTAAGGTCTTCCACATCGGAATCTTCTCAAAAGATTCAACAGAATCTCTTGCTGGTGAAGGAAGCGTTCGCTTTTCTTAAGTTCCACCAACCAAAGCTTGCAGACCAGCTTCAACTAGCTTACTTTTACACTATGAGATGGTACTACGGCTCAAGATTCTCAAAATACCTTTATGCTTTACAGAAACTCAACCTACGGCATGTGGATTCCACTATGGTGCTAGGAGCTGACGGAGCTACTGGAACAGAGGACAAGTTGGGTTACATTGGTGGAGGTTTGAAGAGTTGGATATATGCTGGAGGCTCTAGTGCTAATTCTCAGTCATCTCCAACATCGTTTCAGCATAATAAAGTCACTCTTCTAGAGTATTTGGGCTCGGTAGATAAGCGTCTTGAAATCATCAACACGAACTTAGAAGACCTTCATAAGTCAGCCATGCCAGCCCAAATCGCGGAAACAACACCATTTGGCTACTGGGTTGAATTTGTATTCAACCAATGGTTTACCGCGTTACTCGACAACGTTGTGGTGGAATACCTTTTCGTGGTGGAATTCTTCTTCCAAGGAGAAGAAAAGTATCATACGGTGGAGTTTTCCAATCCAGTGACAGGAGAACCAGAGAAAAAAGATTGGTCTTTGTTGATGTTCGACAATGTCTACAAAGTTGGCAGAGAGTTTCTTAGTTGGCTAATCACACATATGCCTTCGATTTTTCTGGCTGCAAATAGAGCATCCACTACTTTAAATTCCTCCAGAATGACCCATACGTTCCAAGGAAGTTGTGATGTATACGCATTACTTCTCATGATCCGGATCATTCAAACATCACTGATCCAATTACACAACCAATTCCATATTCCAGTTCTTGAAGACCATATTAACTCGTTATTATTAATTTTGTGGCCTCAATTCACCCGAGTTATTGACTTGAACTGTGATGCAATGAAGAAAACTATAATCAGAATAGGAGGAAACAAAGGTAACCTTGCTCCATCGTCTTTAACACAACAATTTGGACAAATGCTCCTGGGATTGTTGAAACTCAGTATCATAGATGTTGATGGTACCCGCAAGATTGAAACTTTAAGAGGAGAACCTCTTTACACTTCTATTACAAGATTGAGAAATGACTTTGAGAATACATTAACCAAAGTAAGCAACCAGGTGAAGAACCCGACTGACAAAGAGATCTTCTTGTACAATAACTACTTTCTAATTGTCAACATCTTGAAGAATGAAAACCAGGATACATCCAATGACTTTATTAATGAGCAGATAGACCATTTTGAAAAGCTCTGCAAAGCCTACGAGAATTCCTAATCTAATGCACATATACTTCATATATCACAAATCTTGGCCAACATCCCACATAACTGTAAGTATGTAGAAACACCTTCAAGAACACGCATATGAGTGAAGCCGATTTCCTTTATCACTTCCAATCTTTTCAGTTCATTGATATCGGGAAGCGTTTTTGCAACCTTGAAAGCCAGGGTAACGATATCAATTGCAGAGTATCCTTTGACCCATAAACCGTCTAGTAAATCGATGGCATTATCTATGTCTTGGCTGCTGCAGCAACTTCTAAGCATCTTTCTAATCACTAAAGGATGAGGTTGGTCAACAATTTTGAATACGTTTACATCATTAACCATACCAAACCCTGCAACTGTGCTCTGTAAATTGTTGATGGCTTGTCTCATATCACCTTCAGCTGTGAATATCAATGCTTGAAGACCCTCGGTGTTGAACTGAACGTTCTCAAGCTTGCACACTTCCAACAATCTCGTTAATACTTGATCATCAGCAAGCTTATTATACCTTAGGATGGCACACCGCGATTGTAATGGTTCTATTATCTTGGAAGATTGATTACAAGCAAAGGCAAATCTGGTAGTATTGGAATAAATTTCCATTGTTCTTCTTAACGCTTGCTGAGCTCCAGGTGTCATAGAATCAGCTTCATCCAAGATGATAATCTTATGTCTGCCCGGAGGCAATTGAATTTTGGTTTGAGCAAATTGCTTGATTCTGTTACGAACAACATCAATACCTCTATCATCAGAAGCATTCAACTCTAAGGTTGCCAGTTTATATAATTCTGGTCCTAGAAGTTCGAGTGCCAAACAATGAATAGAAGTGGTCTTTCCAATCCCTGGCAATCCAGAAATAATCATATGAGGCATGTTACCATCATTGGCAATTAACTTGAGTCTTTCAACCGTTTCCTCATTTCCAACAATGTTATCAAGCTTATGAGGTCTGTACTTTTCAACCCAGGGAAGTTCCAAGGTCAAAGGGGACTCTTTGGTCATACTAATGATTGTTCTTTAAACTAAGATCGAAAATTTTACGCGTTTTATTTTTCAGCAGGCTAGTCGTAACACATTAATTAAAATCTTTAAGTAGAGTCTAATAAATTTAATTATTTTTGAGGCTTCTTTTTCGAGGAGCTGCCAACAGGTGCCGATGTGGAAATGAGTTTGATCAATGGAGACTTGAAATTACCCCTTTTCTTCAAAATCGGCTCCAAAAAGGGAATTTGCACCTCTGGGACACTATTATACAAGTCAAAAAACCCTTCAACTCCAGGAGCGTTGCCTGTAACTGACAATATTGAAAGGTCATTTATCCCTGATGCCTGTGAAAGTCTATCAATGGCCCCTTTGGGAAGCTGAATAAGTTTTATCGTATGATGGGAATTTCGAAGAGCCGTATAGGTCAACACTGGAAAGTGCTGAGTCAATATGCTGGGGATGATATCATACCTGCAAACAAATACGTATCGTATTTGTTTGTCTGCATCGGGGTGCTTTGTATTGGCTTGACGTTCCAATGCTTCGGTGGTAGGATTGAATCCAAATGTAAACCCATCCAAAAACTTGGGCATTGGTGCACCTTTTGCGGTTATATTCTTATGATATTGTCCAACTGGTGTTAGTAACACCTCAAGTGACTCAACAACATGAGATCCCAATTCAGGTTCGATAAATGGCCATTGTATTTGAGTAAACGGATTATCAAGCACCGGTTTGAATACTTGTTTTTTCCTCTTTTCTCGTTCTTTCAAGGAGTTCCCGGTTGGTTTGGTCACCTTCTTACCATTCGAGTTTCCAGTCTTCGACTCTGACGATGACAGATCGGGAGGATTCGGTGCTTGGGTCCGTTTAGACTTAGATGACATTTAGTTTCCGTTGAAAAATCTTTCGCATCTCTTACTGCTGCAAAAGCTGCTGCGAAAAGCTACGGGAGAGACCAACAGTCGAAACGTATCTTTTATTGAACCTTACTTGGATCTGGACTAAACAAATTTACAAAGCATACAACGGCAAACTCAAGCATCACGCACTCTATTCTTCTTCATCTTCCTTCTTAGCAGCACTTGGAGAGTAGGTTGGGCTTCCAGGTGAGTATGATGGGGATGTTGGTGAGTAAGAAGGTGAGGTAGGAGAATAGGATGGGGATGTTGGTGAGTAGGAAGGTGAAGTAGGAGAATAAGAAGGACTCGTAGGCGAGTACGACGGACTGGTTGGTGAGTACGATGGACTCGTTGGTGAGTACGATGGACTTGTTGGTGAGTACGATGGACTTGTTGGTGAGTACGATGGACTCGTTGGTGAGTAAGAAGGACTCGTTGGTGAGTATGATGGACTCGTAGGCGAATAAGAAGGACTGGTTGGAGAATAAGAAGGACTCGTAGGCGAATAAGAAGGACTTGTTGGTGAGTACGATGGACTCGTTGGTGAGTACGATGGACTTGTTGGTGAGTACGATGGACTCGTTGGTGAGTAAGAAGGACTCGTTGGTGAGTAAGATGGCGAAGTAGGAGAGTATGAAGGACTCGTTGGCGAGTACGAAGGTGATGTTGGAGGATACGATGGACTCGTTGGACCTCCTCCATAACCTGGACTCGTGAGACCTGCACCACCATAGCCTGGACTGGTAGCACCATACGAGAATGGTGATGTTGGAGATGGGGAGGTAACTCCACCATAAGACGTCAAACCTCCAGAACCTTCATTAACTTGGGCAGTATGGATTGGGGAAAATCCAGCAGCACCTTCGTCAAATCCTTGAATCTTATCATCTTCCATACTATAATCCTTGTATGGAGTAGCACCACCTTCAAAGTCTTCGAGGCCTCCATTGGCATCAGCACCTTTCAACATCTTGTCATCAATCATGACATCAAAAGCACCGGTTCCTAATGGGGCCATTTGACCCAACATAACGTTCTCAGAAATACCTCTACAGTCATCCAATTCAGCAGCCGAAGCAGCTTCAAGTAAGATTTCGACAGTCTCCTCGAAAGAACAACGCATTAAGGCCCCTGTATCATTTCTGTTTATACCATGACGAGTGATGGCCATCAAGTGACCACGAGAAGTCATGACATCCACCAATAAAGCCATATGACGGTAGTTCACATACGAACCATCAAAAGCAATAACGTTCAAGATTTCCTTATACAAGGCCGACCTGGTAGCTTCAATTCCCAACACGGAAAGAATCTCAATAAAGTTGTTGGAGTAAGTCCGGGAAGAGTCAACACCTGGAATGCTCATGACATCAGCCAAGTTAACACCATCGGTCTCCAAAACCCATTCTTGACCTTGTTGGAATTCTCCGGCATCATCCACATAGTTGACCTTATGTTGCATCATGAACACCCTAATGATACCCGGAATACCTCTCAAAGAAATCGATTCTAACATATGACTTTCAATTCTCTTCAATATTTGATCTTCCTCGGTGTCTTCATCATCCAAAGACTTGGGGTCTCTCACAACTCTACATCTGATGATCAACTTGTCAGCCGTATCGTCAGACCAGATGACAAACAAATCTTCACCAAAGTTTTGAGAAATCTTCTCAGCAACTTGAGACATAGTCAATTGTTTATCCAACATCTTTGCTCTATCCAATTCAAGACGAAGAAGCCACGGTGATTGTTTTTCAATAGATTCTTCAACCTTTTCATCGGGAATAGCAAAGTAAGCTTCCACAGTATCATAATCTTCTTCAATAACCGTACTTCTTGGATCAGGGTCGTAGAAAATTTCGGTGGCAGAAGTAACATTCTTCAACGTAGTATGTTCAATCGCAGACTGAACAACCTTGGCCTTTTCAATATCTTCAGCTATATCTTGTTGTAAGTAAACAGTAAGAGCCGGAGTCTTTATGTTCTTGGCAACGTTCAAAATTTCCTTAAGACGAGGAACACCCAATGTCACATTCTTCGATGACACACCGGCATAATGGAAAGTGTTCAATGTCATCTGAGTGGCAGGTTCACCAATAGATTGTGCAGCAATAACACCAACCATTTCACCGGGATGAACTGCAGATTTTTGAAACTGGTTTTCAATTTCACCCATAACCCATTCAAACGAAACCTTGTTCAATTTGAACTCTTCGATAATACGACGCGAGGCAAGTCTAGAACGAACTAAACATTGGAACAATAAAGTGGCATTTTCTTGAGCTTCCTTGGCGAGAACAGAGTCACCTCTAACAACAAGAAGATTGTTACAAAGTTCCCGAACTCCCAAAATAATTTCATCTAACTTCAAGTCAGAAACCTTTTGTCTTCCAGAATGGAAAATCTGTTGAGCATTTTGGATAATACGACGCAAGTTCACAGGAAGTGGCCAACTAGAATCACCTGTTGGGAAACACACTTCACGTAAGTATTGACGGTCACTCTTCAATTGAACAAATTCTTCATCAACAAGTCTTTGTAACTCAACATCACCTTTGATCTCCTTGGCTGATTCGATAGCAAGATCATCCTTAAGAAGATCGATCTTATATCTCTTTTCGAAAGCAATGTCGCCACCTGGAATAGTGTCAACAGATTGCTTTTCAACTTGTGTACCGTCCATACCATCTTCACCGTAAATGAATTGAATGATATCACCTAAAGAGTTTCTGGTAGTACCATCATAGTGCACCATAATATCTTCCAATGCCTTGACTAAACGACGTTGGATATAACCGGTTTCGGCGGTCTTCACGGCGGTATCGATCAACCCTTCTCTACCAGCCATAGCGTGGAAGAAGAATTCTTGAGGGGTTAAACCTCTCAAATACGAGTTTTCCACAAACCCTTTAGATTCAGGTGAATAATCATCCTTGGTGAAATGTGGTAACGTTCTATCAGCAAAACCGAAAGGAATACGTTTACCTTCAACAATTTGTTGACCAACACAAGCAGACATTTGAGAAATGTTGATAAAGGAACCCTTAGAACCGGAGGTCACCATTTGTTTGACGTTATTTAAATCTTTCAAACTCATTTCTGCGGAACGACCAGCGGTATCTCTGGCTTGATTCAAAACTCTGGAAACATTATGTTCGAAAGATTCTCTTAAAGTCATACCTGGTTCTGGTTCTAACTTGTTCTGTTGAGCATTCAATATGATTTCTTGCACCTTAGTCTTTGCATCTTCGATCGTCGTTGTAACAGCCTTCATAGTATCTGAATCGGCAATTGTATCACCAATTCCGATAGAGAAACCGTTGTGGAGTAGCCAGAAGTTAACCACTTTCTGAATATTACTGAAAAGCTGTGCACACATCTGAGGACCTTTTTCTCTCATAACAGTGTGGATTAAACCTCCACCAGTTGCACCCACAGTCTTCTTGTCAACAACTCCGAACATTATTTCACCATCAACAATCAACATACCATTGTCATTAGGACTCGACAAACTACTTTCCAATCTTTGTAAGTGGATTCCCTTTGGAATAGCCATAGAAAGTAATTGCTTACCGGTCCACATAGGTTTTGGTTTAACAACGGCTGGAGGGGGGATAACTCCATCCCAGTCAGGAATCCAATATAACATATTCATAACTTGATCGTATTCAATGAAGTTGTCACGTAAAGTCATTTTACGAATACCACACAAAGTATCTTGTACAATACCCATGACAGGCTTGTTTGATTGTGGAGAAACAATTTGAAGTGGAACGGCACAAATTTGGGACAACTCAGCTCTGGTTTCAGGGGATTGTGGAACATGTAAATTCATTTCATCACCATCGAAATCAGCATTATATGGAGAAGTGACGGACAAGTTCAACCTGAAGGTTGAATAAGGCATAACCTTAACTCTGTGAGCCATCATAGACATCTTATGAAGAGATGGTTGACGGTTAAACAAAACTGGATCATCATCCATTAAATGTCTCTCAACCTTCCAACCATATTGCAAAGCAATATCACCAGCTCTTTTGTTATATCTTAAATCGATACGATCACCACTATCTCTGATAACGTATTTTGCACCTGGATGCTCATTTGGTCCGTTTCTGACAAATTCAGTTAAACGGTGAATATTAAAAGGAGTAACAATTTCGGGATAACTCAAAGTTCTTGCAATAGAAAGTGGAACCCCAACTTGATCTAAGTCCAAGTTTGGATCACCAGAAATAACTGTACGAGCCGAAAAATCCACTCTCTTACCCATCAAGTTACCTCTAAGTCTTCCTTCCTTACCCTTCAATCTAGCTCTGATGGATTTTATTGGACGACCAGTCTTTTGTAACGCTTGCGGTTGACCTGCAATATCGTTATCCATATAAGTAGCCACATGGAATTGAAGTAAAGCTTCAAATTCACTAATTACATGTTGAGGCGAGCCATCCATTTCAAGACGCTCAACATTGATATTCGCCTTAAGAACGTCAGCAAGCTTAAAAGTTAAATCATCCTCACCTCTCGCAGTATCATTGAAAGCAATAGAAGGTCTAACAGGTGGAGGAGGAACTGGCAAGACAGTAATAAGCATCCAATCGGGCCTAGCATAATCTTCGTTGAACCCTAATTTGAGACAGTCAGCGGAACTAATATGACGGAATACGTTCAAGATTTCGGTTGGAGATAAAAGACGTCTTTCGGGTTGGTCTTCACTTTCAGATGACTTACCTTGCTTCCAAGTACCCCAAAGCTTTAAACCATCTCTACGAACAGTAGGCTGAGCGTGGCCACAACCACCTCTACCTGTATTCACCGAAGCGTTTTCACCGTCATCCTCAGGGTCAGCTTCACAAACCATTTTGGTTTTACAAACAGCCCAAACAGCGTTGAATCTTCTTTTTGGGTCTCTGATTTTGATGGCTTGAGCCATGGCAGCATTGGATTCATCAAGCAACAACTTACCACAGTGCATGCAAACACATTCACACACCTTTTTGATTTTGGCAATGAATCCAATATGGAACACCGGCTTGGCCAATTCAATATGACCAAAGTGACCTGGACATTCCGCCATGTCTTCACCACAAGTTTGACACTTAAAGTTTCTATCAATCGAACCTAACCGCGGATCGTTCAACCCACCTTCTCTTGGTTTTTTGGTAGACTGGTCAATTGTTTCTGGATACTCGATTTTGGCCACTGAAATAGCTCTGATTTCTTCAGGGGATAACAATCCAAACTGAACTTCTTTGACAGCCCTTAGGGGAGCACTGGAAAATGGGAACTCTCTGCTCATTGTAGGGGATGGATTTGGTTATTTTTTTGTTGGATTTTGGAGTTTTTTTTTGGGGATTGTTTATAAATATGATTATGAGATCTATCAAATGGACAAGTATATTACAGAATTTGGGATTAAATTGGGGATGGATGGGGCTCAGATGCAATCAAGTGAATGAGTGCCTTCTATTTCTATGGTACCTTGGCTAACTAAATGATTGATTCCACTTAGATGGCTTGAAGGAAGAAATGAGCTGGGTAAGGTTGGATTTTTCAATTTTTCAGAGAGGCGAGCGTGCTTGATAGTCGCGTGCTACCGACTTCGCACTGTGGTGCTGAGAGTTACGCCGAGTCTTCCGTGGTTCGCTACTGGAGCTAATGGGATGAAGGTATATATTAGGTGTTACTTACGAGAAGAACTTCGACATGGCCTTCTTTTCTTTATCACGACGGGCCTTGGTGGTGGCCCGAACGTCACTCAACCCCTTAATAATGGCCCCATCTTCAGGTGCATATTTAAGAGCTTGTTCCAAACTGATTTTAGCAGCTTCTTCGTCCTTCAACAATAATTCCCCCATACCTTTTCTATAAAGAGCTTTAGCCAAAGACTTTTTCTTATCCACTTCCTTCTTTTCTTCGGTAATTTCGTCAATAGCTCTGGTGGCATAATCTACGGTCTTTCTACCTGATTTCAACTTCAACGCTACCAAAGCCGCATTCAAGTATAACGATTGCTTGAGTTCGTGAACAGTCTCCAACTCCTGTTCAGAAAGATCTTCAGGGAAGTATTCTTCAAGAAGCCCGGCGGCCTTGGTGTACTTGGCAAAAGAAACGTCCAAGTTTCCTGCCTTTAATTGGGTGGTTCCAATATCTTTTATGGCCTGAACGGCCTTGAAGACGGTTTCAGGCTTTGTAACATCGATGCTACGGTTGTCCTGCAAGGCTTCTTCGTATATATCTCCAGTTCCATCGTCGACAGGAGTTGGTTCATAGTCAGCGGGTAATTCTCCACTGTCAGCGATGATCCAGTCGTCCACGGGCTTATCATTCTGGCCCTTTTCACACTTTTCAAGCTTTCTCACCACGGATTTGCCTTCAATAACTTCACCAAATACCACATGCTTGCCGTCTAAATGGGGTGTTGCCACAGTGGTGATGAAGAATTGGGACCCGTTCGTGTTGGGACCAGCGTTGGCCATTGACAATAAAAATGGCTTGTTGTGGACCAATTTGAAGTTTTCATCTTCAAACTTGGCTCCGTAAATGCTTTCACCACCGATTCCAGAGCCGTGGGTAAAGTCACCACCCTGGCACATGAAGTCTTTGATCACACGGTGGAAAGTGGATCCTTTGTAGTGAAGAGGAATACCAGACTCAGTTTTGCCCTTCTCTCCAGTACAAAGAGCTCTGAAGTTTTCGGCAGTTTTGGGAACAACGTCATCGTAGAGCTCAAATACGACTCTACCCTGGGGTACTCCGGCAGAGGAAATGTCGAAAAATACTTTGGAACGGGACATGTTGGGTGAATATTCAAAGAAGCGATTGCTGCAAGCTTTATATTTTTCAACCGATTTTCTAGAAGGTTAGTGCGAAGGTGGGTTGGATAGGCGAATAGTGAGAGTATTCCGAATGAGAGTATTGTGATCTAGAATATTCCGATTGAGGGTATTCCGATCTAAAGTAATGCTAGTGACGAGTTGAACTATCTGGGTACTGGATTACATGATGTTTGTCATGACTTTTGTCCTTTATCGCTTTTTGCAGTAATCAAAAATATCGCCAAATTCACCTATTTAATTTTAGTTACCCAACAGTCCTACATTTATACATAATTTATGGAAATTTTATAATACAATAACTCAAATACCATTTCTTACCGGATCGAAATACACATGTGCCATGGCCTCCTTGGCAGTCAATCTCTCTTGGTGATCAAACTTCAAGATCTTGTCAATAAAGTCCAAGAACTCCTCGCTCACAAGATGCCTATTATCGGAGTTGACAAACTTGGTCCATGGCTTTTTGTTGTAGAACCCCAAGTCATCAAACTCCTCAGCCAACTTCAAGTTGTACTTCTGTAAATACCTTTTGAGGTCTTCTGACCCCAACACTCGCACTATTTGAACAAGCTGGTCGGAGTTCAGCTTGCCAAAGAAAAACGGCTCCTTCTTGAACACCATCGCTGCCAACGTACATCCCAAACACCATAAGTCGAGGGAATAGTCATAATAACGGAAGTCAAGAAGTAACTCTGGACCTTTGAAATTTCGGGTCGCCACTCGCACATTGTACTCGGTACCAGGATGGTAGTACTCTGCCAACCCCCAATCAATGAGACGGAGTTTCCGTTGAGGATGGTCTATCATAATATTATTAGGTTTAACGTCTCGATGCATAATGCCCATCAGGTGACAGTAGTCCAATGCCTTGAGTAGCTCAAGCATGTAGAATCGGATGTCGAGGTCTTTGAGAGTTGGATATAACGTCCGATGGTCAACGTTATTAACGTATTCGAATATGATGGCAGGGGTTTTCAGGGCTGGATTCTTGACGATATCATGGACACCGATAATGTTGGGTCCCTGGCAAACATTTTTGAGAATCGATATTTCTCGTTTGATTTTCTTCTTCTTGACTGGCTTAAGCACCTTTATAACACAGTAACTTCCGTTGGTGGTTTCAACCCCCAAAAACACTTCAGAATATTTACCCCGGCCAATTCGGTTCAAAATCTCGTAGGAATCGGTGGGATTCCAAGAGAGTTGGAAGCTATCGTAGTCCCAGTATGATTTGGGTTTGGATGCTAGCACATCCGTGTATACTTTGGAGTGGAACTTGGTCATAAGGGTAAAACGGGATGAAATGTATGTGAGCGCGCCTTTGTCGAAATTAGCCCCAAAACGAGCCTTCACTAAAATGACACAATCGCAGCTTCGCTACAAAGACAAAACTATTACAAAGTTGTGCTACAAAGTTGTACCACAAACAGGAACCCAAGACTCTTCGTCTATTAATTATTAACTACTTCCCGACACTTTAGGCCTTAGGTCTCACGGGATCGAAGTATGGATGGTCCATAGCTTCTTGGGCTGTTAACCTTTCCTGGTGATCGTATCTCAACAACTTATCGATCAAGTCCAAAAACTCGTCGCTCACCAAAGGCTGATTAGACTCATTGATGAATCGTTTCCAAGGTCTTCTGCTGTAGTAACCCAAATCCTCGTACTCTTCGGTCAACCGCAAATTGTACTTCCTCAAGTATTTGTTTAAGTCGTCAGATCCCAACACTCTGACAATCTGCACAAGTTGATCGGTGTTGGACTTGCCGTGAAAGAATGGCTCTTTTTTGAACACCATAGATGCGAACATGCACCCATAAGACCACAAATCGAGTGAGTAATCATAATACCTAAAATCCACCAACAACTCAGGTCCTTTGAAGTATCGAGAGGCAACTCTGGCATTGTACTCGGTACCTGGGTGGTAATACTCCGCCAATCCCCAATCAATGAGCCGGAGGGTCTTGGTGTCGTAGTCAATCATCACATTATGAGGTTTGACGTCTCTGTGCATAATTCCCATCAGGTGGCAGTAGTCTAAAGCTTTGAGCAACTCAAACATATAGTACCGAATATCATAGTCGGTGAAGGTTGGATACAATGTTCTAAAATCGATGTTGTTGACATGTTCAAATACCAAGGCCGGGGTTTTCAGTTGGGGTTCTCTGACAATATCCAACAACCTAATCACATTTGGACCGTCAACCAAGTTTTGTAAAATGGAGATTTCCCGTTTTATCTTCTTCCGCTTGACGGGTTTTAGTACCTTAATAACAACCTTACTGCCTTGTGGAAGCTCCACTCCTAAGAACACTTCAGAATATTTACCTCTACCCAACTTTTTGATGATCTCGTATTTATCTTGAGAGTTCCACTTGAGCACGACATTCTCGTAGTCCCAGAACCCTTGGGGTTTGGTCAGCAACGCATCGGTATAAACACGCGATACGGATGACATGGTGGGTGTGTTTTTTTGTGTTTGTAATTGAGCAAATTGTTTAAACAGGTAAGCGCTGTCCGACTTTAGGATGAGGACTAGAACAATAGCAATGAATGGGATTAAAAACCACTGATGTGTGAGTCTGAATACTACCGGGGACACCGTGGCGCTGTAGTTTTAGTACAAAGCTGTCGATGTATTGGGTCTTTTAATTTGACCCCAATGTCTCACCAAGTGCACGATGTGAGGGTTTTTTGTGAAGATGCCAATAGGCGATGCGCGGGTCGGTTCTATTGCAAATCGTTGACTTGTCAAACATTAAGCTACAAAATTATAAGGTTACCTTGGCAAATTGGTTCACAAGAGAAGGCTCTTGCTCTTTTCTCCTTCTAGACACCTTCGTATTAGAGGCATCATCGGAGGCTTTCTGAAGTCTTTTCATTTCGTCATTTTTCTTCATCAACTTTCTTCCTCCCTTCTCCAACTCGTAGTTATCAAGGAAATCATCAAGCATGTCTTCAAAGTCATTTCTTTCGTCTTCCATACGGAATTCCTGGTACTCCTCCGGAGCTTCGTCTTTCTCAAAGTCCTTTGCGAGCTTCTCAAATCTATCATCCAATAATGTCAACCCTTCTGAACGGAAAACAGCAGAAGAGGACATGGAAAAAGACGAGGTGTCGGTCATAGCACCCTTTTTCTTTCTTAGCTTGGTACCAGACTTCTTTACTCGGGCCATTTGTGGTAGCTCTTTCAACTCCGGCAATTGGTCGTTTTCTTCAAAGTCATCTTCAAAGTCATCATCTGAGTCATCTGAGTCATCGGAGTTATGATGCGTCTGCTTAAACCTCTCAAAGTCCTTCTCCCAGGCAGTATTTAGCACCACATTCTTGGCCGTTTCCGGGGCTTCACCTTCATTGTAGGGTAATTCATGCCGTTCCAAATCACCCACTTCGTATGGTGTTCTGTCCTGGTTGTCACTGTCATACTGGTCAAACTCATCTTGGTAGTTGTCCATATCCCACTCATCGTACTCCTCTTCAGGTATATCGGCCGCTGTACCGGACTTTAAAATGTCATTGAAAAAATCATCATCATCCTCACCGTCCTCAATATATGCTTCATCTTCTAACGCTTCGAGTGTTTCTCTCAACCGGGGGTCCATGTTGGGCTTGAATCCCTGAAGCTCACGGGGAATGTTTTCCATATCGGCCTGGGTGACTTTTTTCCCCGTTTCTGAAGGTAATTGATCTTTTAAAAGCTCCATCAAATCCTGTTGCTTGGGCTTAGGCTTTGGAGTATCTTTTTTGGCAATGAACACCGCATCCTCCGACTGACCAATAGGTTTCAAATGCTGCATGTAGTCATACTTGGAATCATCATAATAGATTCCGTACTGGGCGGCCAACCCTTCATTATCCCTTACGGACTGTGCCTCATCTCCTAATGTGGCCTCGAGCTCACTTAGAGTATTTGCCTTAGTGGGTTTTTGCTTGCCCCCTACCGGCACAAGAACATGACGAGACGCATCGTTGTCGAAATAGAGCTCGTCATCATGTGACCTGTGCACCACCGAGAACGTCGTGGCGTTCTTCTTATCAAATCTTCTTCTAGGAGCCATGGTTGTAGTTTACAAAGTCATCGCGAAAATAATTTATGTCGTACTGTACAATCCATCTATAAAAATGTCGCGGCTCTAATGATCATGACGATTCATCAGTTCAGCAATGATGTGTTCCCAGTTGCTGTAGTAGATCACATATCCTTCGGAGGCAGCGAGAAAAGCTACTCCCGAGATCAACCCGATCCAGAGGCCTTCAACTCCGTATCCCATGGGAAATGCTAAAAGGTACCCAATGGGTAATGCCACAAAATAGTAGGAAGCGATATTCAAAATCGATCCGATCCGTTGTTTTCCTTGGCCACGAAGTACCCCTGCACCCAACACATTGAACGAGTCTGCAAGTTGGTTGATGGCAGCAAGTCCAATTAATCTACTGGCAATGTTGATAACTCCGGTGTCCTTGGTGAAAACACCAGCCAAAAAGGTCTTTCCAAAGAAAAGAACCGTGAAATTGAAGCAAGAAAGGAAGACTCCAAGGACTAAGAACACCTGAAGCACACGACGTGCCCCACCGATATTGTGGGAACCCACGTAGTGTCCTATTCTGGTGGTGATGGCTACGGCCACTGCGAATGCAAGTTGAAATGCCAAGGATCCCACGTTCAGGGCAATGGACTGAGCAGCTAACGAGTCGGTTCCGAACGAAGCCGCGAGAATTGTTAACACTTCAAAGGCCAAATATTCTGCCTCCACCATGATAACTCCGGGAAGGGCCAATTTGAGCATAGGGATCCAGTTGATGGTGGCTTTCTGCCAATCAAACCCGTTCCAGCATTTGCGACCATCCACAAACACAATGTATCCAATCATTAGAAGCGTCATAAGCCAATAAACAATCGAGACCGCAATTGGGGCTCCGATATACCCTAAACCGTAGGTGGGGCTCCAGACTAAAAGATAATTCAACAAAATATTGATGGGAGCCACAATCATAAGGATGTATGTGGCAGCATGGAAAATATGCTGTGCTTGCAAGAACCGTTTTCCCGTCTCGAAAAGGAACAAGCCCGGGGTTCCAAGAGTGCTGATACGCAAATAGAGCTGGGCCAACTGGGCCAACTCAGCATCACCGACCAAAGGTTCCAAAATACTGGCTGAAAACCACCAGATTATGCTCAAAGGAAATATTGTCACTACAAGGATCATAAGCGAACACCGTTGGAAGTAAACTCCTACGTTGTGGAGGTCTCCAGATCCAAATGCCTGCGAACACAACGAATCTAAACTGGTGGACATTCCCTGATAAACCGCCAACCCGGTGATATTAAAGGTACAAACCGCCAAGGACGCAGCAGCAAGCTCTTTGGGTCCCAACTTGCCTGCGGCGAAAATGGTGGTTACTGATAATAAATATTGGAGGAAGAAGCTGACAATAAGAGGACCGGAGGAATTGACCGTGAACTTGAATTCTCGTTCAAAGGTGGCTTCTGGTCCTAAAAGTGTGACCTCCAGCTCTGCAGCTGCGTAAGTCTCGAAGTCTCCATTCAAAAGCCGTTCTTCACTCATGGAGGACAAAATATGATATGAGACAGGTGATATTGAGATGGATATTTAAGCAGAAAACCAAATTCCGCGCTCGTCCCAGGTCCAAAACCAGTGCCAAATAGGCAGGAGGAAGCGGAAACACCATGATATGACTATTCAGCAGAAAACATACACGGTGTTATCGGTGTAGAAACTCTGAAACTTTTCCAGGGCCGCCGGCACGGGGATCTTGAGTTTGGGAGATATTTTGTATTGGTCACATGTAGACTCGAATATGAGGTGGCCACCTTCATATGCCAACTTAGCGTAATTGTAGGGAAGATTCGACTCAATTTTCACGAGAAACGTATAGTCTTTTCCTTGAAGGCTCTGGAAGCTCACAGCATTCGATACTCGTGTGGGCGGTTTCTGTGTTTGTGGAGCTGAACTTGTTTGTGCTTTCGGTTTCGGTGTCAGTTCGATCTCCTCTATCAAGGGCCGTTTTACAGGAGCTTCAAGAACAATATTACCGGCGAGATCGTTGTCCTTCAAACCCCCTCTTATTTCCTCGATCAATGCCAAACTCTCGTTGTTCTTCAAATCATGAAGCTTCTTCTGCAAACCCGTGTCAGTCAAATCAGACCGCTGGATTTCAGTGGCACTAAGCTCACCCTTATTCATCATCTTTGGCATCGTATACTGCCGGTCAAGTACTATGTCGTACAAGATTTCCACTGCTTCCATGCACCACTCGTTCAAGATCGACTTGAGGTTAGAGTCAATTAAACACCATCTGAAACACGTATCATTGATACAGCAGTCGTAGCAGAAAGACTGCTGTCCCTTCTTATCCGTCACAGCCTTTTCACGTGACACAATGATGGGAATTTCCCATTTGTTATCTACTATTAACGGGAACACCACTGCTGGATCAAACGCAAGTGGCGGTTGTGGGACCTGAGGATCTTGACACACATTGATAAATACCTTAGAGCTGACGACGACCGTCTGTGAGGAGGATTCAAGCACACGGGACTTGAGTACGTACCCAGGAGTGGGTGCTAGCACGATTGACTCACCTGCGACTTCCATTGACTAAAGAAAAGTGAGTTACCAAGAGCGATGGCTCGCGAGTGCGACTCAACTGAAATATGCGGGCGACTCATTTTGTCGGATTTTTCACCGCGACTGCAAAGTTCCTAAAACCCTTTACTTAATGAACGTCTTAGTTTACTCAGGTCCTGGTACCACCACCGAAAGCGTCAAGCACTGTCTCGAGTCGCTTCGGATACATCTTTCCCCGTACTATGCTGTGGTCACGGTTGGAGAAAAGTCACTTCTCAATGATCCATGGCAGCTTAAAACCAAAGCCCTTGTGATTCCTGGAGGTGCAGATACTCCCTACTGCAACAGTTTCAACGGGGCTGGAAATCGACTCATCACAAACTTCGTGCGCAAGGGAGGCAAGTTCATTGGTTTTTGTGCCGGGGGTTACTATGCTGCTGCCAGGTGTGAGTTTGAAGCTGGGACTGCAAACGAAGTATCTGGATCAAGGGAATTGGGATTCTTTCCAGGAACATGCGTGGGTACCGCATATAAGGGGTTTGTCTATAACTCACACGAGGGAGCTCGCATCACACCCATCTCGGTGCTGGGCAGTCTTGACTGTCCCCCCACTGTTTTCAACTATTATAATGGTGGAGGTGTATTTGCTAATGCCGACAAATTGTCTAATGTCGAGGTGCTTGGGCGGTACACAGAGGATTTGGATACTCCTCCAGAAGCCGGCAACGCGGCGGTGGTATACTGTCGTGTTGGAAAAGGAGGAGCTTTGTTGACGGGATGTCATCCTGAGTTTGGGCCCATTGCGGGAAATAGCAGCAGCTATGGCAGCAGAGAACCATCTCCTCATGGGCAAGCAATATTGGGGTCTCTTCAGCCCCATGACGGTGATAGGAACATTTTCTTGAAGGCGTGTTTGGCCAAGCTCGGACTCCAAGTGAATAGTGAACTGAGTATTCCCACCATTACACCTATTCACATTCTCTCATTGTTAGATCCTTCAAAAACCATCAAAATGGTGGAGACCATGAAAACCAAGCTTGATTTCATTGGAGATACCTTCGAGGATACTGTTGATACGTTCCATTTGCACGGACCCCACGAAGTGGTTGAACGGCCAGATGATGGTACTCACTTGATCTTGCACGTGAGCGATGCACCCGATAGTAAAGACACTCCGTACTTCAACACCACCAAATACTTTGAGGCTTTACAAACACTCTATGACACCAACCACGTCAAGGACGGGCAGTTTGGCCAGATTATTGGGTATGGAGAAGTGGTGACATCCACCAGCTCTCTTCTCGATAAAAACTCCAAATGGCTTCCCTATGTTCCCCACGGCTTCGTGATGTGTGCAACCACCCAGGTGGCAGGAAGGGGCCGCGGAGGAAACGTGTGGGTCAACCCCAAAGGGGTGATGGCCCAATCAGTGGTGTTTCGAGTAAATCCCAAGAACGCTCGTTCCATTGTGACATTACAATATGTTCTTGGGTTGGCACTCGTGGAACTGATTATGAATTATGGCTGCACCGAGCCTGGTACTGGAGCTGGGTACGAAGAGATGCCGGTGAAGCTCAAGTGGCCCAACGACATTTATGCCTTGAAACCGGAGTTTTTCAATGAGTTTGGTGATCATCATAGCCCTACCACCATTGATGGTACCGACGAAAAGTACGCCAAGGTCTCGGGTGCCCTTGTCAACTCGCAGTTCATCGATGGGAAATTTCATCTTGTGTGGGGAGCAGGAGTGAATTTGGCCAACGAAGCTCCAACCACTTCACTTAATTTGATTTTGGCTAAACTCAACCAAATCAGAGCCAAGAGGGGTTTACAACCACTACCTCTTTATGAACACGAGGTGTTACTTGCTAAGATCATGTTCACCGTGAACCAGTTCTACAGTGTGTTTGAGCATTCGGGAATGACACCTTTCTTGCCGTTGTATTATAAAAGATGGTTCCACAGTGACCAGGTGGTGACGGTGACTTCAGATGGGACAACGAGAAAGTGTCGCATTCAGGGAATTACCGAAGACAATGGGTTGCTTGTGGTGGTGGACCAGTCTAGTAAAGAGAAGTTGGAGCTTCAGCCGGATGGCAACTCGTTTGACATTTTCAAGGGGTTGGTGTATCGGAAGATCCAGTGATTCGCAGCCAAAGCTGTTGCAGGATAGGCTAATTGTACAATACAGAATAGGCTAATAAGAACAGGCTAACACTATACAAATATACAATGTGTATTGAAGCAGCCAGCTAAAAAACAGTATTTTAAAAATATGCTCTTAGGCCGTTTGTGGAATCTAGTTGCAAATGGACTTTGTGCTTACGCGACCGCGACCACATTATTTTGCTACTAAATAACATGAAGGTTCAGGTGCTAGAATGGAATGCTGTTGCTTCATGGCACTGGGACTTGAAAGTCGACGACTCGGGAGTTGCCGATGAGCTCTGTGGTATTTGTCGAGTGCCCTTTGATGGGACTTGTCCCAGCTGTAAGTATCCCGGTACTGACTGTCCGTTGATACTAGGTGATGGGTGTACTCATAACTTCCATCTCCATTGTATACTCAAATGGTTGGAGCAAGATACTTCCAAAGGACTCTGTCCTATGTGTCGACAAGTGTTTGTCTACAAGAGGATAAAGAATATGGGCACTAGTGAAGAGCTTCATAATCTCCAGGTGCTTATTGAAGGCCATAAAGCCATGCGGGAGAGAGAGAACGAGGAGAATGAATTCGATCTGTTCGAGGATGATGTTCGAATGACCGACTAGTTGATAAAGAAGACTTCTCAATACACCCTTTTACACCACTACGACCCCCTGATGACTTATGACCATATAGTTCAATATATGCCTATTATCCTATCCATTTCGCGAGTAGATAATTTTTCATCCAATGTTTCCTGGGCTTCTTATAAAGAGAGCATTTCATGCTCCACGCACCCGACTTTTGCTGCCATTGAGAAGCACTTGGACCCAGTGTCAACTTGTACGTCATATCAACTTGACATCCACGCCCACCCCCAAACCCATCTCGGATTCGGGCCTTGACCAAGTCTTCACTCCAGAACAACGAGAAGCTGCTAGATTGGCTAGATTAGCTAACCTTGGATGGTTGAAGAAACTCCCCGAGAAATGGATTCCATATGCGGAACTCTTGCGATTGGAGAAACCAGTGGGCTCTTTATTGCTTCTTATTCCATCGTTATGGGGAATTACAATGGCTTCCTACGCGGTTCAAGCTCCATTGACTACCTTCTTATACGCTACCAGTCTTTTTACGGTCGGAGCCTTGGTGATGCGTGGTGCTGGTTGTGTGATAAATGACATGCTTGACAAGGATCTTGATCGGAAGGTTTTGAGAACTACCGAACGACCTATTGCTAGTGGAAGGGTTTCTCGGGGACAAGCCTTCACCTTCTTAGGGGTTCAAATGCTGTTAGGGTTGGCAGTGTTGTTGGCCCTTCCGTTTGAATGTTTTTACCTTGGAGCCCTTTCTCTTCCCTTCATCTCCGCGTATCCGCTTTTTAAGCGGTTCACCTACTATCCACAAATCATGATATCAATTTGTTTCAGCTGGGGAGCACTTTTGGGATTCCCAGCTGTAGGAGCACCTTTGGACTTGTGGGTGGCTGGGCCTTTATTTGCATCTGGGTTCTGGTGGTCCATGATCTATGATAGTATTTATGCCCACCAAGACAAAGCATTTGATAAGGAAGCTGGTGTTAAGTCTACTGCTCTCAAATGGCAGGAGAAGACCAGGCCCATTGTCAACAGTTTATTTGTGGTACAAGCGGCTTGTTTTGCGGCCGCTGGAGTCATGAACGGTATGGGACTTGGCTTCTATACTTTGGGATCATATGGATTCTACAGACTTTTCAGTAAGATAAAACAAACTAATCTTGATGATCCTGCTAGCTGCTGGAAATTCTTTACTGATAATGTCAAGACTGGCTTGTTCATGTGGTACGGGATTTTGATTGACTATTTGTGGATGTTATTTATGTAAGGTTATTGTTAGTAGCCAAATCTGTAAATAGGAGGTTGCTGGATTTTGCATCCAACTTACTGAACAATTTCTTGATCACTAAGCTGCGATGCTGACCTTCCAACCGAGTAAGCACATTAATGAAATAGTCTTGAACGTATGCAAGAGAGAGATTTGATGGTAGCATGTCGATAATCTCTCCCGGGGTGTAAATGCCACCATAAGTGTTGATGAAATGCCTGATAGCTTGATTATTTTCGTTGGTTTTATATGTGTGGAACACCTTCTGAAGAAGGTGTTTGTACCCATCAATTGGTTTGAGGTCTTCACACACGTAGTACTTGTGAGGAGGGTATGGAGGTTTACCATAGATACAATAGAACTCGGCTGAAAAGTAGTCTCTGAAATCAAGTAATCCAGACACCTTGTCGTCATCAGTGAAACAGCATCGGAAGAAGTCATAGATCGAGTTGTCTCCAACAAACTCAAGTTCAGATAGATGTGAAGTTCCAGTAAAGTTCAAGATCTCGAACGTTTTAAGGTATATTTCAATGAAATTACGGCACTCCGTGGTGTCCATAATTGATTGCAAGAAGCCCACCCAGCTACTTATTGGTTTATGTGTACCAAATGTGTTTTCAATAAGGTAAGTTTGGTACAAGATTCCGAAATTGTTGACTGCCACTTCATTGGGAGACTTCAACATTCCTAGAAGATGCTCAAGAAGTTCTTCAGCACTAGCAGATTTGTCTCTGTAGCTGTTTTCGATAACTTCCAACTTGAGTTGAGCATAATCTTCGTCTGTCGCGAGGTTATTTACCTGGCTGATTATTTCGTTATGGGTCTTTTTGTGCTTACCATTGACATGTTTCTTTATATACGAGATGCCTCTTTTAGAATCAACCCGAAGCACTTCAAGCAATGCATCCCGGTATATCTTAGGGTCTTCAAGTTTATCTAAACTGTCAAGAATGAGATTTGTGAGTTGGAAGTGGTGACTATCAGTATATTCGCCAGTCAAAAACTTGACTGATAATGAGCAGATCTTTTCATCCTCCTTTAGGAGAATATACAGATAAAGAACAGCGGTATGGAGATTCTTGGACTCTAGATCCCTTATTATCAGATTCAACTGATCTGTGGGTGAATTCCACGACTTTGTGTCCTTCTTCACAAAGTCAATAAATTCAGTGCTAGTATCAAAGCTCGAATATGCGATAAGCTGTAAATCAAGCTGGTGGGACTTTAGATACGTTTGTTGGATGCTCTTAAAGGCAAAGGCACGGAAATGATCATCTAGATGTGGTCTTAACACGTCAATCACTCTTTCAACTCCCCTGTAGAAAGCATGTTTTCCTTCGTCTCCCGTGTATAGGCAAATAATGAGATCTTGGTAAGTGGCATCAGCAAAGGCTTCTAATTTGGCAAACTCCTTGTTAAACACCAAATAGAGAAAAAGTAGCTCATTGTAGAGAGGGTCTGTCTCATTTTCCAAAAGAGAGATACTCAGCGACTGTCCCTTGATGAGGCTGATCAAGTCCTCTAAAAACAAATTCACAGCTGTTTCTTTGTACACCACATAAACTGCTTTGGCATCAAAAACAACAAGGTCGGAGTCTATGCTTATGGCACTCACCCCCTTTAATGAATATGCTTCATTATCCACTGACACGGGGTTAGGGATATTTATCAATGTGCCCTCAATTTCATGCTCTGCTATGATACTCAAGTCTTCGAGCGAAGAAACTATGAACTTATCATCAAAAATCCCAAATACGTAGGGCCATTGCACCGCAATCCCACCGTTAGGATATCTCTTATTAATCCACGATAGAGTTCCTCGCGTAGGATCTCCCGTGGCAGAAATGAACATACCTATCGAAGTGTTGGTGTCAGACCTGATGGTTAGAAGAATCTCTTCCTTTTCCGTATCCGGTGGCTGGAACGCTACCATGTTGGGTACCACTTTTCCTTCCGTGTCATACTCAAACAACGGGGTCCGGTTCCCATCTTCTGGGTTTACTATTGAGTATTCGTGGAGTGTAGCATATGTGATAAGATTATTGGAATAGTGACCAACAGCCTTGGAGGCCGAGATATCGCTCACAGCCTTAACGAGCTTGACCTCGGACCCCAAGAACCGGATGATTCGAAGCTTGTCTTTTGCCACCATGATAATGTCAGACTGGTGGAAAAGCAGAATATGTTCCACGTCTCGAAGTTTGCCAGACTGAAGTGGTGAAAGCTCTGGGAGCGAAAACAAGTACAAGACTCCACCACATAGGGCCACAGCACGGTTGCTCTTGGTCACCACGAGGATCTGTGTAATGGGGCTATTTCTGAGGTGCTGTTGAGAAATCAAGAGGAAACCTGGACTATCATCAAATCGATGATAGTGAAGAAGCTGACCGGTGCTGGTACCCATATACAAGTTCTGGCCAAAGCCCGATACACTGGAAAACATCTCCAGGTCTCGAAGCAGCGACAGCTCCTCCACAATGGCCCGTTTTCGATATAGGCCGGTAGGTAGTTTGATATCCATAATATGTGAGGAGTTACAATCTGAATAGTTCGCGCACAGGTTTATCTTTTATATCTATATGTGGACTACATAAGCACCTCTTCTACTAGAGGAGGAAACGCGATGTTGTCACGATGGGCAATGTATTCACTGTCGGCAAACCCCAATATGTGTTCAATTTCATGACTTTGACATCCTTTGATCATGGAGATTTCAACTGAACTGTAGTTCACTCGACACTGGCCCACTAGTTTGGCCGATTCAATAGGAGATGTTTTTGAGTCCACCACCATTAGCGACACACATTCGCTCTCGTGAAACACTCCTGTGACATGTACTATACCGGCTGGAAGTAATCCAGCTCTATTTTTCCTGGAAAGGGCTTGGAAGCACCCTTTGTCGATGATTAACGACCCTTTGGTCTTTAGGCCATGTAGAATCCAGAACTTTTTGTCGGACTTGATCGCATGATCTCTTGGAAGAGAAAGAAACCTTGTATGGAGCGGGATATGGCCTTTCTTGACCTTGTCGGCCAATTTCTGTTTCATTTCTTCAACCGATGTGCCTTCATTATCTTGTATATCAGCAACAATATCGAGCATGTACTCAGGTCTACTGCTGAGAGACACAATCGTTACCACTCCGGCACTGCTGGCAAGCTCGGCTGCAATCAACTTGGTGGTCATGCCGCCAGTACCAACTCCCAGGCCGGCACCAGCATCAGTATCGGTATTGACTTGCAACTCTTCAACCTTTTCAACTATCAATATCGGCTGGGCCATGGGGTCGGAGCGCGGGTTGGCCGTATACAACGCTTCCACGTCTGTCATCAAAAACAAGTAATCAGCATGCATCATTCCTGCGGTTATGGCCAGTAGGGTATCATTATCACCAAACTTGATTTCGGCCACCGACAACGTATCGTTCTCGTTGACGATTGGAATGACTCCCATTTCCAACACTTCGTTGATGGTGTTGACGGCGTTTCGGTATTGGGTAAAGTCCACGATATCGTTCCTGGTTAGAAGAATCTGAGAGATGGGTTGGCTGAGTTGTTTGAATAAGTTATCCCAAAGACCAATAAGGATTCCCTGACCAACGGATGCGAGTGCTTGGACGGTGGCGAGCTTGGAAGGGCGAGTTGTGTAGCCCATAGCACGCATTCCCACTGCAATAGCACCTGAGGAAACCACGATAATGCGGTGGCCTTGACGTCTAAGTTGAACCATGGTCTCCACGAGCCTGGACATATTAGCTAGCCGGGGCTCACGCGTGACCTCGTCTACGAGCGACGAGGATCCTAGCTTGATGACTATGGTGTAGCAAGGAGGCATTGGGGGAGGGCCGAGGGATAGTGAGTTGGTGAACGTAGATGTGAGTCAATTTTTTGGATGCGAATCGGGGTGGGTGCGAAATCGTCTATGGGTGCGAATTGCACACATACTACAGCTAAACGAATCAAACATATAATCAAACTATAAACTTTGTCCACATCATTGTTTCTGATAATAGTGCACCTTCACTGAATCGGTGCTTTTCAAGCCTTTGATCTTCACCACCTTTGAGTCGCCTGGAAACAAGTCGAAGCCATTATCATCAATAAACAAGTCAGACTCAAGACTAAGTTCAACTCCCTTAACGGGCTTATTTACAGTCAAAACCACCTGATCCTTCTCAACCACAATCTCAACCTTTCTGTCGGGAAACTTAAGGTACTTAAGCGGCTGTGGCCAGTCTCCAGCGCTGGCAACAATACCTCCCTCCTCATCCACCACCCGAGAATACACCACAACCGGAATTTTGTTGGAAATCTTCATGTTCTTTACAAACTCAGACGTCTGGTTAGCCTTCAACACCACCAGTTGGTCGTCCAAGCCACCGACCCGTTCTCCAGTGGAGACATTGTACGCATCCACCTTAAGGGTTCCCTTCACATCTTTCAAACTGGAGTTGACTCCCCAGATATCCACTGCCAAATGCACTGGTCTATAATCGAAAGGAGCACCTTCCTGATCAGGGATATCAAGAACCGGATCCGGGTCTTTTGATTCGTTTCGGTACATACCCACTCCCACCGGCCGGCTTTCTCTTCTGACCGAGTAGTACGCCAACTTGGGCCGTTTGAAGTGGTCCACAATAGCCCAGGAAGCCACTGGCCAACAGTCATTGATCTGCCACACTATGGCCCCACCCGAGTACCGTCTGCCATCACCACGCCATTCCCGACGCCAGCACCGGTACGCGTATCCAAGGCACTCGGCTTGCATGAGCTGGGTAGCATAGATCCATGAGTCAAAATCAAGCCCTTCCACTTTGATATTTTCAATCACATAGAGGGCCAACCGTCTTTCAAATCCATCCGAACGGTTATGGAAGTCCACAAGGTACGACTGAGGATATAATTCACTTTTGTCGGTGATACATGCCTCATAGGTTTTCCGGGATGGTAAGGCCTCCATACCGAACTCCGACACAAAACGGCCTCCCAACTTGTACCAATCCTGATACTTTTCTTGACTGCCGTGCCAAACGTTCCACTGGTGAATATCTCCGATGGTGGCATCAGCAGTATCCTGTCCGCCCCAAGGACTACCGGGATGATAGGGAACCTCGGGGTAAAACTTACTGACAAGCTTGGGGAATACTCCTTCGTAGAGAGTTCTGGCCGGGAAGTTGGTGTGCTCGTAATGGCCCGAAGTGTCGCTTTTATCCCATTCAAGTCCAACCTGTTCAGCCACCTGATAGTCCTCATTGTTCCCAGCAAAGAGCACTAATGAGCAGTAGTTTCTGAGTCGTTTGAGCTGGGTTTCCACCTCATCGGATACAAGCTTAATATACTCGGGGTACGCAGGATACTGTCCACACGCAAACATGAAATCCTGCCACACGAGAATCCCAAGCCGGTCACATTCGGTGTAGAACACCTCCTGCTCGTAGTAGCCGCCTCCCCATACCCGGATCATGTTTTGGTTGCCGTCCACCATGAGCTGGAGCCATTCCTCGTAGTCGCGTTTGGTGAGACATGTTTGGAAGGAATGGGCTGGGATCCAGTTGGACCCCGAGGAATACACGGGCACGTCGTTGACCTTGAAGTAGAAGCTGGTACCAGGTTGGTCCTTGAAGGGTTCTTGGACCAACTCGACTTTTCTGAGTCCAATGCGTTTGGTGACCGTTTCCAAACCTTGCTGCGACTTGAGACTGACGGTAAAGTCATAAAGATGGGGGGTTCCGTGGCTGAACGGGAACCAAAGTTGGGGGTTTTGGAGAGAAAAGCGGATGCTATTGTCTCCCGAAACCGCATCTTGTTTCGAGTGGTGGACCTCATGTCCATCGGGAGATTTCACTGAGAGCTCCAACACTGACGGGCCGGTAACGTCCAACAGCACCTGAAAATCCACCAGCGCCAGGTCTTTAGCCACCGATACTTTGGCATACATGTCTTCGATTCTCAGGTTGTATGACACAAAACGTACGGGCCGGTAGGGCCCACAGGTCATGAAAAGTGGTCCCCAGTCCCATCCGTAGTGGTACTGAGCCTTTCTAATTTGCATCCGGCTGGACTCACCATTGAATCCTTTGGCCTTGAAAGTTTTCTTTTCCAACTCCCGAGCAACCAACAACGCCGCTCTAAACACGATCCGGAGCTCATTGGGGCCGTCCAATTGCACATACTGTTTGACCTGCTTCTGGTACTGGACAAACATACTTTCGGTGGAGAGGATCTTGTGGCCATTCAAAAACACGTCGGCAAAAGTGTCAAGCCCTTCGAATATTAGCAAGTGATTGGAGGCGGTTTTATCGGTAACATCGAAACTGGCCTTGTATTCCCAATCTTTCTCTCCTATCCACTGAAGGGACTTTTCATTATCATCGACAAACGGATCAACAATCTCACCGTTGGCAAATAAGTCCGGGTGGATTTCGGTGGTTTCAAGGTCCTTACGGGCCGGTTTCCAAGTATCAGTACCCGCTTGGCGGTAGCTCCAGTTCTTGAGAGTATAAGATTGCATTACCGCACAACTGAGGAATTTGCGGAGTATTTATATTGCGGGCATCTTCCCTATTAGGCAACTTCTCCGTGTGGGTGCGACCCAGTGCCGCGACGCATGCCCCTTCCCCGGATTTGTTAACTACGAACATCCATCACCGCATTTGGCTGTGGGCCACCGCATTTGGCTGTGGGCCACCGTACTTGGCACAGCATAAGCGGGGTCCATTGTCGGTGACGTGCTGTCGGCGAAATGCACGGGCCTACGTTTTGTGTTCGCTCATGTCGGAGCGCACATCCGATCCGCGTCGCTTCTCATTAAGGTACATTTGCAAAGACATGCTGCGGACGTCTCTGAACACCCAGAACACCACGGCGCCATCGAAATCGTCATCCCGTTCGCGGACCAGTGCGTTGTCCAAAAGCTCCTTCACGTTCCGGTCGATATCCAGACTCTCGTGCGCTGTAAAGCTGATATTGGGCCGATAGGTGTAGAACTGCAATGCAAACGTAAACGTATCAAACTCCATGACTCGATACAATTGAACAAGGAGCTTGGCAGTGTAGATCTGGCTGTCGGCAATGATGCACCACCGTCCCACGATTTCATCCCGCACCCTGAAATTACTAATGGCCATACCCGAAATAAAGTGGTAGAGTCCAGGTACCGCCATGATGGATGTCATGTTCCCAAATTCCCATTGAGTCACCGCCAACGAGTAGTATGCAATCATGAGCATGTTGTGGAGAATATGTAATATGAAGGCCTCGGGCGTCGAAAGAAGCTTGTCTTTAACCACAATTAACCCTTTGCTCAATTTGGCCGGGAAGAGCAACATATTGAATTCAAACTGTAGAAGCTCTTGTTTCTTGTCCTCATATGGTATCTCCGTGTCGTGCTGGAGCCAGATAAGCTTATACACAAACACCGTCACCGTGAGAAACTGGTAGTTGAAGTCTTTCATATCCAAAGTGGTGAAGAGATCACAGCATCGGGTGAAAATAGACGAATTCGTCATCAATGGCTGGGCCTTGCAGAGGGCAAACCATGCATCCACGCACACGGCCGCTGCCATCAAGTTCACCGGGAGACTTTGATTGCGGGCCAAGAGCCGGTTGAATTCTTCAAGACTATGGCAAATGTCTTGTGCGGGCATGATGGTCCTTAACGGGAGAAGGAAAAAACAGCTGAGATTGGCCACGTCCCATACCATGTCTCCATGCTGGAGCTCGTGCCGCACCACGCTGAGGAACGATTCGACCGCCGATCCAGGAAGTCGGTTGGTTAATGACAGCACGGCCGCGATGTTAATACAACAGGTTGCAAACGGACTGAGCTCTGTTTCAAACACCTCGGGAGCGAGAAACGGCGTATACGGCTCGATGTGGTCGGTGTAGAGCTGACGTAGCGAGGACTGGGGCGATACCGCGAACGGTGACGTTGTCGGGTCTTCCAATCTTTTGGTGGTTCTAGCATACGATTCCACCGGGCTCTCGTCTTCAACGTCGTCATTGTCCTCGTCCACCGCTTTATTATATTGTTCCATGACCACAGGCTCGATCTGGTCCAAGAAAGTCCCCGTGTAGGACGAGAGATGGCGGTTTACGGTTCCGGATGCAAGAGCAACATCAAACCGATCGATGGCACTGGTGGCAGTAATAATCCGCCGAGGCTTTGGGTCATTTTGGACCTTCTTCTTTGACACCGAGTTGTGCTGCTTGCGTCTTGTGGGTGGTTCACGGATCACTGCCTTGTGATCAAAAATACAGGCTCTGTTGTGTTCTTTACAGTGTTCACAAACGGAATTGCTGGTTAACACCGTGCACTTGATTTTACGCTTGCGGCAGAAATTGCAAGCTCGGAGAAGCTTGAAGGATGACCCGAAAAAGCCATTGGTTAGGGAGGTGTGGGTAATGCCCATACTGGTGGAGTGGCCCAGGATGTCATGAGACAAAACGCCATGCGACAGGTCACGGGGCGACGGGGTGGTGCCGTGGGGTGCCGCCGTGTCGCCGTGGAAGGCGTTTGTGGTTGCCTCAATGAGTGACTCGATGGGCAACGTCTGTCTTGCCATGTGTGGAAAATACACTGGGTGATGAGTTATAGCCCCAAATCCACTGAGCAAATCTGTGGGGTGCGGTGCGCGGTGCGCCGCGTGAGAGTTTCGGTGTGCGCACACGATTAGTCTGTGCCATTTCATATATTATCGTATACTACTTATAACTTAGGTCTTGGGTCCAACGACTTAAACACAGTCTCAATAGAGGTGGCCTTCATCATGTTACCCTTAATCTTCAACTTACCGTTCATAAACAATTTTTGTCCGTTGGCTTTGCCATCGGCCAACTTAACAAAATCAGCATCTTTCAAAATCAATTGAACGTCGTTCTTAGGAGGCTTGTCTACCTTTTCAATCGTTCCCTTGTTTTTTAAGTCCAAAAACCAGCTTTGTTCCTTACCGCCTTTGTTCTTCAAAGTGAACACAATAGCAGCCTTAACCCCCGACACGGCCTTCTTGGCAGTGGCAGCGTCTGATAAGCCATCGGCTAATTGTTGTAAGAAAGGAGAAGCATCGAATCCATCTGCGGTGACTGACATGTTGAATAAATAAGTTGGTGGGTAAATTCTGGGGAAATCCTTGACCTTTTATACTGCTTGATGATCCATGTGAATTTAGCGCGAGTCCGAGGAAGCGGTGAGTCGTGGCAGTACCGAGGGGAGGGGTCCCCAGGGCCATGGCCTACCGCCACCTGGTACCAGCGATGGCGGCATACAGGGCCAGGAACGCCGCCCCATCATTGCAAGCATATGGCGGATTTAGTCCTGTAAGATCCGGATTTAGTCACTCAATTCTGCGTCGGCATATGGCACCCCAAAAGTTGGGTTAAATACCATTACATTAGGGCCACCGCCAGCAACTTAGTTTTGGGGTGTGAAATGTGTGAAATATCACTGTTACCCCAGCTTCAGTTTGGTCATGTGATCGAGATGTTTTATCTCGTGCCATTCATGTGAAGAAGTTCTTGTGGAACCTCTGGTGTGTGTAAATCCGTTTATCAAGGTTCACTTGAAAGCTTATAGACGTCTGGCTGTGTTCGTGTGGGTAATTCATTTGGTGTCCCTCTTACTATGGGTGTCTGGGTCTCTCTCTTATCACTCTTCGTCTCATTGCGCATTGAAAAATCTCATCGCCATGTTCAGCTCATCCTCCGCAAAGGCCCACAGTGCCAATTTGATTAGCAAGCTCACGGCGTCCATCCACACACCGGAAACTTCTTCCTCGAAGAAGCCTGTGAGTTCGACAGAGCTTTTGGCATCGCAGTTTTCTCAGCCTAGATCAAAAAAAACTATCAAAAAGCGTAACAAGACCATCCAGAAAAAACAACTAAAAGACGCTAAAGAACTCAAACGTGTCAAATACGAGCTCATAAGGAGTAAGGCCCCTGCCACATTGCCTCAAGAGCACCAAAAATACTTAAAGAAACTAGTGAAAAGAAACAAGAACATCATCCTTGCCAATGACCCCGATCCTACGATGGAAGATTTTTCAACTGATGCGTTACAATCAGAAATCTTATCATTCCACAAACCAGCCCCCAAGAAGTCAAACAAGTTCCGCACCTTCAAGAAGAAGAGCGTGCCGGGATTGACCCCGGGCTTGGCTCCCGTGGATTATGAGTCTGACTCCGAATAAACTTGCACTTTTGGCACTATAGCTGTGTATAATAGAATCTATCAATAAATACCTATGTGGACTCCCGTGCCTCAAACAACAACTGCCGAATGTCACAGCTGAGTTTTCTAATGGATCTGCGTGGGTCGTCCAAGTTAGTGACTAGTCCTACCAACATCTCGGGTTTATAGAGTAAAATTGTAGACTTGTCGTTAGTTCTAAGCAACTCCAACAAGCACTTTAATGAAAGGTACCTGATTCTCTCGGTGTTAACGATACGGTTGTTTTCAACGACTTTTGTGTTTGATAAAACCATCAATCTCTTGACCAAAAGTGGCATGAAGTTTTGTAGATTATTGGAGTCAATAATAATCAAAAGTGTCTCGAGCGAGGTATCAAGCAAAGTGTTCAACTGGATTGATTGGATGGTCAAAGGTATGATATCGTTGATCCTGGACTTCAACACATGGCTGTCAATGTTCTTGGTCAACACTGCAAGCAACTGCAAGTGTATTTCGTTCTCAGGTTGTTGCAAAACCTTAGCAAGAACAATATTGAAAACCTGCTGTTTATAAAGACTTCTGGTATTCAAATGATTAACTTTGGAGATGATCTTGGAACCCTTGGGTAACTCTTTGTTGGGAGAAAATATCTTCAAGTCCCGAAGAATGATATCAAACGACCGGAGTACAATGGTCGCCTGGGACGCATCATGGTCAAGAACTTCTAGCAACTTTGTTAAATACTCGATTCCTACTTTGCTTAACCGTAACATGAGGGCTTTAATGATCCACACAGAGATCTCGAAATTCGAAGGTTGTTGCAAGTCATAGAGTTTCTCTACCACCGGTTGCAAGCTATCGTCATCCTTATAAAACTTGTTGACAAGAAGACACAAATGTTGAAGATAGTTGACCTTTAGAATGGGATCTCTTAAGTTGGAAGTTGTTTCAATGAGACGGACGAGATCTTCAAGTTGGATAGACAAATTCGTAGATTTATCGATGTTACTCAAAACATTGTTAAACACTAGAACCATGGGACTGGCCACTTCAAGAATGGTGTATCCACTCAACTTCAATCCACTTTTGGCCTTATTCTTATAAAAAGCACTTTGGAAATCGTCGAGAATTCCCTGATGCTTGGGAGAGTCGTAATACTTGATCACAAATCCTAAAAGCACGGAGATAAGTTCCAAGTAATGCCAGTTGTCACTATTGTTTACTCCCGAAGCTTCAACTTCGGCTGCTTGATTCAACAATTTTGGGACTATTCCCTTGAACCAGGAGTTCATTAAAAATTGACTTCTCTTCTGGACCTTCATCACCAATGAACCCAATAACTCGATTATCTTACTGTTAAAGTCTCTGTCATTGGAAAGACGGTTGACCAATCTGATGCTTACAACTTCAAGCAATTGAGAACTCACAACAACCAGGTCCAAAACCTCGACATACTTGGAAAGTTTCTGGTTCTGAGGGTCTATTTGTTGTAATACTTGAGGCAAAAATACATCCACAATCAACTGGTTGTTCTGATCGCTTCCATCCTCGGTCAAGTTAATGAGGCCTTTCATGATCTCGTCTACAATCAAATCATCTGGCTTAGCTTCTTCGATCAACTCGAAAAACATGTCGTTAAGAAGTTCCATAATGACATGTTTTTCTTCATAGCTCAAAAACCGACGGAGTTGGATGAGCTTAATATACTGCTGAATGATTTTGCATTTGAGAGTCTTCTCGATGGTCGAAGACGCTTGAAGAAGCTGTCCCAAAAAAACCACCAAACTATCCTTGACCTGTGAAAGGTAATTACTCTCAAAGAAGAAGGACGCATTTGGAAGAGAGGAGCTTAATACCTGGTAAGATATCAAAATATACCCGAAAGCATCGATCAAATCTCTCTGTCTGGCGACTGTGAGCGAAATGTCCGTTTCCATATTGTCGTCGGTATCGTCAAATCCTGAAATAAACTTTCCCAAGTTTTCAGACTGGAAAATAAACTGTTGGATATAGTTGAATCCTCTTTCACTTGCAGTGGCCATGCTGCTCAATAGAATCACAGCCTTCATGAACACCTTTGAAGTGATACTTAAGTATTCCTTCAAGTCAGAAGTGATTCCTGGCAAAAGACCATCTTCATCATCCAATCTGGTAGCCATTCGAGACAAGATCTCAAGCACCAAATAGAGAGACTTGTTCTCGTCACTGTCGGCCAAGTCCATAATGTTCTCTGGAATAAACCGGTCGTTAGAAACAGAGAAGATGTTGGTGTTCTCAGAGTGTAAGATCTCAAACTTCAACCCATTCCAAATGGTTTCCCAGTACTCAAGTATCGTATCTTCGTGGAACAGGTCCACTGCCAGCAATAAAGTCAAAAGAACGTCATTACGAATCACCGGGTTCGTACTGGCCAACTTTTCGAACAAGTTGTTAAACAAATCTTTGGCAAATAAGAATTGTGAAGTTAAAGTTGATCTCAATGAGGTTTTCAACTGTTCCAGAGTGATTTTATACGGGTCATTTGGAGGCGGCCTGAAGGAGATGGGAAAGTAGCAGAAACATGTATCGAACAATTCCTCAACAAAGTGCTTATGGAGTTCGTTTGTAGCGACTTCAAACCTGAAATAATGGTTGATATTCTTGTTGAGGTCAAACGATATCAAAAGATTACGGGGATCCTTTTCTCCGTTAGACACGTGAAGAAATGCTTGCACGTATAGATCATGGAGAGCGGGGCGAGTGGTGATAGCGTCGCGGAATCGGGTCAAAGCCGTTTGCAAAAGAGCAAATACCTCGTACCTGCCTCGAGCCAAATGGACGGAAGAATCATATTCATCCACCACTTTCCGGAGAATCTTCACTAAGTTGTCGTTCAAGCTTGGACTGAATGCCTTGGCGTGTAATATGTTAGTAAGGGCTTTTATCACATCGGCAAAACATGGTTTGTCAGAAAACTTTGTTAGTAGAAAGTCCACAAGCACATTGATGTCATGCTTTGAAAGAGCTGACGAAGACGAAGTGATTTCATGCAAAACGGCGGCAAGACAGCGCATTCCCTTTGTTCTGTCCTCGTCGATGCTGGAGGTTATACGGCTGCCGAGAAGTTGTATGAATTGTAAGAATGATAGCTTATTAGTCAGGATGAGGTCTGCGAGAGACGAGGCATATTTGGCAGCATTTTCGGAATCTTCCGCTCCTGAAAAAGTGACAAATTGAGTTATCAACGTGGCTGGATCACTCATGATACTTTTCTGTGTCAAGTTGGAGAGTATAAGGGGTCTTTGACTGAAGTTTAGCTTGACAATTCGAATCGTCGCAGTTCCAAATCTCGCAGCACAAATCGATGCTCAGCACTAGGCGATACTGGTACCCACACGATGTGATACCTGGCGCGCACTAGATACTTTTTGATTCAGATTTGTATAGGCATACACAACAGTTTACATTACTGGTGTATTGGTTTCTTGTTCTAAGCGGAATTCCAACAGCCGACGGAAAATATTACCCTACTGTACTTGTTTTGCACGACCAGAATCGTCTGCTTTTTTTCCATCCCACTTTCCCTCGTCGAAAGCCGCATCCTCAAACCTTAGAGCCAACGAAAATGATTGAGATCCCTAATTTAGAGGATATCGAGGCTTCCACCAATGTTATTGATCACTACACTCAGTACTCGGATCCCCAGGGACCTCTGGAAGAAAGCTTGCACGATAACCATGACCAGACCAACTTTGTCTACCCTCAGTATCAACCGAACATACAACAGGCAAATAACCACCTAGATATAGACCCCGATCCTCATGATCCATATCATTCTCGACTGCTTCTGTTCCCTGAAGAAGATACAGCCGCTACTGGGGATTATCTCCGCAACGATTCAAGCGTTTCCAACGTTGTACAGCGGTTCCATGATCTTTCTACCGATAGTACTTCTGTCAACGAAGGCATTTCCGAAGTTGACCCCAAGCACTATCATCTTCAAGACGCTCCCTTCATCCATGAACGCCCACAGATAGTGATGCAGACCATCACTGTCGATGTCGACGATGACTCCCTTTCTGATGAGAATACCGACACCTTAAACGATATGGCATCTCCAATTACTACCCGACTAGCCCCCCATCACCCTGAGCCGTCTCCTCGGCTCCCACCTCCTGCTTCGGCTTCTAGTCGTCTCACTCTCTCAAATGGTGAAGAGTTTATGAACCTCCGCCGGGGCCTTGCCACAGACTTAAAATCTCCTGCCGAATACACTCTTCATATCGTGTTCACCCAGTTTGTGAGGCACGCTGAGCGCAAACTTAACTTGTGTCTCGAGTATTCGGTGCATGATGAGGCCCAGGTCATCGAGCTATTGGCTGAAGGTAATGGTGATGATCAATTTGATAAGATTATTGCTTCGTTGGGGTATATTGCCAAGAAGAAGCCAAAGCCAATTATCGACTCAGTGATGTTTTGGCGGAAAAGCAAAAGTGAGGTGGCTTCGTTGGCCGCTACAGAAGTTGAAAAGGTTTTGGTTAATGCCAAGTCAAATTTGGGTGGTAATGGCTCTAATTCCATTCCTAATCCTTCTCCTATAAATACAAATGGGCCCAAATCCAAACGGAGCCTCAGTCTTATGCGGAGCAAGAGCATCTCAAGAATACGGGACCACCGTCGCAACCAGTCAGCTTCTACTGCAGCGGTGAACAAATCCCCGGTGGACACCACAGCTCCTTCACAGCCGGTAGGGCACTCGGAATATGCCAAACAGAAGGCTTTTTATGACGAACAATTCAATCAAGCACGAGAAACGGCTGTTCAGGCTGAACGCAAGTCGTTGGCGTCAATCTATATTTTGTGTCGAGTGCTCATCGAGGTCGTCAAGCAAACACTGCCTGAAGTCATGGGGGATGACCTAGGTGTCAAGTTGGAAGAGATTGTCTACACTCAGCTCAAGACAACTGATCCGATTAGTACCAGTGAATCGCTTCTCCGGTCTGCAAATTGGAATCTTTTTGCTGAACTTCTTGGTTGTATGTCCGAAAAGCGGTTTCTCAGTGTTAGTGACCGGTTCATTGCTGACTTGGAGAAGATTCCAACACATATCAGTCACGATGATGAACCCAGGCTACATTTACTTATCCATGGAATGCGCTACTTGAAGTTGACCAATTATCCATTGGAAGTATTTGAAGAGTCAGCTGAATTTATCGAGTCGTTGGCCAAGTTCTTCAAAAATGTTCAAAACGAATCGCTCATTCTTGCTTATTGCGAAGTGCTATCCAACTTGTTACTACCTCTTGCTAATATCTTGACAGCTGAAACCAACCATCCGACCTGGTGTGGAGCTATTGAAAGGATTTTCAGTAAAGCCTACTTCATTTGGAATAAATCTAACAGTCTTTCTTTCAATTCTGAGAAAGGGTCTTCTGGATTCATCAACCTATCCCCAAACAACAGTAGCCATAATGGATCTGTGGCCAATCAAGCTGCTAGTAATGTCTGGGAATGTTCTTTAAGTTTGCTTACAGCCTGTTTGTCTGTTTCTCGTAAAGAACTATTCCAAACTTCGTGGTATGAGATTATAGAGGAAAATATGAACAAACTCAAGCCAAAAGTTGATATAGAGGAGAGAACCACATTCATTGCGTGTATTGATAGATTGCTTTGGGTCTTTCTCTTTCGGTTGTCAGACACCTTGAACAATACCATCAAAAGATTGGACAATTTATTCCAATTGTTGTTCTTTAACAGTGCTGCTATTAACAAGAAAAATCAATGGATAACTGCAGACGTTTATTTGATTAATGCTCTCGTGCAATTGATCAGAATCGTTGGTTATAGGCATTTGAACTTCACCTTGGACAATATAATCATTGAGCTTGTTAAGCAGAGTTTCAATGGATCCACTTTAGAAAACTTGCAACCTGAAAAGTTGATTCTTTCTGTTAAGAGTTATATGGCCATTTTGGCTGATTATGAAATAGGAAAGAGACCTGTTTTTCCCACTGATGAAACATTGAAACTGAACAATTACAAAGACAACGAGAAAATAGATTTCAACTTCATCGCAAAGAATTCAGACAATGCATTAAGTCACGAGGAGATCATCAAAAACTTTGCCAACTTGATAAAGCTTTTGGATACTCTGTATGGTTGTAGCATATGGAACAAGGACTCCTCTGTTTCTCCAGGTGGAAATAATCAACCCAAAGTCCAATCTCCATTTTCTGCTTTTCACTTTGGTATTGACTTTTCTTATCAAACGACGAAAAACTTACATCTTGAGCTTTTTGCAACTTTGATTGAGGCAGCCCCTTGGACTATGGTACCACTTTCTAGTGGAATTACCTTCAAAGGAATTGTCGAGATTCTTGCAAGAAACTCGGTACATTCTAATTTCCGTATAGCCAATGCTTCTATCAATGCTTTAAGAAGATTGGCAAGTCGTAAAAATCCTTCCAGCTTATTGAACTACTTTGCAAAGTTTGCTTTCCAGTTTTCAGACAAACCTAATCCAAATTACGACACTGCTTATTTGAACTCGGAAGAATTTCACCGTCTCTTGAAGTTGTACGTGGAACTTTTGAATTGTTGGTTAAGGCAATTCAAACAATCGAGTGAGTCTAAACAATCAGGCAATTTTGCCCATCCCTTATCACAGGATGATGAACTAATGAGCAAAGACGTACTCAATGACATGTATCAAATCAACTACAAGACAGATGACTTGGGTGTTACGCAATCGAAACCAAAAGCCAGTGATGAGTTGGAATGGAAAACCATCATAACTGTCATTGAAGAAATTGAAGGAAATGGTTTGTTCTTCTTGTGTTCCCAAGATCACAAAGTCAGATACTATGGTATTTCGATCTTGAAATTGGTGGACCAGTTCGACCAGGAGATCTACAATGCTACTGATAATACAAACAACCCTACAGAGGCAAACGGAAGCACCGGTTCTGCCGGTAACGGCCATACTCAGGATCATTCCAGGACAAGTTCCAAGTTCGCTGCTGATTTTGGTACTAGGTTGATCCATGTCTTCGAGAAAACTGATTTTTTGGACTTGATCAAGCCTTTAAAGCCGGAATTGAGTCTTCCTGAACGTAATAGAGTGTCTAAGTTGAAACACAAGAGCTCTATCTTGATTCGATTGGCAGAATCCGATTACGGTATCGATTCCACTTTATGGTTCAGATTGTATCCGAAATTACTTGACATTTTCTTTGAAAAGTGTCCTCTTCCTGTGGCTTTCTGTCGATCTATTGTTTGTGTCAGGCTTGTACAAATGCATGAGCAAATTTTGGAGTTTTCAGACAGTTACAAAAACTATACTTCATCGATATTTTCGAGAACAAACAATGGAGTAGCACCAGAAGTGTTGGTCGATCAATGGAGGCTCTACCTTATATTTGCTTGTTGTTCCCTTACCTCAACGAACGAACAAAAGATTTCATTCCCAAGTCAGCCTACTCATGGAAGAAAAAGGTCTCTTCAAATGTTCATCCAGCATCAGAAAATCACTAGTGCTAAGTCGGTTTTCAGAATGGTGGTACCATTATTGAAGTCCCAACAACCAATGGTGAAGGATTCAGTCATTTCTAGTTTGAGTTGCATCAACATTAACATTTTCAAAACCTTACTTGAAAGTGTCCAGTCCCCTCTTGGTGAATGGGAGACCAATGCCAAGCGGAAAGATCCAGGAGAAGACAGACTTAGAATTGAAATCATTCATATACTTAGCAGAGTCACTACAAGATTTGGACCTCATAATTTGATCTACTCTGACGAATGGATCATTGCCAATTTGGTGTCTGTGGTTAAGAGTGTGAAGAATTTCTTGTCAGCTGGTCACATTCAAATTGACATAGACTTTCAGAAACTCAGGAGGTATTTCTGTATATTTTTGGAAAAAATCTTTATTGGGCTCGAGAAAAAATCTGATTTAGATAGATGGCTTCCGTTCGAGGCCAGAATCGGTTGTTTCAACTACCTAAAAGAATGGTGTGGTTATGGTGAATCCAAAGATATTACTGAAGAAAGATACAACTTGATGCTTGAAAAATGTAACCAGAGCAAAAATCTCCCTTCTGCGGCAGCTATTCTTGAGGTGGAAAGGAAGCAGTTACTGGTAGCTGCATTGAATTGTATGGCAACTATTCTTTCTGGAAATATTACTCAACAAATCGATATTCCTGGCAATGTGGCGTTAATGTCTTTTGATGTTCCGTCTCTCATGAAATGGATATATTCACTTCTTTCTAACGAATCTGAAAGTGTCCATGACATAGGTAAAAAAGCTTTGAGCAATATTCTTCGGATGAATCCAGATAACGACGAGATCTACCAAGAGGTTTTGAAGCAGTGCTACACCTCTCAAGACAATGCCAAAACCACTGAGAGTTACTACATTACTTTTGTGCACTTTTTAATGGAAAGAAAACAATTTTCAAAAACTCCCAGTGATTTACTCTGTTTGGCAACATTCTTAATTGGAGATGATAACTGTGAAATCAGGAAATATTCGATGAAATTGCTTAGGTTCGTGGAATCAAAATTCTTTAACTCAACCACGGTGAATAGATTTTCGGAGGCTGTGACCAGCAAAAACAAGGTTGTTTATAAGAAGGCCCTATTCGAGATATCTGTCCATTTGGCATCGATTCTCCCGGAACACAACTTTGAGCAGATCAGTTATTTTACCATGTGTTTTAATGTTGTTGGAAATGACACGAGAAGAGATATCTTATCGTGCTTGCTTCCTTGGGTTCAAACCGTTGAAGTTGCTTACAATGTGATACCAAATGAAGTTGATAAGCTTGACTCTGACACCAGACTCGTGAAGCCTATAAATGATTTAACTCCAGCATCAATCATGGTGTTGAATAACTTGTTTGAGATCACCGTTAAGTTCAGTTCGCTCATTATGAATGAGGTTGAAGCTCTTTGGGTGGCTCTTGGTACTAAACCGGGAAACTTTGACATTATTGTCGACTACCTCGTTTCTAACTCCCTTGAACGTAAAAGCGTCGGGTTTGTGGGATATGCCCGTCGTATTATCGACTACTTAAGTTATTCACAACCAGATATCAATATTATGGTTGACAAGCTTATTGGTAACTTACAACCTAAAAACATGGTTCCACCACGGCCTCATTCGATAATAGATTCGGTGCGTCCCAAAAAGGAATTTCCTTATATCGCCAATTTGTGGGAGTTGATACCTTATAATGATAAGGATGCGGCCTTCTCATTAGGTCAACTTTCACTTATATTTTTGGTGGACTTGTTTACTTCTGATAACGAGCGGATGGTCAGTCAATTACCATTGTTGTTGCATATCAGTTTCTCGCTTTTGGATCATTACCTTCCACCAGTGCAAGAAGCAGCCGCATCTCTTCTTCGTCACTTGTTGCATTGTCTCGCATTGACAGATCCAAAGACAGAAATTGCCCTTAACAAGCTTGGCAACTCTGATCATACGAAGTTCTTATGGGTTTACGATGATTTGAACAATGACAAAAAGGGTGCCCGAACTCCCAAGAATATGGACTTGTTAGTGCGTAACTGTCTTGAGATTGTTACTCCTATTGTGGCTAATCTCCAAGAAGAATGGAGTAGGGTTGCACTTAGCTGGGCGACCACATGTGCTGTTCGACATATTGCGTGCCGGTCTTTCCAGGTTTTTAGGTCCCTTTTGTCATTCTTAGATCAGCCAATGTTGAAAGATATGCTCCATCGTCTTTCTAACACAATTTCTGATGAGACTCCTGATATTCAAGGATTTGCAATGCAGATTTTAATGACTTTGAATGCTATCAATGCCGAGCTAGATTCTGAGAAACTTATTGACTTCCCTCAACTTTTCTGGTCCGGAGTCGCCTGCTTGAGTACTATCCACGAGCAGGAGTTTATTGAGGTTCTTCTGGCCATGACCAAGTTCGTATCAAAAATTGACCTTGACTCTCCAGAAACAGTGTCATGTTTGATATCGACCTTCCCTCCCAAATGGGAGGGCCGCTTCGAAGGACTTCAACAGGTGGTGATGGTTGGACTCCGATCTGCCACTGCCTATGACCAAACCATGCGTTTCTTGGACAAGCTTAACACACTTCAAGATAGTGAAATCATAGGTCAAGGAGATGGCCGTTTGTTGATGACTATTGTCGCCAACCTTCCAAGGTTTCTCCATTCGCTTGACCTGAAAACTGCCAACCCTGAGGTAGAAACTGCTGCTCTAGTGTTGAGTGGGATGAGTGAACGCAACCAAAAACCGTCTCTTGCCAAGATCTTTGTGTCTCTTGCCAAAAACCGGTTCAGAAGCAAAAAGGACTTTTTGGTGCAGACAATTTCGAGTATAAAGGCGGTCTTCTTCCCCGAGTATGAACCACAAACGTTGGTACTCCTTCTAGGACTTCTTTCCAATAAAACTAGTTGGATAAAGCTTGAAACATTGAGCATTTTAAAATACGTGATGCCCATGGTGGAACTACTGAGAGACGAGTTTGTGGGAGTTGGGGCCGACTTAATTCTGCCGCTTTTAAGACTCCTTTTAACGGACTATGCTGAGCCTGCTTTGGAAGTATTGGATGAGGCTGTTTCGATTTCAGGGTCTCAGCTTGATCGAGACGTATTGAGGATGAGTTTGGGTAACTCTTCAATGAAAAAAGAGTATGAAAAAACAGCCACGCTTTTTGGAATCCCCGACGACAGTGGATGGGCTATTCCTATGCCTTCTGTGACTGCTGCCAGCACTCGTAACAATGTTCACGCTGTGTTTTCCACCTGTACCGCCACGTCACTTATCACTGAAATTCCACAGGACGAAGAAATCCAGTTCCACCGTGAAGACTACTATGCCCCTCCTACTGATACGGCGTCAGCAGTGGATGAGCGTACTGAACAAGCATCTCTTAGTCACATGTGGGCAGCATTGGATGATTTCGACTCATTCTTCACCAAAGAACACGATTCCATTCCAATCATCAGCCCAGGTCCTCGTCGTGGTGATATCACCCCGGCAGCCCACCTCAACCACCTTCGTGGTGGACCTGCTACTCACCTCCAACATCATACACATAGTGCCAGCATTGATACAGGTGTTAGCACCGCCAGTGACTCACTTGCTCCTCTTGACCTGGCACCTTTTGTGTACGATAAGAAAGCATCGGTGATTTTGAATCGGAGTCTTGCAAGAACTCGGTCCAATGCGTCCTTTAAGACATCACTTGCCGATTCCATCACCCCATACCCACGGCCACCAACATCTCCACTTGGTCCTAAACGTTCGTACATTCCATTCCGTAATTCTAAACACCAGTTTAGAAGCAGAGATACGTTTACAACACCAGTAATGCCTACCCTGCCAACATTTGAAGCGGTTGGATCTCCTGGTACCATCACGTCGGAAGTTACTGGAGATGAGATGATGGGAGACACTCCAACGATGCTTGACACTATCTTGGGATCCAATAAAAAACGGGTCCGCCGTCATGGCCGTCAACTGGCCATTCCGTTACCAGAAATTGACCTGCCAGATTCACGCAAACGCCACTAGCCAATAAAATAACCACAAACTAACGAATCTCATCTATTCTTATGTACCATTTTAATGCACGAGACTATTATATGGGGCGGCGCAAAACTCCGTCGTCGTGTGGGTTCCCAAATAATCCTTCTCCGTCCCAGCACCCGCTCACGCTTTTCATCGCGCGCAACAGAGCCAAAATTTTTCACTTGATCAACCACAATCATGGCACCCAAAAAGGCAAATGATAAGAACAAGGCCAAGGCCAAGTCCAAGTCCAGTGAGGACAAGACCTTTGGAATGAAGAATAAAAACAAATCCAAAAAAGTACAGACTCAAATTGCCCAGATGAAGGCTGGAGTAGATGGAGGGCTCGAAAAGAAGAGAGAAGCGGATGCAAAACGGCGTGCTGAAGAAAAGAAAGCTGCCGAACAAGCCAAAAAGGAAGCTGCTGCCCTTTTCGGGATCCAGCAAGCCAAGGTTCCTTTTGGTGTGGATCCCAAGTCTGTTTTGTGTGAATTTTTCAAAAAAGGTGTATGTGCTAAAGGTAACAAGTGTAAGTTTTCACATGATTTGAATGTGGGACGTAAAGATGCTAAGAAGGATTTGTACACGGATGCCCGTGCTGAAAAGGAGGAAGACACCATGGACAACTGGGACGAAGAGAAGTTGCGAAGTGTCATTATGAGTAAACATGGTAATCTTAAAACCACCACCGACAAGGTGTGTAAATACTTTATTGAGGCAGTGGAAAACGCTAAATACGGATGGTTTTGGGTGTGTCCTAACGGAGGAAACGAGTGTATGTATCGTCATTCGCTTCCTCCTGGATTTGTATTGAAGACCAAAGAGCAGAAGAAACTTGAACGGTTGGCAGCAGAAAGTGCACCCAAGATTACCTTGGAAGATTTCATTGAGTTGGAAAGAGGAAAATTGGATAGAAGTAAATTCATTCCAATTACTTTGGACTCCTTCCAAGTCTGGAAAGCTAAGAAGCGGGATCAACAGGCCAGAGAAGAAAGAAAAGAACGAGAAAAACGTAAACGGACTGGTCGTGAAATTGTCATGGACTTGTTTGCTGATAAGTACTATAGTGAAGAGGACAATAAGGATGAATGGGATTTGAGTGAATTCCGTGAGTCGTTGCCGGAAGTTGAAAGTGATGTGAAAGACTATGGAAATGCGGCTGAAGAACATGATGATATAGACAATGATGAGGAAACTGACACAAATGGCACATTAATCAATGGAGATGTCAACGACACAACAAAATACAATAACAATGGAAACACTCAGAAGATTGTGGAGTCAAAAGTAGAAGTGGAGGCCTAGGCCATGGCCATAGCATATATTGCAGTTATTATTCTAGCAATACACGACTGATTCATGTGATTAGGCTATTTAGATTCTCTCACGATGTCCTTGAGAACTTCGCATGTTGTATCGTATAAGTCATCTTCATCATCTCGGAAGAACCGTACCTTGGTCCCGGTGTTTTCTAACATTTTAGCTCCAGTCATGGCCCTTTCAATCCATTCGGCTCCTTTTCCATCAATACTTTGTAAATCTTCAAAATGGTGAGAGTAGTAAATGTTGTGTAGATTATCGAGGATTTCGTCTCTGGTGGGAGTTTCGTATGCAATAGTGGTGGCAGGCCGACGACGAGGAGGTAAGTCTGGTGCACCAATAACCTCTGTATCTGTATGTGCTTTCGCGAGACCAAGTGTACTAGGACGAGTTGGTAACTTTGGGGGCATTTCCACCAAACTTTCTGGTGAGGAAGGAGGGGGTTTTCTAACAAGATTGCCTCGAAGACTACTAGGTTTCTTGGGGATCGTTGGAGGGAGTTTGGTTTTATGAGGAAGCTCAGGAATGGTATCACTCAAATCAATCAAGTCTTCCAAATCCTCAGGGTTGATTTTCTGTTGTGCCGTACTCACCAGTCTTGGATTAATGGGTCTAGGTATTTCGTGAGCAGGTTTAGTTAGAATTCGGTTAACTTCATCGACAATTTTATCTTCCTTTAAAAAGCTCATCAGATTAGGAACTACACGGATGTAGATTGCAGCCAATTTTCCTGGGTACCGAGATGCCAAATCAACATACGATTCAAAGTCATACTCACCGGAATCCCCAACACATACAAATCGTTTTCGTGGAAAATCTTCAGCAAGCTTGGTTAATACGGTACGCTTCCTAGAAGAAGACGGCTCCATCAACAGGGCCATAAGATTCCCTGTGTATTGTTTTAAGTGCATAGAGCCGCTAGGCAATCCAACCTCTGTAAAGTATTGTAGAAGGGTTGGGAGGAGCTGCACTGGCAGATTCAGCACATAGTGGAACGTCACTTTATTGGACTCGCACAATTGGTTATACCACAGGACAACAGGAGAAATGGTCCACAGTTTAACGTCTTGAAGAAGAAGGCTGGTCAAAAGAGTACGTTTGTCTCCAGTTACACCTGTGAGTTTGACTGTATCATCAATGTCACTGATTATAGCCACCCCATCATTGGAAACAATATCAACGGGTTCACAGGCAAACACTGCTGGTTGGTGTCCGGCCACCACCTGAACTAATCCAGGAACATACGGTACGGTGATACAGTCGCTGAAACATCCATTTCTGTCAGTGAAGACATCTTTTGAAACAAGCTTACTGGTCTCTAGTTCATCTCGACTCCCCACTGTGACCGTGAGCTTGGCATTCGCCACAAATCTGGCTATGAAGGCTGCAAGTCTCGTTCGAAGCGTCTCGTCGTTATTGCTATAAGCGCTGGAAGTGGTATCCACCAGAGAAATTGTTTCGGCATCGGAGTCGTCCAAGGTATCAGGTTGAAGACCATCACTTTCAAGATTGGATATGGCTGTTGACGTGGCGGAGTTGTCATAGCGTACGATTTGCTTCACGAGTGATAGAATGAGTCGGTTTTTTCTGGTCATGGCCCCAGGGCAAGCAAGCCATCCACCGACATCGACGTGATAGTTTCCGTCTGGGTCCTGCCGCGTATAAGTCGGATACAACGTGATGGAGGCATCTTCTGGAACCCGGATATTACCATCTGGATCATATTTATCGTTTGCAAATGCCCTGGTTGACACCCCTGTAGCAAGTTGCGTAACCAGGTCCGAGATTCTGGGGATGTAGACATCTCTGGCAGTTCTTGCAAGTCCAAAAATCCGTTGGCGTCGACTGCCTACATCTGAAGCAGATGAGCTGGTGCTACTGGGGTAGCTGGAAGGGTCGCTCATGGTCTTTTCTGCTTGCTTTTGTCGTCTTCCGTACCGTTTGAGAAGCTTAAGTTGTTTGGCCACACGTCTGTATTCGAGGTGGTTGAGGGGATATCGGGTCTTGAGGGCCTTGTAGTCTCGGTATACGTTAAAAATCGCTCTGAGACCAAGATTGCGAGGGAAACGCCGGGTTGCAAATACCGATGCTATGGATTTGATCGGGTTCTTCACTTTGGCAACTGGTGATAGACAAAAATGTGCGCACTGGAAACCATTTAAGCTTACTGATGCTTGGATGAGAGAGTTGAGAATGTTTTAAGGAGAAGCATGGCAAAAGCGGGAGGTGTTGGAGCTGAAGACAGTATGTGAGGTGGTACTGCAGCGGGCTACAAATGAACTGGTTATAAACAATATTTTTTTTCACTGAGTCTTTTGGTATTCTATTTGCAGCCAAACGTCTCAATCAAAGGCCCGACAGAAATTGCACATTTAAGCAGGGCCTTTGAGTTCTGACCCATACACCCACAGTTCTTGTTCACTCATTGCCCACCTATAAGTTGTACGCCTTTAAACTGGTGTCCACGTGACCTCTCCTTTTCCCGCGCCGCGATCCGCAAATCGAAGCGATCTCGAATCTCCAATCTCCTATCCCATACCATGTCACTTGACACTCTTTCCCTTGGAAACGAGCTTAAAGACTCGTACAAGCCCGTTGAGAAGTGGGTCACTAATGGCATCAACTGGCTCGGTGACATTGACGAATTCTACCAAGCCCGGGCCACTATCGAGAAGGAATACTCCACCAAACTCAAAGAGCTCTGCAAGAGGCATTTCGAGAAAAAAGCAAAACTCTCCGCCCAATTGTCAGTTGGTGACGAACCACAGATCACTCCTGGATCCTTGGAAAGTGCCTCGCTTGTTTTGTGGAACGACGTGCTTACGCAAACCGAGGCAATTGCTGAAGAGAGATCTGTGCTTGCACGGGATATTACTCTGAAAGTAGGTGCGTCTTTACAGACTCTCAAGAGCAAAGCGTCCATGGTAGCCAGAAATATTGATGGTATCCACACATATCTTGATGAGGAGAAAAAACGTACTGAAGAAGAGGTTGCAAAGGCCAAGAAACACTATGATTCTCTTTGTTCTGCCACAGAAGCAACCAGACAAAAAACAGAGAAGTCGCTGAGTGATAAGCACCAACGGAAACTTGAGGAAAAAGAGACCGATATGAACATTGGGAAGAATGAGTACTTGATCAAGATCAATGTTGCCAACCGGCTTAAAGACAAATACTTCTATCAAGACTTACCCGAAATCTTGGACTATTATCAGGAATTGAATCAGGCAAGAGTTCAGTTGATGAACAAGATTCTTCGTAATGCAGGCATTGTGGAACGCAACAGCTGTGACCGAGTGAAGGACAAGTTAACGGCCATTGATTCGACTATCGAACAGAATAACCCCCGGTTAGATACCGCCATGTTCATCAAACACAACTTGATCGATTGGAAAGAGCCCAGTGACTTCTACTTCGTTCCATCTTCCATCTGGCACGATGACGAGAGTTTGGTGACCAAAGAACCAGAATTGTCGGCGTTGAAGAAGGCTCTCAACAAGAGTCTGATGGAGTATGAGAAGTACCAACTGTCGTGTTTGCAAGTCAAGCAAAGTTTAGAAGAGTCTGTGGCTGAGAGAGCCAAGGAAAATAAAGATGGCTTGACGTTAAAGTTCGATGCCAAATTCCTGAACTCCTTGCACTTGTTGAGTAAATTCATAAAGGAAGACACTCAAAGAGTGAAAAACGAAGTGGTTATTGAGTTGATTCAAAACTACGCGGGAGATAAGGATTTGAGCTATCAGGAGCAAGCCCATGCCAAGAAGAGTCGGTTTGGTTTGTTCAAAGGTAAGAAATCCCACGAAGAGTCCACCCCCGGCGATGTCCAGTCTATTCACACGGTCAAATCTACCACCAGCCAGAAGACGGCTGGAAGCTCAGGAATATTCAACTTACGACGTGGAAGAGGCAAATCGGTGTCAAGCAATGGAACCGCTCACGGTGCTCCCACCGGTCGTGCAGCCTATAAATACGAAGCCACTGGAGATGATGAGTGTTCAGTAAACGTAGGTGATGTTTTTACGGTGGTTGATGCTGATGATGGTCTGGGATGGACGATGATTGACTTGAACGGACGTCAAGGACTTGTCCCTACATCGTATATCACGGTCGATACGATTGTTGCTACTAACACAGGTGATCTGAAGAAACAAGGGCCAAGTGTAGCTCCTAAAAGAGGTGCCAAGCGGGTTCAGTACGTGGAAGCGTTGTATGATTATGTTGCAGACGGAGAAGATGAACTCAGCATCTCTGTAGGAGATAGAATTGTATCAGTACAAGAAGATACGGATGGAAGTGGATGGACTGAGGGAGAGTTGAATGGTAATAAAGGGTTGTTTCCATCATCATATGTTAAAAAGGTGTAAGGTGTAAATAGTGTAAAATACATAGACAACACTGATTGGCAAACTGGCCCTTTTCACTATTAACCTCGCCTGGCCATCTCACTAATCTTACAATAACTGGTCCTTTTCACTTTATTATGACGATATATACTTATTAAATTACATAAAGAATATTAAAGTCACCTCTAATAAACTTACAATTTAGTATGGGGAGTTTTGATTCTTCTTTATTGGTGGGGGGAAAGATGACTTAGTATTCACCTGGAATTTCGAAAACAACAGTCTTACCGGTCAACTTAGTGTATAATTGTTGGAAAGAGTCCAATTTGTAGTCAACAGCAGTAGAGTCCTTGGAGTCCAACAAAACCTTTTGGATCTTGTTACCACCAACCAAGTATCTGACTCTCTTACCGATGATTTCGGTTGGGAAAACCAAGTCTTCCAAGATTTTGTCGTGAACACTAGACAAGGTTCTGGATCTTGGTCTCTTTTGTTGCTTTCTAGAAACTCTAGCAGGCTTTGGCAAGATTCTTCTTTCAGCCAAAAACACAACGTGTCTGTCTGGGAACTTCTTTTCCAATTCTCTGGTCAATCTGGTTTGGACTCTCTTGTAGGCAGCCAAGGATGGAGGAGGAACAAAGACGGTCAAGGCTTTCTTACCACCGGAAACATCGATTTCTTTGATGGACTTGAATTGCAATAGTCTCAACTCAGCCTTCAAGTCTGGTTGTGCTTCCAAGTCAACGAAAGCTTGGGCAACTTGTAATTCCAATTCAGTTGGCTTTTCGGATAAGATCTTGCTGGCAGCAGACATATTGATATTATCTGTAATAGTATTAAAAGTACTGGGGATAGGTATAGGAAAATTTTCAAGTTTTTTTTTTGTCTTTGAGATTTTTCAGGCCTCTGGGGTGTGTGCAGGAATGTGCGACTAGAGGCCCAAAAGTGCGATGGCACTGGTGCGTGATTCTGTGACTGCTTTTTTGTGAGTGCGGCAGCGACACTGATTTGTGCAGAGTGATTTTGCAGCTGCTAGAGAGTCTCAGGTATAGCCACGGGATGAATTTGGTTAGATAAATTCGCGGTGGAATCTATACATAAGGTTCAAGCCAGTTTCCTTGCTTGACCATCCTACAGCTATGTACGGTACTTATCTTTCAATGTAGTAGGCTCCAATTGTCTATGAATTGCAAATTTCACAGGTTGACCATCTCTAATTACTCCTACAAGTCAAGCACACACCAAGTCGGAAATGAAAACCATGTAACCATCAACAACCACCCTAACATAAAATTCCTCCTACAATATCTCCCACAGCACCTCTGGTGTCACGAGATTTCACTAATGTAATTCTCCACCTCCACAACCCAAACCTCACAGTCCCGCGAATTTTCATACATGTTAAAAACCAGGCTTCCGATTATACCCATCATAGCCCGAAGATCCATGAGTGTTGAAAGTGCCAAAAAGCTTGCTGCCTACAAGGCAGTCGATGAAAACTTCCCTCCCGCTGCCAAAGTGGTGGGAGTCGGTTCCGGCTCGACTGTAGTTTATGTGGCCGAAAGAATCGGACAATTGAAGAACAAACACCAATTCGTTTGTATTCCTACTGGGTTCCAAAGTAAGAACCTCATTATCGACAACGGGTTGCAATTGGGATCCATAGAACAGTACCCCGATGTTGACATTGCTTTTGACGGGGCTGATGAATGTGATCCCCTGTTGAATCTTATTAAGGGCGGAGGAGCCTGTTTATTTCAAGAGAAGTTGGTGGCAGCTTCCGCCAAAACCTTCATTGTAGTTGCTGACTACAGAAAGAAAAGCCCCAAGGCTCTCGGTACCAACTGGACCCAAGGTGTACCTATTGAGGTGGTACCCAATGCCTGGGTCAAAGTTTCCAGTGAATTGAAAAAGTTGGGTGCTAAGAAAATCGACTTAAGATCGGGAGGAAATGCTAAAGCCGGGCCTGTGATCACCGACAACAACAATTGTCTTCTCGACGTAGATTTCGGAGCCATTGAAGACCCCGAAGCTTTGCACACTAAGATCAAGGCATTGGTTGGGGTGGTGGAAACAGGGTTGTTTTGCGGAATGGCCCAAAAGGCATACTTTGGTGAAGAGAGTGGTGAGGTGAGTGTGTTAGCTAAGTAATTTCTGTGTGTCGTCTATTAATACAAAACGCTATTCATCTACTTCTTGCTGTTATTAGAAATCCAGTTCAATGTTTCGACTAACCCAGTACCGTTGATGGCTATTGTAGGTATTACCGACCATACATGGTTTCCTGGTAAGTGGTTCAATTCGAATTTTTCAATCAACTCCTTGGGCTTAATGGCATTGCCCACATCTTGCTTGTTGGCCAACACGATCAACAAGCACTCGCTTAGCTCCTTGTCGCTGATGACTCTCAACAATTCCTTCTTACTCTCTTCCAATCTGTCCAAGTCAGAAGAATCAACCACATAGATAAGCGCGTCGGTTCCGGTGAAATAGTGTCTCCATAAAGGTCTGATTCTTTCTTGTCCACCACAATCCCATACGGCAAAGGAGACGTTTTTCTGTTTGACGGTTTCAACATTGAATCCAACAGTTGGTACCGTTTGTGAAGTCTTGCCGAGTTTGAGCTTATATAAGATGGTGGTCTTACCGGCGTTGTCAAGACCCAACATCAAGATCCGCATTTCCCGGTTCTTGAAGATTTTGGACTAACAAGTTAGTATTTGTGAAATGGGGATGATGTGGCAGATGAGACCAATTCTTATCGGCAGCTCTCGAAAAGCTAATTGCCATTGGAACATGGTCGATGTTATTTAACAGAAAATAGGCCAATTCGGTGGGTATACGTACTACTAATAATCCCATGGTGGATGTTGCTTAGAGTGACTTGTAATGAGCGGATAAAAGTTTGAAAACACTGTAGGTTTCTTGAATTCGTGATGTTTTGGCCTGCGCGTTTTTCGTTTAGACGATTATACGTATTTAACTTTAATGGGAAACATTAATAGCTAAAACAGACGGTGCGTGCACGACACATATACCATACCCTTTACTTGGCTGGGTCCTACCACCGACTCGAGAGCACAAGCCCACCGTTGGGTAACTAGGATGTAATATTTGGGGTGGTTTTCGCCAAACGAAGCCTTTTTGCCGGTAGCAATCAGCTTACTGTGGGGCAAGTTGGGAGGGGCTTTGGCTTTTGCTCGTCTATTTTATATATCCGTAGTTTATCTACTAATTAGCACCTCGCCACAAACGCTCCAAACTCAACTTAACATCACCTTTGCTGAAATGGTCCAAGTTGTAGTATTTGGGGGCCAACTCAATTAACCATTCGGGTCTTATACTGGTGACAGTTCTGATATAGTTCTTGGACGTCAACACAAATTCATTGTAGAGCACCCATTCGTTATCGAGAGTTAGCACCGAGGAAGGATGGATCATCACGTCCTGATTGTCTTTGATGGTTAAGTAGTTGTTTTTGTTGCTACCTGACTTCTTCTTGGCTACTTGCATGAATAATCCTGACACTAATGCTTTTCTGATATTTTCCCAATATTTGCGGTCGTTATAGTCAGTCGACACCAACTTGATTCCATTTTTTTCCAGTAAAGACTTCAACTGGTTTCTGACGTTTCCAGCAGAAACCAAAGAACGGTAGTTCAAGAAATTTTCTCGACACCATTTTGCATCCATATCATTGTGTACAAACTCTTCGTAAACATTCAACAAGGTCAAATGGTCTCCATCTTTATGGGAAAACGACATCTTGATTTCGTCAGCTAACTTCTTGTTTTGTATGGGACGCACAAACACGTTGGGAACCGATAACAATGCCACGATCGTCAAGATCTCATTAGAGCAGTTGAACTTCTGAGAGTTGATCAACAAAATAGCCAACATTGGGTCCAATGGGAAATGCGATGCCATTCTACCTATCTCGGTCAAGTGCCCCTCGTCGCTAAGACACGCCAAGTAGTTGAGTTCCTCCAAAGCTCTCATCATAGTTTCGGGAGCCGGAGGATCCATAAAGTCAAAATGCACCAAATCATCAACTCCTAACTTTTTAAGCTCCAAAACTGTGGAACTCAAGTTGGAACGCAAGATTTCGGGATAACTCTGGTCAATCAATTCCTTCTTGAAAGCTTCTTCCGTGTATAATCTAAAGCATTTACCAGGTTTAGTTCTACCAGCTCTACCAGCTCTTTGTTGAGCACTTGCTTTTGAAATAGGAGACACAAGCAAAGATTCGACTCTGATTCTGGGATTGTAAACCTTTTGCTTGGAGAACCCAGGATCAATCACGTACACCACTCCATCGATAGTCAAGGAAGTTTCAGCGATGTTGGTGGAAACAATACACTTTCTTCCAATCTTACCGTTTCTATTTGGTGGAGCAGCATCAAAGATCTTTTGTTGTTGGTATGGTGGTAAAGATCCGTACAATGGGTAGACGCTCAAGTCACCACATTGGCCCTCTCTTTTCAATTGATCAGTTTCCAACGAAATCTTTCTGATGGCATCTTCAATCTCTTCTTCCCCGGTCAAAAAGAGTAAGATATCTCCTTCGTCCTCAGTGGCATGGATTTGTAACACAGTTCTGATGGCAGAGTCCAAATAATCTTTTTGGTATTCGGGAGTATAGTAAATCTCCACTGGGTGAGTTCTTCCGGGAACCGTTAATAATGGGGCATCATTGAAATAAGACTGAAACTTCTTCAGTTCTAAGGTGGCAGACATGATGATGATCTTCAAATCCTTTCTTTTCTGAACCAAGTTCTTCAACAACCCCATCAAGATGTCGGTGGACAATGTTCTTTCATGGGCTTCATCAAGCATAATCACAGAGTATCGACTCAATAAATGGTCTTCCATGGCTTCTCTCAACAACATCCCGTCAGTCAAATACTTCAACACAGTCTTATCACTGGTTTTGTTATCAAAACGAATATTGTACCCTACTTCTTCTCCCAACTTGACATCCAATTCATCTGCTACTCTTGTTGCCACAGACATGGCTGCAACTCTTCTGGGTTGGGTACATGCCACTTGGGTTCCTCTCAACTGGGGTAAATCATCAAACAACACAAACTGAGGAATTTGGGTGGTTTTACCCGAACCAGTTTCACCAACAAACACCATAATTTGGTTCGCTTGAAACACCTTGAGGAACTCATCTCGCTGTTGATGAACAGGTAAGTTTCTTCTGGTTTTAAGAATCGCAAAATACTGGTCAGTGAACTTTCTTCCAGTAAAAGGATTTGTGCTGGCGTCTTCAAGGTCCATTGCTAACTTTGCAGTGGAGTTATAACGGGTGATGTGGGAGAAGGACGATGCTAATTCGGGTCTGGCGCCGGTAGAGTATTGGTCTGCATTGGCTGCGACATCCAGATCGCTCGAGTCACCGGTTGCAAGCTGCTTCTTGATGCTCTTGATGTTTTTCCCGGCCTCAGCCTCGGCCTCAAGCTTTCTTTTGCTTCTGTCTGACTTTCCCATGATGTATAGATAAAGAATACCTCATCTCGAAAAAACTGCGATCAAAAGCGCGGGCCTGGTGCGACATTGGTCCCTCGCTAATGCGACCAACGCGACATCTGCCCTGGCAAACTTCCTTTGGGCCATCCCGAAAAAACCACCGCCTCTGGAGATGCTCGCACATTGCAAGCAACAATTTCCTGGCTTGTGAAGATCACTAATCAGTTGAGCTTGCTTTATTCTGATTATTGCTTTCTATTTCAAGTTCCAATCGTGCATTACGGGGTTCCGTCTTACTAGTTTTTAAGTCTTCAGCACTAGGTTTCTTTTATCCCGACTTTCAAGTGATTTTTTTTGGTTTACTACTTCTGAGACATCTCCAACATGAACAAACTGATATATGAGCTTGCCACGATAGCATCGGCAGCTGCCACTGCTGCCAAGGGCTCGATCAGAATAGTGTGTGCTGATACTTCCCGAGTGCTAAACAGTGACATAGTCAAATGTGTAACGGGAAAACCGTTGGAATATGTGGTGAATCCTACTTCATCAGGTGCTAACGCGTCCAGATCCATGTACAAAGACCTCCAGGCCAAGTCACTCGCTAACAGACAATCTCATAGAAACTACTGCACAAAGCCGAGTAAACGTTCCCAAAATTACTCGACAAATGCCCTTGATGGGCAAATCAACCCCAGCTTGGATCCTCTTAATGAGGAAAAGATCGCTACAAAGCCAAAAGTGGTTGGTTCCAAGCCTGAAAAATCAGCACTTGAGTCGTCCGAAGTCCCCAGCTCCAGGTTGGCTAGAATGTTCCATTACGGGTCTTTGGCAGCCGGAATGGGCTTAGGAATGGCCCAACATGGTATCAAGCATTACGCCCGTACCGATAGAACTGGACCCAGTGAAGGCTTATCGTTTAAGAGCCTCTTGTTAAATCCTCAAAATATCGAAAGACTTGCCAAAAAATTCAGTCAGATGAGAGGAGCTGCTTTGAAAATTGGCCAACTTTTGTCGTTTCAAGACTCTGCGGTGATCCCCAAGGAGATCCAAGCTATCTTGCTCAAAGTACAAAACTCTGCCCATTATATGCCATATTCCCAGCTTAATAGAGTTATGACTGAAGACTTGGGTGCTAACTGGAGATCCAATCATTTTACCTCGTTTGACGATATTCCTATAGCGGCTGCTTCCATTGGCCAGGTCCACAATGCTGTGACAAACGACTTGTCCAAAGTGGTGGTGAAGGTACAATATCCTGGTGTTGTAAACTCCATTGACTCGGACTTGAACAATATCTTGATGCTTTTGACGGCATCTTCGTTGCTACCACCGGGCTTGTTTCTTGATAAAACCATAGCAAACGCACGGGTTGAACTCAAATGGGAGTGTGACTATATCAGAGAGGCTCAAAACTTGATAAGATTTGAAGATATGGTGAAAGATTATCCTGAGTTCAAGGTTCCCAAGGTTTACCACAAGTTATGTGGAACGCACGTCTTAACGATGGAAAAAATGGAAGGTACTGAGGTGATCAAGGGCAATTGGGATCAAGAAACCAGAAACTGGATTGCCACAAACATCATGAAGTTGTGTTTGTTGGAGATCAAGAAGTTCAAATTCATGCAAACCGATCCCAACTGGGCCAACTTCTTATTCAACGATAAGACTCACCAGATCGAGCTTTTGGACTTCGGTGCTGCTAGAGACTTTGGCGATGAGTTTGTTGAGAACTACGTGGCGGTGTTGAGAGCTGCTATTAGAAAAGATAGACAGGCTATTGAAGATATCTCTGTGAAGTTGGGATACTTGACTGGTTTAGAAAGCCAAAGAATGGTAGATGCACATGTGGATTCGGTGTTGGTATTGGGAGAACCCTTCTCCCCCCAGAACAATGGTGGCAAGACATTTGATTTCAGGAATCAGACGGTCACAGACAGAGTAAGAGGTAATATCAGTGTGATGTTGAGTGAACGATTGACCCCCCCTCCAGAAGAAACGTACTCCTTACACAGAAAGTTAAGTGGAGTATTTTTGTTGTGTTCAAGATTGAACGCTCAAGTGCCATGTGAGCAGTTGTTTGCGGATATAATCGGCCATTGAACAGTCTGAACAGGCTCCTTTGTATATAATAAATAATGTTAATCATCTACGACTGAAAAATTTAAGTTCTCTTTTTAGATAAGATTTAGCGCGCGATTGCCATCTCCAGTTACCACTTCTATATCTAATTACAATTAGATGAATTCGTATGGGCTGTTAGCGGAGGACTCTGACAAGTCGCCCACAGGTGATGAAGATACTGACATATATCTTGTGTTGGGAAATCCGTCCCAAAGAAATCGAAAGTTCATCCGAACCAGTTCAGTTATTCTTCCTTCTACTGGTGAAAGAGTACACAGAAAGCTTTCTTTCAGTACCAATTATGAGAGTTTATACTCATCAATGGATGCAATAGAAGATACTAACGAGAACATTGACGATAGTAATGGGATGAATGAAGGGTCTAGTGAGCTCCAGCCATTGCTTTTATCAACCAACATCTCCATTCAAAATAAGGCCAAGATCTTGATGTATATGGCACATAACTTTATTGTGGAAATGTATCAAAATGAAAAGACAAAAAGTATCCTCAAGTGTTCATTGGCATATCTTATTGGATCTTTAGGGGTATATTGGCTGGTTTTAAACAGATTCCTAGGTAATTCAGACTTTAAGCACGTTATTGCTACTGTTGTGGTATATTTCCACCCGTCAAGAACAAAAGGCTCAATGCATATTACCTTGATCTACGTGATAATATCCATCTCGTTCAGTTTCCTTGTGTGTTTTGGATGCAGATTCCTCTCCGCTTCTTTCTATAAAAATGGGAGTGAAGAGGTAAGTATGGCTATTGACTTGGTGGTTTCGTCAGTTAGCTTGGGGGTAGTGGCCTTCATGAAACAGAAAGTTAACAAGGAGACTTTCAATACGGCGTGCTCTTTGGCATCTATTTCCATTGTGGCTTGTATCATAAAAGAGGGTAGTATGAACGGAGCCATCATTCCCATAGAGAGGCTATTATCAACTCTCCGGATAGTGGTTACTGGGTGTTTTATCTCGGTGGCTGTTTGTTATCTTTTGTGGCCACAAACAGCAGAAAGCCTTGTTAAAAAGGATTTGAATGATAGCTTCAACCTCATGTCTTCTATACTATCAGTAATTGTGAACCGGTTTCTAAAGGGAGAGAATTTGGATCATAAAGACAACGAGCTTTTCAATCGGTTGAATCTGAAAATCAACAACTTGAAGAAGAATTTGGCTGATGCAAAGTATGAATTGTACTTCAAGGGAAAGGAGTCTGAGTGGAAACACTTGGAAATGTTAATTGATATAACGATTTCGTTGGTCACAAATTTAAGGGCCTTGAGGTCTTCCACTGAAATGCAATGGAGGTTGTTACATGAACTGCCTCAAGATGAAGGATCCAATGCCAGCTTGAAAAGCTTCGAGTCCAATATTCCAATTTCCCAGTCAGTAGAGAACTTAACCCGTATTCAAGAAGTTTCAAACACTAATGACTTGGACTATCTGGCTATCAACTCCAGTCAAATGTTTGATTTGTTTGTGTACTATTTGGCACCTTCCACAAAAGCTTTTGTTTTCACCATCAAAAATATCTTGAATGATGTTCCCTTTCAGTATAATGATAACTCCTATAGACGGTTTGTGAAAACGGCCAAGTTCCAGAGATCTTTGGTGATTGCTACAACCTTATTTAACGACAAGCAAGTGGCATCATTTGACAAATTGTATGACCAAGAAATCTTCAAATCAAACACGAATTTCTTGTTCAAGTCTGATTTAGAGGAAGTCACCGCATGTTGTGGTAACTTTTCATCTTTGTTGGGACTTTTTGGAGATGAATTGTTAAAGTTCTTGGTTTTATTAAGTGACAATTCCACAACCCAGACGAAATCGTGGGATTGGATCAAAGTCTGGAGTAAACGTCAACTGGATGGAAATACCGATACTTTCAAATTCGACTCCAACTTGAATGATGCGTTGCTTCATTTACAAAGCCAATATCAACTCCGAAAAGTTGATAAAAACGACTTGAATGTTGAAAATTCAGTTCTTAATTTATACTCCAATAAACTTTGGCAACTTATTAAGGTGTTCAAGAGAATAGATATTCAGTTTGGGATCCGAGTTGGCTTGGGGGCATTTGTGTTGTCGTTATTTGCATTCTACCCTAGAACCAAGTTTTTTTTCACCAATTGGAGAGGTGAGTGGTCTTTGACTATATACTGTATCATGATGAACAAGTCTTTAGGAGGAACCCAGATGACAGTCAAATGGAGATTTCTTGGGACTTTCTTGGGAAGTACTATAGCTTGGATCGTATGGCTTTTATTTGATGGGCATCCCTTTGCGTTGGGACTTGTTGGGTTCTTGCTTTCCACGTATTGTTTCAATATCATTATTTATTGGAAGAAAAATAATGCGTTTGGAAGATTCATTTTATTGACCTACAATTTAACCGCCTTATACTCGTATACGGTGGAACAACATGATGCTGAGGATGACAATGAAGGTGGAGATTCTCCTATAATATCCGAAGTTGCCTTTCATAGGTTTATTTCTGTGTCTGTTGGGGTGATTTGGGCATTGACCATGGCCTCAATCTTCATTCCAAACTCAGCAAGGTCAAGATTGAAGACGGGATTGACAGTCTTATGGCTTCGGATTGGTGTGATTTGGAATAGTGATCCCTTGGATTATAGACGTGATGAGACTGATCAGAAGGACAAACTTATTAGTCTCAAAGGAGGTGAAAATGCCTTGAATAATTTGTTGAATGAGCTTGAAGTGCTTCTTAAACAAGCACCTCTGGAATTCAGATTGAAGGGGAAATTCCCCACCAAAAAGTATGAAAGCTTACTCTCGTCAAGTTCTAAGATTGTGGATGCTTTGCATAACATGATCTTGATAATCGAGGTGGACCCAATCTTGAGCACTAACGAAAAGTTTGTTATAAACTATATTGAGACAGAGAGACACGAGTTGGAACACCGTATCTTCTTGATATTCTACATGATTGCGAGTTCCATGAAGTTACAATTCCCATTGCCAAGTAAGCCGGCATCAACAGAACATGCCAAAGATCGATTGCTTTATAAGTTAAGTGAGGTGAGATCTAATTCTGTCAACGACTCGGTAGTATTGTGCAACGAGGACTACGTGCTATTGTACTCGTATATTCTAGTGACGTCAACGATAACTCAGGAACTCGATAAGATTATCGAAGTGATCAAGCAGTTAATGGGAGACATTTCTGAAGATATGTTTCAGTTGGTATAGGTTAATAGTATTTAATGAAGAATATGAGTGAATATAACTTTTGTAGATTTCGCAATATTGGCTGCAAACTGAAGAAAACTGTTAAAATCATATATATTGACCAATAAAAAAATAGGTTCTGACAAATAGGCAGGAGATTCATAACTGAATTGACAGTAGTGATTAAAATGTACCAACTGGTCGGTATACACCTCTCTGAATGAAAGGAAGGTCCGTTTTGTGGAAGGTTCATTCCATCAAAATATATAGAATACGCATCAAAATAAACTTTAAAAATCTCATTTTTTAACCCAACAGAACACTGTTCCACTGTCTACTGTCTCAAACAGTTACAATCCCCAACTGTCGAAATTAACTTCTATCAGTGGAATTTAGGGAATTATGGACATAGACACGCCGGCGGTCGTGTCTGGCGTCACGAGTATATCATCGCGAAAACTCAACATTAATAATATCAAACATTTGCACCATGTCATTCAAAGCTGATGGTCCCGTTGGACAGAAAATCAAGCCCATTTTGGTGCAAGAGTTAAACAACAGATTCAACATTCGTGACGAGGCTGACGACGTGGCCGAGTTCTTGTTGGTTTTGATAGCCGACAACAAGACGCCACCCGAAATCGTGGCCGAGGTTAAGGAGCTTGTGGAAGCTCCAATCGACGAAGTGTTTATCAATATGCTATTCGGCGAGATCAAGAACGTATCTGAAAGGCTTCATAATGAGCAGCAGCAACAACAGCAACAACAACAGCAGCAGCAACAACAGCAGCAGCAACAACAACAACAAGTTCAACCTCCACCGGTGGTACAAGTACCAATTCAAGCACCTCAAGCACCAGCTCAACCACAAAACCCGTTCCAAGCCGCTCAACCAGCTCAACCACAAAACCCATTTCAAGCCGCTCAACCACCCGTCCAATCACACCCGTTTCAACAACAAAACAACTCGTCTTCGTTAGACTTGGACGACTCCATGGAGCAGGAGCGCGTTGACTTCAGAAACTTACCCAACAGACCCAACAGCAAGTTTAGACAAGGAATCAAGACTAGAGGTGGTGGTGTTGGAAAGCAAAGAAGTAACAATAACCTTGGGCCTAAGGCATTTGGTGCCAACGCTGCCAACCTCGAAAGAGCCATGAATGCTGGTGGTGAAAACATGAAGTTTGTGGCCAGAGCTCCAAAGGGCCGTTGTGACAAGTTCCCCAATTGTAAAGACAGAGAGTGCAGATTCTCGCACCCTACCAAGGTGTGCAATGCGTGGCCCGCATGCCCCAATCCTCCAGGTACTTGTAACTTTTTACATCCCAATGAAGATCAAGAGTTGATGGCCAAGTTGGAAGTTAGCAAACAAGAGTATCTCAACAAACGGAAGAGAAACAGAGTGCCAGAAATGATTGTCAGCGGTATCACTCTTTGCAAGTACGGAGCCCTATGTTCCAAAGAACTTTGTCCATTTGGACATCCAACTCCAGCCAGTATCGAAGCCAAAGTGATCGATATTGTTTGGTGCGAGGATGGTAAAGGTTGTAAGAACCAGAGCTGCAGAAAGGCCCACCCTTCCCCTGGCTACTTATCTGCCAGTGTTGAAGGAGGAAACAAGGGAGGCAACAACTCGTCTTTCAGACCTCAAAGAAGTACTGGAGGAGCACAAAAGTCGTTGGAACAGTGCAGATTTGGAATGGGATGCACCAACTACAATTGTCCAAGAAGACATGCGACGTCCGGGGTTCCGTGCAGAGAAGGAGCTGGCTGTCAAAGAATCGACTGTACTTTTGCTCATCCATTTCTTGATGATTGCAAATTTGGAGTTAAGTGCACCAACGCTCTTTGTATGTTCCAGCACCCAGAGGGCAGAAGTCTTCCTCCAAATAAGTGGGTGAAAAAAGACCAAACTCAAAGTCTGGATACCAATAGTATTGGGACCGATGAAAGAATGTTTGCGGTTTCCGAAGATCAAGTGATGGAAAGAGCCGAACAATCCTCTGTTGTCTGAGGAGTTATTAGTATATTGTATATTAGAAACAAAAAAAAAAGAAAACAACAAAAACAAAAAACAAAAACCAAAAGACCCAAAAAGCATTTAAAAAGACCATATGCAACTAGAGAGATCAGCGACCGGTTATGCACTATAGATAGTAAGCATGCAATACCAGAGAGTACCGCAGCTGAAACCAACCATTGTTCATTGATGCATAAATGATACGATTCCACCAAGAATGGACACTGGCATATACGGACTCAGAAACAAACAAAACTTTACGAACCAGTCCACGGACATGTCGTCCGAGTACGGATTCAATAGATTATGAATAATGACCTGCTACGATTTATTATAGACAACTTTTTATTATACATTAAATAACTAGTATCTTCTCTTAACAGCAGCAGCTTCGTCAGCGTAAACTTCCAAAGGAGAAGCAGGCAAAGCAGCTTCCTTCCACAAGTTAGGAGTCAAGAAACCGTAGGTGTTACCCAAAGCAGCAAAGGCAGCTTTCAAGGTGTTTTCGGTGGTTCTGGTAGAACCAGAAGAAGTGGTGTACACATCTTCAACACCAGCCAATTGCATCAATTTCTTGACAACTGGAGAGGCAACAATACCCTTACCTCTTGGGGCTGGGATCAATCTCACGGTGATAGAACCACACTTACCAGAGGTCTTGGCGGTCAAAGAGTGAGGAGCACCCAAGTTGGTACCCCAGTAACCTCTTCTGATTGGGATGATGGACAACTTGGCAATGACAATGGCGGCCTTGATGGCGGAAGCAACTTCCTTAGCAGTCTTGATTCCCAAACCAACATGACCGTTGGAGTCACCAATGATGACAACAGCCTTCATTCTGGTTCTTTGACCAGCTCTGGTTTGCTTTTGCACGGATCTGATCTTCATGACTTCGTCCTTCAATTCTGGCAACAATTGGTCGATCACTTGGAATTCCTTGACTGGCAAAGAGTGCAAGTAGATTTCTTCCATGGAGGAGATCTTACCGGCCTTTACTAATCTACCTAACTTGGTAACTGGAGTCCATCCCTTTTCTTCATCTCTTCTTGGGCCTCTTCTTGGACCACCTTTCTTTCCACCTCTGCCGAAGTTTCTTCTTGGAGCTTGTTGTTCAGTAGACATCTTTTATATAGTTTGTCGGAATGTTACGTGGAAAGCCGGGGTGTTGGTTTTCAATCGACAAGTGTATATGGTAGAAAAATTTTTCAGCTGAGAGGTTTAGAAGAGCGCGCGGTGAGAGCGTGCCGATACAAAGAATGGAGGGCGGTGTGCGCACGCCCGGAGGGAGGGGTGCCGAGAGCCCAGGGCTGTGGCCCTATCCCTAAGTGCCCAGGGTGCGGCTTCAAGCAAACAAGCGGGTACAGCACCTGATCCGTCACATGGGTGGGTGACTGACGGGTGCTCCATCCGAGGCTCCGTTTATACCGACAGATCCCACCGTGATGCCCCTATCATCGTTCCCCTTGAAAGTGCCATTGTTTACTTCTTTCCGGTGACAGGCCTTTATCATCCGCACTGTCGTCGTCTAAACTCTCACCCGCTCAATTAAGCTCCCGCCTCACTCAATTGCTAAATCAGTGACTCCCTATCGCGTCTTCCATTTCGCACCCGGATTTTATCCCCTAGCAACTCAACTATTAAAAGCTAAAACATCCCGGTTTTTCTTCTACTTAAACCCCATATTCAATTATCACATTATGTCTTATTCTGATGCTGTCAAGTCCTCTGGCCCTGTAGGTGCCAAAAAAGTCCCTCCTGTACCCACCGTCAACAACACCTCCAGTCCTAACGGTAATGTTGAGGTGATTCCTGAAGACAAGTTGAAGGAGTTTGAACCTAAGAAGCAACAATTTGACGGAAGCAAAATCAAAGACTTCAGTAAGGAGATCAAGAAGGCAAAGGATTCGCAAGCGGTGGAAGATGCTGAGGACTTTTTCAAGAAACTCTACGGAAGATTAGGTGAGGCTTTTAAAACTGCTGGTAACACGCTCCACAAAGTTGGGTTGAAGGCTCTGGAAAAAGGCCAATTGGCGGTGGCTACGACTAGCACTGAATTGAAGAACCCAGTGGTTGTGTTGCAGGCGGTGGTGGGAATCACCGGACTTATTGGAGGTTACTTTGCGTACTTTGAAAGACACAGAATCGACACGTCTAACAAGTTGACGTTGGCGCTTCACGGAGCCATTATTACTGGGTTTGTGCTTGTTGATGGGTACTTGTTCCAGAAATTTTACCCCAAGTATAAGTAGAGGATGTTATTTGTAGACGAATGAATGTACACGCCAGACAAGACTAGAAGACAAATAAAAAAGCCAAGGAGATTCTGTAAGATGGCCGAGGGACAGGGCACACTGTGGAGTGATTTAAAGCCGGAATTGTCCGCGGAGAGAATATTCAGGAGGAGCTGCAACTGGTAAAAGTTTCCTGGGTTGGAACCAACCACTTCGTAGATCCATTGATTGAGGAGGGTATCATTTAGAGCATACAGCCTCGTGCAGCAATAACATAGTGTATTCGGCATACTGCATGCGTCTACCTTATCTCCTCTTTCAACATACTTGTACGTATCTCCTCACGCAGTATGCTAGGCCTGCAGCTAGTCCTCCATCGGGGAGCTCGCTGGGACTCCGCTGGTGGCGAAGATTGTCACTAAAAGAAAACCAAAAAAGAAAACTATCGGTCTAAACCAAAGCTTAACTACTATTCCCATTCAAGGTTTGTTCAATCACCAAACTCTAATAGTATTTGCTCTATAGTAAACTGTGATCAGTTAAATTTGAATTGTTTGTCACTCCTCAGCCTCTTCCTCCTGCTGGGTGAACAGATCCTATTTTTAGCTCGCAGGCTCCCTACCACAAAAAGAAGAATTCGACGCATAGAATGACTATTTTTCGGATCCCCCAACACTAAAGAAACAAAAAAAAGAAAAAAAAAATCAAAATAACGATAATTATCAGCTGCACCGTAGAAAATAAATAGTATCCCAGTCCAATAATTAAGATGATCAATATGACTAATTTTCTATGCTCAATGTCGTAAGTGGCTTGGGAGTAGGCCATTCATCTAATCCAGCCAATCGCAGTTTTGTAAAGGGGCGGTATCAACGAGATGAGGTCGTGGCCCGCGTAATGTTTCTTTTTTTTTTTGCCGCCACCAACTATACTACCAATATGGGGAAATATTTCGGGTGTTCCGTAATGCGTATAGACAGTCACCGCCGTGTTCTCGAGTAGAGGCTTTGGGAAGGACATGACTGTTGGTGCACGGCGTATAACGTCCTTATCTTCCAGACAGGAATTTCGAGCCGATAAGAATGTTTTACGGGCCACGCGCCTGGGCCGTAAGGGGGCCGTGGCGTTAAGGTGGGTGGACGGGTAAGACTCCAATTAGTGGTGGTTATTAATAGACCGGGTATTTTTCGTTGGAAGGAAGATCCCTGGTCAGAACAATGGGGCTATCGAAGTTCAGCGCACATGCTGGAGACGTCCATTCTTGATTGCCACGAGAGGGTGGTACAAGGAATTTCCCGAAACGGTATAGTTGATTGTTCTCTTGCATTGGCTTTGTCGTTGAGAAATGAAAAATAAGAAAAAGAAAACATGCGAAAAAGAAACTATATGTCTATATTTGGTGATTAGCATTGCATACCCCCGAATCAAGCTTTGGCACTATTCTAAACGCGAGCTTGTATACACACCAAAAGAACATTGGAAAGAAGAAGAGAATCTTCGGTTGTCTATAGGGCAATCATGGTTGACGCGGAGAGCTCCCGAAAGGTTTTTTGCGTTGCTATTATTTAGTGTATTTTTCGGTGTGTCCCCACATAGCATCTGGAGCCGTCTGGGGCTTGAGTTCATTGATTCCTCGGTATTTTGTTAATGATGACAGTGGAGGGATCAGCCACATTACACGCAGTAGATATTGATATCGGTGATGAGTAGAGTCTATTAATAACCTTACAGCCAAGACAATGGCATCTAGCTGGACCACAATACTGATAAGTCACTAGATTATTCGCACAAGCCCTTCAAAATGCCTTGCAAGAGCGACGATCTGTACAGGTTTATAGCGATGGGGTTTTTCGATATGCAAGTGAAAGTTTGTTATTCCGGATCCCGCATGCGCCTCGTCAAACGTGAGGCTCTTGTCTCATTACATCATCTATCTTTTGGGTTGATCTCTAATGACCGATAGGGCATCATTAGCGACAACTACATTACCATGATCACACAGTTAGCCGAACGGCAATGGCCGACGCCTGGACTACAGGTCTTTATATCATGAGGGCGGATGAGTACTTTGAGAAGCCCCTGTTTTACATATGACAGATTTAAAAGGATGGCAATTGCGATGTACAAAGCTGTAGGTAGAAGTGGCATCGTAGCCATCATTGGTATTTTGCATTTTATGCCTTAGTAAATATCCCCGAATGGTAAAAAATACCAAACTATAGTTCATCCAAAAAAAATTCACATGCGAAGATGCTCGGCTTCCATCCAGCCATTTATTTTTATTTTTTGTTTTTAATTTTCCCAATATCACAGTCACTGTGTGTATCTTTTCTTTTCCTCTAAGTTTAGATTATGCAATCGAAGGGAGAGAATAAAGTTTAACGAGAGAAGGTTAAGCAGCGGCCCCAAACGGTTTTTAGTGACCGCCATAGTTGGCGATGACCCACATATATCAAGGACAACAGTTTTTGCAAGTCAGCTGTAATACCAGCCACAAAAAAACCCTTGCCCCCCTCGAGAAAAAAATAGGTTCGACAAGCTTTAATCGAACAGTTGTAAAGAAAGGATTAAAATGTTCGTTACTGTTTTCGGGACAATCAGTACATCACCGCGTGCAGATGTCTTCCCGAAGCGGAGCGCACGATGACGATATCCAGCTGAGCAGGTCGATTTCTAGCGGTAGCCCGCCAATTATATTGCTTCTAGGTGTGTGCAGGCAGTGCGTGGTGTAAAAAATATTCAAGGTCTTTTTATTTTGGATTAATGGTGCAGCTGGTTTTATTTTTTATTTAATTTTTATTTTTTTAGCGCTATGTTGTAATGAAAATACAAACTATCAAAAGAAAAAAAATTAGTTTATAAATAAAGGATGAACTCATTTTCTAAATTTAAAATTTTACCATAAACCCAATACATATATAAACCTTGGATAAGTCCATGATCTAGATATTGATTAAATTCATCGTCGTTTTTATTCTCCAGTCTCGTCGTCTTCAGTCCAATTAAAGTAAGGCTCCACTGCCAATCACCAATTGCTCCTATCCCCTTTCCCATTGATAACCTCCATTATCTTTGAGTAGATATACTCCCGTGTAATGTTTGATTTATCCAGTGACATTATTATCCCCAATTTTGATATGTTAGACAATAATAGTGGTGATTACTATTACAACTACAACGAAATGGAGACCAATTATGAAATGACCTTTGATGACTATGATACTCCTGGTGGCCAGGTGATGACGGCGTCATCCAACTTGATGACTTCCAACTACAACCAGCAGATCCCCCAGTATACCAATGTGTCGGCCACCCCTAGCATGGTGAGCACCACCAACAACTCAGTGGATGGGTTCACATTTAATAATTATGCCAACCCTAACTTGAACCTGGAGAATTTGAATCTTAACAATCAGTCCAAGCCTGAGCCGGCTCACTACGGGCTGCAAAACAATTTGAACCACTTGAGTGTCAATGTCAATCTCTCGACCTTAAATAATGAGACTAATTTTTCCACCCCCAATTTGACTCCTCAAATCCAAAGTCCCAACCATATGATGTATCCGGCAGCCTATGACTTGGTGGGAAACTCGTACCACGAGTACGCCCCACAGAGCCATCACCAGCCACCACTCTCGGCCCAGCTGTCGGTACCATATGACTTTCACCGGTTCCCATCACCGTTGCACGCGGGCCCCGAGTCGCAGTTGACTCAGTACCAGCTCCAACAGCACCAGCACCAGCACAGCCCGGTGCCGGCACTGGCACTGGCCCCATCCAGGACTACGGTTATGCCCATGGCCCACTCTCCTTCGTCCACCTCGTCTGCCACCGCCAAGGAGCGGAAAAACCCGGAAAACAAGATCATCACCTCCAAAAACAACGACTATCGGGTGGTCAGAGGTATTGCCGCCGGTGGGCTGCACGTACGGCCTCCCAAGAGTACCGGAGACTCGGACAGCACGTTTGTACCCATTGAATTGAACTTGATGGGGGGATCTGCCGAAGAAATCTGTCACCCCGCTTGGTCATCCCTGGAAAAGGAGGACCGCCGCCGGATTGTGCGTATCGAGCGGATCCAAAAGGGCCCCAAAATCATTGCCAACTTCAGCATCGTTGGCAGTGCCAATGAAAACCCCACAGTTTTACCCCCACCCCCTAACTTTAATGTGGATGTGATTGAAGTGAGTTGTTTGGAATGTACCAAGAAGTTGAGAAAGGAAGAAGAGGAAGAGGAAGATGATCACGATGACTTTGGATCTGCCAATGACACGGAGTTTGACTACTACATCACGTCAGTGGAGGTGATTGAAATCGTGGAGCTTTTAATCCGTACTATGTCGTCAGTGCCCAGCGAGAGGAGAAAAGAGCGCGGGCGGGTCAGAAGTAATTTGGTGCCATTTTGGGCCAAGAAACCCATTAGTTCTCGAATCGACGGTAACGTCCAGCCTGATTATCGGGTAGAGTTGGCGAAAAGAATCATGGGATATGAGATTAGAAAGCCACGGGGGTTTGACAAGGAGGTGCGGATTTTGAGATGGGACAAGTTGATGCCGGCGTTGCGCAGGGCCTTGCAGTGTTATTACTGCGAGATTCCGCACAAGGCTGATTAATGTGTAATGTATTATAGATGTAATATACTGCTTGCGGTGAAGGGCAAGGTTGCCAGGGAGTAGCTAATTAGGGTTCAGCAATCAGGGGCCAGCAATCATGGGCCAGCAAGTGCCAGTGACCAGGGACCCACGATCAGTGCTAGACACCAATCAGGGATTAGCCAACCGAGCAATTATCGAACATTCGAACAATAGAGCGTGGTTAGCATATCTATTTTGACCTCCAAGCCGCGGGCACATGGCCCGGCTGGCCGGGGGTCGGATTGTCCATATTGGGGACTTCAAATTGTATTTAAGCAGCAATGCAGACGATGCTTGCGCAATTTCGTATTGTCTCAGCAACATCCTTGGTACGGCACTTTAATTGGAACTATTAAGCGTGTGCAAGGGTGAGCAACCTACACTCAGCAAACGCTGAACCACGGATCCAAACCCAGTGCTGCAGACCGCCATAAATAAGGTTCGGGCCTAACAAGCGGATTCCCAAGGTGGCAATATACCAGCGGAGCTCTACAGTATGCGGAAGGACTAGAACTCCTGGGGCGCAAACATTCCGCTATGAAGTGTGATTTTAGATCAGGCTCAAAACTGGTGGGTCTCAAGAACCTTATCACCAAAAAATTGTCCCATTTGAGACGATGATACCGCCTCAACCATTTTAGTTCATCTCGCATTGCCTGGCATGGGACGATCAGGAGCCGGAATCCTCACGGGTATGACTCCATGGTGGTAGCCAGCACTATTGACAGGTCAAGGAATCCAAATTCTGACCCATCCACCGCCGCTCAACCACCGGCTGCCACCATCGGCTACCACCACCCTGCCACCACCCTGCCACCACCTACACGCGTTCAATCAATTAACCCGTTTAGTCAGAAAATTTTTCAACCCCATTTTCCTCTGACACAACCATTCTCACCGCACTCCTCCAAACAACCACTCAAAAATGAATAGAAGACGCTCCTCCAACTCCACCGCCAGCAGCGCCTCCTCCATCATCACGGTCACATCCTCCAACTCCACCCAATCGTCCATGAACACTTTCGATCACCAATCGGTGCTCTCTACCCGTAAAGCATCCCGATTATCAAATCTCAATCCCATGAAACCCCGTTCAGTTCTGGGAAAATCAGACATGGGCCCCATTGCCTCCCACCAAAATGGTCCCAATGGTCACATTGCCTCCCACAATTCCTACTACAACCTCACACCCATGTCCACCAACTCGTTGACCGAAATCAACAATTACCACTTGACGAAAATGGACACCAACGATTCGATCGATTCCAACTTCTCGTTACAGCTGCAGTTCAAAATCGAATTGAACATGAGCCGTAAGGAGATCGAACTCATACGATTCACATGGCACAAAATGTTGCTTGAAGAGCCGGTTGTCCAAACTGAGTCTTCCTTACCAATTCCTGGAGGATTCCGGTTCGGCGACCAATCCAACTCTTTACAACAGCAGGCGTCCCAGCACCAGCAACTGGACTTGAAACCCGCCAACAACATCGCTTCCTCACTCTTTTGCAGGCAATTGTACGGGAACTTGCTCAATATGAACCCTACTTTGGAGAAATTGTTCCCCAGTATCAAGCACCAAGCGGTCGCGTTCGCAGGGGTGATGTCATTTACCATTTCCCAGATGGAAAATTTGGCGGGATTGAACGAATACTTGGAGAGCTTGGGTAAGAGACACTCACGGATCTTGGGTATCGAGCCGTCGATGTTTGAGTTGATGGGAGAAGCGATGATTCAAACGTTCCACGAACGGTTTGGTACCAAATTCAACCAGGAGCTTGAGATTTTGTGGATCAAACTCTACATGTATTTGGCCAACTCGTTGTTGCAGTTTGGGATAGATCCGATCTTGAAGCTCAATACCGGTGACAACTCCCACGACCACCACGGACTGTCGGGGTTGTTTAGGCTCAATGAGATTTCGCAGCCAGCGGTCCGCACTCCATCGGCTCCAAGTCTGGCGAAGGAAGATTTATTCAGCGTAGCGGACGGAAAGAGATCGAGTGTTTCGACGGGCCTGGCAAACACCAGTTTTGATTTAAAGAAGAAAGACAAGGGCATGAACAAGAAGAAGAGAGATTGTGTAGTCCAGTAGTGGTTATTTATAGATGCATAGTATATTGAGCATTAATACATTGAGAGGAGTACAGTGGAAGAACCTGATGTGCATGAAGCATGAAGCATGAAAAATGAAACATGACGCAAACATAGTGCAGCATGGTGAAAAATATCAAGTGCAAATATCGCAAAACATCTAGTGCACATATAGAAAACACCTAGTGCTTCTAAAAACACCTAATGCAATAAAAACTTTGTAAAACTTAGTGCATGAAACACATTAGTGCAAAACATTCTCAACCACATTCGTGTACTTTTCACGCGTCGACTCGCATCGCTACTGACAACCGTTGTCCCGGATACTCAGAAAGCCACAAGTACCCCGACCCACCACCCTTTGCCCAAACCCACCGGTACCACAGCTCCGGTATCTTATCAGTTCCCACCACCAAACCCTGACTGCCTCCGTCCACGGGAATTAACCACACGCCTCCTTCTTCCTGAAACACGAAATCGCCAAGCGCGTCTGCCATTTGTGAAAAAATTGACACTTACTCAAATCTCACAGCCATTTAATCTTTTAGGAATCAGAATAAGCTATCATGAGTCAGGTCGAGTCCAAAGAGGTTGACTTGGAAGAGATTCTCTTGACCAACTCGTTCTACTCCTACGACAAGCCTGCTGGTCACACCCAATTGAAATCTAACCAGGTGCCCACCAGCTTTATGAAAAATTCTCCATCGATTAAGGCATTGGAAAGCATTTTGAACGAAAAGTCCCGGTCCTTCAATTATAGCTTGAATAATTTGAGCAACCAGAGTGTCCAGACGTTCCAGACAGCTCCCGAACATAACTCTCTGAAATTGGAGACAATTGATGCTAGTCCCCTGAGTTTTAACGATTCTACCGTCAATGAACCAGATGACAATGATGGGTTTGTCAAGCACCTCGACCCCAGTACCGCCACCTTTGGCTATCCCATGGACGAGGAAAGGCTTACCAATGCCACCGACAACGATGATACGCTTATTGATGAGGTGGCTGGAACTCTGGCAGCACCTCTTCATCCTCAACCCAAGTATATCAAAATGCCTAGTTTGATACCTCCAGACTTGAGAGACGAGTCCACCTGGAAGAGGCAGTCAATGGTAGACATTCCCGAGAAGAGACAATCAATGGTGGATGTTGCCGAGGATTCCACCTGGAAGAGACAATCAATGATAGACACCCCCCAGGATTCCACCTGGAAGAGACAATCAATGATAGACATTCCCGAGGAAACACCCTCGGCCATGGCCACCCCCAAACAGCCACCGGCACCGGAACCCAACAAGACCCCCAAATCCACCAGTTTTGGTACTTTTGAAGACTTCCAAACTCCTAAAAGGCACTCCATCAGCATGACTCCTTCCCCAAGGAAATCACCTCATTTGCGGTCGAATTCAGCTTTCAATTTGGCCCCAAACAAACCCGAAAGTCCAAAAAAGCATAAGAGAAGCAGTACCTTGTCTGATTTGTCCAACTTGAAGGGCCCAGCCACAGACGACAAAAAGTCCAAGTTTTCCTTCAGATCTCTTTTCAGGAAGAAAGACAAGAAACTGGAGGAAATCAAAAAGGCAAAGGAAACCAAGAAGGTTGAGGAACCTAAAGTCAAAAGGGACTCGAAGGAAACCACTGGGAAAAAGGCCGTGGAAAAGACCCCAAAGCTGCAACCAGTAGTCAAGGTGTCCAAACCAGCCCCAGCTTCTGTGCCTTATAGTTCCAACATCAAACTTCCCAGTGAAAGAAAAGAACCTTCAAAGTCCTTCAAGTCCAACACAAACATGAATTTCATCCGGGAAGTTGCAGACGATTATCAAGAACCTCTACAAGAATTTAATGATGACTATGACAACCACAATATCACACACAACCCTCCCACGAAGATGGTAGTCTCCAACAAATACGGGGAGGAAATGACCTTGGAGCCATCACCACTCCCCAGATCCAACAACCCGTTTGTCAACTTCACTCCCAGTCAAAGACAAAGCACTTTTATGGATGAAGAGGAAGATGATATTTTCGGTTCTCCCAAGCGTGGAACCAATACGGTGAATGAGCTGTTACTTGGAGACTCGTTGTTTCCGAAGTCTTTAAGCACTCAGGAAGTCGAAAGCATTGTTTCGTTGGAAAGATCCCGATCCATGAGGTCCGTAAAGTCAAGCAAGAGAACCAGTTTTGTAAATGTGGACGGTTCTGATGAGAATATCATCTTGTTCAACGACAGCATGAATAACTCATTCAACTCGCCTGTTTCAAACACTTCAAGGTCAAACTCCATTTTGAAGAAGTCCAAGTACGGAAGCATCGACTCCAAGATCACAGGAAAACATGCCAGTAATGTAAGCACCGGTGACGACAGCGACTTCAACGATTTGATGGAGTTCAGTGATTTCATTAACTTTGACAACTTTCAAGACGTTAACTTGGAGTTTAGTGTTGACGTTGATCATCAAGAAATAGACCAGACTCCAAACCAAAGCCAAAGTCCAGAAGAAACTCCAGCTGTTAAGGAGATAAAATCCCAATCAACTCAATCAGTGCTTCAACCTCCAGTTCCTTCTTCAAAACCAACAGATTCGAAGAGGTTTTCTTACCACCCTGGTACTAATGATTCTCCCATAGTAATCTCTTCATCGTCGTCGATTGAAGAAGACTCGGAAGAACCTATAAGACCGTTAAACGTGTCTCCCAGAACCCCTGAAATCACTGTTTCGCAACAGCAGATCCCATCGTTGCTTACGCCAAGCCTCAAGGAAATTGACATCAACCAGAAGTCTCCTGAACAAGTTCCCGTTCTTAATGAGAAGAACACCAACGTGAGACCAATTTCAATGTCTTTCAAGGGCTTGAAAGGTCCTTCATTCGGGAATAAGTTAAGCACCAAGGCCCTTCGCGAGTCTGAGTCTCACCAGTCGTTTAACATGACATTCAACGATGATGATTCAGACCTTTCGGGATCGGCTGTTGGAGGGGGATTTGGATCTAGCGATGAAGAAGAAGAAGAGGAACTTGATCTCGATGAGTACAACTACAACCAGTACTATAATGACCAGTACGATTCGGAAGAAGAAGAGTTGGAGAATCAACAGGAAGAGAAAGAGAATTTCAGCCATTTCCAACCTCCACCACCATTGACACAGAAGCTGAAAAGAAACAATATCGGTAGTCCCGAATCGTTTGCGTCTTCCAACTTGGGCAGAAGTTCCAACTTCACTGCATCCCCAAGGTCGGTGGTTCCGAAGAAAAAAAGTAACGGAGTCAGATTCTCATCAAGAATCATCTTGTATGACACCTACAACGGAGATGAGTACGATAGACACCCGGACCTCGCTACATGTAACCAGTTGACACCAATGCTTGCGCAAATGATCAGAGAGGAAGTCAATGAAATCAAGGCCAATATGCCTGTTCACGAATTGTCTCGTTGCAACACCCATTTTTTTTAACCCACACGCACTAAATGAACCGTTTTCAATTCAAATATGTATCTAATATATAATCGACCGTCTATTTCGTTTGTACGTTTTTGTCGTTGATCTGCTTGGCGTACTCTTTGTGGGCATCTTGAAAGATCATATCCAACATCAAGGTGTCTTTGGGGTCCACTTTTGCCACTATTTTGGTTGGTTCTGCCGTCTCCACGATCACGTAAACGCCGTCCTGCCTGTCGATACTCGTGGTGCCGGCCCAGGCCGCTTGGTCGTATTGTATCATACCCACCACTGGTGGTTCTCCATCGATATAATCGGGATAGGACATTGCGGAAAAAGTTACTGTGTGGGCATCGCGATGAAGTGAGCTAATGGTAAGGACACACGACATCGTCTTTGGTATATTACTGTATACTTGCACATACACCTACACAAAACTATATTCTCATGCAGTTAATGAAAAAGTTTACCAATTTAGGAGTAAAGATTCTCGATTCAGAAGCATAATATGTATATGTAAGAAATAAATATGGAAACAGACCCACACCTACACAGGAGTATATAAACACTGAGTTCAGGTTTCCCATTAAACTAAGGTGTACGGCTGTTGCTCACCAGTGTGGGCGTAAAACTTACCGGATTCGGCAGCAGTAACCTTGTTGATGGTAGCCAAACTTGCAGCCACTGAATCGTCTACTGGCATACCTCCTGGGATGTTCTTGGTCATGTCGGTTGCAACAAGTCCCGGACATAATAAAACCGTCACTGAACCCTTTACCAATTCGTCGTCGGAACCAGCATTTTCCTTAGCAATTTGGACCCCCAAATGGTTGAGTGCAGCCTTGGAAGCACCGTAGGCATTAAAATCAGGCAGAAATCCAATTTGTCCCATGCTGGAGGAGACGAAAGCAATTTTCTTAGTACCCTTTCCTTTGAAAATGTATGGATAGGCCGCTTTGTAAGCCTTAGCAGGACCTCCAACATTGACATCAAGAATTTGTGTATAAGCGTCTACGTTGTATACGGATGAAGGCTGCACGCTAGTATCATCGGCGATACCAGCGTTGTGAATAAACACATCAACACCATTTGGAGCCAAGGTTTCGAGAACCTTGAAGGCCGTCTCAAATTTGGTATATGGATCTTGCATATCGATCAACAAGGTTTTAACATTTGGTCCTAAAGATTCTAATTCTTTTGCAGACTTTTCGCTTCTAGCAGTAGCGATAACCAAGTTGGACTTTTCAGCACTCAATTGTTTTGCGAAAGTGTAACCAATACCGCGGGAAGCTCCGATGATCAAGTAGGTGGACGACATTGTAGTATGGAAGAATTAAAACCTGGCCCAGAGCCCATGTTTTATACCTATACTTCTGAGGTTTACGCGCCCAGAGGTTAGTAATGCTAAGACGAAATGCGTGTATGTCTCACAAAAGAGCTGACATAACCCCGGGGCAGATACTCTCAGTGATTAGTAATAGATTTACCAGTTTTACTAATAGATCTACTTGATACCAAATGTAGCATTGGCGCGTGTGTAATCCACTGGGCGCCACTGACCTTCACACGACCCGACTCTCAAAAGTCGTGCTCCGTCAAAAGCCCACCTCATCCGCGCACAGAAACCATCGCATCTCAAATACATCATGGAATCCATCTTAGGGCATAAAGTGGTACCAGGACAGTACATCACGCCCTTGTACAAGACACATGGTGACGGCGTGCTCCTGTTTATCAGCGGCAAGGGCACGACGGTGTCCCAAATCGAGCACAATGAGAAGGTCGTCCCCATCATAGTTTCTACGGTGGTGGGCATATTGGTGAGCCAACCTGATGCATCTGATGAAAATAAGATCACCGTGTCGGTGCTAAGCTCCAAGTACACTGCCACTGGTGCTAACCCAGACACAATCGATATCTCGCCCGTGACCAACAACCTCCCAAAGGAAAACGACATTGTGGTTGTTCGAGTCACCAAATTGAACGTCAAACAGGCGTACTGCGAGATTTTATCAGTAGAAAGCCTGGGAAATGTCATAGAGGACTCGGGGCTCGGCGTCAACGGCGACATAGCCCACCAATCCCTCGGTGCCGGAGGAGGAGCTCAGGCGTTAAACAATCACTCCACCATAGCTTCTTCATTGACAGCAGGCATCAATGCCATGGCTGGAGAACTAGGTGAATCGTTCAAAGGTGTCATCCGGTCCCAAGACGTGCGACTGACCGACAGAGACAAGGTGAAGATCATCGAGTCGTTCAAGCCCGGTGACATTGTACGGGCGTTGATCATTTCCCTTGGAGATGGTTCCAACTATTACCTAAGTACCGCCAGAAACGACTTGGGAGTCATCTACGCCAAGTCCGAAAACGGTGCGGGCGACTCGATGTTTCCCATCGACTGGGAGCATATGGTGTGTCCCAAGACGGGAGTGGTGGAGAAGCGCAAGTGTGCAAAGCCAATCACTTGAAGTGTACTACGATATGAGGGCATACACAAATTATAGTAAGATCTAATATATAACAATTACCGTGTTAAACACGCTCTAGTTCTGTTTGACATCGGGCACCGGGTATACCAAGTCGTCGTGGTCACCTCTCAAGTCCACTTCACTCAAACCCACCTTAGACCCAAACTTTTCAAATCTCTTGACGTACTTGGTCTTCTTCTCATCCGCCATCTTTATAAGTGCCGGCCAGTAAACCTCATGATTATACTCGAAATCAGCCGTGCCTCCGAAGTCCTTGTCCAATTGTTCAATTGGTACATATTTGGGGAATGGCTCGTCAAACACCAACTTTTCCCGTGTTAAAGGGTCAATAAATGGATGAATAATCTTTAAAAAAGTCCATCCCAACAATGGAATGTTGCACAACAAGGCCTTACCCAATCTCTCGGGATAATGAGTTTGCAAAATGTGCAAAACTTGTCTGCCAGTGCCAATAGGTGGGATCTTACCCGTGGAAATACCTACGTTGGTAGGCTTGAAATCAATCAATAATGCTAACGAGTCCTGGCCACTGGGCATAAAGTCGATGACACGTTCCAACATATACACCATATGCTGGACCTGAGTGATTGAAGGCTTGGTGTTCTGTCTACCAGGTTTCAAGTAAAGACAAGGTCTGACATCGTTGTCGTAACCCAAAATAATCTCTTTTCCTGTCTCGTTTTCCGCCCCCGTCAACTTCCCGTTCACCTTATTATCATCTTCAAAGTTACCAGCGATGCCAAACTCCCTTCTCCAACTTAAGGTCAATTCGATTCTGGCAATGCATTCTGCCAAATTCCACTTGGAAGCTCTCAAGTATCTAAAGAAACACTCTCTCGTCAACCACGCCTTCTCGGCATCTGTCAACGCCGTGAACTTGGTCTCGTCCTTATTCTTCTGCTGCTGGTCGTGTTCAGTACTGGCCACCACAAACTGGGGGTTACTAAAGTGTTGGTGGACCTTTAAATACATGTCTTGTTGGGATTTATCAAGCACCGGTGGGTCAGGAACCTTATACAGGGCCGGAGGGGCGGAGAATGGGACCGTAACCTTCTGGAGGGCTTCTTTGGGTACCGGGGTGGTGTCACCTTTACTCTCCTTGGATTTTAATCTGCTGAACATGGTGGGTGTCCGAAAAACGTTAAACCGGTAAACTCATCAAACGCGCCTTCACCGGCCGGCTCAGGAATGCGCCTGCGTGCCCGGACCCAATCCGCTTCGATGAGCAACGATAACGTTTACTACAACACCAAGTTCTGACCCATCATGGGAAGACTCCTAAAGCTCTCTCACATCGCGATACAGAAATGCATCCGACATTCTAACCAAATCACAAATGTCGGAGACCTCCCGTATCATCTCGTACGGCCCCTCCTTGTGACGATGAATGCCAAACAATTGGCACTCGTGGAAGCCAACAGTGCAAACATCATCCCATTTAGTGATGAGCTATGGCACCAACTCATAAAAAAGGACTTCCCCAATCGGCCACCAAAGCCCAATCCCAAGGCCGTCACCGCCGGCTCCCGAATGGCCACCAAAGCTTTGTACAACCAGTATCACGAAGAGCAGGAGAGTTTCAAGAGACATTCCACCGAAAGACTAAAGTCGTTTACCAAGATGTTGGAAAGGCAGAAAAGCGAAAACAGCGTGATCCAGGTGGAGCAGATCCTACGGGATCCCACCGTACAACCTTCCCATGCTTTCCGGGGAAACAAAAACAGTATACTCAATAAAGCCCGACGAGAGCTCCAAAGTCGGATGTTGATGTTTCCCAAGAAAGCCATGCGGACGCCGGTGCGGCCACCACCAGGCCCCGTACCAGCCTTAGTGTCTCCCCGGCTCCGGCCTGTGGTTAAACCACAAAAACCCCTTGTGCTGCCCCAAAAACCCCTTTTGTTGCCACAAAAGCATACCCCGGTGTCTTCGCCCAAAAAACTGGCTCCAAGCGCACCCCAGTCTAAGTCGACCCTAGAGTCAAAAATCAGCATCCAGCGCAAACGACGCAAGGTGGAGCTGTCAAAGAGCCTATCACCCACTGCCACGAAGCCTAACGACCTGGAGGCGAAATCTGATATCAAATCCATTAAGTCTTCAGTGTTTCACTAGACTTTTCACGAAACACGCATCTAATATACATTTGAGATTCTATGTGTATACAGCCTATGGGCACAGAAGGTTCTACTACAGTCATCTATATTTTAGTCCTCTTAACCGTCTGTTCGTCTGCATCACCCTTCCTCTTCTGTTTTTTGTACCCATTGACCACCGAGTTGCCCATGGGATCATCCTTGGAATTGTCAAGCAACTCGTCGTCATCATCAAGTGCTATCACCTGTTTATAGCTATTAATTCGCAACCGACCATTCATAAGCACGTACCGAGAATTCTCGATAAACTGGTTGATTTTGTTTCTCTTTAATCCCAACGTCTCAAAGAAGTTGACAATGTTGTTCAAAGACCTGACATTGATGGCGTCGGTACACCCTCCCGCGATAACCACGCCGTTGGAACGAGTGGCTCGTATCAATTGGATCAAGTTCGAAATAAGGTGTTTTCGGCTCATGGAGGACGAACTCGAAATTAGACTGTCGTAACAGATTTCAAACTTCACCCCCTTCTTGATGGCCTGTCCCACAATCTTGTGCTTCAAGTAGAAGTTGAGCCGAGAGCTCAACGCCACCGAAATCAAGTCGATATTCAAGTTGATGATACTCAACTGAAGGGCTTTTTCCAGCACCGGCTTGATGGCCACCAAGTCAAAATAATTCTGGAACTTGTTGAAGCTGACGAGTTTCGAAGAGTCGTTAACAACGACCGTGAGCCGCGTATACACGCTGAGACCCGGGAACTTGGCCACGTCGATGATCTCAGGGACTTTTATCGGGTTTATCTCTTGGGGCAGGTTCACTGGGAGCCGAATGCTTTCATCGATTTCAAAGTTGATGGCCACTTTATACACTTTCAACGAGTATAACGTGACGATGACGTTGCGCAATCCCACCACCTGCTCATCAGTAAGCTTCTCGTAGTTATTTCGGGGCCACGGAACATTGAGATCGTACATGGTCAGCTAGTAAGTCATCGCAAAATTACTTTTGGCCACCGCCACTCTCACTAATCGCGAAGTATAAATATACCTGGCGGCCCCAAATCCCCCACACAAACTGAATCCATCCATGACTAACGACTTGTTATTAGACCGCCCCCAGGACGACAGTATCATGGATATCGGGCAGAACTGCTCCAAATGCCATCAGCTCGACTTTCTCCCGTTCCGCTGTGAATACTGTAAGTTGGTGTTTTGTGCCGACCACAGGAGACTCCAAGACCACCAGTGTCCACATTTACAGGCGCTTGAATCGCAAAACATACGTCCTCGCAGCCCCAAGCGCATACCCCATGGGCCCACGGCGGCATCGCTCTTCCCGGACCGTGAGAAGGACCGGGCTAAGATCAATTCTCTAATAGAGAGGCCAACAAAGCCCACTTCAATCCTCGAAACCAGCTTTCGAGTGGGGGATGTTAAGAGCAAGACCGCCTTCTCCAAGTTCGCCAAGTTCTTGAACCTCCAGAAAAATAAACGTTTGACCAAACTGGCGAAGAAGATATTTGCACCCAAAAAGCCTAGTCCTACGGTAGAGCTTCAATTACTAAGAAAGAACGCCAAAGGTGACGCCAAAATCCCCGATTCTGACCGGGTATACGTGTGGTGCTTACACGTGAATGCCCTCGAGGAGGAAGAAGATAAGTTGACCAAAATTGATGTCCACTCCCAAAGAGTCGGCATATTTGTCAATAAAAACTGGCCGATTGGACGGGCATTGGACGTGATCAGTGACGAGCTTCACATCAAAAATAATAACAACAAAACGACCGAGGTCAACGAACGCCTCAATATCTTCAAGGTATCGGATGATCAGCCGGTGTTATTGAAAACGGGGGACCGGTGCAAGGACCTTCGCCAAGGTGAAGTGTTGTACTTGGTCAGGGGAACTGTGTGAGGCCCCAAACCCGACGACTCCAGATACCACTTCACCTCATGGACCAGCCCCCAGAACTCCGGTTCACTCCATTTTATAAATACATTAATACACTCGCTCGCTGCCTCATTTTGTGTTCGCTACCGTAAACGAAAACTCTCCTTGCTCACTCAACGAAATTTTCGTCGGACGAAAAAAACATACGAAACCCGTATAGTAGACGACCACATTTATCTTATCGATTAAATTGGTTTTTTTTCCATCCAGCTGCACGTAGTGTCATAGAAGTTTGTGCTCCCATCTGCAAGCAACAAACCGTTCCCATCATCCGTCTACCCCCAGTGTCTTTTTGTGGCAAGTTCCTTCTGTGATTTAGATTCCTCACACAGACGCCTTCCACAGATCTATCTTGATTGCCACTCAATCATATTACCACCTGCTCCCTGTACAGCAGCTACCTGAGCATTCACTGTCCCGGTAACGAGAATTAATCCCCTAGCATTTCCAACATTTCCACCATTTCCTACGTGCTGTTGATTGTATATTGAAACAGCTTTGGAATCCCCTTTAATTTATGACCACCAGAGCCCCATTAGCGTCCAACACTGCTGTCTTAGCCGCTGCCGCCGCTTCCCTGAACCAGCAACTTTCCCAAATTGTCCAATCTCCTTCTGTCGCCAAGATGTCCGCTCAAGCCGGATCCGTCAATTCCAGTGCTAACTCCAACCTGTCGGTAGTGGGTTTACACTACAAAATAGGCAAGAAGATTGGTGAAGGATCTTTTGGTGTGATTTTTGAAGGCACAAACATCATAAACGGAGTGGCTGTTGCCATCAAGTTCGAACCCAGAAAGACCGATGCCCCTCAATTAAGAGACGAATATCGTACCTACAAGCATTTACAAGGCAGTGAAGGAATACCAAGTGCTTATTATTTTGGCCAGGAAGGTTTACACAATATCTTGGTTATAGACTTGTTGGGTCCGTCTTTAGAAGACTTGTTTGACTGGTGTGGCCGAAGATTTTCCGTCAAAACCGTGGTTCAAGTGGCCATTCAAATGTTGAACTTGATTGAAGAAGTCCACAGACACGACTTGATCTACAGAGATATTAAACCGGATAACTTTTTGATTGGAAGACAAGGCTTGCCCGAAGAGAACAAGGTTCATTTGGTCGATTTTGGTATGGCTAAACAGTACCGTGACCCAAGAACCAAAAACCATATCCCATACAGAGAAAAGAAATCTTTGAGTGGTACAGCCAGATATATGTCCATCAACACCCATTTGGGAAGAGAACAACTGAGAAGAGATGATTTGGAAGCTTTAGGACATGTGTTTTTCTACTTTTTGAGAGGTCAATTACCATGGCAAGGGTTGAAAGCCCCCACCAACAAGGAAAAGTATGAGAAGATTGGTGGTAAAAAGAGAGCCACTCCTGCCATTGTGTTGTGTGAAGGCTTGCCAAGACAGTTTGCTGAATATTTGGATTCCGTTAGGTCTTTACCCTTTGATGCTGAACCTAACTACGAAGAATACAGAATGTTATTGTTGAGTGTATTGGACGACTTAGGACAAAATGCCGATGATGACTATGACTGGATGCACCTCAACGGTGGAAAAGGATACGACATTAGCATCAACAAGAAGCCCAACTTACACGGCTACGGCCACCCTAATCCTCCCAACGAAAGAGAAAGAAGACACAGAGATCAAAGAAGAAGACCTCATCACAGTCACCAGCAAATCCAGCAGGCTCTGGCTCAAGCTCAGGCCCTGGCTCAACCTCAACAACAGCAACCTCAAGTGATGGGAGTGGGACAACCGACTTACCAAAATGGCTCTCAAAACCAGGCTAACTTTAACCAACAACAACAGAGAGATTTGACGGCTGCTCAATTGCATCAACAAAAATTACAACACTTAGTGAACAGACCTTTGCCTCCTATCAAGCAGGAATCCCAGCAAAAGGATATGTTGTCCAACAGCAACAACTACGAAAACTCGCCAATACAGAGAAACCAATATGACCAACAGAAGGCCGAAAAGAGTCAATCATACTGGTCAAAAATGTGTTGTCAATAGGACAGGAGACCAGTTGTTTAGGTCGAAGCAAAAGTTTCATATATATACGTCACATTTTCATCCCTTTATTTTAATTTGACCTTATGTTTGTTTAGATAATATACTAATGAGAATTTCATTTATATTTACATCTGTTATTATACTCGTCCCATATAATGTGCATCCTTATATTCATTACTAAACCATTTTGTATTTACTCTATCTTTTTATAACTCTCATTGATTCTCAGCCATTCTTCATCACTCACCTCCATTTCCTGGTATGTCTTGACCAAGTATTCCTCCAAGATCTTCAATTCTGCAATTACCTGCTCCTTTTGGAAAATCCCATCTTTCTTCATATCTCTGGTCAATTGTTGCAAATTATCGATAATTAAATCAGATCTGTATTGCACCCATTCGGGGTAGAAATCGTTATATCTGGAACCAAAGTTGACTTCTGGCTTGACAGTCGACAAAACCGATCCATCAGGCTTCTTCTTATCCTTGGCCCTATAGCTAGTCACCATGGTGATTCTTTCAGAGGTTCCAATTGGATTAGGGGCGATATGCTCTATCAATCTCCCTTGCAAAACTGCTGCATATCCTTTAGTAGGGCCAGGAACAACCGCAATACTATCTTGACCGGTTCCTTTACCCATTCTCAAAGAAGTTTCACCTCCAATCATATTGGTGGTATCACTCAACATCAACACGCACACAAAAGGATACGAATCACAATGCCAACCTACCACACAATCCTTTGTGATATCTCTGGTGGTCTGATCGTAGTTCTTCAAATCCTCTTCAACCTGGTCTTCCTCTTTCATGGAAACATTAACATGGGCGATTTCATAGTCCATCACCACCTCCAATTCAATACCTGCCATTGTACTAACCAACTCCACTGTTCTGGGATGTGTCCAAGCAGCATAGGTGAAGGGAGTCACTGTTTCATTGTTGACTTTGGCGTAGCCTCTAATAGTACAGTCGGTTCCCTTACCCGATGAGTGGCTGTATCTTCCGTACTTCATAAATGTATCTTTGGACAAAACTTCTTGTTTCATAATATCAATGGCTTCATCCGTGAACAATGGAAAGGGGTCACTCACTCCAATATGACTAATTTGTTTGGGGTTGGTCAACCCCAACTCTTCCATCGTTAGTCTTCTGGTGTTGTTGTATTTGTGCTGTTCGATGGGACCTTCTGAATAAAATCTCAAATGCTTTATGGGATCAAACTCAGTGGTCGTGTATTCCGGCTTATAGAGCTTATCAAAGGTAGGCTTTAAATACTTGTCATAGGTCGATTCTGGCACCATGGCCTTGGTGTTGCCGTTTAGGATGGTTTCAAATAGAGACATGCTTGCCGAGAATATTGGTGGCTAGAGCAAGAGCTGTTGAAGTCATATTTATAACGATTCAAACCTCGTAGGAACTTGGTGGGGTTGCTCCTGAATATTCCAAATATGATTCAAAAAACCCGTTGCAGCAAGCCCACATTCCTAATGCGGTAACGGGTCCCCGTTATCTCGCACTCATGTTCTTATCGCATACAATGCGACCGCTAAAAATGGCAATCAAAGGAATTCCCGGACTATCAGGCCGCAAATTTCAGAGGAGCTCGGAATTTTGGTGCTGGATCCTCCTATTGTATCCGTTTTTGTATAAGAATCAGGAAGGATGCTGTTCTGTGAGGTATTTCTGTTACTGGGACGGGAAACTATTTACATACATATTCCGGGGACGGGAAAGTATTTATACCTGAGACATCCGCCGAGTGGTTGGAATCTGATCCGATCAACAATGCATATATCATCTGTAACCTAAGCCTGCACTAAGCCACGATTCTACTGATCACGGGATCCCTAGTATAGTCCTACCCCCTTCTGTATTTGTAGGCTCTGGAATCATAGACTGCTTACGGATATTTTTCCATATTATTCACTTGTTCTTGTACTCAGATTTGTCTGGTTGTTCTCAAAGTTGCGATTTTCATTTCGCAAATTTTACAAACTTTGCAAAACAATGTCTGAGATCCACCAAGAAGCTGTCAAACTCAACCAGCAACATTTTGATGCCGCAAAGGTGCATTCATACGACCGCAAGGATTTGACACAGACGATAAGTAAATTGGCTCCGTACATGCTCTTGAGCTATCCTAAACTCAAGTTTGAACCTGGCTTCGATTATACCATCCTCCCAAAAACTTCCCCTATTTTCAACCCGATAAAGACATATATGGATTTTGCGTGTGGAACTGGGATTGTCACACAGAAGCTTGTTCCGTATGTGAAAAACGTGATAGGAATTGACATCAACGAAGAGTTTCTTGAAGTTTTCTCCAACCGTCTCGGGAACTCCGCCAAAGCCTACCTCCTAGACTTGTTAGACACATCTAAAGAAAAGCAAGTAGAGCAATTCGTAGCCTCAGCCGACATCATCACCTGCACTATTGCGTACCATCATTTGGGTGACTACGAGTCCATCACCAAGAAGCTAGTTCTGTTTTTAAAGCCCAATGGGCATCTTTTTGTGCTTGACTTCTATAACCCAGATGTCGAAAAAACCAGCTCAGACCGAGTCAAAGTTTCCCCTGCCGCCAAACACATGGGAAGCTTAAAGAAGAGTGCTTTACAGGAAACATTCTCGGATGCTGGTCTTTCAGATATCACAGTTGATGTGAACGTTACTACTAAAGTGTGGCTAGAGATGAAGTTCATATTAGGTCATTGCACAGAAGCCCTACAAGAGCAGGCTAAGTTGGGGAGACTAGCACATAAGACTGTCGACGGGATCGAGATGTATCACGCCGAGGTGAGTCTTGTATTAGCAGTTGGACGTAAATAGATAGAATACCTGGGGTGTTAGGTCCAGCGGCATATATGGTAGAGACACTACGAGTACAATCTCAGACACCCGTACAAATAGGTTCGCACTCTCAACAAAAGATGTTTCCATAATGGCATCGATACAAAGCCAAAAGAGACTCACCAAGGAGTACAAGGCCATCCAGGCCAACCCACCTCCCTACATAATCGCACGGCCCAATGAAGAGAATATTTTGGAATGGCACTACGTCATCACCGGACCTCCTTCGACACCTTTTGAGAATGGTCAGTACCATGGGATCCTCAGGTTCCCTCCACAATATCCCTTCAAACCACCATCCATTTCGATCATCACGCCCAACGGCCGTTTTGCCTGCAATACACGGTTATGCTTATCAATGAGTGACTACCACCCAGACACCTGGAACCCCGCCTGGAGTGTCAGCACGATTTTGACGGGGTTGCTCAGTTTCATGACGGGTGACGAGTCCACCACCGGCTCTATCAACACCACTGACAATTTAAAGCGCAAGTACGCCAAAGACAGTAAGCGGTACAACGTGACAGAAAACTCGAGGTTCATCAAGATATTTTCAGATCTTTTGGAGCAGAACAAATTGGATCTCTTGAACCAAGAAGATGAAGTGAACCAAGAGAAGGTTACCGAGCTGGTATTTGATGCCAAAAATAACGTCCACTTGCTCGATCCCGAGGACAAGGCGAGACTTTTGGTGGAGGAAGATGGAGAACGGAGCTTTAATGCCCCCAAACTAGTTTTTGGGGTGGTGCTAGCTGTTTTCCTTGCATACTTTTTGAGCTGAGTGGATTGCTTATCAGCTCAACTCGCGCATACTCAGATGAATGCGCGCAGAATACCCCAGAACACTGAACACCGTATCCATTACATAGCTCAATCCTACATATGTCTCTATGAATAATATATACTAAAGTACAATTCTGGCTGCAATAGCTACTGACAGACTGCTGCAGCTGGCTGTTGCCGCATTCCCAGGACTCCCGAACAACCCGCGGAACCAACATGCGCCGAAAAATGACACTGCCCAGGAGGACAGATTTGGCCTAGTCTGCACCATCAAAGCTTATTGGAGAAGGCGTGGGTTTCTAGGGTTCGAGATCTAAAACGCAACTGCAAATCGCAACTTGGGGCAAACTTTCACCACACTTACTCCAAGAACACAACTACATCAACACTAAGCCATTGCGGCATTTGAGCAATCGTCTTGGGTCAAGTTTCAACGAATTCCATTTCTTGAAAAATTTTCGACGCGCTCTTTTGTTGCAGTGAGTAAACACAAGTTTATTTTAAACCTCACTTGAAAAGCAAAGCCTTTTAGTTTATAGTTAAAGCTTCACCCTGCTGCTTAAAGTTCAACATATTTCTTCACACATCCGTTTTTCCTTCGGGCACATATTGCCACCCTTATTTTGCATATTCCCTTGACGCCTTACACCCGTCCTTTTTAGCCTGGTGATCTATCATATTCGTGATAAATAATACACCTTGTCATGTCTAGTCACCCTTACCGCCAGAGAGTGCCCCAAAGCGAGGCTCTGGTTAGCTCGGGCTCAGAGTCGTCGTCGTCGCAGTACAACACTCCCCAGAACTTGAATCTCCACCAGTTTAGATCCCACCCCCAATCCCAGTCTATCCACGAAATCGCCAGCTCTGGTAGTGGCCCATCAACTTTGGGACTTCTGGACTTCAGTACCGGCATGGGGAGCCCCAACCTGAAGCCCCTTCATGATAGTCCTCATTTCAACGGGGGAAACCGGGTTCCATATCCGCTTAATAGCAGTGATTTTACCACTGCTACCGCCACACCTCCACCGGTATTTGCTAATGATCTCGCATCTCCCCCTTCAAATCCGTTGAGCGCCACATCTTCGGTCACCAACTTGAACATTAATAACTCCAATCTCGATTCATATGTGACCCATTCCAAGAGTGAAAATAGCTTGGCAACCCCAAAGTTCAATCAAGCGCAGCACAGTCGTTCGGTGAGTTCCACCTCCAGTTTCTTTGAAAGGAGCGATAACATCAGTTTGGTGGACTTCAATCAGAGTTTGATCACCCTGTACTTGGGGGATAACTCCAGCCAATTGTTGCCTCGGATTAAGACGATTGAATTATACCGAAAAAATGCCAAAAAGTCCAATGATCCTATGGTGCTATTCCAGTTTGCACAATATATGCTCCAAACAGCCTTGTTGTTAGACACAGATGCCCATAATTCGGGCCCCACGTCGGTGGAAAACTCACCTAAGCGGGGGCCAGCCGATGGTACTAAAGAAAGTAGCCATAAGCACGAGAAGAGCAAGTCGGGTAATTCTTTTGACTTATCCAAGTTGGACGATAATTCTGTGAATGATAAACGGTTGAGAATAGCATTATTGAAAGAAGCAGTCATCTACTTGCGGAAACTAGCCGATAAAGGGTATGTTGATGCTCAATACTTATTAGGAGATGCGTGCAGTAGTGGGGCGTTGGGTAAAGTCGATAACAAAGAGGCATTTGTATTGTTCCAAGCGGCTGCTAAACATGGGCACGTTGAAAGTGCGTTCCGTACCAGTTACTGCTATGAAGAAGGATTAGGAACTGGTCGTGATGCCCGGAAAGCCATTGAATATTTGAAGATGGCGGCATCTAAAAACCATGCGGCCGCCATGTACAAACTTGGAGTCTACTCATTTTACGGGCGCATGGGATTATCCCAAACTGACGTTAATGTCAAGAAAATGGGAATTAAATGGCTTAGTCGGGCATCTAACGTTGCCACAGAATTAATTGCGGCAGCTCCTTATGAATTGGGAAAGATTTATTTCCATGGATTCAAAGATATCGTTATTACCGACAAAAAATATGCATTGGAATTATACAGTCAAGCGGCTGCTTTGGGTCATGTTGAAAGCTCGGCCCTTTTGGGGCACTTTTATGAGGTTGGAGAAATCGTTCCGCAGGATTCAAATCTCTCAATCCATTATTATACGCAAGCGGCATTAGGAGGAGACCCGAACTCAATGCTAGCTATGTGTGCATGGTACTTAGTGGGGAATGACCCCTTCTTACCCAAGGATGAAAATGAGTCTTTTGAATGGGCCAAAAGAGCTGCCATGTGTAACCTTGCCAAGGGACAGTTTGCGTTGGCCAATTTCTACGACAAGGGTATTGGATGTGACAAAAACGCCAGTGAGGCCCAAAAGTGGTATATCAAGGCCGGAGAAAATGGTGACGAAAAAGCCATTGGTAGGATCACCGACAAAGAGTTGGCTGCAAAATTACAAAAGGCCTTCAAAAAGAAGAAACCCGACACCCAGTCAGTTCCCAGCATCGCCAGTAATTTGAACTTCGATTCCAAGTCAGTCGCACAAGAGAAGGATTGTGTGATTATGTGATGAGAATTTAGGTGTTTATAAATGACCTTATTCCATTTCAGTGTCTCAGCCGTCCGTTAATTATAGTCGGCATGGTCGCACGTAATTCTACCCTCGTTGAATGTCTCCAGTTCTGACCACAGTCCTCATCTCTATTAAGTTTTTATATTTAGAAATGATGCCTCCAAATATGCACCAATTCGTAGGTTTATTATTGCAGCCAAAACATCGTCATCACTGCCTCTTTCTTGAGATTGTGGAAGAACGCGTGCCTCGCTGCGGCTTCTCAAATCGGTGACATGCCACGGGCGGGGCTCCCAAAGTGGATCGCACCAAATTTCAAGTCTGATACTATTTAAGCCTGGTATTCGCCATTTTGTTCACTCCTATAATTTCAATTGATATCAATGTCCAACAGAGATTACTACGAACAAGGAAATAGCGACTACAACCAACAGGGTGGCTACAACAACCAATCGCAGCAGGGAGGTTACTCCCAACAAGGCGGATACTCCCAACAAGGAGGCTACTCGCAAGAAGGCCAACAGGGCCAACAGGGTCAACAAGGACAAGATGGTGAAAGAGGTCTTTTGAGTACCGTTGCTGGAGGTTTGGCTGGTGGTTACGGTGGTAGCAAGATCAGTGGCGAGCACTCGACTCTTGGTAAGATTGGAGGTGCTCTTGCTGGTGCATTTTTAGCCAATAAGGTGGAAGACAGGTTTGAAGGGGGTCACCAAGGTGGTAATGGAAATCACCAAGGCCAAGGCCAACAAGGCGGTTTGTTTGGAAAGCTAGAGAACTTTGTGGAAGGTAACCACGGTGGCCAAGGTGGATACGGCGGTGGCCAAGGAGGCTACGGCGGTGGTCAAGGAGGCTACGGCGGTGGTCAAGGAGGATATGGTGGTGGCCAAGGAGGCTATGGCGGCGAGGGTCGTCACCATGGAGGTGGTCACGGCGGTCGTGGTGGGGAAGGTGGATTTGGCGGTGGCCCAGGTGGATTTGGCGAAGGTCGCGGGGGTGGCCCTGGTGGTCCTGGTGGTCCTGGCGGATTTGGTGGTGGCCCCGGTGGCCCTGGCGGATTCGGCGGAGATGGTCCAGGTGGATTTGGGGGTGGCCAAGGAGGCTACGGCGGTGGCCAAGGCGGCAGATGGTAAATGTTAATTCGTTAATCATTAATGCAAATAGTACGTAGTAAAATATATCACTCGACATTTTCAGACCCATTACTTTCTATATTCCGCGTACCCGCGTTCATTGTGAATTGCATGAGTTGGGACGGGTTTGAAGATACTCTCCAGCTCCGATGGTTTTCTTTATCGTTGTTTAGAATCAATTTGGATGCTTGTTTGTTGAGTAAAGGTACTTTGGAGTCATCGAGTCGTTTGTTGGTGAGTGATGAGATTCTCTTGGGTTTGATCATTTTCTTGGAGATGTGGGACGGCTTGGCTAGAGATGGGGGTGAGCTGATACTGGGATCAAATCGGAACAGGAGCTCTTCGTCATTGAGCTGCTCAAGAATTGAGTTTTGTGACGGGGAGTCTTCGTCAAAGTCGCTTTTAACCATTGAGCTGTCATCGAAACTGATATCATTGTCGGCTGCTGACTCTAGGAAATGAACCTTCTTGCTTCTTAGTTTCAGAATTGGCCTTTTGGCAGTTCGTGGTGGTGAGACTTTCAAAGGTGAAGTGCTGCGTTTATGATTTGTAGAGCCCGTTTCAATATCCACCTCCTGGGTCTGAGACTGAATGAACTCCGACGACTTTTCTTCTAGCAAAGTATCGAAGTCTCCATTGACCAAAAATTCAAGTGAACTCAAGATGGTTGTGAGGGTCTCACTGGAGTCCTTGGAGTTGAATACGCAATCAAAGAGAACCGTCAAGTTGTTGGGACAGAACTTGAATGTCTTGAGCTCCGTCACCAAGTGGTCGTATAACACTGACGAGGTGAAAAGTATGTCCTTTTGGTACTGGTTTCTGATGGACTCAATCTCATACTCAAACATTTGGGTGTGGTGTTCCAGCCAGTACTCCTGCTCTTTCAACCTGGTTAGTACATGATGAGCAGTTTCCTCCAAAACCACCTCCACATCATTCTGACGATGATACTGCAATTCCAACTGTTGAATTTGAAGAGATAATTTGGACAACACTTGTTCAACAAGATTTTGCACCTGTGGGTTTGAACTGGAACTATCGAAATAGGCTTGGAGGGTTTCAAAATCCATTTTTTGATTAAGTAAAACTTTTCTTTTGGCGAGAATGAAGTATTTCTGCCATCTGTCTTGACTCTTATTGAAAACAGAGCTCCGAAGTGTACTGATATTGTCAAATATTGACTCAAATATCAATGCCAGTATCTTTTGCTGTTTTTCTATTGTAGCATCTGCAACATTTGCTTGTTTGTGTTTGAGCTCTTCGATCTCTGTCTTTTGTTGGGTAATCATTTTCAAGTACGAACCCACATGTCTATCAAGATTATGCTGATTACGTATGAGCTTCGTTTTGATCATTTTGGCCCGGTCAGCATACTTCAATGTGTTTAACGTTTCATCGTAGTGTTGAGACAGCGGCGAAACACATACAATCATCACCGTCTTGCAGTTCCCTCCCAAGGAGAACTTCAACAACCGAGTGAGCTTTGAGTCTCTATAGGGAATATGGTTTCGTTTTCGGGGATCGCATAGGGCATTGATACAGTTTCCCAACGCCAATAACGACTTGTTTATATTAGCACCTTCGTTGAGACGGATTCCTCTGTTCTTGGTGGCAGAAGCTCTCTCACTTCCCGCCAAATCTATGATTGATAAAGTAGCAAACACATGCTCTTGGCTCAACTCCATCGATTTGTTTCTTTGGATGACATTTATCTGAAGAACTGCATGAGATCTGGAAGACGTTGCGTTCGCTTCAGTTGGAGAACATGTTCTGTTTTTGTTCCCTTTCAAGATCAAATCCATCACCTCCTCTACCGATTGGGGTTTATGAGATGATAGATTGGCCACGAACACTTTGTTGTTAGTGTCTTCTCTTATCACCAATTTTTTTTGGTTAGTGTTTGGGTCCAAGAGGTCTTTAATAGTTTCATTATAAATCTCCAAAAACGAAAAGCTAACATCAAACACCTTCGACTCCAGCATCTCATCCATCCGGCAATACAACTCTTTCATCGTAAGGAAAATGATACCGGGATCATCTGGAGTCCCCAGAATAGTGTGAGTTTTACCACACCCGGTGGCCCCATATGCGAATACAGTAGCATTAAACCCATCCAATATACTGTCTAAAAGCGGTTTGGTTGTAGTGGAAAACACTTCTGTTTGGCTGGCATGAGTGTCAAACAACTGGTCAAATACAAATCGGTGTTCTCGTATACGGGAATGAGGTTTTGATGGAAATACATTTCTATGCATTCGGGCAATTGGGTTTGTTTCTGGAGGATCAAATATAAGCATTTTATCGTCAACCACATCGATGATCTTACGTATTCCTTGGGGCATGAAGTTGGAACCACTTTGTTCCTTCTCACTGAGCGAGCCATCCCCTAGAAATATGTGTTCGTGATCCACTTTTATGAGGTTGTTTTCTTCATTTGATGTGAAAGGACGTACTCTTACTGAAACACAGATAGACGACTCCTTGCTTGGGGACAACGGGGCCAACGTAGGAGGTCCTTGACTTTGTTGTCGCCGAGGGCTCTCTTGTGGCACCGGCTCATGGTCATCAGGACCGGTGGTTGTGTCTTCTATGTCCATTCCTCGTGACCTTGAAGCGAGTGAGCTACAAGTTTTTTGGTGTGCGCGTTTTTGTAAACATTGAAACGCGATGGCCTGGGGAAGAGGACTAGTGTCAACTGAAGGTGTAGAGCAAATCAGAATTATATAGGAGTGGGGCTATCTATACTAAACATTTATCCACGCTCTAAGTGACACGTACTACACTTTTGAGCAAAATAAAATAGGACCATAGATGAATGTAGATATATCTGGCACAATTGCAGCCAAAACTCTCAACTGTTCGATAAACTATTCATAAAAGTTGGAAAATAGCACTTCCCTGGTGGCTCTGTAAAGTTGGTTTGGCATTGTGCGTATCTCATTATATGAAAGCTCCTTTCAATTGAGGCAAAAAGAGTCAGTTCTGACACCACTCCATCTTTGTACAACTCCTTCAATTTGCAAGCACAGTATATGATTTCCCTGCAACAACCCTGACTATTACAGCCTCTTAACAACTCCCAGCACACAATCTAAGATCAATAATTTCATTCACATCAATTATCACCCCAGTGGCTCTCGGCATACACGACTGCTGAAATTGCGAAAAACTCCCCAAACAATTGCAATCGAATCACCAAAACGAACACACACCACCGGTAATATAATGGAACCTGTAACTGGAGGTGCCTCGTTCGTGTCGTCGGCTGTCAGCCTCACAAAGACCATCATAGGAGCGGGGTTGCTCTCAATGCCCTTGGCATACTCCACTGACGGCCTCGTATTTGGCACATTCATCATCCTTCTCGCGGCAGCTACTTCAGGGTTTGGGTTATTCTTACAGGCTTATGTCTCGAGGTTTGTGCCTTCGGGACACGCCACGTTCTTTAGTGTGTGCTCAGCGTCGTACCCCAACTTGTCGGTTGTTTTCGATTTGGCCATTGCAATCCAATGTTTTGGATGTGCCTTGTCATACTTGGTACTTGTGGGAGATTTAATGCCAACGATTATACATCGTATTCCACATGTCCAGGAAGACAATCTCCGGACGTTCTGGATCTTGGCATCAACCGTGATCACGGTGCCATTGGCCATGTTGAAAAACTTGGACTCGCTAAAGTACACTTCGGTTTTAGGATTGGTTGCTATTGCTTATATGTCCTTGTTGGTGATTACTCATTTCTTGGTAGGAGACGTACCACAGGAGCTTAAAGGCAACTTGTCATATTTTCCACCCAATGTGACTGGAGTCTTCAGCACGTTCTCAATCATCGTGTTTGCATTCACCGGTCACCAGAACATGTTTTCCATCATCAACGAAGCGAAAGACAAGTCTTTGAAGAGCTTGACGGTGTTGGTGAACGTGGCCATCTTCACATCTGCAGCCTTGTTCATCTTTGTGGGGTTGGCTGGATACTTGACGTTTGGAGACTTGGTCACGGGAAACGTGATTTTGCTGTATCCAGCATCTGTTTCTGCTACTTTGGGGAGAAGCTGCATTGCATTCATGGTGTTATTCTCCTTCCCGTTGATGTTGCACCCAGCCCGAATCTCCGTCAACAACATATACTTTTGGTTGAAAACCCGCTACCTCAACGAACCAGTTGATGAGAATGGTCCCTTGTTGGCCGAATCAAATCCCAATATTGCTAGAGAGCCACCGGTGGTACCGCTACCTGAGCCACGATTCTACACCATAACCGTGGGCTTGTTATTGCTCGGGTATGTGTTGGCAGTTTCGATCAAGTCGTTTGCGTTGGTGTTGGCAATTGTCGGTGCTACGGGATCAACTGCCATCTCGTTTATCTTGCCAGGTCTATTTGGATACAAATTGTCAACCAACAACACCAAAGCAGGAGCGGTGTTGAAGGTGTTGTCATACATTCTTGTGATCTGGGGGTTCTGCGTGATGGTGTTGTGTCTCTACACGAGCTTGTTTTTGAACCCAGCGTAAAAGAGTATCAAGAATATTTTATTACCAAATAAATATTATACACGCGATGATCTAGTGGTAGGTGTAGTACCTAGTTTTTTTTGTTTTCAGCTAACTGTTGTTCATTTGACTGTTGTTCATCTTCCAATTCGTCATCGCTGTCATCGGAATCGCTTCTCACATCTTCAGCCCCGGTTCCAGATACAACTCTGTATGCGACTTTAGAAATCGAGTATAGCCAAGCAATACACAACAATTGCAAAATGGCCAAAAGAACAAAGCATGTGTAGAGAACAAAGCGGCTCCAACACTTTTCCTCCACTACGCCAGGGACACACCGATGTAAAGTCATTAAGGATTCGGCATTGGCCATGGCATAATAGAAAAGGTAGTTGTAGACACCATGTCTCAAGATCACCCAGGACAATAAGAAGCAGACGAACATGATGTCACAAAGGGTGGAGAATCCGGCATACTTCAAGACCTTGGCTCCCGTTAAGCATACATCACAGAAGTCCATCAAGATCAAGATCAAGTTTCCTATTCTCATGTAGTAATTTTGGTAGGAGCCAATACATAAAAGACTGGTGATGATATGATGGCCGAACATCTGGTAGTGATCTTTTCTCTTTTCTTCGATGTTCAACACAATGATTTGCAGGAGCCAAAAGGCTATTTGCATAAGATAGTATGCCTTGAATGAGGTGGACATTTTGTCGTGAGGCCACCCAGCGAACAAATTTTCCAAGTGCCCCCAGTATTCGGAGTTGTAATACAAATACATGCCATAAATGGTGGAAAACGATGCGTAGAAGCAGCTCCAACTTTGCTCGGCGAACCGTACCTTGGCTCTTTTGTCCATTCTGAAGGTGTAGGATGCAAATGGCGCAAATACGTAGATCATCAAAAACGATCGAATAAACATGAAAAGAAGCACACCGTGAAGAACCACAAACGCATCATCATTACATATATCGTATACGGGGTACCCGTTGGCATCAATTCCAGTTTGGTTCAGTAACGTGACGAGCTTGGAGGTCCATGTATGGACGGTAGAGTTCTTAGAAAATATGTGAAGCAGGTACAACAAGAACAAAACGGTTCGAGAAAACGGGAACAGGTTTCTCTCGATAAATGCAACAAAGGAGTTTTCGTATCTAGTACCATCTGATGACTTAGACGACGGGTTGGGTTTGGGGGTTGACGGTTTGAGTGTGTCGGTTGTGTCGGTGTCCGTTTGTTTAAGAAGGGTTCTCTCGGTCATGATGTAGGAGCACACGTATTGAGTTAAGAAATGCTGGAAAGTGTGCGTGTTTTGTGGTTGGAATTGCAACGGAGAAGGGGAGGGGCACAAAGGGACAACAGTACCACAGTTGGGTACAGCAACAGGCGAGTCTTTGTTGAATACGATTTACAGGAGGTATCACTGCAATAGTACAACAACGGTAACAATAGGCTCGTTCGTGAATTCAAGTTTCCAGATGAAGATTTTTGAGAAGCCATCCGACGAGGTGCGGCGGTGCTCACACGCCCCCACTCACCTGAGGTTTTTGGCTCATAGCCTCCCCGGTGCACTCACTACCGATTCAATAGCATATACTGAAGGGATTTCTTGACGTTAGCTTCGTTATATCGGTTCCAAATCACGTAGACATTGATGATATCTTGCATGGCTTCCGAAACTTCATCGAGGTTAATGTGGCTATGACCCAAGAAGTTCATAAACCGGTTGATACGTATGGTATCTTCGTCCAACTTCATGTCCTGAAGGCCGGACCCCGACTCGAGGGCATTATTGTCGCTGGCAGAGTTTTCGCTAGTCAAGGCCATCAAATCGTCGATGTGCATCTCTTTATCAGTTCCGTGAGCATCCATTTGTGCCGACTCGGGGTGGTCATCTCCCGTAGAACCACCGCCAGTACTGCCGGCGCCCATGCCATCACCGGTGATACTCTTGTTGAGCCTGATGGAGTTTAGGGCTTTTTTCAACACAATGGTGATGTAGACACATGACACAGCGATGATATGCGGAGGGAAGAGCAATGGCAAATCGGTGATGTAGCTATCATTGATCAACGACCACGTATGTTGGAGCTCATCGTTGGTCAACAAGAAATGGTACTGGTCGAGGTTGGCGGTCAAAAACCGTTGGAGTTGGATGAGCGATCGGTATGGGTGGTGGAGAATCAAAAATAGGTCCATTTCTTCGAGTAAGTAGAACTCGAACTCGGCGAGCTTACTGACCTCATGGGGGATATACTCTGGCCAGAGATTTCGAGCTTCAGAAATGATGAGTCGGATGTGTTGGGGGCATTCTTCAACCTTGCTGGCGACGTAGATACATGCGGTTACCATGAGGTACACGTTGATTTCTTTGAGTGACACCTTCAAGAGAAAGCGGGAGAGGTACACTTCGGCGGTGGCGAGGGGCACCTGTCTGACGTTGAGACGTCGGCCCAATCTGATCAATAAGTTATGGAGATAGATGCGCATGTTGGAGTCGTAGGTGATGTTGGGGTAATCCTTGATGAAGCCGTTCTGGATCATTTTCTTCTCCAAGATGAGTAGCCGGCGTCGCTGATCAAGAAGGGACTGGCGATTGAACTGCCATTTGCCCCGTTGTGATGAGCTCCAGAAATCGGCAGACATGTTGTGGGAGCGGGTATTTAGCTGACGAATTCGCGATGGCGACTGGGTATGAAGAAACAGTGCGGAGTTATATTTGCTATCTATATGGTGCACACGGGGCTCAATACTGGGTGCACACGGGGCTGGCGGTACCACAGTATTGACAGTACGATGATATTCACGGTAGTCTATTCAAACTCTACCAAACCCTCTCCCTCCACAACTCTACCAACCTCTACCACTACCGCCTACATCTCCCCACAATTCGAAATCACAATCTCATCTCTAGGCGTACCTTTCGCTGTTCCTGACGCCTCTATACGATCCACAATCTCAAACCCTTCCACAACCTTTCCAAACACAACATGCTTTCCGTCCAAATGCTCTAGTCTTTTGCAGCAAATGAAAAATTGACACCCATTGGAATTGGGACCCGAGTTGGCCATGGAAACAGAATACTTATGATGGTCGAACTTAAACGACTCATCATCAAACAAATCGGTGCCATAGATGGTTTTGGTGCCAGTACCATTGAACTTCACAAAGTCTCCTCCCTGAATCATGAAATGCGGTATCACCCGGTGGAACTTGCTTCCCTTATACCCGGTCGGCCGCCCAGCCTCACGGTACTCTCCTGTGCAAAACTGCCGAAAGTTCTCGGTGGTTCTAAATAAGTTAGTAGCTGTTTGGTGTCCTAATCCGTGGATGCACATACCTAGGCAATTCTTTGAAAAGCTCGATTTTTACGCGGCCCAAAGGCTCGTCTGCTTTGTTAGTACCATATCATAGTCTGGTGACACTGTAACAGTACATACTTCCTTGGAGGATATCCAAAAACACAACTGGATCCGAGTTGGAATTGTTGTTGGAGCTCATCATAGTTTCCCCAGAATTACGCTCGCTCGGTGAAAAACCATCACTGCTCACGATGTCTGGCAAATCGTACCACACATCAAACCCAGAAACAGAAGGTGCCATCGACAGAAATGTCCCTGACTTTCCTATTGCCGGGCAAAGTGAAGAGGAGAGCTACTTCAGAACCCACCTGGCCCCCAGTTACTTGCCAGAGATCCAAGCCCAATTAGAGTCGTTTATCGAATACCACCTCAAGAATACCGGTAAACGAATTGCGTTGGTGACCAGCGGCGGTACCACCGTGCCATTGGAAAATAACACGGTACGATTCATCGATAACTTTAGTGCTGGGACCAGAGGTGCCACCTCGGCCGAATACTTTCTTGAAAACGGATATGCGGTTATCTTCTTACACAGAGAGTTCTCATTATTACCATACTCCAGGCACTACAGTCATACCACAAACTGTTTCTTGGACTATATGGTGGAGAAGGACAATAAGATCGAAATCAGCCCCGATTTTGCTCCCGAAATGTTGCAGGTATTACGGAAATACAATGCGGCTAAAAGCTCTAATCTGTTAATATTGGTGCCTTTCACCACCGTAAATCAGTACTTGTTCACCTTGAGAATGGGGTCAGAGGCCTTGAAGAAAATGGGTAAGAACGCCTTGTTCTACTTGGCTGCTGCCGTGTCTGACTTCTTCTTGCCCCAACTGAGAATGCCTCAACACAAGATTCAGTCGCAAGCATCTGGAAAATTGATTGTGGATTTGGAGCAGGTTCCCAAGTTCTTGAGCCGGTTGGTCGACAACTGGGCTCCCAGGTCCATGATAATTTCGTTCAAGTTGGAAACCGATGATCTGATTTTGATCAAAAAGGCTACTGCTGCTTTGGACAAGTACCAACACCAGCTAGTAATTGGAAACTTGTTGCAGACTAGAAAGAAAGAAGTGGTGTTCGTCAAACCCGATCTGTCACAGGACTGGGTGAGACTTACTGACAAGCAGGTCGAAACCAATGTGGAAATCGAGAGCTTGATTATACCAAAGGTTGTGCAAGAACACACCTTATGGATAAACTCCTAGTTTTATATTTATATTTATTTACAAGAAAGAAATGCCCACCCCATACTGGAGACCTTTTCTGTTAAAGTCTCTTTCGTGTGCAGTCAATGGCAACACAAAATTCAACTCAAACCGGGCCATTGGGTGGTTGTACAATACTCCAAGTCCTATACTGGTGGAAAACAGCCCAAATAAATTCCTCAAGTTCTGCTGAGGCAGTTGCGTGTGATTATAGAGCTGGAGAGCCCCGTAGTTGAAGAAGTTATGCAATTTGAAGTTGGAGTCATGAGATGTGTATGGAAGTCTTGATATCAACGAAACTCCACCGTTCAAAAACGCATCTCCTCCAAGTGATTTCCCGTACGACTTGGGACCGAGACCGTTGAGGCTAAACGACCTCACATCGTTGGGACCTCCCATGAAGAACCGGTCAAGGATGAAGGATTCTTTGGCGGAGTGGAGAAATCCAAACTTGTTGGTAAAAATCAAATGGCTCAGCACACCTAACTTCAGAGTGAACTGGGTTTCACATATGGTTTTGATAAACTCATGCGAACTGAGCTTCGTGAGACCCCCTAACTCAACTCCGGCCCGGAACAACTTGCCAGTGTTCGGGAGATGCTTGTTATTCCTGGTGTCATAGATAAAGTTATAGCTGAGGGCACTCTTGAAGTTATGACCACACTGGTTTAGGATACTGAGGGATTTGGCACTCTTGTTATCGAGAATCCTCCAGATACTGCTGAGGCCAATCTCGTGGTTAATGGGTCCGTCGTACCTGGTGGAGATCTTGGTGTTGATACCTGTGTTCTTAGTTTCGCAGCCAATCCACTCTAATGATCTGGAGTTGACGTAGAACAAGTTCTCCCATACATAACTGGTATTGTTGTTGATGGGCATATTGTAGTTGAGCAAATATGAGGATGAAGTCCGGGTTCCAGTGGTAGCATCAAAAGACACATTTTCAGCTCCCCCAAATAGGTTTTTGAATTGGAACTGGATATATCCATCACCTTCTCCGTTTCCAATGTTACTTCCAGTCTTGGCGTAAAATCGCTTCACGGGGAAAAGATTGAACGTCGGTATGAGGGTCATCGAGTCGGGGTTTGTGGGAATATAGAGTTTTTGTTGGGGTTGGGCCGAGTTGAGCTGGATCACCAAGTTTTCGAGAACGTTAACTTTGGTGAAATTTCGAGTCACTTGGTCGAGGGACTCCACAAACAGCCTGAGAGTAAATTGCTGCTTGTCCAAGGGCGAAAATTGGGCGTTCAAAAACCCAACTCGAAAATTATCTGAATTGTTGACTTGGATAGACCCGACCTTGACGGGCTTGGTGGTGTTCATCAGAAACAAGTCATTGAGATACTCGGAGTTTTGACGTTGTAGAAGCTGCTGCTTCTGTTGAAGCAACTTCTCGAGCTCCTTCTGTTCTTTGGACTTGGAATCCGCCGTGTTCATAAACCCTTCCATGAACAAGATGAGATTGGTTTGGCATCGACAAAATGCGACTTTGAGAGCTGAAATATTATATTCGGTACATATACAATAAAAATACAGGAACATGGAATCATCAAGTAGGATGTGTTGTCTAAGGCTCGGGTGGCAGAATGGCCACTTGTGGCACCGACAATCCGGGACTTAAAAACATAGACTCACTCGAGCTTGGTAGAGCATCATCTCTTCTAATACCGTCCTTTTCTTCCTCCTCTATCAACGACTTGATACATATCTTCCCAGCCTCGGTTTGAAAGTGTCGGCGTAAAGCGTCAGCACGGGCAAACCGTCGGCCACACCCGTACGGGGTGCCGTCTTTCAATACGCCCTTGCACTGGAACCGTTTCTCACCAGAGTGTAAGTCTTCATGACGTTTTCTATCATGTTGTCTGGCAAAGGCCTTCCCACACATATTGCAAATGAACGGTCTTTCATCGGTATGGGTCCGTAAGTGAGACTTCAAGTTGTAAGGTCTGGTGAACCGCTTGTCACACAAATGACAGGCATAAGCACTGGGGTGCTTTTGGGTTCTTTTAGAGATCTGGTTGGGGGATGCCAACTCGAGCATTTTTTCTCTGGTGGAGATTACATTGCGAGGCTGGCCGTCTTCTTCGTCTTCATCATCTTCGTCTTCATCGGTGAATGAACCAGACCCCGATCTACTATGACTTGACCGACTACTAACGGACTTATTACGACTTCGGCTACGACTTCGGCTTCGTTTGGTTTCACCAGGTGCTAGAAGATTGCCATCGGTCATTTGATCGTAGTCATTCAGCGTCTCATTGTGGGCAGACGAATTGTGGGAGGAGTTGGAAAACAACGAAGGAGTCCGATGTAGTCCAATGCTGCCTTCATTATCAGGTTCTTGTTTGATGTAGTCGTTTGGATAAACAATGGTGGGAGGGGGATTGAAGTTGCCATTGATTTTGTTGATTTCTTCGAGTTGGTGGGAGTCGTAAAACAGATTGTTGGTGATACCAGAAGATGGCTGGGGGCTAATAGTGGCCAATTGCAGTTGTACAAGTTGGTTTATTTGATCGTACTGATTTGAATCCAAGTCAATCTGGGCACCGTGGTCAAAGTTTGAAAGGGCCTGTGGAGGAGCCACCGGCACGGCATATCTGGAGCCCATGCCCGCCAAATTGACACTGGAAATGGAGCCCCCTAAGGCGATTTCATGATCAAAATTGGCGGTATCAAGGTACGTGGTGTCTGCTGCAAGCGAGACTCCCGGCTGCTGGGGTAAAAGTCCGGGTGAATTACCATGGTTTTGTGATATGTTGGACAACGCATCAAAGTATGGAGACGCTGGGTTGGATGAGTAGTCAGAATAAAGTGAGTGCAGAGACTGGTTTCCAGGGCTGTTGGGATTCAAATACTGGGAGTTATTGGACAGCACGTTGAGGTACAGAATCTGGGACGAGTACTGGCTAGGTCCGGTGTCGGAATTCTGGCTAAGGTCTCTGAACTGGGGATTCAACAGGTTGTTGGTCACACCATAATCTTTGGGGTTTCCAGTAAAGTCGGGCAAGAAATGCGCATCATTGGAGGTGGGCGCCGGCGGGGGGGAGTTTGTGTCGTAGTTGTTTTGGAGGTAGCCAAATGAATTGTAGTTGTTGTTCATGGTTGAAGGAGATATTTGGGTATAGATATTCTCGTCTTCAGATTCGGGTATTTGGGAAGTCGATTTCGACATCAGACCTAGGAAAGGCGGGTTTCAGCTTGGGTCGGCAAGTAGTGATATCTTATAGGGTTAAGTTATTGATAACTATTGATGGTGGGATTATCGTTGCTGAGTATTATAAAAATAATTTGAGGAATTTTTCCCTGAGGTCTCGCACTGTAGATGCCAGAATAGGTTTTCGCCAGTGAACAATAAACACTAGACCTACGAGAGGAGACAGTGGGCGTGGACGAATCGGAAGAGGGCTTTATGGGGGGGCTTACGTACACGGAGATTCGAAGGGCTGTTTCGGCCGGTGTGCATAAAAACACAATGGTCTCAGCCTTGTTTGGATCTTAGTGTGAGGGCCGGCGGGTGGTAGAACATGGTTTAGGTCTCGTGACCCGGGAGTGGATAAGTTTGACACCAGAGAGATTTACGGTGAATAAGTCTTGGCTGTGAGCATTGGCATCCAGTTCAGGGCCGATGCATGCGAGCCCCCTCCTCGGTAATTCCATCTATCACGTTGTCGAGAATATTTTGAACTAGTCACTGACGGATGGCTGCACAGCCCTTTTGCGCGGAGATGGATTTGGTTGCGAATTTAAGGGGGGCAGGGGTGTAAAGGTTGTGGTTAGTTTGGAGAAGAGGTTAGTTTGGAGTTGGAGTTAGTGTTAGTGTTGGTGTTAGTGTTGGTGTTTAGATTGTTGAGAGTTTACAGTAGCAGGAGTAGTTGGCGAATTTCCGAATACGTACTTTAGAAAAGCCTCACCATTGGGGGAAATTACAGAACAATAGGAATGAGAGTGAAGTTTGTAGAGGGCAAGAATAGGGAATTTGTGGTAAAAGATGTACAGCAAGATGTAGTAGAAGACGTTGAGTAGTCCATGACACAGTTGACACAGTTTATGACGCGATTTATGACACAGTTTATGACAAAGTTTATGACACAGTTTATGACAAAGTTTATGACAAAGTTTATCATACAACACCCACCGCGAAATGCATTTAGCTGCACCGGCCTTGCATCTTTTTGTCTACGATGAAATCGCGAAATTCAACCATGAGGCTCTTGAGATACTACTCGATTCTCCCCAAACCCAACCTAGAGATCAGGTCTATCATCACCAACAAGGATGCCTACAAAGACTCCATTCTTAAACGAGAGACCAAAAATCTTCTACACAACCTCGAGACTGTGGCCTCCCAGAGACCCCAGGAACTCGAGCTCATCGCTCGCCTAAACAGTTTGAAACACAAAAGAGCCCAAATCACAAAGTCCATCACTCCCGAGAACAAACAAACGGTGCTCCCACAACTTGCAGACATCAAGAAATCCATCAAAAGTCTCGAACCGAAGGTCGACGAGCTTTCAGCAACAGTTTTGGCCAACGCTGAGGCTCTTCCAAATCTCATTGACCCATCTGTCAAACTGCACCAACAGGTGGTGGAGTACCTCAACGTCCTCGAGACCGAGATACCATCACCTCTACCCGAAGATGATGAGACTCTTCGAGTATTCGACCACAAAACCATTGGAGAAAGAAAGGGAATATTTGAATTTGCCAAAGCTTCAAAGATTTCGGGGTCTTCGTGGTACTACTTGGTTGGTGACGGGGCGTTGCTTGAAAATGCCTTGGTTCAGTACGCGTTGGCACAGGCCACCCACCACCACTACCAATTTGTCATTCCGCCCACAATTGTGAAGAACGAAGTCATCAAAGCGTGTGGGTTCAAGCCCAAAGATCAGCATAACGAGCAACAAATCTATGAAATCAGCGACAGCGACTCATCATTGATCGGAACATGTGAGATTCCTCTCGCTGGGTACCATGCCAATATCAACTTCCAGGTGTCTGAGCAGTTTCCCAAAAAATACGTGGGTCTATCACGGTCTTTCAGAGCTGAGGCCGGTTCGAGAGGAAGAGATACCAAGGGGTTGTACCGAGTCCACGAATTCACCAAGTTGGAGTTGTTCCACTATACGACGCCCGAATCGTCTGCGCTCGAATTGGAGCAGTTGATGGAGTTCCAGAAGAGTCTAATCAAGAACTTGGGATTGAAGGCCAAAGTCATCAATATTCCCTATAACGACTTGGGAGCCCCCGCGTACAAGAAGTACGACATCGAGGCGTGGATGCCGGGAAGGAATAGCTGGGGCGAGTTGACTAGTTCTTCCAATTGCACAGACTACCAGTCTCGGAGACTTAATATTCGATACTTTGACCAGGAAAAGAACCTCAAGTATGTGCACACGTTGAACGGAACGGCTATGGCGGTGCCTCGGGTGATTGTGGCAATTGTGGAACAAAACTACGATCCGGTCACCGATCAAATCAAAATCCCCGACGTGCTTGTCCCATTGATGGGTAAAAAATATATATAGATATGTACATAGTTATTTGAGAATATCAAGTGTAGGGGGTGTACTGACTATCCTCTTTTTGATTTTGGGGACACTAATCAGCAGAAGCTTGAGATTATGGAGGGTTTCGATGTTGGTGACCATGTCGAGCTGGGGTTCGAGTTGTTTGGTTTGGTGGAGGAGGGTCTCGTACTGTTTTTGCAACTGCTGGAGCGCGACAAATTTGGTCGAATACAAGCTGCACAACTGAGTGTGCTTGCTTTCAAGAGCCTTGTACTTGGCTTCGAGAACATTGTACTTGGATTCAAGCAGTGATATGGCGTTCGTGGTGTCGTGGTCATCTGTGAGTTGTGATAACATGGCTCTCATTTCATCCTGCCAGGTGTATGTATCTTTTTCCACACTGAGTCTGTCAAGGATGGCTTCGAGAAGCCGAGTAGACTTCAGATCAAGGTGTACGGCCTGCAACTCACTGACAATAGGATCCACAATGTCTCTGGGGTTTATCTTATACTCGTCAAATATCTGGACCAAGTCGGGTTTGGTGATATTATTATTGTGCACCAAACTGTTCAAAAGCTTGTTCAAGTTGTCGTTGTTGTTTCTCAGCCGGTTCACCAATTCTGTCAAATCGACTGTGGTTTGTTTTGTACTGAGTTCGATATTGGACAATTGAGATGAGATGTTGGTCAGGATAGACTTTTGAGTTTCTGCTACAGGGATATTTTCCTTATCAGTAAACATTATAGCACTTGGTTCGTGTATTTTAGACAAAATGGTAAACATCGCGACTAAAAACCAAACTTGCTCTTGAAGGCCGATGAGTACATCAGCCGTTTTTGACTTTCAAGAGACTCATTCATGGTTTCACTCATGGAATTGGCATATCCATTGAGGCTCTCTTCCATCTGCTCAACCCCTGTTTGTAGACTCTTCATGAACCCGGTCAGTCCAAAGTTCCTGGTGGTGCCATCTTTCCTCACAGGTTCCTTGTAACCACGACCATCATCGCTTCTTTCAACACCGCCGTAGGTGTTACCGTAGCCAGCCGTCTGGTTGTTTTCTGGACTGATATTGAAGGCCATTTGACTCTCTGGGTGTTTGGCAGGTTTCCGGTTGGGTCCTCCAATCAATGCATTCAAGTCAGGTACCGAGATGACGGTAGATGCTCCCTTGGCCCATTGCAATGCGCTGACACTTGGTTTGGGCGGAATAACGCTGTTTTCGTTGAACAACAAATCGGTGGTATCCTTGTTTTTGCGTCTAGGATCCTTTATCGATAAGGCCAAGTTGATGAACTCGGATTCTCCAGTACGTACGTAGAGATCTCCAGTTCTCAACACGTTGGATTTGGAGATCGAGTTCAAGTCATACGACTTAACAAGGTCCTTGGAGAGCTTATAGTCGGTGATATCTGCCAATGCCGGCAAGTTGCTCAACTTGATAAAACCGGTTCTCAACACCGATGCCAAAATCACTCCTTTAGCACCAATATCAACCACCCCGGCGCTACAGCAATGCTCTTCGATAACCTTGTGAGCCAACTTTTGCTTTGGTGGTTTCAAAACCCGAATATCTTTGTCAGAAGCTAGAATCAAATATCCTGGAATCAAAATGCCTTGACTCAACTTGTTGAACACATCTAGAGTGGGCACGGTAGAAGCTCCTTTGCTACTGATGGGAATGATTTCTTTAATGCAACTGTCTTCTGACGATCTGTAGTTCAATTTCATCGTCTTGTCAGCAAGCATCACCTCGAACCCTCCATTTGCCTGAGGCAAGATCTTGAAGTACAACAAGTTTCCTCCTTCGTTGGTTCCGACAATCAACAAAATGGACGAATATCCTTCCTGAGCATACTCCATGATGGAGAACTCCATGGAGGTGGCATAGCAGCCAGCAGATGCGGTTGGTACCAATTTGGCAATAGACTCCATATTGTAAATGATGGCTGGACCTCTTCCAATGTCACACACCACCAATCTTCCGGATTTATACCCAACCGCACAAAAGCCAATCCCACAAGCCTTGAGGCTGGTGATTTCGTCGGGCTGGTCAAGGGCCATCAAGTTCATTGGTAGAAAGGTTGATGAGTCTGCAAAAGTGCCTCTAATTCTTTCCGAGATGTTGATGATCTTAGCATTCTCATTAGCATGTTGAACTGGACATCCAGAGTAATCTGGAGACAAAGGCTTTCTGCTGGGGTTGATCTTTCCGAATTTGCACAACACTACATTTCCATTTCCCAAACCGACAACCAAATCCCTACTCTCAAATGCACAGGAAACACTCGATATGCTCAAGTCTTCGTACCTGTTGGCAACCAAAGTTTCCTTTAAGCTGATCTGGATCAACCCTTCTTGTTCTTCCACTTCACCTCTAGTGATATCCAACAACCGCACAATTCCTCCTTCATTACCCGTGACCAAAACCTTACGGTAATGATCATTATGTCCGATGGATCTAATGATGTTCTCGTTGATAGCAGCTCCTCCTTGTAAGAGCAACTCGGTTTTGGCCTTGACACCAGTAGATATCCGACTCGACTGAACCCCGTACCAGTCGATTCTCTTGATGAGCTCGACTTTACTGTAAGTAACAGGAGGATGGACAAACGCAATGGTGGGAGGAAGTAACAACTTGCCCAAGTCGGTGTTATCGTTGTTGATCATCAATTCACCAAACACAGACAAATAGATGTTGTTGAGGTTGGACTTCAATAATATATAACCAGGATTGTGCCCACCATTGAAGTAGGGACACCCCAACTGGGGCAATGGGACTATCTTATCCAAGAACTCGGCTTTTCCGGTGTTGTTTTGGTAGAAGTTGATAGCCATCATCTTCTGGCCATTCTGAGGTTTGCTGTAGAAGTCCCCTTGTTTGTCATGCGATGTCATTGAGTATTTTAACGTGAGTCCAAAATCAAGAATATAAACTCGGTCTGGATGGTCACTATCACCTCCACAGATCAAGAGCTTGGTCAACTCGGGATCGGATCCACAAACCCATCTGACCGACTGGATCGGTAAGAAATGCTGAGGTGCTTGCACTGGAGCTCCCGGCTTGTGGAGGTTTATTTCATAAATGCTTCTTGCTTCAAGCAAAGTGCCTGAATTGGCATCCCAGAACACCATGGAATTGTCGGCATGGACCGTAACGATGTGGAGACCATTGGGGTGGAAATGGGACTCCACCACCTCCAGAACCACTTCCTTAGGACTGCTGAAAAGCTTTTTCTTCCCACTGTTTGCAACATTCAAAGCCCAGTCGAATCCTCTTGCACCTTTGGGTAAATTGTAGATAAATACTTGTTTTACGTCCCCACTGGCGATGGAGTACAACACAGCACAGTGTGAGTAAGTGAGCAACAAAACACCTATATCTCTGGGATGCCACTCGATGTGTAGCACCGGAGAAAGCTTTTCTTTGGGCAAAACCTTCTTCTGCAAGTTATCGACTCTTAATGGAGAAAGGTTCAAGCGGTCAACGTCGTAGAACACAAAACTGCCGTTAGTCAATCCAATTACAATCCAATCCAAGCCCGGATCCAGCGTGACGCTGCTGATCGAGCCGGGAGGCAGATAATTGGTTAATATTTGTTTGGAGTACAAGGAGAAGATTGTTATGGTGGAAGTAGCCAGAACTGCCACCAAGTATATGCCTTTGATGAATCTCAAGTCGATGATAGGACTGGAAGAGTTGAGTTCAAATACCACTTCGACTGTGCTTTGTCCTATGACACGAATTTCGTTGTTTGAGGTGGATATCGCAAGTAGACTTTGAACTGGGTCGTAAGCCACCGCCAAGATCAGGTGATCCTTTAACCCGTACTGGATCAAGTTGTCGATTTGAAGGTCCTTAGGGTTCAAGTCGGGCGATATGTTGGAAGAGCTGGAGTTCTTGATAGCATTACTTACCGAGTTAAGTGATAAAGGCAGTTTTTTCAGTTTTAGCTTGTTGAACATGGCGTAGGTTAATTGCGAAAGTTGGAGTGCGAAGTTGATTTTGAAACACGTAAATACAATTTTCAACTTGGTATATCTAGTGATATTTCAAATCTTAAGTATTCACAATGGTACGTATGACATTATAGGATGATGAGTGACCTCTTATACTGACGTTTCTTCAGTTTGATCAGTTAGTTGGTTTGGCTATGCTTGGTGTTGCCGTGGCTGTCTTTGTATACTATTCTACTTGGGTGTTAGTGTTACCTTTTGTTGATGATTCAAGTTTCTTGCAGAGTTTCTTCTTGCCAAGAGACTATGCTATTAAGCTTCCCTTATTGTTGTTGTTAATCGGGGGAGTTGCCGTGGGTTCTTTTGTGGGAAGTGTTTTGATCAAGGAATCTAACAAGAAGAAGGCCAAGAAGGCCGAATAACTAGGACCGATAATAACGGCCCCATTATTACAGGAATCGGCCCCATTAGCACCGTCACCATGAGACACACAGTGTCAATCGAATTCAATGAAGTTTACAAGCATTTGTAAATTGTTAAATATGTACTAGGATCTAATGATAAAGTCTCCAGTTTTGGTCAAGTATTTCACTCCTTTGTAGGGCTTAACGGTCTCACTCAATCCTTTCGCGCTGACTATCTTTAAGCTGTCTACCTTTATTCCTGAAGGCAATGACCCTTTGTTGGTATAAGACAATTTAATGAATGCTGGCTTTAAGACGGGTTTTGTAAATGTCTTGTCTTGTGTAGTTCTCTCACTATCAAACGTCTCGGAGTCTGTTTCCATGTCACCAGTGATGATAGAACCATACAATATCGGATTCACACCCGGAGTCACACTTCTCAAGTTCCATTCTGCCTTTCCATTACTCTTATAGCTGAAGTCGCCATGGGTCAATCTGCTGGACTTGATGGTTATCAAGTTCAGATAATTAGCGTTGATTTCGATCAGGAGGTTTTCGATTTTCGTCACTCCCTTAATAACCGGCAATTGTAGTTTGACCTCAAACTCGTTTTTATGAAGCCCCAACCCATAATTGTAGTCAACACTTACACTCCCCAACATCGACAATTGGTCTTTTCTCGAGAATTGATCAAGGTCGATGGAATACTTTATCAAAGTGAACTTCCCATCTGGCGGTATGAACGATAAAGTCCCGTTGTTTTGCTTCCATGTGTCGAGTTTTACACATCGATGGAACTTGGGGTTGATGTTATTGAGACCAGCCACATTCAAGATCATTTGAAGGCACGGTACTCCCGTAAGCCTACTGGTAAATAGAACTTGTCCGTTTATAGTGCTAGATACCGGCACCAAGCTTTTGCTGTACAGACTGGTGGAGGAGGAATTGGTAGAATAAAATGCAGAATCAAACTGTTTAACTTGTTGAGCCAGGCCCAAGGATTTGGCCACTGACTTGAAGATCACATCAACGGTCTCAACAACATCCACATACATTTCGTTGTTTGTGTGGCGGACATTGGATCTTCTCCAGGGAATTGAAGAGGTGTTAAGATCTTGCGATCGGGGCAAATTTGATATGGATGTTGACGTCAGTTTCTTGATGGCATTGGTAGTCATCTGGCTGGTTTTGCCTAGAAGCTTGGAGAGGAAGCTGCTAAACGGAACGATATCACGCAATTGGTTGAAATCGGTGATGTTGGGGATTCCGTCATCTATCATTTGGCTAATCAAAAGTGTTAAAGTATCATCATTGGACTCGATTTTGGGAATGGCCAACGGGTACCCAAAGTAGTCATGGATGACATCTATCAACTGGAGGATGAAATGGAACGGTAACATTGGGTTGATATTGGCAACATTCAAGGTGTAAATGATGATGTTGGAGGTGGTGTATTTGTAGACCGAGTAGTTTTTGTTGATTTCAATGATATTGTTGGGATCTGCCGATAGGGACGACACTACGCTGATGAGCGATTTGAACGACGGCGATGAAAGGTTGATGAGGTACTCATACACAAGGTTGTTATTTGTGTCAGCTATGTATACTGCTTCAAACATGGTGTTGGAGATTGATTTTGCGCGCAGTATTTCTAGCTCCAAAGTTAACTTCGGGTTTACAGCAGATATTGGGCGTATATATTAGGGGGGAGGAGAGTCGAGCTATTTCGTTGGGGATCGTTAATACAAAAAGAATCGATCAAAACAAAGTACCAGGTGCTTTTGGACATAGCAAAGGCCACAGATGTTGAAGTATTTCACACACACATTATTAATTTTATCCAAAATCAACATCCACGAAACCCTAAAAGCATCACTGGTACCCCATTGTTATCGATGTTAAGCGAAAGAATTCAGCAAATTAAAAAGTAAGCACATTGCTTATTGACGGCCAGTTTGACTGTCCAAGAAAGACGAAGATTCACCTTCACCTTCGACACCATCTTCCTTGAACTCAGAAATGTCCAATCCCATGTCTTCTACCACCTTCTGTTCAATGTTCTTGATGTCAGCCACCCCGTAGATAGCGATGGCCACAAGACCCAAGAAGGCAGAGATACACGAGAATACCAAGGCCACAATACCTCTGGCAGTGAAACCAGCAGGTAAGGGCTTGACCTGGACATTCTGGTTTGTCAAGTCGGTAAAGTCCTTGTCATTATCAGCAGCATTACCCTTCCATGACACTCCAACCTTATCACAAACATCCTTATGGTTGTCTGTAAGGGTCTGGCGAGAATCATTAAGAATGTCTTCTGGAGCCTCCACAAATTGAAGGGCCAAACCTTGACGCAAATGCCATTCGATATGACAGTGGAAAAACCAAACACCAGGATGGTCGGCCTTGAATCTCAAAACCATGTACGATTGAGGGTTGACGTACACAACGTCTCTCAACACTGGATATTCAGGAAATTCGGACATCGAGTCAGCATCGAACGCCACTGGAGACAGGGTATCAGGGACTCCTTCACCTCTGGAAATTACCTGGAAAACATGTCCGTGCAAGTGGAACGGATGCTTACCGGTATCCTGGTTATTGACGACAATGTCAACAATGTCGTCTTTTTGCAACACATAAGTATGGGTGTTGGTACCGTAGATAAGAGCGTTGGTAGCATCGTCTCCGGCGGACAAAAGTGTCAACAAGGTTGGAACCTTTGGTGTAACATAACTGATGTTGTTGAAGAAAGCATAGTTGACACCGTTACCCAAGTTTGCCATAACCACGTCCACCGTGACCGTCAAGTCAGGGTCTTCGTAAAGAGTTTCATTGTTGTAAGGAGACAAGTAAAAGTCGTCGAAAAAGTCCCAGGCATCCACGTAATATTGATCAGGGGTATCGTTATTCTCGTCATATACAAGGACACTGGTTTGATTCAATACCAAGTCTTTTGGAATTTTATCCAACAAATCCTGGTCCACGGCCGACATAAAGGCATAGTTCTTATCAGTATTGCTCTTGGTTCTAATCAACACCCCGTAACGTTGGGCCACGGTGATGTAAAGCATATCGGTGGTGTTGGGGTTGACGTAAATTCCATCCACCTCGACAATTTCAAACTCGTGGTCGTCCATATAAAGATACTGCGACACAAACGCACCCACATTGACGATTCTGACAAAGTAGGTCTTATTGGGTTCGATATTCCAAGTAAAGTTGGTGGTGTCGTTGACCAAAAAGTTCTGCGGAATGGGCTCAGCTCCGGTAGGGTTGTACAAGCTCATAAAAGACTTGGAAAGTTCATCACTGCTCTTATGGTACCAATCGGCAATTGTAAGAGTGATTTCTTCATCAAAGTCAAATGGATATTCGTCGTCTTCAATGACAAAAACCCCTCTGAGACCATCACCAAGCTGACCAGCCGTATGGGAATGGTACCAAAATGTACCCACCTGATCACCAACGGTAAAGTTGTACACAAAGTGAGCACCTGGGGGAATTGGACATTGAGTTACCATTTCAGGACCATCCATTTGAGCACTTCCTGGTTGAAATAATCCGTGGAAATGCATGGTGGTATTTTGGTCTTCCAACCCATTGGTCAAGTTAAACACTACCCGATCACCTTTTCCTACCCGTAACACAGGAGGAGGCCATTCCCCGTTCAAAGTAAGGGCCCTTCTGGTGAACACTCCATCAGGGTTAGCATCCACATAATTGGCGGTATAATTCCAGTAGTGAGTTTTACAATATCCAAAGCTGATAAAGCTGAATAAAACAATTAGAGACAACAATTTCATACTGGCTTGCTGCTGCAACACAAATAGATCCGATCCCCAAAATAAAAGTGAAATAAGCTGGAGAAGAAAAAGAGGAAAAAAATCTGCTCACAAGTGCTCTAGTATTTATATGAGCCTGCTGACAAGGTTCCCAACTTACGAGGATTTTCCATTAATTTTAGCCAATGGAGAAATTTGACCAGGGATGCCATTTTTGTCACATTGATTAATCTGATAATTATTTTTCGTTTTATTTTTGCATAATATTATTGGGCGTTCAGCATGAATTTGATAGGCCAGCCAGTTTTGTGGCGATTTGAGAGGGGGAAGCTGGTGGATGTTTGGGATATAGCACCCATTCCACTGCATACACTGTCATTGACCTTGCCACCTGAAGCATGGAGACAGCTATATGGAATTCAAATGGCCGTCAAAATCATGTCAATATGCGTATCGCTGTCACTGCGTGCAAAATTTTTCGTGGCAAGCCGCTGCCGTTTCATTGGTTGAGATGCTCGCTAAGGTTTGTGAAACTGTACTTATTGTTAGGTTTATTTTCGCCAGTCAAGTTTGATAGGTGGGCTTGGCACTGGTAGGCACAAGGTACGGTAAAGGTGGTTGGCAGGCGCGGTGGGACTGGTATCACCATTTGCTATGGTTGTCACTGGGACCTCCCCCAATGGCCGCCTTTTGATCTGCCTGTCGGAAGTGAGGCGTGCGAATAAACTTTGGGGGGTGGGTCGCCTTTTGATTGGCGGGGGCCCAAGACCGGAGCTCGGGTGCAGTTGTTACTTACCACATATGTAATGGCAGAAAGGCTACTGTGCAGAAACAGGCGTTTTGTGCACTGTTACGTCAATCGTTTTCACCGGCAACTCTGCATCTGGCTGCCGGGGGGATCTTTCATAAAAAAGAGTTATATGTCATACAAAGCGATTGGGAACGATGGACTCAGAAGCCTCAGAAGCCCCAGTGGGCTGAAATGTTAAATTGGTAAGGCAGAAACACTAAAGGCTAACACCCACTCTGAGGGTATGTTGAATTCAATGTCATTTGTCGTGGGCTGAGGGGGCAGTCTATGCGTGGATTCTAGCGGCTTAGGAAAGCCAAGACTTGAAAATCGGGTAATCGGTACTACCGTTTTCAGTGGTTGAGTACGCGGGAGGCTTTCGGATCTTGAGCGGACTTATACCAAAACTACGTTATTCTGAGCAATTCTGCACCTCGACCGAATCGACGGAGGAAAGTTTCCTGTTCCAATTAAAGAACAAATCTACCAGGGTGTGCATCGTCCTATCAGGCACAATCAGCGTTCTCTGTTGCACCTGCAAGCGAACTTGTAAACATTAAGTCACCTACCTATAAACAAAATACCAACTCTTCTAGATGTCTCCAAAAACTTCCCGAAACAGACAACGTAAATGGTCGAAATTAACCTCCATCCAACAGCTCGGTCTATCGACATCAGCGTTATTTATCATCCTTGAGTAGCTAAAGTCAATAAAATAGACTTTGTCTGCAAACAATAAATGCAGCGTTTCAATATCACCATGAGTAACCCCAGCTTGGTGAATAGCCTCGAGTTGCTGCTTCGCTTGGTTATAAACTTCCAAAGTATCTGGAATCTATTCGGATTGGATAAACCTTGATATAATGGCATAACCTTTTATCACTTCCCCATAGCCTCGGTGGTACTGGACTTCAATATCCATATGTCTCAAGTAAACGTTATTATACTCTTCAGAATTCAAAAGCCGTTCAATTGCATGCATTTCTTGGCAATAGTGCTCCCAAACCCAATGTTGGGCAAACTCATTATCGTTCCTTACGTCATAACGAGTGGGATTATAGATTTTCACAACCACATATTCATGGTCGTTGGTATCATCTAGAATGACATCCTTCAAATACCCGGCTTTCACTTTATAGAGTGACGTTAGACAAGATTTCGACAGATGCAACAACTCTGCCCCCGAGTTGTAAGTTAGCCATTTGACCTCTGACTGGTGGTGGGTATATGGGTCAGGACTTAGAGTTTTACAGTTGTCAAGAATTTTAGGCCTAAGGATAAGGCCATACCGACTCCGAGCCAAATCTTCAACCTGCTCAACTGCTCTCATTGGATTCTCTACCGACACCAACGGAGCCGGTAAATTTTGGTAAAACTTGAAAGCTTCAGTGCCCTCATTATTCTGCTTCGCCTTCTGAAGAATGTAGATTAAACCTTCAAAGAATGTTGGACAACTACTGTGCACATTCAAAATTCTTGATTTGAAGGCAATACCAAGCTTTGGCGTACCTGTGAGCTTTAGTTTCTTCATCTGGCCACTGTTTGTTCTTTTGGCTTAGGCTGGGGCTCTTCAAAATTTGTGTTAGGTTTATAGTCATCGAAATTCCTATTGAATTCGATAAGAATCAAGTGGTACTCATCACACAAGATTCCGTTCCTCACGGAGGCAGCTATCATATACGATTGGAGCTGTTTTACTTTTCCTCCTATGTCATCTGAGCACAGCGATTCGGATGTTAAATGGGCCCATTATTCTAGAGGTAATAACGCAGGATTTTTCATCAAACTCACACACAAAATATTATCCCCATCATAGACGGTAAAATCTGGAGTCAATATGTCCCTGATACACATATTAGCTGGTACCAATGGAGAGTTTTCAGTGTGCAAAGGATCTTTGCGGTTTACTCTCAAGTTAAGAAAAGAACAGATTTCCCTGACAACATCGTGATAGAATACATATGAAAGGTCATCTTTACAACCCAGGAACAATTGTGTACAATAGCTTTCATTGATTCCTTAGACATATCACCCTCTACGTCTTGTATCGTGAACAAAAGAGTGCAATGTTTCCTTGATATCATTGTAAGGGATTTCAGTGACTAAAACCGGGTTCACATCAGGTCTTAATTCGTTACTAAATGGATCGAAACTTTGCCTGGCTGAAAAAGGAAGAGTTTCGATGTCTTCAATTTTGTAAGCTACCATGGGCATTGAGAGAACAAACTGCACCACCTTGGGACCAAAAAGACTAGATATTTCTTTTAACACTTCATAACAATCAATTGTGCTATACTTGGAATCATCGCACCCGAATGAACCCAACAAGTTTGCTTACTGCTTATATTCCAATGGAAAGTGGCCAGGGAAAGTGGTTTTATAATCCAAGTATTCATATACATCTTCCCTAAGTTGGAAGGTTTTGAAATAAACAAATAAACGGACACACATCAATGTGAAGCAAAAACAATAGATCGCTATTATCTCAAGTGTCAAAAGTATCCAAAGAAAGACCAGTAAAATCATCAAAGCTTGAAGAGAGAATAGGAATGGACTGCGCGTATATATAGATGGACTTGCATAATTATACGGTAACTTACATTTAAGTGGAGAGAATTTAAAGGATTTGTAGTGGTGACTTGTATCTTCCTGCTGAATTGAGAGAAGTGTAGTGATGACATGCATCGTCCTGCTGAATTGGGAGAGGGTACCAATGGAGCACAATGGGGGTAGAAGCCCTTCGAAATGTGGTATTTGCACGACGCACTCGTATCGTACTTGTGCAACCATTTGTGTACGTGTGGAAGTTCCTACTTGGCATCACCGAATTGTCCATGGAATGTCCTTATCTAAATTTTCCTTTAGCCATAATTTTTTAAACTCTTCGTTCTGTGGTCGCAGCCATCGCTTTGCAGCCATTCGCTCTCCATGTTTCGGATTCGATGCGCGAATTCGTTGGCACATTGCTCTACGCATGGATGTTCGAAAGTTTTACAATAACCCGGTCACCAACCTTCTCCGAAGGAAAGGAACCGCCAGTTCTAGCACTCCCACAGCCAGAACCCCGAAAATAAACCACTATAAGCGGTCAACTCCTCCCATCTCCGTCCCCCTCAACAAACTCTTCTCAAACACCTTTCCACTAAGCATCCACGAAAGCATTCAAGATTACAAAGTCAAGGACGATTTGTTCCTGTTTCAGCATAACCTCTTGTCGACGCTTCCGTTCTATCCCAACCCTGACAAAGACGGCCGCAGCTCGGAGGTTATTCAGGTTCCTATTGATGAGAACAACAATTACATCAATGAGTACGTGATCTATCCCAACCACAAAACCAAAAAGGCCTACGCATCCGCCAACCACTTGGTAATGGTGCACGGATATGGGTCGGGCTTAGGGCTCTTTTTGAAGAACTTTGGAGCCGTCACCATGGATAACTGGGTGGTTCATGCCATTGACTTATTTGGCTACGGATGTTCATCACGGCCCCCGTTCACCCCCACATCATTTGAGCAGGTGGAGGCATGGTTCCACGATTCATTCGCCACGTGGATGCGCCGGCGCCAGATCCCCCGCCAAAATGCCCTCGTGATGGCCCATTCCATGGGCGCATATTTAATGGCCAGCTACGGTATCAATGTTGACCCCGATTTCTGCCGGCGGCTTGTAATGGTTTCACCGGGGGGAATCATCGACCACAAGAAGCCGATTGTGATTCCGGCGTATTTTGAGCGGTTGTGGGAAAGAAACATAAGTCCGTTTTCTCTTGTGCGCAAGGCATCTTTCTATGGGTCCAAATTGGTGAGCGGATGGAGCTACCGGCGGTTCAGTGAGCTTCCGGACTCTGAGCGGGTTTCGCTCCACAAATACGTGTACGGAATCTTCCAGGCCCGGGGGTCGGGCGAGTACATGTTAAATTATCTTCTCAAGCCGGGCGCAAACCCGCGGCACCCGATGGTGGACCGCAAAATCGAGCGGTGTAACTGCCAGTTCGATTGGTGGTACGGCCAGGACGACTGGATGAATGTGCACGGTGGAGAGGTGTGCAGCGAGCGGCTCCGGCGGTCGGGAAAGTCTTCGACGGTGGTGGAAATTGCTGATGCCGGACACCATGTGTATTTGGATAATGCGACCGAGTTCAATCGGATGCTTGTGGAGAAGATGCGGGATTGGTGAGAGCTAGAACTATCTAGTGGGAATATATTGGTAATGTGATAGATTAGCGTAGAGTTGAAAAGATGAGGTACAAAACACGCAAGATTAGTGATGAAACACGTAAGTGTAGTGACGAAAACACTAAAGTGCTTGTTATAGGTGATGGATGCTGATGCGACCTCTAGAATACTACGATACCAACACATCGATGTTCGCCGGCTCGCTCTCCGGCCCCTCAAACTCCAACTTGACCCGCAAGCTGATGGGCAAACTCAGATCCGTAATCGCAATCTCATCGTCTTCGCTCACGAGATCCTTCACCCGCTTGCACAAGTTCTGCTTCGTAGCCTCGTACAATGACGGCGGTGCCGCAAAGTAAAGCTTGGTACCAGCTGTCGATAGAGACGGGTTCTTCACCTGGAGCTCTGGCATCGTCCGCATCTCCAGGATAAACGTCTCTAGCGTCCACCAATTCTGGCACCGGACAGTTTTGGTCTGGGTGCCACAAACAGGACATCCAGGGTTTTTGGCAGCTTCGAAAGTATACGTAAACACCAGGTCATCGCCCGAGTACATCATATAATTGTCCAAATGGCCATTATTATCGGTGAGAATCTTGAATGCTTCATTGCAACAAGAAGCAGCAATGATGGCATTTGTGGATGCAATGGACGGGATGATGCTCTTGACGACCCCCAAAGTCAAAGACCGGGTGATGCCGCCGATGTGGAACTGGCGGCCACGGGCCTGTGCCTGCTCAAACACCCAGTCGACGTGCTGCTCGTTATCGGCGTCGAACTTGACGGAGAACTTCTGCCCCCACGCGAGCTCACTGGCCCACTCGATACAATGCTCTGGTAACCGTGGCGTGTTAGCGATGGTGCACACGGGATACGTGACTTTGGGTGTCAACATGTGAAGGGTGCACTCGTAGCACGAGGTGACGGTAGGAATGATCACACGGGACTGGCCACGAAACCCTTCGGTACCACCATCGATGATGGGCACGAGGTTCTCCATGGCCGGACCCACCATCGCCACCACCGTAGCGTTAATCCACCGCCGTGCCTCCACGCTGTCGAGGCCGCAGATGATGCAACTAAATTGTTGATAGTATTCCACTGGTTTGTCCTGAATGCGCCCGTAGTAGGGAACAATCTTGAGAAATCTGTTCTTGACCCGCAGCTTGACAAACCGGGCGGCTACCTCGGCCTTGGACTTGTTGATGTCCTCTTTGCGAAAGAGAAACTGGCGGTTCAAGTTGCTGAGGTCGATCAGGTCCATGTCGATTATGTGGATGTCGGTGAAGCCGGTGAGCGCGAGGTTCTTGAGGATTTCACATCCCAAGCCGCCGGCCCCAATCACCAATATCTTGGAGGAGCGGAGCTGCTGCTTGGCAAACTCGTAGTTGTACTCATTGGGGGCGCCGTTGTAGGGTCCAATGGTACGGAGAAGTGAGTCGATGCCAGGATTCATGATATGGCTTGAAAATGTTTTGTGCGACTGAGGCTGCAAAAATGCGAATCAATTTGATGATTATAAATACTATGAAAATGCTAATCCTTGTGGAGGCGCTTAACGGGCGTTCGCGAAGGTGGCATGCCGATCATGCGCTTGGTGGAGGGGGTGGTGGTGGTGGACATTAGCGGCACAAGCGGTTTACTGGGGGTCTGGGACGTAGAAATATCGTTTCGTCTCACGGGTGCTGACCGTGTAGGGTCCAACGTGCGGCGGATGTTGGGGGACACGAACTTGGGGTCGAACTGCGGGATGTCGGTTGAAGGTGTGGTGTTGAGGAGGTCGGCTCTTTTGGCACTTACGAATAATGGCACCTCGAAGGGAATTGGAGGGGCAACTGCATCCTTGGGTGCGTTGGTCTTGTGGAATGTGTTGTCGATGTCGGGCTCCTCGTTCTCTTTGTCGCTTTTGTTCATGATCATTTCCATTTCGTAGTCGTCGATTTTGTTCATTTCCGCGTCGTCGCTGAAGAGAAACGAGTCGTCGAATTCGTCTTGGCCGGGAGCCTGCTTGGTGGCGGGGGTGGCCTCTTTTGGGTCCGTCGGTGGTGGCTGTTTGTGGCCTGCACTCAGTTCTTCTTTGTCTGTTGTCTGCTTGTGGTCTACTTTCTGTTTGTACTCTGCCTTTTCTTTCCCCGGCATGATATTTACCTTTGTTGTATGTTGCCGCTGGTCCCGTATCTTTGTAAACGTGTCGTCTCGGTACAAATCATTCTCTCCTAGGTCTGTGGTATTCTTGGGAATTCCTCTCAATTTCGACATCAACGCCTTATCGTACAAACAATTACCCAACACGTTCCCAAAACAACGGAGACATCTCTTAACGCCGTCCGTAAGTGCTTCCTTCTTGCACTTTTCGTACGCAGCGGCCTTGCTTTTGGCATTATCAATGTACCCATATCCAATGTCCTCATGGTAAGTACCATCTTTTATAGTCACACGAACCACCACCGATAGGCCCATGGAAATACGGCCATCTCGCAGGGTATCACAGAAGTCTAGCGTGTACCCCACGATGGCTGAGCTCCAGCCGTTGAACCCAAAAATCTCGTTGGCAATATTGAGGGCTCTCCAGCCTTCGAGATACGCAACAGACGTGCCACCGCCGCCAGGACGTGAGCTCACATACTCCGGGCCCAAAGTCTTGTCGAGCGACGTCTTTATATCTGTAAACTGGTCGTTGGTGAACTGAACCGCTTCGAATGGCTTGTTGGGAGGAAAATACTGTGCTACACCCACCATTCGATTCGCGTCTGAACGCGGCATTGGAGGAGGTAGTCTGCTCTGGTTGGGTGGGCCTTGTGGGTTGGGGGGACGCGCTGAGGCGCTGGAAGGTGGCACTGACGGGGTGTTTGTGGTGTTCCCGTTCATTTTCGGTGTCTTCTGCAAAAAGTACAAATAGCTGATTAGGCTGTTGGTAAACAAAATGTGATAAATTGGCACAAGAGCGCGCGATGATTTTGGCGTGAAAACATGGAGAGCATAAATGATAAGACTTTGACAGATACGCCGATACGACGGGGTGAAGGTGAGAAAGAGTATGGTGAGATGGCGAGAAGTGGTCAGGCGTCTGGTGTGAAAAATGAGGGTTCTCGGAGTTCTGGTTCTCGAGATACATGCGATCTGGAAGAAGAAGATATCAGTATAAAAGCATTTATAAAGAGTCCATCACGCAAGGAGCGCAACGCCGATGAACGGCGGAGGCGAATCACCAAGTACAATACGACCATTCTCAAGGAGCTGAGAGAAGAGAGGCGGAAACGGCGTGAAGAGCGACTTTCTCAGTTTGACGACGACGAGTTGGAGATGAACGAGATTAACTCCTCGGACGTGGGTAGCGTGGACTCAGACAGTCCACGGAAGAAGAAGCGGGTGAGTTTTGTGGGCGTGTTGTGAGTGGAAAATAAGAAGAAAAGATAATAGTATAGAAGAGTACTAAGAAAGTGTGAGGTGGTAATAGAAGAGTCCAAGAGGAATAGAAGAGTCCAGCACGAAAAGAAGAGTCCAACACCAAAAGAAGAATGAAACTCAATAAGAAACAAGTCCACACCGCACCCAACCCTACAGTCTTTCATAATCTAATATAAATGTATATCTATAATACATGCTATAGTACAAGCAGCTTACCCTTCCTAAAGCTCGAGTGACGAAATCAACGTAATGTTATCACCCTTGAGCATTATCCTCCCAAGGTCTTCCTTACTTCCATCCTTGGTCGAAACCTCAATCGCATCGTCCAAAACAATATTCATAAACTCATCAAACCCACGGATTTTGCCCTCGATCCGCGATTGTGTCTGCTCGTATAACCACACCGACACCGTCAACCGCTGCTGCAAGCACGTGAAGATGGTGTGGATGGGCGTATGCATGGCCCTGTTGGATCCTCTTTCTCTGCCCGACATGTTCGATGAGAAAGAAAATGATAGTGCGCGCGTGTTTAGCTGAGACATATTTACTATAGCATCTTCATGAATGCATTCCCTGATAACGGCGACGTCAAACAGTTGGTGGTCGACTGGCTCCACGCCCAGTTTGAGGATGCGTCCAACAAGGGATACCAACTGGCGCTTGTTTTCTCACGGGCGCTAGTGTACGTCAAGCAGTTTGTGGATCCCATCAAGGACCCCAAGACCCTCAAGCTGATCCAGAACGTAGGGGATAAAACGGTGGCCAATTTCCTGAAACACCTTGTTTCATACTGCAAGACCAATGGATATAAGGTCCCCGAGCTGTTTGACCCGGAGTTCAACCACTTCAAACGGAAAGAAACTGGTGAATCTGTCGAAAAACCCAAGAAGAAGCGGAAACTCGCCCAATATGTCCCCCGAAAGCGGTCGGGAGGCTACGCCATCCTCTTGGCGTTGTACTTTAAGGACAAGACCCGGTCGGGCTTGAAAAAACATGAAATCATAGACGTGGCTGCCAAATACTGTGATAGTTCTTTCAACAGTAACCCCAGCAACAATGATTTCTATTCAGCGTGGAACTCGATCAAGGTGTTGGAAAAACACGAGTTGGTGTCGTTCACCGGCCGGCGCACGCTATGGCATATCACCGATGAAGGAATTGAGGTTGCCAAACGGTTGAAGGTGGTGGAAGGGTTGCACTCGTCTCCCATCAACGAAAAAGTACATGTGATGTCATTTGATAATGGTTTACACGTCTCATCCGACCACAGCTTGTCGAATAGCACTGGGATTGAGCTAGTGTCGAACCCCAAAGACTTGCTTGCCCCTGACTGGATCAATTCTTCCAAAGATATGCTTCCTCCAGACCTACTCAATTCTTCCCCCATCAAGGCTCTACCCTCGCCGCCAAAGCCCACACCGCCCCAGCCTCGCCATGACTCGAAGAAGCGGCTCCTAAATGATATCAAGTACTCCATATGGTACCACGATGAGTACGAGGTGATTCTAATCGTGGATAACCGTGAAGTTCGGTCCCGTAATGACAGAGAATACTTTGAAAATCGCTTTACCACCATGGGTGTCAAGTGTGAGGTGCGCCCGTTGGTGGTGGGGGACATAGCGTGGATCGCCAGGCACAAGAAATCGGGGGAAGAAGCGATTTTAAACACCATTTGTGAGAGAAAAAGGCTTGATGACCTCGCCAGCTCCATTAAGGATGGTCGGTTCATCGAACAGAAGGTCAGACTCACCCGGTCGATGATGAAAAGGTTCTACTACTTGGTCGAAGAAGGAATGTCGGAGATTTCCCGATTACAGAACTTCACGAGAAATCTTCAAACGGCCCAGTCCATGACGATGATATTCTCTAACTTCCAGTTGAAGAAGTTTAAAACCCTTGACGAAACCACCGCATTTTTGGCATCTCTTACCGACGTGATTAAGGAGGTGAACACTGAGAAGAAACAGAAATTGATTGTAATGAAGCCTCGAGTCATAAAGAGCCAAAAGCAGTATGGAGACATCATGGAGATGTTCCGACACCAATTTGAAGAGAGAAAATATGGTTCTGTGTACGAGTGCTGCCACTTGTACTCGAACTTCAAAGAATCGTTGGCCAAGTCTCAGATGTTTACCGTCAAAGAAATGTTCTTGTCGATGCTTTTGGCGATTCGAGGAGTTTCGCTCGAGAGAGCCCAATCAATTCAACAGAAATTCCCTACCCCCAAACTGCTTTTGGACTTTTTCACGGCTAACCCCAATGATGCAACCATCTTGTCCAAGGCATTTACCCACGAATTTGGTAACAAAAAGATTGGTAAGGCATTGCTGCAAAAAGTGTACGACATTTGGGGCAAACGCTAGTCGTGCGCCGGCGCTGTGGTTTCAAATCGCACTCGCGAATGAAAAGTTTTTTCCACCTTAACACCATAAGCATGGGGAACCGCACATTAAAGTATGGAGGAAAGTCGGGTATCTTGCCCAAGCCTCGTGCCATCTTCAAGTCCAACCCTATAAAACCCATGACAGAACAAGAAAAAGCCCATCACGCTTCCATCGAACAGGGTTATGCTGACTCTGTTCCTTTACCAGTTAAGAAAGGATTCTCCTTCCACCGCAAAGTTGAGCCTAAAAAAGTGGTGACGGTCGAAGAACGAATCAGAAAGACCATAGATGAAAGAACACCCAAGAATGTCGACACCACCCAGTTGAAGGACGAAGAAATATGGAAGTTGAAGGTAGGTGACATCCGCAGAGAGCATTTGAGAACCGCATACTTGAAAGAATACGAACGGTTGAAAAAGATCGATGAGTTGGAAGCCAAGCGTGCCGCCGAAGCCAAACAAGCGGAACAGAGCAAGCAGGAGTATGAAGAGACCGAAGCCACCAAATTGACCTTACCTACGATTGAATCGTATTTACAAGGGCCCATAATGAGACAAAGAACTCCTACGGAACAGGCATTGTTGGAACACAAACGAGCATTCAACAGAAAGAGCCGGGAGCTTGAAGTCAAAGAATCCAGGGCTGAGCAGTTGCTAGGTTTATACCACCAGGCCAGCAGCTTTGTCACCACGGAAGCCCAGTTGGAAAAAGCCATCACCGAAGCGTTTGAGATCAGGTTGAACAAGTTCAATTTGTCGGCCATGTCTGTTAAAGACAGGTTAAACGGGTCAAAAGACTCTAACGTGACGTTGAGTGAGAACGAAGACGCCATTTTAGATGCTGCTCACGGACAAATCAACAGAAAACCCGGCTTGAATGTCGTCCGGGACACCATTGACGGTGAACTTGAAAAACTCAAACGCCAGGCTGAAATTGCCATTCACAACAACCAATACTAGTCCTCCTTGTACATATAGAATAATTGACATAATTTTTCACTTCGCAGCCGCGACGCTGCGCGCACAAAAAAACTCTCAAAACACTCTTTACTGAAGTACAAACCAGATAAACAGATACAAATGTCAGAGGTGAGTGGGAAAAAACGAGCCGCCGCGTATCAGGAGCTTTTTGCCAAGGTTTTACACAAGAGATTGAAGTTTGTCAACAACATCACCGCGTTATTGGCCGGATTCGTGTGTTTGGCGTTGGCGTTTCCATACGGGAAGCTCTGGTGGAACCTTGTGATGATCTTTGCTAAAGGCCCTATTGTGTTTGTTGCTCTCTATATCATCAAGGAGGTACGTTCTCGGACCATAACGGTCAACTACTCACACCACCGAACCTTGGGTTCCCATTTTTACAACTGTGTCACCGGCCTGAGTTTCTGGTTGAGTTTCATTGGGTACTTGGCATCTTCATTGACGTTGACAACGGTGTTTCTGGTCCAGATCGGGTTGTTCACCAACTACTACATCATCTCCAAGGAATACGATGTGAAGCCCAAGGCCAACGACCAATGGGTATACCTGTGGTTCTATAGTGTTGTCATTGCGTTTGTGTACACTTTACAGCAGTTTGTGTTTGAAAGGAACAGACTCGATTTCAAGTACGGTATCAGCAGGGTGGACCCCAAGAGTGCTTTGACAGTGAAAGTACCGGAGTTATTGAGCCATTCGGTGGTCATCAACACTGTTTGTGTGGTGAGTGTGCCAGTGGTGTATTGGTTTTCTCGGGCTGTTTTGTATAGATTGGGAACCGTGTGGCTCTTCGTGTTAGGGTTGGACACTAGAACCCCTAAGTTGGGCTTGACGTTCAAAACGTTGGTAAACTTGGCATACATGTCGTTCAACGTGATATTCGCCTGGGAAATGGTCAACCATTTTTTCAACGTCTACGCTTCCATTGGGTGTTTGGACGGTAAGAAACCGATCAGCACCTACAGTTCGGACCCCATCAACACGTTGTTAAGTGGATTGCGGAACACAGATCCGAATAACCAGTTGAGCAAGTTGACTGCACTTCAAGAACTAGCATACATCTCGACCGTCAACACTCCTGAAGGTGTCAAGCTAAGAACCGCCATCTACAGTGCCCATTCTACCAACAGGTTTATCTGGCCCGCTATCTTGGACGAGTGCACGATTTTGATCAAACAGACCACACAAAGAATCAACTACAGGTCGAGCGCAGATGCGAAGGTACTACAAAAGAGCCAGCTCCAGGTGAAGGACGACATCAGGAGCGACCAGTCAGGGATTTTTGGCAACTCGTTCGTGATGAATACGGAGCGCCTACCAGACAGCAATGTCCGGCTGTACGATGAGTTGGTGGATGCTCTGAAAAAAGTGGGTGCAAAACCGACCCAATCGAATCAGCAAAAGTACTTTGAACTCATCGACAAGCATTTGTTGATACCCTTGAACCGCTTATTGGCGTCGCTCTTATCGGAGTCCAAAGCCAAGGACGAGTCGGTGGTGGTGGCCAAATTAAAGCCGGTGATCAAGCAGGTGTTGAACGTGGTGGAAGTATACAGAAACAACTTTTTGGCTACGAGCCTCGGAATACCGTTCAGGGTGTCGCTCAAAAGGGACACAGAAAGTCGGGTGTTGAACGCCGTCAACTACGGCAATGCAGTCATCTCGGTAGCTAATCTCTTGGTACATGCCATAGAAGAAGACCGTAATTTCAGCATCAGCAACCAGCACATCTCCGATGCGTTGAATCTTCTTGAAAGGCCTATTAGAGGATGTGCTGTGTACGTGGACCATTTGCCGGCATCAGTATTTTTGACGCTTGGGCAGCGGAAGGCCGATGTGGTGCACTCCAAACACTTGATCACACTATTGCATGATTTGACGTTATTCAATTTTAAGCTTCTTTGTGTGGCCTACAACTACAAGTTGAACGACTTGCTTTTGTCTGCCCCATGCTTCAAATTAGCTAAACGAGTCATTGATGAGGAAATAGCCACTCGCCAGAAGAAGTAGTATATACGCCTTAGTACTTATAAAAGTTACAGTCATCTTGAAAATGGTGTCTAAGATTTATATTGGTAGGCACTTCGAATTATTGACGTTAATTGGGAATGAAGTGCAGAATATATATGTGTAGATACTTCAAATTTACCGAGTCATCATGGATTGTTACTGTCATTATTTCTTTTGGGGATGGTGTCTAGTAACACAGGTTTCAAAACCTCTTCATCAAACCTGGTGAACCATCTGGCATGCTCCTCGGCACTCAAAAACGCAGATAGCACACCGCTATTGTTTGTGCTGGCGACGTTGAGGGAGCTGGGTCCTCCAGCCTCAAGGCCCGCGAGCAAATCGTCGTTATCGCTAACAGGAACGTCATCGTCGTCGTCTTCACGAGTAGCGCTCGAGAGACTGACGTTGGATGTCTTTCTGCTGAGACTGGCATTGGAATCGTTGCGGGATCGGATGTTTTCCTCTTTGTAAAGGTTATGGTTGGAGGTTTGCGACCGAGTAAACGGCTCGTTGAACCTGCGGTTACCCAAAATGACGTTTTGAGTCGACGATGACGGTGTGGGGTTATGGGAAAGCGGGAGCCGGGGAGCCTCGATATCAAATTCATCGTCGGAATCGAGGTGCTGTTCCACCCCGGTCTTGATCCCCAAAATCTCCAACATGGACGCGGTAGACCCACCAAACAAAATGACCGTCAACACCACCACCACCAACACCGTCGCCAAAAGAGCCCATTTTGCCTCGCCCTGAAGACCCATGGCCAAGGCCACTCCGACGGCCCCCCGCAAACCGGCCCAAAAGATCATCATCTGGTACGAGTGGGAGATTTCGTCCGGCACCAGCTGTGACGAGATGCCACCATTCACGTAGTTACGGTTCGTGAACTCCTTGAACTTGGCCTTGTACAAAAAGTTAAGGAGCCGTGACAACGGGAACACAGCCGCCCACCTGGCCACACAAATAGAGAGAAACGTCACAATGATCAACAATGGCTTGAACACCAACTCCACCTCGGTGAACAACGAGAGACCCAAGTAGATGAAAATGAAATTCTCCGACAACTGGGCCAACAACTGGAAGATGTACTTGGTTGCAATCTGGGTTCTTCTGGACATGTTGTAATATGCATAGTGTTTCAAGGTGATTCCACAGAACAACAACGACACAATTCCCGACATGTGGGCCCCATTGGAGAAGAAGTACGACACGTAGGCGAACAAGAGCACTAAACACGTCTCGATCTGTGGATACCGTCTGATATGGCTGTGTTTCAAGATCAAGGCCACCATGATACCGATGAAGATACCTATGATGGTGGAGATGGTGAAGGTCATCAAGAACAAACCGATACCCTCAAAGAACGACAGGAAGTGCACGGGCTTGCCGTGGAACTTCTGACATGTCTCGAACATGACAATGGAGATGGCATCGTTCAACAAACTCTCCCCGAAAATAATCGTATACAACTTGGGGTCCACTTTGTACGCGTTGAAAATTGACAAGATGGTCACTGGATCAGTGGCTGACAAGGTGGCTCCCACCGCCAATGCGTCCACAAACTCAAGACTTACGCCGTCTAAACCTATGGCGGTCCAAACATACAAAATGATCCCTAACACCAACGAACTAATGAAAGTCCCCGGAATGGCAAACGTGAGGATGGTGCCAATGTTGCTGAAGAAGTTGGCCTGGTTCAACTCGAAGCCGGAGTTCAAAATAATCGGTGGTAACAAGATGTTGAAGAAGTAACCAGAGTTGAACTTAACCGCATCTTGAATATAATGACCAGGGCTAACCCGGATGATCAATCCCACGATCATCCCGTAGAAAATCGAAAGAACCGTCTCGTGGATGGCCTTGATGCGTCGCTGCTGGAGAAAGTACGATGACCACAATGCAGCACACAAAAGGGAAAGTAGGATAAAGAGCGCCCATGAGGAAAAAATCTCCTCCGTGACGGGGTTTTCGGCATCGTCGCCCTCGTCGGGGGTTGTCACGTCCGGCGTGTCGTCGAGGTCGTCGTCGAGCGTGTCCCCGAGGGCTCGCTTTAGCAATTGCTTAGATGCAAAGTATACTAGACTTGACATAGTTGATAAAGTGGTAAGTCGAGGGTTTCGCGGCCTTGATGCCAGCGAGCGCGCGGGCGCGGTCGTGCAAGGGGATGCGGGTCGTGCGCGTGGGGACGTGGCCTCTGGTGGTGCAACAACACCGCACACCTGGCGTGAAATTAATCCATCGCAAGGTACAAAGCTTGTTTGTTTTTGAGTTAACTAACTCGTTCTTTCATTTCACCCCATTTCATTGACTCTGTCGCAGTGTCATCTCCATTTCATCAGCCCACATCCATTCCACGTGTCGTAATCTGCTCCTGAGCATCATTAAAAGTCCCTGTGTCTTATAGTCCACCCTGCGTCCAATAGCATGTATTCATCAAATCCCAGCTACGAAAGCTTAAAGAGCGTACCGCTCTCGCACAACCACAGCCGGTTCTACCAGTCGTCCGTCAACCCCAACCTCTCGACCTCCAACTTGCAAAATTTGTCGTCCAAACACCTGCTGCTCCTAGAACCAACTCCGAAGAAATTTGCACCTCCCATCACCCCACCGGTATCGAACGCCGGGACGCCGGTGAGCGCAGGCTTTGACGTGGGTGCATGGGGCAACGGCCGCAAGCGGTACGTGGCGGTTTTGTGTGTTAACTGGTACGTGGCGTCGGTGGTGTCGAATTATACCACCAAGATGATTCTCACTGATTTCAAGCATCCTACGACGCTAACACAAGTGCAGTTTGTGTTGAACTGCGTGCTCGGGTTGGCCACCCTCGTGGTGGCCTTACGGCGGCCGCTGGTGGTGGCCCGCTTCCCCAAGGGCACGTTCCCGGCCATGGAAGGGCTTTCGCTCGCTCGCTTCTGCCGTCCCGATGAGTTTGTGTTGCGGACCACGGTGCCGATGGGGATGTTCCAGTTCGCGGGCCACTTGACGTCGCACCTGGCCACATCGGTGATCCCGGTGTCGATGAACCACACCGTCAAAGCGTTGAGTCCCATCACCACCGTGTTGATCTATCGGGGCGTGTTCAACAAGAAATATAAACTCATCACCTATCTCACCCTCAGCCCGTTGATGGTGGGCATCATGTTGACGTGTTATAAGGGGCAGAATGCCCACCCAGGATTGGGTTACTACAAGGGAATAGCGTATTCGCTTGTGTCGATGATGATCTTTGTGACGCAGAACATCTTTGCTAAAAGCCGCTTGACGGTCGACTCGGCCGAGGTATTACCGGCAAATGCATCCAGGCCCGAGCGTAAGTTGGATAAGTTGAGCATCTTGTATTTCTGTCTGTTGACGGGGTTTGTGTTTACGCTTCCGGTGTACTTGATTCTGGAGTATACTAATCCGCGCCTCAGTTTGCTTGACATGAACGCGTTCACAGCCATGCTTGTGGCCGTTAACGGTGTGAGCCACTACGTACAGAGCTTGCTAGCGTTTCAGATCTTAGGGTTGATTTCTCCCATTAACTACTCGATTGCGAATATCTCCAAGAGGATCATCATTATTTTAGTTGCGTTTGTGATTGAGGGCAAGAGGTTGAACGTGGTGCAGGTGTTGGGGGTGATGTTGACGTGCACCGGACTCTTTGCCTACGACCAATACGGGAGTCGGTGAGGTAAGGAGAGAACAATCAAAGACTCTGGCCTTTATCTGCATAAGACCTAAATAATGGGTGCAAAAAATGAATTTGTTCTTTTAATAAACAATCACCACCCTATTCGTCTTTCTTTTGAATGTCTTGGTTTACGGCCTCTTTTTACTTTCTCAGGGTTTTCCTCTTCAACTTAAGTTCTAACTGGCTTACTATGTCTCCGACAAAACTACCTTAATAAACTCTTTGATCTTTTCAGGGAAACTCCATTGGATTCCACGTTCTGCTATGATGAAGGATCTTGAATTTAGTTTGGCTGATTGTGGGTTGTTCGTAAAAATATACTCTCCATTATTGATGAACATATTATCAAACTGGTCAAACTCACCCCATTCCGTAGGAGCAATTTCAATTACCAACGGGAAATGGGCAAGCTCAGCATTGAGATCCGCATCTACCATCTTGGATTGTTTCTGCGAAGGCACATTATACTTCCAGGTTTGGGTGTATATGAAATAAACTGATTGATGTTTTGCAGTTTGCGATATGATGCGAGTAGACGCGCAGCAGATTCTGGCATTTTCGCAGCCGTGGGGGCTAATGGTGTTTAATCTACACAATAGCCGATTCTACACTCCAGTCAAGAGAAAAAATGCTACTGCAATGATGTGAATAAATACGTACTCCTATCCTAGCCACTAGTGTCCTGCGGCTTGCACATTGAGCAAATTCTTCACAATATCCCCAAATGCAACCATGAACACCGTCTGCCACACCGACAACCCGATTCTTGGAACCACTCCCCGGTACAATCCCATGACACCACTCTGGCCGTAAATGTACTTGGCAGCCCCCAACACACCTAAATTCTTAGGTCTGTTTGGATCGTTGGTCTTACTCTGCATCTCCACCCGGATCACTTCGATGGGCTGGTTCCAGGCACTCAACCCCCCACCAATCACTGATCCCAAGATCTTCTCGTAGGCACTCAAAGGTTGAGAGTCTCCTTTACCGGTGACATTTCTAATCATTTCTTCTGCCAACCTCGAGAACCCGAACCGCGAACCCCAGTTGGTCATCTGCCGGATTGCCACGGCATTGACCCCCCGGTTGATTCCTCTGATACCTTCCTTACGGAAAATTTCTCTAAATACTTGCAATGAAGTCTGCTGCGCGACCCCAACTGTTGCCTGCTTGGTACGGGTGATTTCCACTGTTTTCAAACAGGTGGTGAAGCCCATCGTCAAGTACGCCTGGGCTAATCCTCCACTAACACCACCTCCCATTCCTGCGAGAAAGTTGTTGGCACCCAAGACCTTAAATTGGTATTCTGCTTCGGCTGACACGAACAACAATACGGCACCTTTGGTGGAGGCCTCGATCCATGCCCAGGGAATCAATCCCTGGTAGAACCCCAAGACACCTCCACGGGCCCAGATGTGTTTGGTAGCCTGGAAGATGGAGAATTTCCGGTTGGCAGCCATGGTAGTTTTAACCACTTCCAAGGGTTGTCCAAGGGTGGAGACTTCGGCCATATTAAGAGCAGCTCCCAACAAGATGTTAGAGAAGTTGACGGGTTTCTTTTCGATGACAGGGGTTTTAGGAATGGAGATATCAGCCATTATGGATAGTTGAAGAAGTTGTTGAAGATGGATTGGGATGAGAGGTGGATTTATGCGCGGTGAAAATTCCCGGGGGCCGATATCGGGGGGTTCCGGGCAGAGGGTTGGGCGACGCGGTAGGTTGGGGAGAAGGGGTGCTAGAGTTGGGGATAGATGGTGCGGGAGGTGGGCGTCTCACGGCGCGGAACTGACGAGGGGGAAAAAAGAGGGGTGAAGAGCCGGTCGCGATCGGGGCCAACTTTCTGGTCGACGACTTTTTGCAATTCCGGTCTGCTCCAGGAAGACAGCGGTCACAGCACACCGGTCTTAACACGACTCCAACCTCCTAGCAATTGGGGGCCACACGACCACATCTGGAATATTCTGGCGGCAACACGACCCCATCCCTCGCGTATATTAGCCCTCGACACGACCCCGATTGGTGCATTAGATCCTTGCTTATTGGCGCACTGATCTGCTTATCTGGGAAACCGAGGGTTGTTTTTTTCCGCCCTTGTCTATTTCCGAGGGGTAAAACTACTTCCACTCAGCCGCTTTGCACTGCTCAACCGTTTTGATGGGTGCATGGGGCAGACTCGTTTTCCAATCCACCAGTGGGTGGGAGCCAATTAATCATCTACCATCCATCATGACGTCTATCACCCTCACATCACTTTCCCTTCCACCCCATTTATACCCCAATTAGACCTCCCTGGTAACCCGTTTTTGCTCCCATCAAAGTGGTCCAACAAATTGCATCGGGTGATAGGCGCACGCCCGCCTGTGCAGTTTTTGGGCCCGCAAATAATTTTGTAATTTCCTAACTTCTTCTTCTTTGCAAACTACACCATGAGTCAAGTCTTCAATAGTTCAAGCGGGTCCAATGCCGACTCCACCGCTACTACCACCGGTGCTGCCACCATCAGCAAGGCCGGAAACATCGCCTCGTTCTCCCCATCGCTGCCGCTCACTGCCATCGACACCTACGGGAACACGTTCGAAGTGCCTGATTTCACCATCAAAGACATTTTATCCGCCATCCCCAAACACTGCTACAACCGGTCAATGGTCTTGGGATTCTACTATGTGCTCCGCGATATTGCCTTGTTGCTTGTGGCCGGGTACATTGCCAATACCTACGTCCCCATGATCCCCAGTAAGTTGGCTCGTACCGCCGCTTACGCCGGATACGCATATTTCCAGGGATTGGTTTCCACCGGCTTGTGGGTTTTGGCTCACGAGTGTGGCCACCAGGCGTTCAGTAACTATGGCTTTGTCAACGATGCCGTCGGATGGGTGTTGCACTCATACCTCATGGTACCATACTTTTCGTGGAAATACTCCCACTCGATGCACCACAAATCCACCGGTAACTTGGCCCGTGACATGACGTTTGTCCCCAAAAACAAGCAGGAGTACTTGAAGGCCAAGGGCGCCGTCGACTTGGATGATCTCTTGGAAGATTCCCCCATCTACACATTGGTGCAGTTGGTGGTACAACAGCTTTTTGGATGGATCGCCTATTTGTTTGCCAACGTCTCAGGCCAGAGATTGACGAATGTGCTGGCGATGCGTAAAAACCACTTTAACCCCAACTCGGTGTTGTTTGACAGAAAGGCTTACTGGTACATTTTACTCTCGGATTTGGGACTCATCACCATGGGATTTGTGTTGTATAATGTGTACAAGCGGTTTGGTGGGTTCAGCTTGTTGATCAACTGGGTATTGCCATATATCTTGGTGAACCACTGGTTGGTTTTCATCACCTTTTTGCAGCACTCAGACCCTGAATTACCTCATTATGAGGCTCATCAATGGAACTTTGCTAGGGGAGCTGCCACCACCATCGACCGTGAGTTTGGGTTTGTGGGTGAGTACCTTTTCCATGATATCATCGAGACCCATGTGTTGCACCACTTTGTGTCAAGAATTCCCTTCTATAATGCCAGAGAGGCCAGCGAAGCCATCAAAAAGGTCATGGGAAAGCACTACCGTCACACCGATGAAAGTATGTGGGTGTCATTGTGGAAGTCAGGTAGATGGTGCCAGTATGTGGACGGAGACAATGGGGTCATGATGTACAGAAACGTCAATGGGCTCGGCATGGGCACCAAGTTGAAGTAGATTAGATAAGATTAGATAACACTAAATAAACTACAGATGTTTTATGCAATAAATGGAATCTTGGTCCCTACTCGCCGCCTATACTCCCGATAGTCGTCACCAAAGAACTGCACGAGGAACTTTTCTTCAAACTCGATTCGTGCCTTGAAAAACCTCCAGATCTTATACCCGGAATACCCAAGTACCACCCAGTTGTTCATATAAACCCGTAACCCCACAAACCACCAGAAAAAGCCAAAGTAGCTCGGGTGTCGACTGACGGCATACACCCCGTGTGTCACTAGGACGTGGTCATCGCTCTTTACTCGTTGAATATAATGGTTAAATGATGTTTTGGCAGTGTACATGCTCGCGGTCCTGAAAAACTGGCCCAACCCCATTAAAAATACCCCTAGATATTGCAATTGGATCACCGGACGGATCTCAAGCCATCTGAGCATGTAGTGCTCCACTAGGCTACACACGTTGACCAAAAGCAAGTCGTAGTCGGTCAAAATGAATGAGTCATCATCGACTTGGCTAGTGTTCCATACGCTGGTGGAGATGAATTCAAGCAAGTGGAAGATGCATATGGAGAGCACATAGGACGATAGGTGGAAAAAGCCGGGTTCAAACATGAAGCTGAGGCATGTAGATATGACGGCACCAAGGGCCACCGACTTGGCACACACTACAGTGAGGTTGACTTTGGAGGGATCATAGGACATTGCAGACACAGAGCATTTCGCAAATACCGCGCACTCTTCGCCCCATCTCTCACCCATGTACAACCCCCAATCCAACAACACCACATACATCTGCCTTACATCGCTTGCACTTGGCATGGCCATAGCCCAGGCCCTTCTTTCCCGCCTGGTCCTCGCGGACTACGTCTTGCTTCTTTGTGGTTTCCACCTCAACGAGTTCATCTCCATCTGCCTCTACCTGCCGCAGTCCCTCACTCAAAACTCATTTTTGATCTGGAACAATCAGGGTAGCCGCGAGTACTGGACGGTCCAGCTCTTCACAGTGGTGGAATCAATGGTTCTCCGGCGGCACCCGCTAGATTTCGGTAAAACTGCCAATTCAATTGCATTTGTGGTTCTGACTCTAGGAATCGCTCTCCGGCACATCGCCATTAGACACCTAAGAACCGCATTTTCCCACTATATAGACCCACAGAACCCTCAATTGGTCACTTCTGGCATTTACTCATTCACTCGGCACCCCAGCTACCTCGGTTTCTACTTGTTCGTTGTGGGAATACAAGTATATCTCAACAACAGCATAATGTTGGTGGCTTCAATCCTAATGCTTCGACAGTTCCTCCAAACCCGAGTTCGGTTTGAAGAACATCACCTCACACGTATCCATGGCGCCGCGTACACCGACTACAAGCTCCGGGTGGGCACATACATTCCATTTCTATAGACTTTTATTCATAAACCTTCTCTTGGAGAACGCGAGCCAGTACTTACTGGGCACATCACTTGCAACATAAATCCGCTTCAACAACCGGTCCGATAACTCTTGTCTGAGCTGCTGCAAGTAGCCTCTTAACAACTCGGCCTCATTCTTGTTGGCGGGTGGTAAGTACATCGAGCTTAGGGGGAATCCTATGTCACCTGGCAACGCAAACGACTCCAACGAAATATTGTTCAAAATACGAGTGGCTTCTTTCAACCCCACGGTTTTGTTCAACTTGGACAAGCACTCAGACACAAACAAGATACCGTATATCAACACCCGGTCAGCCGGGCCCTTGATTTCGAAATTCTTGAAAAACGAGTTGGCACGAAACAAATCCAACACCTCTTCCACAATGTCATACTCTTGTTCGGTGGGGTATGAAGGTCCTCTAAACTTGGTCTTGAAAGGTAACAACACCATGTTTCCCACGGTCCGGTTAGAGGTGTCACTCTCACTCAAAAACGTCGAATGGTATGCTGGCATATTGTGTAGCTAGTCAGGCAAGGGAGTTTTGATGTAAACGTTCGCGCACTGCTCGCATGAAATTTTTCCACCTAGTACGTTTAGTAAGTTATCCGCAACAGTGACCAACCCCAAACACACCAGTTATCCACTTCCGTGTGCCTCTAGTGTTGATTGCATTCCTGGATCGTGAAACGTGTTTCTTTGATAGTCCCCAGGCCCAAACACCCGCCGTTTCCAGTCTTTGTCTACCTTGTGTTTCTGTCCTCGTCTTATCGTCTTGTGGTGATTCGTTAAGCACAGAATCTATTTTCCTTTGTCCGGTTCTCCGTGCAATATCTGTGTTCATTTCCCCGTCACTATGTCACAAGGAAACCATCCTTACCGCAAGCAAACCCAGACGGTTAACATACCCGATCACTTGCTTCCCCAAATCTTTGTGGACCAACAGCAGCGACCAAAAGGTCCACAGGAGTTGGGCGCTAATGGGCAGGGCCAGCCTCGTGCCAACAAGCCGTATCCACGAGTAAACACGTCTACCGCCGTGTCGCCAGCAGGGCCCGAGGTTGCTCCTTTTCAGTCTCCCGTGTTGCAACACTATCACGAACAACAACTGCAACAGCAGCAGGCACCGTACCCTATTGATACCGAGTATCCTTCGAGGTTCCACCCTGTGCCCCAGCAACTGCAGCTGCAGCCCGTGCTGCCGGTGAACCAACAGCACCAGCCCATGGTTCCGTACCAGTATTCCCCGGTGCAGCAGTTTCCTGTTCATCAGCAGCCGATATCGCCTGCCAAGCAGCAGTTTTCACCTGTCAAACAGCAATTCCAGCCGGTTTCTCAGCACCTTCCAGGCCAAAACCCCCAACATCCACCAGTTCAACACCCCCAACATCTCCCAGGCCAACATCTCCCAGGCCAACACCCCCAACATCCGCCCCAGCAGCATCCGTACCACAACGGCAACGGCGTCAGAACAGCCTCAGCCTCGTCCCTCACCTACAGAAAACAAAACTCTTCTCAGGACTCGTTCAAGTACTCTCGCCAAAATTCCAACGGGTACAATGATCCAAATCAGCAGTACAACCAACAGTTTCTGCAACAACCCCAACCACTCCAGCACCGGCCCATCCGCAAACCTCCTGGTAACACTGCTCCCGTCGAAAATAGAAGAATTGTCTCGACTCCTTCGGTTCCTCAATTGGCTCCGACAAACTCAAAGTTCGACAACCGTACCAAGTCTTTGTCGTCAATGCTGCAAAAGTACCAGGGAACGTACCAGCAACCGCACATGCAGCCCATTCAGCAGGGCCAGCCAATGAAGCCCAGCCATAATTCCAAACTGTCGGTTTCAGGCTCTTCGTCCTCTTCTAACTCCAGTTCTAATATCCACCATTCTTTCTCATTGTCGTCCAAATCGAGGTCTTTTACGTCGTTGAGTAAACTCTCGTCATTATCAACCAAGAAATTCAATTCTTCTGCCTCGTCACAGGGGAAGCCTGTGGATAGAACCGTGTCATCGGGTACCATTGCTTCCAGCAGAACCATAATCCAAATGTCTAAAAAACCCCTGGTGTATCCCGCCATGTTATCTCGTGTGGCTCGCGTGTTCAGAGAATCTATTTTCTTGACCATCAACACCAAAGATGGGTTGGAATACCACGACACATTCACCGGGAAGATGGCCGTGGATATCATCTGTCGAATCATCAGGACTAATGATAGAAACTTGGCCTTGTTGCTTGGACGGTCCTTGGACTCTCAAAAATTCTTTCATGATGTCACTTATCAGCACCGTTTAAGAGATTCCATTCACGAAGTGTATGCGTTCAATCACATATACTCGGATGTTGAGTTGTATGAGAATAGTATTCCTGGAAGCAACCCTGATTTGCATTGGAACAACGGTCTACCATCCACCACCTCACTTCAATCGACAGCCTCCAACGGCTTGACTGCTGAACAGTCTCCTATCTCCGGTACCGGGGTCAATGGTGTGTTTACTATTTTGACAGACTGCTACTCGCCAACATGTTCCAGAAACCTGTTGTGTTACAGTATTGCTTGTCCTCGAAGGCTTGAGCAGCAAGCAAGGTTGAATATGAAACCGCAAGGTGGTCTTCAAAGAGCTGTTTCCAGATTATCGCTCCATGACCAAGATGAAACCAAGTCTTTGTGGCATGAAACCGTTCCTAAGTCGGTGTTGGATAAGTTGGACAAGCTTGAGAAGATGAGACAAGAGTTGATTTACGAGTTCATTTACACAGAAAGGGATTATGTTAAGGACTTAGAGTTCATGACTGACTTCTACATCATGCCATTGAGAAATCCCTCCAATAATATTATCCCTGAAAGAGAACGTGAAGTATTTATCCGGACTGTGTTTGGAGGTGTGAGCGATTTGTTGAGATTGGCCAAGAGCATAAGTGAAGCTTTGACACGAAGACAACAGCAGCAAAAGCCAGTGATTCAGACCATCGCTGATGTGTTCTTGCAGTTTGTTGATAAGTTTGAGCCTTTTATTCAATACAGTGGAAATAAGGTGTTTGCCAGTTTTGAACATGAAAGACAGCAGCAAGTTAATATGAGATATGCAAGCTTTTTGGATGCCATTGAAAAACGGCCTGAAAGTAGAAAGCAGGATTTATCTTCTTTCTTAATCAAAGGTATTCAAAGACCCGCTAGGTATCAGTTGTTATTGGGTGGGATTTTGAAAAACACCCAGCCTGACTCTCCCGATTACCCAGATTTACTCAAAGCCAAAGAAGAAATCGAGAAGATTTTGGGCAAGATTAATATTCAGACTGGTGAGTCCACCGATCGTCATAAGATCATGGTTTTGCATAGGCTTTTGGGTAAGCAGACTTTGGAAGATAAGTATAACTTCAAGTTATCCTATAACAACAGAATCATTTACCAAGTCACTTTGAACAGAAAAAGAGATAATGAAAAAATTGATTTGTACTTGTTTGAACATGCTTTATTGTTGGTGAAGCACAAGATCCAGAATAAGAGAGAACAATACAAGGTTTTCGAGAAGCCTATCTACTTGCCTTTGTTATTTGTTAACAGTGGATATGACATTCCCACCTTCCGGACGGTGATTAACTCACGGATCAATGGCTCGATCATGAGCGAATCAAAGGCCAAGGTTGATTCGATTAACACCAAATTACAAATCAATTTCATGGGGTTGGGAAGTCAACAAGTACATACGACATTGAATGCTGATGATGTGGCCAATCAAAACCAAGTATTGTCCCAAATCAGCTCACAGCAAAAGAAAATAATGGCAAAGTATGATATCTTCTCGTTATCTAAATACGAAACAAGAAGGTTTACTGGTAATAACAAAATCAACTGTGCAGTTCCGTGCTATGGGGGTAAAAAGCTTCTTTACGGTACAGATTCAGGTGTTTGGGTTTCAACGGTAAGAACCATTAGCATCACCAACAATGAAAAGATTTGCTCGGATCCAACTTTGGTAATTTCGAAGGAATACGTGACCCAAATTGAAGTGTTGGTAGAATATTCCAAGCTTTTGGTATTGTCTGACAAATCATTATTCGAGTTTGATTTAAGCTGTACCGATTCGTTGGATCATGCCAAAAACACCCGTTCAGGACGGTTGATTTTGTCTCATGTAAGTTCCTTTAAAACGGGAATCTGCGATGGGAAGTTGTTGGTTTGTTGTATCAAGCAAGGAAACAACCATTCAATCAACATCTTCGAACCACCAAACCCATTTGATAAGAACAAAAACAGGAACAAAAAGTATGATATTCGGGAAATAACCTTCAGCAGTGACCCTATTTCGATCTCGTTCTTGAGAACTCGTTTGTGTATTGGATGTACCAAAGGATTTGAAATTTTATCGATGGAAGATGGCAAGAAAGAGCCGATTTTGGACGAAGCTGATCCATCGCTTGACTTTGCCACGCAAAAGGAGATTGTTAATCCTCTTGCAATCCACCGGTTGGGCAAGGACTTTTTGTTGTCATACTCGGAATTCTCGTTTCTTATCAATCGGAATGGATGGAGAACCAAGCATGACTGGGGGATTTTCTGGGAAGGAAACCCAACGAACATTGCGTTGTTTTATCCATACTTGTTATCATTTGAATCAAATTTTATTGAGATTCGGGACCTAAAGACCACCTATTTAATACGGGCTTTGATAGGAGAAAACATTCGGTTTTTGCATTCTAATGAGCACGAGGCGATGTACGCTTGTGAAGAAGGAGGATACGACGTTATTGTATCAATTGACTTTTTGAATTTGAAACCCAAAGAAAAGTAAGTAAAAATATATGCTTTGATCGAATAAAGTTGTAACATACTTTTCAAAAACCGTTCCGGGGTTGGGCTTTCATGAATATAGCAATTTTTGAAAAGTTTACAGAAATGGCTGCGAAAAAGTTTGGAGTCATATATGTATTTAGGAAAAATAAAAAGGCGTAGTTAATAAATTTTCATACTGTAGAGAATGGCTGCGTTTCTCCTTCGCCAGTAAAAAACTTGCCGGTATCAGTTGGGGTAATTTTCTCAATCACTGACAAACATCTAGAGACAGCTTTTTCTGGAGACAGAAATGCCTCGGGTGGAAGCAAATGCTTGATCGGGGCCGTAAAGTCGGTATCAACCAACCCTGGGCATAACAAGATAGTGACCGAATCTTTGATCAATTCTACTTCAGAGCCGGCATTCTCTTGTGAAACCTGAATTCCAAAGTGGTTGAGAGCGGCCTTAGAAGCGCTATAAGCATTCCCACCAATATGGTGACCCATCTGCCCAACTGAAGATGAGACAAGCACAATTTTTTTGATACCTTCACCTTTGAAGATGTATTGGTAAGCTGCTTTGTAGGATTTTGCCGGGCCACCAACATTGATTTCGAGTATCTCTTTATAAGTATCAACATCATAAGCATAAGAAGGTGCCAAAGAAGGAGGACCAGCTATACCAGCATTGTGAATAAATACATCAATACCATTGGGAGCCAATGATTCAAGGGCTTTGAATGAATCCTCAAACTTAGCCCAAGTATCTTGCATATCAATCAAAAAAGTCTTTACATTTGATCCAAGCGCTTGCAACTTTTTTGCAGACTCTTCAGATCTGGCAGTACCAATAACCAAATTGGCTTTGTTTGCACTCAATGACTTGGCGAAGGCAAAGCCAATTCCTCTGGTTGCACCAACAATTAAATACGTAGTGGAAGTCATTTGGTTTTGTTGATGGAGACATACAGAGAGATTTCAAGAGTATTTATAGTGGGTATTAAAAGGCTGCTTTTTACCTAATATGTGCCAACGCGCAGCAATTAAACGGAGACGGTGATTCTACTGAGCCTCCGCCGCGAAGTTTCGGCCGCCAAGTTGGCCGCAAAAAACTGTGACTGCGAGAGACTCATGTATACTTCAATCTATCTTCGCTCCTAAGGCATCTCATAGCTGTACAAGTACAGGAGTGTTGAATGAGAGAACATAGTTTATAAAACTATACGTACACCGAAAGTAAATGTGCAATTTGTGCAGCTAGCCACAGAGAACTGGGTCCCACTAGCCCTCAACCACTTGTAGGACAGCTCAAAATACTGCTTTTCACGATAATCTCCCTTAAAGGTATACTCCTAGGACTGTAAATTTGCTCAATCTACACAGCACTGCTATTACTTCAACTTCAACATTCTTTCTACTTACCTCCTTCCCTTTATTGATCCTTATACCAAAATCAGTTTATGCAAATCCTTCTCAACTGCTATTGGAGAGCAGGTTAATTACTGATGTCTTTGATTTGTATTTGTAACAAGACTTCTTAGTACACATACGGGAATAAATAACATGTAACCTGTTGTCAGGAGGAAAGTGGAGGAAATAGCTCTGAATAAGAGGCATTCCGGTATCAGGCCTAATTTGAGTCTGACACTTGCTCCTTTGAGGTATATACTGTATAACCATCATTCTGGCTCTTTAAATGTAGGAACAAACTCCTACCCGGCCATAACAGCTTCAGATACGGTTGCTTCCCCTAACCAAATAAAAAATATTGCATTCATCCTGAAACCATGTGGGACATGGTAATGAATGGATAAACAGATCAAATTTACAGTTTAATTAATACCATGGGCTTCCGGGGCCATTACCATAATCAGATGCAAAATAGCACAAGTTGATGCTGGTTCACGCACATCGGCCCGTCGACTCAATGCGACCAAAACAATTATTTTCACTTTCTTCACCGACATGAACTTCGAAGTCTCGTATCCATCAGTCGAAAGACCATTTGGCGTCCACTTATGGCCCATTTTTGACTACGCATTCGAACGCGTGGTGGGCTATCCCGCCACTCAGTTTGAGTTTCTCCACAACCAGACATTCTTGGCCAACGGCTACCATGCGGTGGGTGTCATCATTGTCTACTACCTTGTCATTTTTGGCGGACGCTTTGTCATGACCACCCTCGACGTGCCGGCGCTTAAGTTGAACTTGTTGTTCCAGTTGCACAACCTCGTATTGACGGCGGGGTCAGGGATTTTGTTATTGTTGTCGATTGAACAAGTTTTGCCCATCATCGTGAAGGATGGGATTTTTGGGGCGATCTGCTACGAAACCGCGTTTACCCAGAAGTTGGTAACTCTCTACTACTTGAATTACCTCACCAAGTACTTAGAGCTTGTGGATACGGTATTTTTGGTGTTGAAGCGCAAAAAGTTGTTGTTTTTGCACGTCTACCACCACGGCGCCACCGCGCTCTTGTGCTACACCCAGTTGGTAGGGTACACGGCGGTAGAATGGGTGCCTATTACTTTGAATCTCACGGTGCACGTGGTGATGTACTGGTACTATTTCCTCTCTGCTCGGGGCATTCGTGTGTGGTGGAAGGAATGGGTAACCCGGATCCAGATTGTGCAGTTTGTCATTGACTTGGTATTTATCTATTTTGCCACCTACACCCACTTTGCATTTGCGTACTTCCCCAACGTGCCACAATATGGTAAGGACTGTTACGGGTCGGAAGTTGCTGCTGTCTACGGGGTGTTGATCATTACCAGCTACTTGCTTTTGTTTATCTCCTTTTACTTTAGCGTGTACCGCGGAAAGTCGAAGAAGGTTGCCACTGCCATTGCCACTGCCAGTGCTACCAATGACGTTAAGCCCACTGCCACTACCAGTGGCAGTACCACTGGTAGTACCACTGGTAGTACTGCCAAGAAGCATGTCACCAAGCTGAAGTCCAGGAAGGCTTAAGTCCCTGTCAGCGGTATTCTCGGCAGCCGGGATCGGTTGGATCTCCAATTTGTGTATAGCCGCTCTAATATAAGTCTAGACAAATTTTGCCAGCAGCCGTGCGATCCGCACCGGAGATATTCACGGGGTTAACTGGCGGGTACCATTTTGTTTTGGGAGATAAGGAGTATCTAATACCACCAAAACCATTCGGACCATCACCACTACTCCCTGTAGTCTTTAGGTGGGTGTCCTGGAGTTATAGAAAACTGTGCCATTAAAAACGGGAGAGCAACGGCTGAACAATTCCGGCCGCAAGGCTTACTCATTTTGACACTCGAGGTTCTCCTATTCCTGTTAGCGCGGGTGAATGTCCGTCGGCACCCGTCGAGGAATGGCAGGCAACTGCCCCATATAATCGGCATTAATCTGCGGCCGCACCCATTATTTTCAGGACATCGCCATGCATACGTCCACGCAACGCACGTAAGGCAAAATTGTCCACTTCCTTTCGGGATCTACGGTGAACTCGCCCATGATGTTTACGACCGCCCTGGCATGCAAAGACCCTGTTGTATCCTGTCTGCGCACCCGTTGTATCCGTAGACGGTCGGCAAAACTCGATGGGCCTCCATACGGCCCGCCTTTGGAACTAGCCGATCCCCACTGATCTCACGCAATCTCCCAAAACCATCGGCCAGTGCGCGCGGCTGCAACACTGACATTTATCCCAACCGGAGCCCGGAAACTTTTCTTTCCGTGCCCGCTTTTCACCCGTCCGTACTAGAGGGGGGAACAACGGTTCGACCTTGACGGGTGAGAAGGCACTAACCTCAACCCACTATCGAATCACCAAAACACATAAAATTAACTTCCAGATAACCCCTTTACCCATCCACCCAACTCTCATATCAACCCTCTCTCCTTCTCTCCCACCCCTTACCACAACTCCTCGGCCACTCCTAAATAGTTGCTTCATCCCAATAAAGAAGGCGCGGCCCTACCCGCTTCTTCCAGTTCCAGCCTTCCCAGATTCATGGACCGTCCTGATAAGAAGGGCGCGACAACCCGCCACTCAACATATTTATACATAAGCAACGACTCTGGCTGCGATTCGTTTTTTTGCCGTGTATACCTGAACGTTTCCCAATGGTTTTATTAGTGTTGCCCCACCCGGCGATGGCCACCACAACGTCATCTCCAACATCGGCACCTGTCACCACTGCCACTACCAACCCTGGCTCCGTGCCCGTGCCCGTGCCAGCCCAGACGGCTGACCAAAACGTCGTTTCTGGAAGCCGCTTACCATCATTTGCTTCTCTCCAGTTGCCCAGCTCCAACCCCCTGTCTGCCCTGGCATCCCGGAACTCCAGCACTTACTCCTCCACCTATTCACCCACCTATACCACGGCTCCCACTGCCGTCACTGCGACTACCACCGCTAGTGCCACTACCGCTCTTACCGGCGACAAAATCATTCTCCCATCCATTTCCAATCTTAACCTCCCTTTGGGAACTGTGGGCCCGGTGCCTGCCCTCCAGCCCGCTTTCAGGGCAACCACTCCCCCTGCCATGTTCAAACAACTGCCCTCCCAGACCTCTAACGTGCTGCCACTTCTGCTGGCACCCGGCTCCAGCCCCCGCCTGACGAGCCCCAGCACCGCCACCACGCCAGAGGTCGATGACATAGTCGACAAAGCCACCACTCTCGAGGCCGACGACAATATTAATGCCAGGAAGTGGAAGCCCAGGAAAAAACGCCAGTGTCCAGAGTGCAAACAATACTTTTCCAATTTGGCAACACACAAAAGTACCCACTTGAACCCGGCTTCTAGGCCCCATATCTGCGAGTACTGTTCCAGAGGATTCGCTCGGCCGAACGACTTGTTTCGCCACGTCAAGTGCCACTGGAAGGAAATCGGCTCGGATAAGGGCCAGTTCAAGTGTCCGTACAAGAGCCATAGCTCGGGCGATCACTGTGGCCACACGTCGGGGATCTTCTCCCGGTGTGACACTTTCAAGAACCACTTGAAGGCCATCCACTTCCAGTACCCGCTGGGCACCAAGAAAGACCAACGTCAACATACAGGCGGCACCTGTCGTATGTGCCAGGACCAGTTTGGAACTGTGGACGAGTGGTTAAGCGAACACTTGGAAAAAAATCGGTGCCCTTATGCCAACGATTTGAAGAAGAAGTAGGGCGTCTGCTCTGTTATGAACTATATGACCTATGTATATTATGTATATATCAATGTATGAATGAAACTACATTGTGGTTGCGCGCTGTTTGTGCACACCCAGTTTTCGCAGCCAATTCAAAAAACATTATCTGGTCTGTCTCACACGGTCCCGGATAAACTCCAACACCACTGCCGCCACACAACTCACTCCCAACATCACCACCAACATCATGTTCGAGTACTTGTATAACCTTGGAACATCGGCTGGCCAGCCCAGGTATAACGCGTAGGTGGCCGTCACCAGCCCCAAGTTACCCAATCCACTCACCAAGGCAGCACTGACCGCAATACCCACATCACCGTAACGGGCCCCAAAAATCTCTGCTGCCAACGACATACAGATCGGCACTGTGGGTCCAAGCCCGTATCCAGCAATAAGCAATCCTGCGTACTTGTTCCATGGCCCATGAGCAAAGGTTGTAACAAACATTCCCACCATGATTATGGCTGTTGCTCCACAGAAAATCAAGTACCGGTACTGCTTGAACCTGTCGGCAAAGGGGGTGATGGTCAAAATTCCTCCCAAGTCAAACAACCAGATAGGGGCGTATAATAATGAAACATTAATGGAACTAAGACTGGGGTTGTTGGCTTTAATGATGGTCGAGCCAAACACTGCCAATCCAAAGCCAGTTCCTACCACACCGAAATACATGATGACCAATGGCCACACCCTCAAGTCCGACAAGATCATTGCAAGGTCCTTCCACCCCCAGGCCACAAACACATATCTCTGTCCAAGGTCTTGACGGTGGATAGCTTGTTCTTCCTCTGTAAGTGGGTGTCTAGGAGTGGCAATTCTGTTGTAGAACGCCACAAACCGGTTAGAAGCAGTCTTCTCTTCCTTGAAAGGACGATCTGGTAACCACCACAACAAAGAAATTCCCACCGCAATTGTTACGGATCCATAGATTATGTACATCCACTGCCAGCCGTAGTATCCTCTTTCGCCGTCCATCTTCTGAAATCCAGCATTTACCAACCCTGAAACTGACGCCGAGAGCTGAGCAGCTGTGAAGTAGAATCCGATTCTCTTGGTCTGACGTTCGATGGGGTACCACAAACTAATGTAGTAGCTCATACCCGGCCAAGTTCCAGCACCGACAACACCAGAAATAAACCTAGCAGCAATAAGCCCACCACTGTTGGAGAGCTTGCAGTAGCAGAGATAAACCAATCCGACGGTGATAACAATACGGGATAACCAACTTTGGGGTCTGACCTTAGTCATTATCAAGTTCATAGGAACATCGAAGATGATGTAACCAACATAGTACAACGCAGAAGCGGTACTGGTGTTCTTTCCTACCAACTTAAGAGTCTGGATGATGGAGTGTCCCTGGTCCGAGTTCATGGTCAAAGTCAACCCGTATGAGTTCGACCCAAATGAGGTCATAAAGTAGAGACACCAAAGAGCAGGGATGATTCTGTAGTCAAGCTTTCTGTAGATTCTGTCCAACTCCTTGCGAGTAGCAGCTTCGTGGCCCTCTTCGACGTCACGAGGGGGCGAGCTGATGGAGTGGGCTTGAGCCAAGTCTTTATCTTCCGATTTGATCAGATCCATTTTTGTTTTTTGACAAAGAATTGCAACTTCTGGTGCTTAAATAGTTGCAGAAGGACCGCGAAAAAATTATTTGGTTTGAGTCAAATGACTCAAATTAGCTGCGACACGCTGTTTTTCTACGGCGGGCTGCCGGTCAAACTGAGTCGCCCAACATTTTGAGGATCTGGGCGATTCATTTGACTTTGTCCGGCTGATCTTTCTGCGACTGTAGATAGATTTTTGGCCCATGCACCCACCCGTCTACCAGGTAAATTATTCTACGATGAATTAGCTTCATGTTTTATTTGTGATACTCGACATATTTTATTTTAGAGATCAGCTTGCATATATTCTACTATGGCATTGCTAACAATTTGTTGGCTCATTACACCTGGTAAATCTGGCCTCCCGTAAACACCACCCCCGACGGCTGAACATTTTTTCTCGTCTCAGCTATCAAATCCTCGTCCTGCAAAAAATCATACAACCGCTTGGCAGCAGCATTAATCGAGTCCTTTCCTGCTCCGCTGTAGGCCTCCAACTCCTTGAACTTTGTGTCGATATTCTCGGTGAACATCAACGCATTCTCGCTGCCACGAATAGCAATCTGCTCAAACACTATGATCGCCTTGTACACGCGCGACCAGTCGCTTCCCCGGTAATCCAAGTACTCCTGCAAGCATTCACAAACCCCAAAAAGTCCTTGGTCATTGTAAGTGTACAGTATCAACTCCTGGGTTCTCTGCGGATCGGGCTCACTCTTACCGTCCTCAATTACGAACATCACCAGACGCTTAAACAAGTTGTTGCTGGTGAAGCCGGTGACCATCAGTTTGGTTATGACTTTGGCTCTCTGAACTTTGCCTAATAAGCCCATTTCTGGGGTTTTAAAACGGCAACCCCGGTCTATTAAATAGCTTGCCCCATTTACCCCTCAGGGGAGTAGTCGAGGCCAGTAATGCCAAGACCCTCGTGTTAATGTCGGGAGACATTCACCATCCATTGTTGTATGCGCTAATAATAGAACAGTTATGCAAGTGGCACCCCGAAAAATCTCGCTGGATAGCGGTGTTATGTCGGTGTTGGCGCTAGGCGCAGGTCAATTTGGCCATCAACGGGCTTCTCCCGGTGTTGGCATCCAGCAAACTCATGACCCCGTCAGGCCTTCTGCCTGACTCTCATCCACCAACTCCTGCCATTCGGGAGCTGGCTGCTTTGGGGTACGTCGCGAGAGCTCCTGACCTGCTAGTTCTACGGGTCCACCACAAACATACACAAAAAATTTCGGTGGCCGGGCCTGGTCTTGTGTTGCAATTTAAACGAGTCGACACAATTCTGGTAACCGTTGGGGAACACCAACACATGGTTGGGCAGGGCCTCCATCAAAACGATGTCCTTGATCAGCATGTTGGTACGTAGGTTCTTAAAACGCACACCGGAATAAGAGCTTCGACTCGGTGATATTGACCACCTTGTATTAGTAGAGAACTATAGCTACAATGTCCTCATTTATACACCCTTCCAAGTGCCAGGAGCCGCCGGCGTACGTGGAGTTTTCAGGGGTCAACTCGATATTGGCCAACTTGACAATCACCTTGGCGTGGTACTCGGCGTTGAAGATATCACCGTCCACCGGGTCGGTACCTTGATGAACTCGGGGAACCATGCCGTGCTAGCGTGTAGTCCAACCTGGGCACGGCGGCGTTGAACTGGCCAAAATCTACCTTAAACATGCTGGGAAGCCACTGGAACTTGAACGCCCCCGGTCGTTGCGGTAGAATTTGGGCCTCTTGGTTCTGTGGACTGTAATGGCATTTTAATCGAATGAATCAGCTGGACTTTACGTTTGGTCGCAACTGTATGCCCGTACCGCAACGGGTATAGCGATGGATGCACGAGGTCGACCACCTAGTTGTTGGAATTGGGGTGGTAGTCCACGTCGTCACCAAACAGCGCGTAGAGGTCGCTGGTTTAGGCGGTGGGTTGTTCTCTGGTTTCGACACAAATACATGTATCGCTGTAACAGAGTTTGTGGTCAAAATCAATGATATATCCACTATCCACAAACTCCACAAATTTGGCCGGAAGGCCCTCGAACCACGCCAACTCATTCTCCAAGTATGTGAAAAGGGCGACTATGTCATGAAAGAGTATTTTCTTTCTAGCTGGGCGCCTATTTCCTGTTTCCACTTGTTGAAGATAACTGGATCCTTATACTTAGATTCCCATTGCGGCTTCTGTAGAGTAATTTTCGACACCTCATAGATGGTCCCCTCAGGCAAGCCTCTGGCCGAAGGGCCGTCCATAAACATCTGTCACCAGGAGTCGGGAAACATGATTTTTGGCATATTAGTAGTTTACAGACCCTGCGAAAATCCTGGAGACTTGACTGCCGTTATACGCGCGAAAACGGTTTCGCGATCCAAAATCTAAACAAACATCATGGGAGACAAAAGAAGAGTCCGTAGAACACCGGTGCTCGAGAAGATCCGAAACTATCCATACGACGTGTACTTGTTCGTCAACGAGGCATTTGCGTCTATCGATTGGGACGACTACAACCGCGCCGCCGTGGTGTTGTGCAATATCGTATCGCTTGTGTTTGTTGTGCTAAACAGCATCAACTATACTCCCACCGCAACTACGTCCACCTTGTTCCACGTCGACTCCCGCCGCTTGGACAAGTCCAGCCAGGCTCTCTTGAGCCATTCCCGTGAGGTGTACGCGTTTGTGGGTCCCTCTGGTGCTTCTGGCTCCTTGTGGATCTCCCTCACCCAGTCGGTGTTGGTGGTGATCTATGTGGCGTCCGTGGCCATTTGCTACCACTTGATGTTCAATTCGACGCGGATGTACTCGGTGATCAACTCCAACACGAAGCCCAAAACCCCCAGTGCTCGGGAGGCCTTACTCAGTGATGAGCCCACTAATCGGTTGGTCCAGATATTGGCATCGGTATTGAGGTTCTTCAATAAGGACGTCGATGACGACAGCTACTATAATGACTCGGAAACCACCACCAACATCAGCGAGGACTTGAAGTTGAACGGGAATAAGTTGGTGTATGAGATCGATGTGTGGCAGCCCAGCCAGTTTTGTTTGATTTTGTTCAGTTTTGTGAACCCTATCGGCTTGCTTGTGGCCAAAATAATGGTGGAGATGTCTGTGTGGAAGGTGGGACTCACGGTGTTGTTGTTCAACTTCCAGATGTATTATCTAATCAACAAGTTTTTGGTTCTCATCAACGACAAGCAAATCTTGTACCAGGAGATGTTCCAGGAGTATAACGATAAGTTTGTCAAGCCCAAGACAAACGTGTTGAAACAGGACGTGGGAATTGATGCAACGGGAAAATATGGAGGTTTGGGTCAAGTGGTGGACCACTCTAATCCATACTACCAGAACACCAAGCTGAAGGTGTTTATTGTTCACGACATCAACGGGAAGCCATTCAACACCATTTCGAAGGAAGATATCGACGAGGAACGCAAGCTCTTTGAAAGCGAAAAGATCCGGTTTGAGTTGGAAAGAGACAAGTTTAATCACGAGCAAAAGGTGTTGAACAGCAGTATGGATTCAGACTGGCTCAGAAACACCATCCACTCCACCCCTTTCAAGACACCCGGCAATAGAGACAATTACTACAACAGATCGTCGTTGCGGTCTACTGAGAGAGGCATAAACAGAAGCTCAGTTTTGAACAGGTCGTTCAATACCTCTCCTGTGAGAGATAGAGATAGAAGCTATATGTCGCTGGATGCGTCTCGTATGAGGTCTCCGGGCCAACCGTTGGACAGGTCTCCTACCCGTCCAAGGTCTCCTGTAAGAAGTGTTGGTGTGGGAATTGGTTCTCCTATAAGAACAGGAATGACCTCGCCCACCAGAAACGGAAGACTATCTCCTGAAAGACCTCATATAACGACACCTACTTACGACACCAAGACCACGAGATTTAACGACAGAACCCCGACCATCAACAGATGGAAATAGCTTCACTGGTTTTAACCAAACACTCATGGTCTATTTGATGAACTGAACCTAATGCTCTATAGTTGATGAAACTAAATACTAATATACACTATTGTCCACTTACCTGCCTTTTGAACCTGTTCAAACAAATTATGAACCGGATGTAGCCCCGAAGCCTGGTTCTTGGGGTCCTAGGTGCCTTTATATTACACACAATGAGCTTTTCGACGCTGGAGTAAGTCTTGCTACTGAGTAAAATGTTCGTGGTATCATCTTGGTGGTGGTTAATCAAATTTGTGGTGTTTTCTGTAATATCTTCATCATCCACAACCACATCATTGTAATCGCCAAAAGGGTATATGCGTTCGTCCAAGAGTGTGCCGACCTTGTCAAAGTTATCAGTGAACTTGTTGACGATGTTTGACTGAACAAACCTCTTCACCAACTTATTATAGGTCTTTAAGTTCTCTACTTTTTCCGAGTTGGCATCTTCTTTGGATTTGAAGTCGGTCACCTCGTTGTTGAGAGTCTGAATGATCTCCTTGACAATCATAAGCTCGTTGTCTTTGTCTTGGATCCTCAAATCCGATGCTTGTAAGTCTGCCTTCAACCCTTTTAACTTGTGAACCAACTGCTCATTTACCATCTTCTCGTCGTAGACTCGCCGTTCAAGCTCATGTCGGATACTCACTACGTTTTCCGACTCGCGCAACTTCAAGTCGTTTATCGTCTGCATTTTGGAGTAGTTCTGTTGCTGAAGGATGTTGTTATCGTGCTTCAACTGCTTGATCATGTGCTTCAATTGGGTGATTTCGTCCTTCTGCTGGGTGATCTTGTCGACCAAAAGGCTCGACCCTGCAGACGTCCTCTTGGTATCAGCAACATATCCTGGGGTGAATATTGGCTTTGTCTCGTTAACTCGAGTGAATATTGGCTTTGTACTCTCATTTCGAGTAAATGACTTTGTGCCAACTGGCTTGAACAGTTGTGTATTCTCCTGCCCTGGGCCTGCCAGTCTGAATTCTGGTCTCGAAATTCCCGAGGCCTTCGGAGAGTCACTTTCTTTCAGTGTTTTTCGCTCTGGCTTCATTGCCGGCTTGTCTGTGTTGATATCAATTGGCATCAACTTCTCGCCATTCTGACGCCCAAGCCACTCCTTAGGTTTGTGAACTGTCTCTTGTTGAATCAACAACCGCAACTGGTCCTTCAACTCCTTATTCTTTACCTTTACTCTATCTAGTGTGTCGTCCATACTTTGTTGTGGTTTGTGGATGTATTTTTTTGTCGCAACAACGCGTTCTACGATGCGATGTGAGATATTAAATAATCTATAACTCGTTAAACCCAAAAACATACTTCATGATGTTGCCCACTACGCCCAAGTTCTCGTTGTTGTGCTTGTTGTCGATGCCCTTGTTATCATTGTTGGCGGAAGTGGGACCCAAAAATAATTTGGACCCATCTTTAACCTCAAGCTTCGAGAAGTTTGAGTTTGTCAAGTCTTGCGAAGCATCAGGTTCCTGAGTCTTGAATCCCAGCGTCTTGAACTCGATCCCGCTACCTATATCTTCGTAGTCGCCCAATTTCCGGTTCTGTAGCTTCTCAACCGCATCCTTTGTGTAGGGTATTACTCCCAACAACAGGCCATTGAACACCATTCCGTTCTGGAACAATGCCTCGATAGCCAGAGCCGGATTGTCATATGTGATCTTCACCCACGATGTGCCACTCAAGCACGAGATGATTTTTTCTCGTTGTTTGTTGTTGATGGTCTTGTAAAGTTTGTTCTTGTTCATCTCAAAGTCTTCCAAAATAGTCCCAAAATCCTGGAAATATTGTATAACCTGGTTGGCGATGTGCTCGGGGTACCCGAACACCAAGATGGCACTCTCACCGTTCTCAAGCGGGTTGATGGCCTGAGGCTTCTTCTTCTCCACCCTCTGACTGCTGTCGACTTCTCCACGATTGAACACATTCCCGTACTGTTTGGGATCCTTGTTGAGAAACGAGTCAGTGTGGTTGTTGGGCTTATCCAAGTTCAAGAGTATCTCGTCGTTCAAGTCATAAATGGATCTTGAAGGGGGCATATCATCATCCATGGCCTCATAGATGGAGAGATCATCAGTTATGGTCTTGTTGATGGTTTCGTCAAACTTGGTTACATCGGCGGTCGTGTCATATATGTTTGAAGCAGTACTGATTCTGGACTCCAAGCCTGGCTTTCTGGGAGATCCAAACGAGACAGCATTAAAGGAATTGCTCGATTGTGATTGTTTGGCCTTGTCATTTTTCTTGCCGGTGGTGATTTGGAAACCTGGTTTGCGTTTGGACGTGATGTGGTTAGGTATCACACGCTTCACCGGGTACGATGACCACGAAGGCTCCTCTGCTGGGGTGCTGGTTTGATTGACTTGACTTTGTTGTGTAAAGACAGACATTTGGATGTGTGTGTTTTTTGAGAAGCAGTGCTTGAGTTTTCGCGCAGAGGAAGACAAATATTTCATCACCCATGCTTTTGTCCCCGGCAGAAAGGCAATACTTATACGACTCGCTCGTGCAGAACCCGCCAATACGGCCAGATGCCAGGAATGTCTTTCAGTGCCGTCCGTTGGAGGCTACCACCACTTTTTTGCCCAGTTCCAACGGTTCTGCCAGATTGAGAATGACCGATGGAGCTGAGTGTATTGTGAGTGTCAAGTCCAAAGTGGTAAAAACAGCCGATACTCCCAACTTATTGGAGGTGGATGTGGATGTCCAAGGATACAGAGATGATTCCAACTTTGTGGCGACGCTAAAGTACAATTTGTCGAGCCTATTACACAAGAACTTTCCTTTTGAGGCCTTGAAGCTTACAAGTAGATACAGTTATAAGTTATTTATTGACTGTATTGTGATGAGTAATACGTCGTACCCATTGACTATCATCTCTATGGCCATATACTTGGCGTTGAAAACCACCAAGTTGCCCAAGTTGGTCAGTGAGGTTGATGATGTGAATGTGGAGGAACAACCAACATTTTCAGACGATTGGGAAGATGCTAAAACCTTGGGAGAAGCCACCGGCTCAGACTTTCAGCCGCCTGTGTTCATCACCTTGGGTGTCATCGGGTCGTCACTATTGTTTGATCCGTCGCTCGAGGAGGAACAGGTGTTGGAAAATGGGCTAATTGTGAGTTTCTACGATGGGAAGGCCCAAACCCCATTACAGAACATAAATCTTGCATTAAACTCGAACAAAAACAACTATAAAGGCTTGAAACTGACACACATAGTGTCTGCAATCTCCATGGTCAATAAGTATTGTGGAATGATTATTCATGCCTTGGACACGTTAATAGACCAAGATGAAGGAGATGGCCAAGTCTTCTAATGAACTGTACATTAAATTTACATAGATTCTAATACAATCTCAACAGTGTTGGGATGAATAGGCTTGAACAATGATGGCGGTGGCGGTTTGAATATTCATGGACCGGATGACTCCAACTTGTTTGATTTCGACACACAAGTCTAATTCTGCCAATAGCTCTCCAGGAACACCTTCTCTCTCTTTACCCAACAAAATCAATGACTTCTGGGGGAACTTGAGGTCGCTGTTCAACTCCACCGAGTTGTCTGTTTGCTCGAGTCCAATCAAGGTGTATCCCTCCTTCTTCTTTTGTCTCAAAAACTTCACTATATCGGGAACTGCTACTTCGATCATGGGCATCCAGTGGTCAGCGGTAACCGCCACATTTCTGAACTCGTTGTGGTCTTTGATGCTTATATCATGTAGAGTCAACAATCCTGCCCCCAAAACATCACACAACCGACAAATACCACCCAAATTTGGTGGTTTATCGACTAGCGACGAAACCACTATAAGGTCGCTTCTTTTCACCAAGGTGTTTTTATCGCTATCATCCAAGTCCATGACCGTGCTCCAAGCTCCACTTTTTGTTTGGAGTGGGTTTTTGTTGAGCATTTCATGCTTGTTGATGCCAAAAGTGGGTTTGGCCAAAGACTTTTTTCTGTCCTTGATCCATAGGTCCTCACAGTCCTTCCCAATTGGGATATTCAAATATCCAATCTGATCAGACGTCAAGTATCTTTTATACTGGGCTTCGGATATGAACTCGACATCGTGATGACTGACTCTTAATAAAAGCACACCCGCAAGATTCACCAATGTGTGGTCCTTCTCCATGTCCCACAATAAAGCATCCCCATTTCGGTACGCACCCAAAATGGTGTTGCTGAGGGCACTTTCATACATGTTGGTAAGAACTTGACTCAACTCCGGTGCCACCTGGATGTGTTTTTCCTCCATCATTGGATAGACGGTACAGATCAAAGATGTTGAAAAGTGTCTTACTGTCGCCTTGTTTGAAGTTGCACAAGGAATGACTATGAGAAGTAATCTCTCCAAGTATTGTTGTTGCTTTTCTAACGGCAAGTGGTTGATGAAGAGAACCAACACTCTTTGGTAGGAACATATCAAGGAGGGTTTCATCTCCTTCAAGTCAAGCAAACCTCTCAAGTCGGTGAAGAGTTGGTCTTGTAAATCAGTATAGTCTCCCAACTTCAATGCAACAATCCACTCAATGTAGATTCTAACAAGCGGACTGGGGTCACTGTCAAGTAACTTGATGAATTGCTGCAAATATTCAAGGAGGTTGGTGTTGTTTACCTTAGTAATGATACAGGCAATTATGGTGAACACTCGGATCCGAGTCCATTGTTCATATCCATCGTTGCATCTCACCACTTCAAATAAGTTGTAAGACTTTTGATTCTCGACGATAAATTCCAAAAGCTGGGAAGCAAAGTCCGACGATTTGATTGACGAATAAATCGCCATAAAGTTGACTTCACTGGAGACTTCATGAACATTGTATATGTCCAAGTACAAATCAGAGCCGTCTTGACCGAAATTTTCATCAAACAACCTTCCTATAACGCTTTCCAACTTAAATGCATTGGAACTCAACTGGTACATTACAAGACCGTCAACCAAGGTCTTGCAAAGCCAGTAAGATCTGGAAAAGTTCTCATGGTGATATACTTGATAGTCAGAAATGCACTTGGCCAAAGTAGGCAATAAACCTCTTCTTCCCACAGCATTTTCAATCACTGAGCTGCAAAATGCAACCAACGAATCAGACAATGACGGTACTTCCAATGCCATGTCTATAATCTTTGGGTGAAGAAGGGCTTGAATAATGGCTTTGTGTAGGTCCTTTTGGTTCAACTGCAATCTGGTGGAAGTTAAGTTGTTCCAGACTTCCAATAAAACATCCAGGATACCTGAAATTTGGTCCTTCGAAATATTCAGATCCAATAACACCGCTAAGAAGGAAACAACGGATATGTTTGACTGGTAGCTCACCAAGTTGGATGGAATAATAGTTAAAATAGCATCAATATCACCACTTTTAAACACCTTTTTTGTGGTCAAGATTTCAAGAGTTCTCAAGAACTGTCCGACCATGTCTTCTTTCACTTTGTAGAAGTCTTTCGAGTTGATGCTTGCAGTCTTAGAGTTGACAAACATACGTTTTTTGAACAGCACCAAAGAGCCCAAGTCAAAAGCCTTCAAGTTTGTGTCGTTAACCAAGCTGTTCAAGAACTTATACTTGACCACCAGCACCCGAAGCACCTCCTCGTCGTTCAGCTCAACGTCTTCTTGAACAGAATTCCACAAACTGCTCAACTCTAAGGTGTTTGGAATAGACGAAGACCTGGCCAAAACCTGGTAAATATCGGGGTCTTGAGGCTCGTTGACTAACTTCTCGAGGTGAACATTCAAATACTGTTTGAACTGGGCTGATTCAAACGAGTGGAGATCCAAAGAGGAGCCAATCAAATTGGCCACGACCTTTGTTCTGTCAATATATTCGAACTGAGAACCCAAAACTGACCTGAAATATAAAGACACGGCGTTGACAAAATCACTTGCAAAATCGAGCTTGAAATCGTCCGGAGAAGCCATGTTTTGAAGCAAATACTTCTTGATATCTTCAAAGTTCTCATTAACCAAAGCAGAACCGTTGAACCTGATAAACCGTTCCATTGCTTTCAAAAACGAGGAAACTTCAAACTTAAAGCTCAACACTAACCTCAAGGTTATGGTCTGCAAAGTCTTGTGGAACAAGAATCCTTCAGATGCTATTTCAAATAAGGAAACCAATTTCTCTCCAGCTTCGGAGAATTCCAAAATCTGCTTTCCTTGGAGCCCTTTGTAGATACCAAGTAGAACATATATTTTGGAAGGATCAAACGCATCCTTAACATTGCTCAAGACTTTCAAAAATGTGTTCACCAACACCCGAGACTCCTCTTCCGTGTTGCAGCTTTGAATAATATCGGCTATAAAGTCACACATTATATCCCCATATGAGCATTGGTCCTCAACCACAATTAAGTGGTTTGCAAGCATCATATACGGCAAAAAGATTGTTTCCAAGACTGGTAATGCATGTTTGATCAAGAACAAATTGGATGATGGAATTGAGTAGAGAAGGTTCAACGTGAACTTCCTGACAGAGTCGTTGCCTGCTCTGAATCCGGTGGATAATAAACTGAAGCCCCAGGATGGGTGAATTGACGAGTCTGGGGAAATCAACAGAATAATGTCACCAGATGCAGCTTCCGTTTGGTGGAGCGATGTGTCTATTGCAACAATCTCAAATACAGTGAAGAACCGTTCCCACTCTTTCATGTATAGTGACTTCTCATCTATTTTAAACTCGAAAATGGAATTATGGATGTCAGCATTGATTTGAAGAATAGATAACTTCAAGATTGAAAAGCACAACTTTCTATGTTCATGAAGCTCGCTAGTGAGCCCTCCTTGCAAGTAGTCGAAGTATTTTGAGTTCAGCAAAATGACTGATTGGTAAAATGTATCACTGGTAAAATTAGCGTTCAGATTATTCAAATACCGAAGCCATACAATATAGGCATTTGTACAGTGGTAGTTGGATTTTGTCTGGATTAACAAGAAGATTATGTTCCACAAAAAGTCTGTGCCAAGAGTCTTCCGGGTAATGGTATCGATTCTCCATTTAAATGTCTTCAAAGCCTGAGCATTGATTTCCTCAACATCGATAGCTACTAAGAAACATAATATTTGATCCACTTTGAAATCAGTTTCGAACGAGGTTTGAGCAAATACGAGCTCCAATACCTTCAACAAGTATACTATGTAGTCTTGTTCGAGAGCCTCACCTTTGTGGCTCACGATCTCACTAGACTCCAAAATGGCTTTTATACCAGGAACAAACTTGTTCATAGAATGTTTTATATGAGCAGAGAGTGCTCTTTTGATCTGGCAAATGGCAAGTTCGTAGAGCTGTGGAAGTTTTCCACACATTTGGATCATGTTCTTCAAGTATTGTTCTTCATGGACAGAACTGATGACATTTTCGACGAAGGGACTCACAATCGAAATCACTGGAGCTTTATCTTCAATCTGGTCCAACAAGTCACACAAGCCAGGGATGCTTTCGGGGGATTCCCCAATATTTTGGGCAAGTTCCACGCCTATGGCGGCCACCTTTTGGGGGTCTAAAAACCTGGAAACCAACAGTAGCGACATGTTTGCAGATGAGGTCTATAATTTTTCAGTCTTCGCGCTGCCAGAGCTGGGAAGATGCGATGCGATTTTGCAGCTATCAGCAGAAGGATATACTGAAAAGAGAATACACTATTTGAACACGAACGCTTGCGATCATGTCGTGCTAACAATCATTTGGAGGTACCCGCTCTTATTATTCGAGAATTAATGAGTTTTTCTATTCCATTTTTAGGCTGTCCTTGAAAAGAATACTGTAATAACCACACGTACCCGTTACACTCATCTCTGGAGACACCCTAAAAGGTATCCTATTCATCACATGATTCTCTGCTGTTGTTTCTGGGTCTATTTCCCGATTCCGGTGATGGATAGCAGTTCCGGCGTTATCTTATACCATCGCTAACAACTGCACGCGCGCGCGAAAACGGCGGAATTGAAACCTCTTTTGGCCGTTATCTGAGTCAACATATCCAATCCTTTTCTTCAAAACCAGTTTCCGTATCTACCAACCTCTGTGATGGAGTCAGTACACGTCGCAACACTCCAGCACATCCAGCACGTCTTGGAAACCTACCACGCCTACAAACTCGAGGTGCTCCTCGTTCTCACTTTCGCTATTGGTGCAGTTTTCAGGGTCTCTCAAAAGAAAGCTGCTGCAAACTCATCCAAACCCAGCTTCTACTCTTCCTCCGACGATTATGTTACTCCCACAATCAAGCCTGCTGATCTGAAGTTTGTATGGAACGAAACCCCTGCTTTGAAGTCCTATCCCTTTAAGGATGCAGAGTATAAGCTCACCATGGGAATCAAACGATTAGATCCCCAGGACTGGCTTTTGATCGAACCAACTTACTTGGATCACATTGAAGAAAAGATACGCATTACCACCAACTCCCACACGGAGTACGGTGACTTTGACTTGAGGTCCAGTACCTTGTTCGTGACTCCCGAGTGCGCTCCTGCCATCAGAGAATTCTACGATATTGTCGTACAATACATGTGTGACAAGTACCCCAAGTACTTTCAGGTGAAGGGAAGCCGGGTGTTCAACTCTATCACCGGCCAGTACCTTCCTCGGGCTGCGAGCGAGAAGGTAGAGCCAATCGAGTATTTGGACTATTTGGTGAAAAATATCGAAGAAGACGTGATATTCATGCTAAAACCCCAGGACAACCCGGAATCCGAGTACTACTTCAAGGGAGGCATCTTTGCATTTGCAGCTGGATTTGACCCCAAAGACAAGTTCAACACTCCCATGACATCTATTCATCAGCCTATTCCAGGGTATGAGAGTAAGCTCAAAACATCGATGAACCGGTTTTTCAACCGAATCACCCCTGGACAGTTTGTAACCAGAAGCAACTTCTCACTACAAACCCACAACCTATTTTTTGTGCACGATCGTAACAAGGGCCACAATCGACCAGAGGACGAGGTTGTGGAGCCTAAAAAGGAAGAAGAGTTGGACTTTGATAAGCAAGTGCATTATAGAAGTGAAAGACAAGTATTGACGAGGTTGCCGAAGACGGGTGCAGTGGTTTTCACCATCCGGACGTACTTGCTTCCACTTAGTGAGGTCAAGAAAGATGGAAAAGAAGTGTGTGCTAGGCTTAGTGGAGCAGTTGAAAAGTTTCCTGAGGATATCAGAACCTATAAGAATGCCCGAGAATGGGGAGATGCGGTGATCAGCTACTTGAGGAGATAGGGTTTTAGGAGTATTTATAGAGGAGCGGTGTTGGAATATTTATTATTAGAGGAGTGGTGTAAGAATATTTAATAGGGGTATGTACTATGTAATACAGATAGGACTAGTCTCAAAGACTTCTAGAGCTTGACTACCTCCTCTCGGATTTCCTCCCAGATGTCAAGGTTCTTCTTGGCCCAGTTCACTAGAAACCCGTTGTAGCACAAGAGAATATCGTAAATCACCTTTAACTGTTTCTTGTGGAAATTCTTGAAGTTCTTGTTAAGCTCATCCGCAATATATGAGATGTCTCCAAGCATGATATCCTGGCACTTTTCTAACGTATTGATTTTGGTCTTCAAATCGCTGATTCTATGCTTCCTAGTTTCCTGAGGATTCTGGTCCATAATGTCACTGACATACTGGGTGATCTTCTTGATGGAGTTCATGTTGGGGAACTTGAATCGGGAAGCATACGAATTGTTGGGAGCATTCTGATCTAGTTGGTACCGTCTCTGCTTGGACACTGGGTCCGAGTTGATGGCGTTTTCAATAGTGGCAGTTTCTTCTTCGACTTTCAACAAGCCCTGAAGTGTCGCCTTCTTCTCCTTCAACTCACTGTCAAGCATCTTCTTCTGTCTGTCCTTTCTCCTCTGGAACTTCTGGATAAATCTCAACGTGGTGGAGTACTGGACTTCTTCTCCTAAGGGCTCGGAGAACTTGGTTTCTAAGTCACTGATCAAGGCATTTATAGTGATGTATGACCGATCAAACACCTGGCCCATCTTGTCCAAGATAATATTGAGCTTCCCAACGTCCTTATCTTCGCCCTGTTCCTGGGACTTGGTTCTGATTATGGGTGCGTCGGCGAGCAACAACGAAAACGAGTTGAAAACGGTGCCTAGCTCGGTGTAGTCGTTGGCTAGTCCGATGAAATTGTCCATGATCTTCCTGTTGATGTCGTCCAAATGAGACGTGTTGACGGTTTCAATACTATCGCTGTTGAGGTCGTTTTCGTTCGAGTCCTTGGGAGAAAGGCTGTTACTGTCTTCTGAGGCAGTGGTCGGGACCAGGTTTTCAGGGTCACCCCCACCACTACCATTGATCAACTTGCCGGTGGACTTTCCGAGCTTCTTGGAGTTCTCCAGGATCGTGTTCAAAAACCCCATATTGATGTTGGTGGTGAAATGAGGTAGACTGGCGTATACCGCATCGGTCTTCAACCCGTTCTCGGGGTTCAGGTGATAGATGTCCTTGGGCAATTGGTTCAGAATCAAGTTGATCTCGTCCTGCCAGTTGGTGTTGGGGTCTAAGAACTTGCTAAAAAACTCGAGGTTTCTGATCTGGCGGATGTTGAGGCAGTTATTCAAGAAACTGGTGAGAAGTCGCTTGCGGTGCTCAATGAGCTTGTTGGAGTTGAGATGCGTCGAATTGATGTACGAGTAGTTGTTTGTCAGCTCCTTTTGTTTGGGGCTAACGATGTTGCTGCCCTTGCTGGTGACTATATTGTTCAAGATGGAGAAGTTGATGTAGTTCTTGGGGGGGATGGGAGGAATGATCACCAATGGAAACACCTTCGTCAAGATCTCTCGAAGACTCTCAAAGTCGCTATACCGTCGGCGAGTCTGGACCTCTTCTTTGTTGTCTTCGTTGATCAACTTGATGGTATAGACGATATACTTCTTCAGAGAATTCAGCATTCCTTCACTCGAGTTATTGGCTTCGGTGATTTGCACCTTCATGTTGGAGCTGGGCCGGAGAAGCCTCATCACCCTGCTTTCGGTGTTAATTTGGATCGAGCCGGTGGTGGTGGCTTCGGTGTCAGTAGACCCGTCACCGTTTGATTTGGGGTTTGTGTAGAGAAGGACAGACTCTTCGGGACTGGCAAATACCGGGGCCAGGGCGTCGCCAGCGGCATCCACCACGTCCACCTGATGGTTTTTCACTCGGTCGGGGCCACCATCCCCGTGCAAATTGGTGGTATGCACATGGTTCTTATCGTTGATCATGCTTGATAGCAGAGTGTGATCAAAGGGATTGTTGTCTTCGTCGGCGAATTGATCTTCAGGTAGAGTTAAGGCGCCGGCGCCGTGCAATTGGTCGGTGGTTTCAGGGGTGGGTCCGGTATCTGCAGGGGTGTCTGGGTCTATTTTGTCTGTAGACATCGGTGGCATCCTTTTGAGGTTTCCTTAGGAGCGCTATCGCGAAGTGTGGGAGTGCGTGGGCGTGCGCATGTTAATCGCTTGGGGATGGGTCAGAAGGCGTGTGCGTACCCGTCCAAACATCGCGACCTTTTGGTGGCTCTGTTTGTTTAAAACATCCCAACTATGGCAGATGATCTGATGGACGTGGAAGTCGTCAATGTGGTTATCGAGACTCGCTTTGCCCAGATACTTGAGATCCTAGGAAGGCAACCACCTGAAGACCAGGACCCATTTACCCTTGTGCAACAATCCCGGGACGTGGCGTCCACCAAAGCCCTTCAAACTAAAGACCTCATGTTTGAAAATTCCACTCCCGAGCTTGAGCAGGAGTTTGTCAGCTGGCAGTTAGAAACCAAGTTGTGGCACTTGGCAGAGATTCTCTACAGCTTTCGTTTGGCTCGAATTGAACCTCATAAACTGTATGGCTTCTCTTCTGTTCCGGTGGTGGAAGAGAACTTCAGAAAGCAAAATACCAAGTTGGCCGAGATTATCATGATCATTGAGTGGATCCAGGTGAATTCCCCCCTTGTGGACACGTCTAAGGTTCCAATTGCCACCAAGTGGAACAATACGAAGAGATCGGTGCAAACCAGGGACTTAAAGGTGTTGGCCGAATCCACCTCCGAATCTGCCCAGGACTATGTCAGTGAATTGGACCCTGACGGGCCATTGCGCTCAGGCAAACGCTTGCATTCCGAAGACGTCAAAACTGACGATGAGGTGTTTAAAATCATCTACAAATTGGTGTTGTATCGAAATTTTGACGAAGCTATCACCATCGCCAACGAAACTGGAAACTATCCGTTATCGATGATTTTGGTGGGTGATATGCTCCCGTACTTGGACACTAAGTTGGACGGGGAATATATTGAAGAACGCAGCATTGAGTTGACCACTTCCCAGGGTTGCAGGCATAAGTTGATGTGGTACCAAGCGGTATACAAATTATCGCAACAGACCAACTTGAACAAATATGAAAAGCTCATCTACAACTATCTCAGCGGAGCCAATATCCTGGAAAACCTCAAGGAAGCCCCTGACTGGGATGAATGTTTGTTGTTGTACTGTAACCAAGTGATGGTCAGTGAGTTGTTGCAGTTCTACAACCAGTTTTATAAAAAAGAGGTCAGTGAGACCCTTGATATTATCATCCCCAAACCACAAATAGATGGCATCGATGCCATTTTGAACGCTTTGCTGACCGTCGGTAACTCCGTGGGAGAGAGCTCTAGACATCCAATACGAATCATTACGGGAGGAGTGATGATCAAGAAGATTTCGCCCTTGGTGACCGACACGGCCACTTCGCATTCGAGTAGCAACAACAAAGTATACGAAAACACCTCTCTATTGAGGATATTGGTGCACTTAGCCATCTTCTTGAGATGGACGGACGCAGAGCATATTGATCCCACCGACTTCACCAAGTTGGTCATTCTTTACATCAAAAAATTATCCACTGTGGGACTCAACAAGTTGATCCCATTTTACTTACAGTATATTCCTGGAGATATCGAGGCTGTTGAGTACTACTCGGATCTCTTGTGTTCCATTCGGTCCAAGGAAGAAAAACTTCAACAGATTCAAATCTGCAAAAAATTGGCATATTTCAATGCTCCCATAAATTCGTCCACAGGCGAGGAAAGACTTAATGTTGTATTGAAGAGGACGGTGGAAAAAATATTGGACAAAACAGAATCCCATTACCAGCCAAGCTTATTCATAACTATCAAGGACCAGTACAACACAATAGACGAAATTGATGAAGAGTTATACGAGTCTGCTGACTATTTGTTGGCTAACTCCATGTATGAAGATACCATAATTGTGTCAATGGTTATAATAAAACGGTTCTTGTTATCGGGAAAACTAGCAGCCTTGAAGGAGTTTGCAAAGGAAAAGAACTTTAAGCAAATAGTGAACAGTTATGACAACGACTTGGGTATCAGGCAGTTCAATAGTGAAAACTTCACGTCATCCAGTCCTTCAATAAGCGAAGAAGACCGGGAAGAGTTGTTAAATTACGATTTATTGATCAAGGGCCTCAACTCTATTTCTGAGTGGAAGAGGTTTGTTGAAGACAACGGAAAAAACAAGACCAACTTCAAAACCAAGGATGTGCATCATTCGATCAACAAGATCACTACTCAATTAAACGACTTGGTGATGAGATGGTTCGTTAACACTCCAAATGAGCTTTTGAGGGAATTTAGAAACCTCTACGTTCCCTACCTTGTGATTGAATTACTCAAAATATATGAATTCTCCCGATTCAATAACCCTGAGTACTTGAACAAGTCGTTTGACTTGATCAAACTGGTGGCTAATGAAGATGAAAATGACTTGCTTGTCTGTTTCATGAAAAGTGGAAAGCTCAGCGAGTTCTTGAGTAAATGTGGAGAAGTAGCGTTGGCCGCTAGCGAAAAGGGTGTCACGGGCATCTTTGTATAGCCAAGTGTATAATATGTATATATATTAATTCTGTTTTAGTTTAATGAAGAAGCCTTCTCATACAATAAATCAACCACACTGGATAAATGCTTGACCAAATCCAAAGACGCTTCATAGGTGGAATCCTTCTTTGGTTCATCATAGATGTTTAACCAGCCATTACCTTGGTCCAAAACCCCATAGAACACCTTATCCAAGATCATTTGCGACAACTTTCCTTCCACCTGTTGCAAGTTCAAGCCTATTGTCTTGGAGATGTGGGACAACTCCACACAGCTGTAACTCTCGATAATCTTCAAGAGATTCTGTTCCAATAGATTGTCATACAAGGCGTTAAAGTGGTTCTTAATAATAGGATCAGACTTCAATTCGGTGGAATATGTCAATAAGGCCGATTCGAAATCTTTCAAGGATCTGTTTGAGTAGGCGTCAGCTATGGCCTTCATGGCATCAATGTCCTTGGACTGGAACTTCATGACGTTTTTATGTCCCAAGATATTGTTAATGTCATCCACCAAGTTCAACATGACTTTGGTCAACAACATATATTTCAACACCGTTATGGCCTCGGGGGCGTCTTGGGAATTGTACCCTTCAAAACTCTCATAGAAGTAGGAAAAGGCGGTCTTATAGTCACCTTCCTCCGAGTTCAATATACCACTCTGGCAATCCAATTCAGCCTGTAATAAAGTAGGACAGTAAATGGAATTGGCCGAGGTTCTGGCGCCAGTCAATGAAGCCCTTGACTTGGGGATGTTCCTCAACGCATGGTAAATCTTCGATTCCAACAACTGCACCTCCACCAACGAAGACTTGTCATCCAACTTCTTGTATTCCCTCAACAACTCAGTGATGAATTTTAAACTCTCTTGGTACAGGCCCTTTGTGTACAACAATGAAGACAACTTCAACTGTAACGATTGCCTCAAGAATGACAACTTGTTTTCAATGGCCCAATCAATGCATTCTCTTGTAGAAGTGATTTGCAAATCAATGGTATCAGTCAAGGTATCAAAGTCCTCGATCAAGGTCTTGACGATTTTGGCAGTCTTGGACTTTGCAAACTTTCCCAACACAGCCCTCGACTTTGTGATCAAGTCGCTCAACTTCTGGGGCTGGTTTTGACTTTGGTATATCTTTCCCAACTCCAAGATTCCCAGTTCTTGTTCCTGGAGCACCTTGTGAGAGGGCTGGCCGTCATTGGACTTTTCCGATATGATGTCCCAATACTTTGTTTCTGCTTCGGCGTAGTGGCCGTTGGAAGCCAACTCTCTGGCTTCAATCAACGCTTCAGAGGATGCTGACATTGTTGAAGGTGAGTTCGCTGTGTATTTGCCATCAACAACTTTCGCGAAAGGGCCTCGATTGAAACCGCACGACTGACTTTTTTTTTCCACCAGTACATGTTTGCAGCAACGTCCAAACGAAGTATACTAAGCTTGGGGTCCGGTGGTATATATTCCCGAGGTGTAATTATACCGCTCAATGTCCGGGCTTTGAGTGTGTCTTCCCGCTTGGCCAAAGACCCATTTCCTGTCACCCTGAAGCAAATCCAGCATCAGAAGAAAATTGACAACTTACCCAAATGGCGACAATGGGCAATTTATCTCAACAGCCAGGAGTTCAAGCGCAGTGCGACCGTTTACTACGTGGGAGGGTTTGTGGTGTTGTGTGTGGCGTTCTACTTCTACATGAGAGATCGGTACTATGAAGATAGGCAAATCGAGCACATTAAAAAGAAGTATCTGGTGGATCCTGCAAGTCTTAGCGAATATGAGTATTTGAAGCTCAAGGCCAACAGCAACGAGAAGTTGCGTCCACGAGAAGAAAAAAAGTACCGGCTTTACCAGATGATGAGAAAAGAGTTCAGACGTAAGAACATGCTTTCCAAGGACGTGATGTTCGAGCCCACGCCCGAGTCTTTGGATCAGTGGTACCAGCAGCAGGCGCGGATTGGCACGAAGCCTATTCCCGAGATCGAGGGCCAGCACGAGGCGGTGGAGGTTGACAGCAAGGAAAAGGTCCCATTGTCGAACCATGACAATCCACATATTGCCAACCCCGAAGATACCACAGCGTTCTTCGAGGCCAAGGCCGCCGACTACGACAACGAGATCAAGTGGGAGGAACGGGCGGTTCTCATGGGAAAGAGAAGAAAGTGGTTAATGAAGCAGTTGAAAGGAGATACGCTTGAAGTGGCATGCGGAACCGGTAGAAATATCCCATATTTTGAGCCAGCAGCGGTGGACTCGATCACGTTCTTGGACTCATCGAGCAAGATGATGGAACTCACAGAGGAGAAATTTCGGCAAAAGCATCCCCGATTCAAGAAGGCCGCATTCACGGTGGGAAAGGCTGAAGATCTTGTGGAGTTGACCAAGGGTAACGATGATATCAAGTACGACACGATCGTGGAGGCATTTGGCTTGTGTTCACACGAGGACCCAGTCAAGGCTTTACGGAGCATGGGCCAGTTGTTGAAGCCTGGGGGGAGAATCGTGTTGTTGGAGCATGGCCGTGGTACCTGGGACTTTATCAACAACCACTTGGACTTTAGGTCTGACAAGAGAATGCAAACGTGGGCATGTAGATGGAACTTGGACATTGGCGAGCTTGTGGATGAGGCTGGGCTCGACGTGACGTATGAAAAAAGGGTTCATTTTGGTACTACGTGGATGTTGATTTGTAAGAGGCCTGAGGATTCTATTAGTATTGATGAGAAGCCGTTTTATAACAAGTTATTTGGCAAGGACTTTGAGCCAATCAAGAAGCAGTAGTTGTACATAGGGTAGAGTATATTATATTCGACCAGAGTTTCCGTAGAAGTGTTCAGGTGCTGAAAGTCACAAGGAAAGAGTACACACAATGAACATGAGTACAGACACAGTATTAAGCTAGGCACGATGAATGTGGAACAGAATAACTTGACAGACATAATCTTGAGATACGGTGTTGCACCTAAAGATATATGCCAGAATCGGCACCAGAATT